ATCGTGAGTTATCGGCGAAAAACGAAGCTATGCTGCAATAAAACATAAAAAAACGTTTAAACGCTCATAACTCGAAAACTAAGCGAGATACGGCGTTTTTGACGGGGATATCCTATAGGGGGGATCAAATTTTCTACTCAGGTCCAGATCTTTCATATGAGTCCTCAATCAACCCCGTAGCATCATTGGCATAGAGGTTATGCACATTTTTATGTTTTGCGGTTTTTCAGAAATATCTCTTGATTTTACAAACTAAATATAATCAACAGCCAGTGTTTAGAAACCGTCTCGTCCCCCTCTTTCCGATGACACCCTTTATTTCATGCTCCAAGCATAATTACGATTTTTTGCATTTTTTTGAGGTTAGAAAAGAAAATTCTTCAATTTTGATGATTGGAGGATATTCCGTACGTTTTGGTGCTCTGAAATTTGACCGCAAATATCAATTCATTTCAAAACTCGTAGAAACGGAGATGAAGTTGAAACCGGAAATGGCCATAATTCTGGCATAAATTATGTTCGGATTATAATTTTGACTCGTGCATTAGAAAGCTCTTGCTCTCAGGAATCTACTGATATGCTTGTAGTCCATGTACCTCCTTTAGATCGTAAGTTATCGGCGAAAAACGAAGCTATGCTGCAATAAAACATAAAAAAACGTTTAAACGCTCATAACTCGAAAACTAAGCGAGATACGGCATTTTTGACGGGGATATCCTATAGGGGGGATCAAATTTTCTACTCAGGTCCAGATCTTTCATATGAGTCCCTCAATCAACCCCGTAGCATCATTGGCATAGAGGTTATGCACATTTTTATGTTTTGCGGTTTTTCAGAAATATCTCTTGATTTTACCGGCCAAATATAATCAACAGCCAGTGTTTGGAAACCGTCTCGTCCCCCTCTCCCCAATGACATACTTAATTTTATGATTCAAGCATAAATACGATTTTTTGCTATTTTTTGAGGTTAGAAACAAGAAATTCTCGAATTTTGATGGTTGGAGGATATTCCGTACGTTTCGGTGCTCTGAAATTTGACCGCAAATATCAATTCATTTCAAAACTCGTAGGAACGGAGATGAAGCTGAAACCGGAAATGGCTATAATTCTAGCATTAATTATGCTCGGATCATAATTTTGACTAGTGCATTGCAAAGCTCTTGCTCTCAGGAATCTACTGATATGCTTGTAGTCCATGTACCTCCTTTAGATCGTGAGTTATCGGCGAAAAACGAAGCTATGCTGCAATAAAACATAAAAAAACGTTTAAACGCTCATAACTCGAAAACTAAGCGAGATACGGCATTTTTGACGGGGATATCCTATAGGGGGGATCAAATTTTCTACTCAGGTCCAGATCTTTCATATGAGTCCTCAATCAACCCCGTAGCATCATTGGCATAGAGGTTATGCACATTTTTATGTTTTGCGGTTTTTCAGAAATATCTCTGATTTTACCGGCCAAATATAATCAACAGCCAGTGTTTGGAAACCGTCTCGTCCCCCTCTCCCCAATGACATACTTAATTTTATGATTCAAGCATAAAAACGATTTTTTGCTTTTTTTGAGGTTAGAAACAAGAAATTCTCGAATTTTGATGATTGGAGGATATTCCGTACGTTTCGGTGCTCTGAAATTTGACCGCAAATATCAATTCATTTCAAAACTCGTAGGAACGGAGATGAAGTTGAAACCGGAAATGGCTATAATTTTAGCATTAATTATGCTCGGATCATAATTTTGACTCGTGCATTAGAAAGCTCTTGCTCTCAGGAATCTATTGATATGCTTGTAGTCCATGTACCTCCTTTAGATCGTGAGTTATCGGCGAAAAACGAAGCTATGCTGCAATAAAACATAAAAAAACGTTTAAACGCTCATAACTCGAAAACTAAGCGAGATACGGCATTTTTGACGGGGATATCCTATAGGGGGGATCAAATTTTCTACTCAGGTCCAGATCTTTCATATGAGTCCTCAATCAACCCCGTAGCATCATTGGCATAGAGGTTATGCACATTTTTATGTTTTGCGGTTTTTCAGAAATATCTCTCGATTTTACCGGCCAAATATAATCAACAGCCAGTGTTTGGGAACCGTCTCGTCCCCCTCTCCCCAATGACATACTTAATTTTATGATTCAAGCATAAATACGATTTTTTGCTATTATTGAGGTTAGAAACAAAAATTCTCGAATTTTGATGGTTGGAGGATATTCCGTACGTTTCGGTGCTCTGAAATTTGACCGCAAATATCAATTCATTTCAAAACTCGTAGGAACGGAGATGAAGCTGAAACCGGAAATGGCTATAATTCTAGCATTAATTATGCTCGGATCATAATTTTGACTAGTGCATTGCAAAGCTCTTGCTCTCAGGAATCTACTGATATGCTTGTAGTCCATGTACCTCCTTTAGATCGTGAGTTATCGGCGAAAAACGAAGCTATGCTGCAATAAAACATAAAAAAACGTTTAAACGCTCATAACTCGAAAACTAAGCGAGATACGGCATTTTTGACGGGGGATATCCTATAGGGGGGATCAAATTTTCTACTTAAGTCCAGATCTTTCATATGAGCCCTCGATCAATCCCGTAGCATCATTGGCATAGAAGTTATGCATATTTTTATGTTTTTCCGTTTTTCATGAATATCTCCTGATTTTACAAACTAAATATAATCAACAGCCAGTGTTTAGAAACCGTCTCGTCCCCCTCTTTCCGATGACACCCTTTATTTCATGCTCTAAGCATAATTACGATTTTTTGCTATTATTGAGGTTAGAAACAAAAATTCTCGAATTTTGATGGTTGGAGGATATTCCGTACGTTTCGGTGCTCTGAAATTTGACCGCAAATATCAATTCATTTCAAAACTCGTAGGAACGGAGATGAAGCTGAAACCGGAAATGGCTATAATTTTAGCATTAATTATGCTCGGATCATAATTTTGACTAGTGCATTGCAAAGCTCTTGCTCTCAGGAATCTACTGATATGCCTATGAAGTACGACGTCTTATAGATCGTGAGTTATTTGCGAAAAACTGAGTTATGCTGCAGTGGAGCATAGAAAAACGTTTTCCAAACACTGGCTGTTGACTCTATTTGGCTGGTAAAATCATGAGATATTTCTGAAAAACTGCAAAATATAAAAATATGCATAACCTCTATGCCAATGATGCTACGGGGTTGATTGCGGACTCATATGAAAGATCTAAACCTGAGTGAAAAATTGGATTTTCTCTATATGAATCTCAATCGATGTTGACTGAATTTCGGATTTCCGAGCATCGCAGGAATTTCTTAATGAATTTTTCATGGATATGTATTTTCAGCTTAGATTCTACAATTTTAAAATACTCATAAACCATTACAATCGGACAATTATTTTACGTGTTGTGGAGGTCAAAAGACTAGGGGTGGATGATTTTTTGACCCTTTTTCTGACTTTTGACTTCTATAACTGAAAGAATTGAGTCATTGTGATGGTTGAGGAGTTTTTCGAAACTTTAGAATCTGAGCTAAAAATACATATCCATGAACAGTATATAAAAATTCCTTTACTCTTGAAATCACTAAAATACTCTACAAATTCGTGGACAACTTAGAAACATACAATTTAATGTATTTAGATCGGGGGAATCAGTTAGTTCAGTGACTTGTTTTCAGCCTTAAATCGCTTTTCTATATCCAGAAGAATTGCTATCAATTCAAATGATGGAAAAAATTATCTATAGATGATAAAATTATCATCAGTAGATAAATGAAATTTTCGTTATTCATACTTATAAATTGACCACTATGTGTCACTACTGATTCTGAGTAATGCTGAAATTTCAAGTCTGACTAGCTATAATCTGTTTCTACTGTCTGGCATATTACCCATAATTTGTACGTATCTACTTAAATCGTCTGATCTGTCAAGTATGTATTCACTTTACATAAAATTTGATGAAAAATAAAATACTCATTAATATTCTATTTTTTAAGGAAAGTATTCTGGATGAATGTAATTCTTAAAGCATACAACATAAAATCAAATATTCGCGTGAAATAATTCTAATAGAATAAATAATTAATCACAAACGAGGTATGTAAAAAAACATTTCTTCATTTTATAACTACTTTTATCATAATTATTTATGCTTAAAGAATTTTTTGCTGAAAGCTATAGAAAGCAAGAAGTTTATAAAAATTTTCCGCAAATTATATATTATTCTAAATAGTTAAAACAAAATGAAATTTAAATGATAAATGTATGTATGTATGCAGTTATTATATATTTTTTTCATTTTAAATAACAAATTATGTATGCTATATGTTTTAATTTTGTGGTAAGTTCTTGACCACAGCGCAATAGCATCTCATAATTACGAAGCTTCTTAAAATTTGTCATGAATGAATAATTCTTCAAATTATTCATCCTGTTTCTATTTTGTTAACTAAATAAAATCCATATTACTAACTATTCGAGTGTTTAAAATAATTTATGATAAAAATTTAATAAAAAATATTATAATTTTCAAAGTGAACAGATAAGTTTACCTTTCCAATACATTCATGTGTCTATTTTTATAATTATTTTGCACATTTAATTATATTTCCCCCATTAATTTGATTTTAAAAACGATTACAACAGCGAATTTCAATATTTTTGCTAAACCCAATTGAATAAAAAATGACGATTAACAGTGCGAAAACATAAATAATATTCAAACAATATGTTTTAGGAGATAAAAAGGATAAAAATGAATAATTAAAGGTGGAAAATGATGGTTGAAGAGGAGAAAAAAAAGATAGATTGGTGATGGCAGACATAAAGGAAGAGTGCGAAGCAATAACCTGTAGCATTTTCTCAGGAGATATTTAAGCAAACTTCACAGTCACAGGATCGATAGTTAACCAGTCACGAGGCGGCACCATCGGCAGCCGCCACCGTCCTTCGCTACCGCTACTAACGGAAGCTGGTCCATCCCTAGTATTTCTCCCTCTTCGTTGTTTATTTCCCTCGTGCTGATAGCGCAGCCATTCTAAGAATCATGTTGAATACCATCAAGGGGGAGTTACGCCTTTCGAGGGAACTCGCGACCAATCACCGCGACTCACTTGGGGTTACTGCATCTCTTGTGGGCGGGACTCAATATGTGACTCCTTCAGCTCGTCAAACCCCAAGGTGGGGTTCGTGGTCGCAGGTGCGGCCAGTTGGCTGGCGAACCTCGCGACGAATGTGTTGTACTATTTTCGTGTCACGTATCAATCTCTACTATTTTACTCCGAGAATCGCCGGCATTTAACGTGTGTGTACTACTTGTTATTTAACATATAAACATCTAGATTATTTTATTCTCCAATCTTACTTTATTTTGTGGATAAAAATAATCAACATTGTACACTGAACGGAATTATTTTATTATAAAAAACATTTGTTATTAAAATAGACAACAGGATATTGATTATCATCAACGATTCGTTGTTAAAATGATACAGAATGTTGAAATGTTTTTAACTGGTTTTATGACATCTGGATTATTCAAACAATTAGTTAACAATCTAGTGGAAATGTGATATTGATAAATAATATAACTATCAGTGTATTTAAATATATCACAAAGGATATTAATTATTAATAAAAATGTAAAATTATTTAATTGTATAATTTTGACTTTACAAATGTGTGCCATTAATTAAATATATTGGGTTATTACATACACATTTTTAAATAATTATTAATTTATTCTTATAAATAATTAAGTAGAATTTTTTTTTCACAATAATAGTGCCAAGTGAAGTGAAATAGTTGATTGAGTAGAAGAAAAAAAAAAGAGAAATAGTGTAAAAGTGTATGGGTGAATGATAAAACGATAAGTTTTAGAATGTTTGATAAGTGTTGATAATAAATAAAAAAAAATTAATTGTGTATTAAAAGAATAAATAGGAATAAAAGTGGGTGCACTGGGGCCCTCAGAGCCACTTGAGCGATACGGTCCAGTGGAAGGTGGCCGTATCAGTGATATTCTGACAGCCGAAAGAGTGGGGATAAGGGCGGCCGCAGCCGCGGCTGGGGAGGTGGAGGGGTACGGGGTTACAGGGGCCGCGACAGGCGCCCCTGGGGTTGGTGTAAGTGGCACCCCCCGATTAAGAGAAGCAACCCTAGGGGGTTCCCCCCGTTGTGCACCCCTCACACTTACCCAGGCCCATAATATTGGTAAGTACCTTATAATTGTCCATTACATGACTTTTATCTATTTCTCATAACATATACTTATTACATTTTTTTAAATATTTATTCATACACATGTATGTATTATGTCATTATTATCTATTACTTCTGATATTATCCGTGAAAAAAACATCTATTTTATAACATTGTTGCCTCTTCTATCACTCAATTGTAACTCATCTCTCTGCTTTTTTATTTATTTCGTTTAATAAAAGTATTATTGTCAATTAAATATTATACTTGTTTATAGATATGTTGAGAATTATTTGCAAAAGGAAGTAATTTCTAAGTGTTATTACATGTCCGTGAGTTGACCACGTTATTTATACATCATTTTTTTTTTTTAATAGCAGAGAATTATTTATGTAAGAGTTTATTTTTCTTATTTATATTGAGTATATGTGAAATTACCAGTTATAAATATTTTCACGATTTTTCAGTAATTTGCAATTGATAAGATATGTATTGGATGTTTAAATTTATTTAATAGAAATTATGATAATGTATTTAAAATCAATGACAATCATCTAAATTACCAAGAATTTATCTTCCTTTTGTTATTTTAATGAATAATTCGTAATTATCTTTTATGTAAAAATAATTGCGATTGATATAAAAAAAGGATTCCCACTGTATTTTATAAAAGATTATAACACAATGGAATTTAGATGCATTTGAGAAATAAATACCAATCGACATAAAAAATGCATTTATTTAAACACTCTATATTTTTGTATAAATCGATGCCATTTGTAGAATTAAACTTTTTTAAAAATATTCACATATTATTTTAAGAATATTCACTGATTGTCAGTGCTAATTTAATCACTGAATAAATCAGTAATTTAATTAGCACTGAAAGGTGAGTGAATAGTTGTTGATTTGCAATAATTTTTACTGATTCAGTTTAAGAGAGAAATGAGGGTTACAAAGTTAACATAGTTACTTCAGAAGAAATTTTAAAACAATATAGAGAGCAAAGAATTGTAATTTTGTCTCTAATAAGCAATGAGAGATTTTTTAATTAAGATACATTACAATCCATTCTTGTAGAAATATTATTAATCGAAATTATGAGCTGTACTCGCTTAAATTCAATCAGTGAAAACCACGGCGAGTTAGTAACTATTCACTGACTTTCAGAGCCAGTTCAATTACTGATTCATTCTGATTAGTGAATAATCACTGACTCGATTAAGAAGTACAAGAATAAATAATAAATAATACAATTTTATTGTATGAACAGATTTTTACCTAAAGCAATAAGCTATTCTCTAAAAATGAATTAGTGAATATTTGCTATTTTGCAGTGATTTTCACTGATTCATTTTTAGGAAGTACCATGTATTAAAGTAAAAATTATAATTCCTTTTTCTGCATGAATCTTTAATTTATTTACTCAAAAAATATGTCTTGAATCACTCATAAAATAAATATAAATATTTATTGTAATTGTTTTATAAGTATTCAAGACAATGAAATCCAAAAATTTGAGAATACTCTAACAATGAATCAGTAAAAATGATTGCAAAATAGAATATATTCAGTGATTTGCAATTACAAAATAATCACTGGTAGATTTGGTGCATTTACTATTACTCCAAAAAGTGAATATTCACTGATTCATTGTTAGGGAGCATAATAAAACATAAAGAATCATAGCTGATCAATTATTTAAACATTAATTAATTATTTTAATATTATTCTTAAATAATCTTATAACATTGAACCAATAACTATCAAATTAAAAGAATGATTCTTTGCAAAAAATTGGCTATTGTATCACACGATGAAATCCATATTCAGTTTGTTAGTACTCTTTACAAATGAAACAATAAAAATCGTTTAAAATCCTAGAGAAGCAGTAAATATTAACTAATTCTAAATGATTCCATCAGTTGTACATTTATAATTGCGAAATAATTATTATTCTGCAATGATATTTAGTCTTTCATTTTCAGAGACTACACACAATTGAAAATAATTTCTATTTACTTATTATTTATTTCACCAAATAATGAAAATTTCTCTTTATTTAATATTAAAAATAATTTTTCTAGCTTATATAATATTGTGCATAATCGATAATATATATATATGTATATATAACTTGCAGGGAGGTGTGGTTTGGCAATGCTCCTGTCATGTGCACGATGCAAGAAACCGATTATGGACAAATTCTTTTTAAACGTTCTAGAAAGAGCGTGGCATGCTGAGTGTGTCCGATGTTTTGACTGTGGATTAGAATTGCAGGAAAAATGCTTCTCAAGAGAATCAAAAATCTTTTGTAGAAATGACTTTTTCAGGTAAATTATTGTTTTTTATCTCTATCCTACTATTGTCTATTTCAATTCTATCTCTATAATTATCCTCTTCGTTTATCATCATTGATTCATTCCATACGTATGTATATCCATATATATATATATGTCCATATATCCATAGACATATTTAATACTGTAGAATAATACATATAATATCAGAAAATGAAGGTAAAATTCTTATGTTGATGCCGCAATAACTTGTGACGTTTTTATGATTGTTCCTCTTAACTCGTTGAGAGTTATCGTTAAATGCCAACTGGAAAGAACCCCTCATGTTGAAATGTGTGCATATGTAAGCTACGAATTTGATATATCTGTAAAAAAAAAAATATTTCAAAATTCTAGAAGTGTAAATTTGAGATAAAAATAATCATAAAATAATTATTGAGTATTTAAATAAATTATTATAACTTTATAAAAACATTACCTGATAAATTATGTAGTAATTAAAAATTATCATATATCATGTTTATATTGCTCTTAATGATAATTAACATTGTAACATAATCTTGTCAAGTTTTTAAATTTTATGACATTTCTACAGACACATGACACATACGGAGTGAGAAAAAATTTTTATTGTAATAAAAGAATGTTTTAATTAAAAAAAAAAAAACAAAAATATTAGTAATTTAAATATTTTTATGATGAATATTTAAAAAGTAATGTGAACATAAAGTTAATTTTTTTGTTTATAGGATATAAAAGAGTAAATAAAAACGTTATCATAAATACACATCATAAGTGATGATTGTTAGTGAAGCAAAAGTAGTAAAATAAATATATAAAATAATAGTAGAAAAAAATATCAAAAAATAAATCTAATTTAACTTTAGTTACAAATAAATATATAACGAATGATATGATTTAAAAAATATACTGAAAAGTGATATCTGCCAAGCCCTGTGATACTTATAACAGCAGTCAACGATAATATAACTAACGTGTTGTATACTTTACGAGGTACTTTGCATTTCAATGAAAAATTCATTAGCTCGTGAAATACTTCATAAATGTATATATATATACATATATATATAATCAACATCATCAATAGTATATATAACATAAAAATGTACATGTGCTGAAGATTGTCTACTTAAAATCGGCTACTGTATTGATGCTTATTTATCATAATCCATATGGACTATCATACAGAACATTTCCATACACATTTATTATATTTGTATCAATATTCATTTACAAAACACAGACAGATCACAGATCTAGATTTATATCACTCAATTCTTTACAAAACTTGACAATATTTATAAAATACTCTTCATTACGTTGCTTTCTGAGACGTCTTGATGATTTGAAAAACAATTCCTTTTTAGAGGTTATGTAATTTAGTGGTTATATTACATATCACAGATATTATTGTAAATTAAGGCTATATTATCCATTCAAACGATGTTATACGTATGTATTGCATGAAAAAGAGAAAAGAAGTATGTTGGAATGGTTAAAAAAAATCAAAAGAAATAAAAAATAATAAAAATATATGAGAAAACGATAACCGGTCACACAAGACGAGACTACGGTTAGCTCATAAAGCTCCACGCGACTTGAACCGCGAGAATAGTAACTCATCTTTCAGAGTATACTCTCATGTCTGTTGAAGAGAAACAAAAAAGAGTCAGATGAGAGTTTGTTTCCATACTTGCTAAAGTTGAATCAATGTGAATTCTCGGTAGATTGAAGTAGAGTGTCTAACAGACAGTTAAGATGCATAAAAGTAATATAGGATAAAAGCACATAGTTGTGTGTACACTATTTTATATGGTATACGTTCGAGACACTGAGAACGTGGAAATATAATAAATGTACCATGACGCTGACTCTTGAGAGTTCCATTGGGCGTGACGGGTACGCGGGTGAGCCGAACCGACGCCGTCTTCCTTTCCAGGAAGGTCCAGCCGTTCTCAACTGAGATTCATAATATAAGAATGACGTTTTTGCCGAACATCAGTGAAGAAAACCTATTAAACTACACTTGATTTTTTTATTTTTTTTAATCGTCACTTACTCTTGATACAGGTATACACATTATTCGCTTCTTCTTCTTTTTTTTTTCTTCATTTTTTTACAACATTTTTTATAAGTGTGATAAATTATTTTTATGTACTAACATTATTTATATATTTGTCCAGAATTTATCATGCACATTGTCCTAGATGGAAATGAATTTTTTCAAGTGTTTATCTGATGATGATTAAATTTATTGTATCTCTTATTTATTGCTATAAAGTGTTGAAAATGTTGAAAACAAAATCATTCATATATTGTATTAAATTGATTATATTTTTAGTAAAGAGAAAATTTGTCATTTTGTGATTTATAGATGTCTAAGTACAATAAGCATTTGCCTGTGGAGATGTATTAATTTTGAACGAAATTATCAGTGCATCAATAACAAACGATTGTAAATGACAGATGATACTAATGTGTCATTAATACACCTTATAGTAGCGGATTAGTGATGATTTTATGTTCGAATATCAAAATTAATTTATTTATCATGATTATTAATTGAATCCAAGTTTGAAAAATTATTTCACCAGTCTCATGTAATATTTTAGAATGATATTTTGCTAAAATTTATATTCTTGGGCATCAACAACAAAAAAAAGATGTCAAAAATATTATCTTCATTTAGTTTTTTATAAAAATTATTTAACTTATATTAATGTAAAAAAAAATGTTGACAATTTTCAGGAGATATGGAACAAAATGTAGTGGTTGTCTCCAAGGAATAAGTCCGCAAGACCTCGTGAGAAAAGCTAGAGACAAAGTTTTCCACCTGAACTGTTTCACCTGCCTCATCTGTCGAAAGCAACTGAGTACTGGTGAAGAGTTGTACGTCTTGGACGACAACAAGTTTGTCTGCAAGCAAGACTACCTGTCGGGAAAGCCCTTGCCCGATGTCCATCATGCTCACAGCCATCATGGTAAGTTATCCATCCACAGGGTATCCACGTGTAAATAATAAAACTCACGTTAAAGTCAATCTTCTCTCAAAGGATTAGAAAACGCTCCGATGATTTGTTAGAATTTTCTTATTCCTTTACTTGATACATCATTTAATCCCCATGGAACAAAAATAAAACATTACAAAACTTGTATAAAAAACATCAGAAAGTGTATTATAAATAAAAAAAAGTTTAAAATAATCATAACAATATACAAACTCTGACAACTTTATGCTTTAACGCGTTGGAATTATAAGGGTTGAAAAAGGGATATGTGGTAGCTAGTTATTCTATTTTTTTTATGTTGCTTCTGGACCCCTTTAGAATCAACTTGATTTCAAACCAAATAGGAAATTGATCGCCGACGGGTAGTAAAAGCTGTGAAAACATGATAGATATATAGGTATAATGGAGCATAATTAAGAAGTTAGGTACATTGATATGTATATAAATTTAGAGAGAAAAAATTTAAATAATATTTTTTATTACCTTATCATAAATATAATACTTGATGAATTCAATGTAAAAGCATAGATAAATACAAGAAAATTCCATGTTCCAACATCTTTTTCAGTTCCATTTTCTTTTCTCAGACTTGGATTTGAGTTTCGTGAGGTTTTGTAACCGTGAAACGAATACGAGGGTCGTTACGTTACGCAGCGGGTTCCCTTTTGTCGCAAGCCGACAGTCGACCGCAAGCAACCCGCTCGCTGTAGAGAAGCGCCTGGCCAAAGACGCCGGCCTACAACTGAACATGCTCATTATCGTTTCCATGGCTTTTCGTTGTATTTCTCATTCATTTTTCATTTATATATTATCTGTCATTATTGCTGTTTTATTTTTATTACGTAAATTTATACAATTTTTATACATGAATATTATGGATAATCGATTGATAAATTAATTTATAGAAATAAATTATTTTATATCTAAGAGATTAATGTAGAGATATGTTGTTAAAGAATTTCAAGAATAATTAATTATTTGTACAGGTGGAGATTCATTGATGGGTTCTGGTTCTGAAGATGAAGATGATGATAGTAGTAACCATCATCATCACCATCATCATCATCATGGAAGTGTTAGTGGATCACATCTAGGTCCTCATAGTCTGGGACCTGGAAGTACAGGTGACCAGAGTGTAGGACATGTTAGTGATTTACCACTAGGAAGTGATTCTTGCAAACAAGAAGATTCTGAAGATCAAGGTAAGCTTCAAAAGTCATTTTATTATTACACTAAGTAAAAAAAAATGAATTTTAACAAATAGATATACTTTATTGAAGAGAAAGATCGTCATAAAAAATATTTTTTTAACTATTCAAAATTAATTATTCCTCTATAAAGTATGTGTAATTTATTTTCAATTAATTAATTTATTAAATATATTATTGTAAAACTATCAAGTGTATATGAATTTTTTAAAAAATATACTGTGTTAATTTGACATCAAGTTTTTAACTAAAAAAACCTATACTTTTGTATAAATAATAATAATAATAATGATAGTAAAAAAAAAAAAAATTAAATATAGATGCGATTAATAATTCAAGCATATAATGTTTAAAGTACATCTTACAGCTGAGCAGTTAGTTATCCAGTTTTTTCAGTCTGTGTTATAAAGCTTCTCTAGGGAAGGGCGAAAAAATACTGACAATGGTTTTTACTCGCTTTTTTGATTGCTTTGTATACATTATAACTTTCTGTAACATGAAGGGGGTGCGAACATACGACATAAGGATGCAGCATGAGCATAGGTACTAGTAGGTGCTCTTTCTGATGGTCTTCATGATCCGTTCATCGAACCTTCACACAAGGGTATATCTTGAAAGGGTATCCAATTGTATGGTGTGACACTGTCCAAATATTTTCTTTGTCCTTTGGTTAAGCTTCCCCTTGTGGTTGAATGATGCTACAGATTATCGCGGTGTAGCCTATCCCATATAACTTTCAACTTACTTTTTGAGAGTATTATTAATACTACAACTATAGGGATACATAATAATGAATCGACCCCCATAGAACTGTCAATAGTTCGCGTCGATGGATAACAGACATATATATGTAACTAAAAGAAACAAGGGGTCAACAAAATAAGAGTATATATAAAATACAATAAGATTAGGGATCGAGTACCTGAAGCTGATATGGATAGAATGTTTGTACAGTTAATACATGATGGACCAAAGTCACTTTTCCACATCGATACACTTTTGGGGATTTTACCAGCATCATTCTTTAGAAATAAAAATCATTGCTAAAGTTTAAGTTTTAAAGTATTGATAACTGGATTATAATGTGATTATTTTATATTTTATAAAATGCTGATATTTTAATGTTAAAAAATGATATTAGGTTCTCTAGATGGTGATCCGGAAACAAGAGATAGTCAAACAGAAAATAAAAGCCCTGATGGTGGAGCTGGTGGTGGTAGTGGTGATGGTGGAGCTGGATCAAAAAGGCGAGGACCCAGAACGACGATAAAAGCTAAACAACTAGAAATATTAAAAAATGCTTTCTCAGCGACCCCTAAACCAACTCGACATATTAGAGAACAACTTGCAAAAGAGACTGGATTGCCAATGCGAGTTATACAAGTAATTATTTTTTTATTGCAATCAAGCTTTCAATAGTTTTTATTCATGTGTGGAGTAATAATAAAAATGAATGATAAATATTGATTTATAGGTTTGGTTTCAAAATAAAAGAAGTAAAGAACGTAGGTTAAAACAACTCACCACAATGGGAAGAGGACCATTTTTCACTAATTCTAGAAAAATGAGAGGTTTTCCATTGAATCTCAATCATGGTGCATTGGGTGGTGATGATGGACCACCTCCAGGTTTTCCATATTTTCCAGCTGATAAGTTTGAGTTTGGATATGGTGGTCCAGTTACCTTTCATCATGAATTCTTCGGTACTCATGGTCCTCCTCATCCACATGGACCACCATTTGGAGGTCCTGCTAATCCTGGTAAGATTTTATATTTATTATTTACTCACAAACTGTTCACCATATCACAGCATAAGAATATTTCGACATTTACTTACACTTAAAAATATTAAAAAAAAATTATTACAACAACTGTATGATTATAATTTCATAGTTATCATAACTGTTATAACAAGTATTAACCACGAATGATGACTATGTACGCATCAAATAAGATGTTACTGTTGAAACCGTTAAAAATCTATTAAAAGCACCACTGTTGGGTCTAATACACGGCGATTATCGCCATTCAGTTTTTTGTTCTTTTTCTTGAGAAGATGGTGTACAATTATGTAAATAAATACAACTTGGTCTCTACATATTTCGATAATAACATCAAGTTGAATATTGGCAGGATATTCGGCGATGAGAACTTGACAAGATATTGTCTGATCAGTTCCAAACTTGTTTGTGACAGGTCTTGACCCAGCTAGTATAGCGGGAATGGCAGCGGCAGCAGCAGTTGCAGGGGAATATCCACCACCAGGCGCCGCAGGCGGCCCGTCGGAATTTCTCACAGGACCTTCAGGCCAAGGACCTCAGCCACCGTCGGGTGGTAGCCCTGGCGAGTTCTTGACACCTACAGGTAAGTTTATACTTTTAATTATTATAATTAAGATTGCTCCATTTTTTTTTTTCGCTAAATAAATGAAAAAAATATTTGATTAAAAATTACCTTTCTATCAAAATCATTGATTAATTGTTTCTAAATCCTGATACCCTATTTTTAAATCATCCTCATCATCATAAATTGCGATGAAAAGAAAAGGAAAAGAAACATTTGTAACATTTTTGACAACCAAGTCATCTGGCGAGATAGACATAGCAAATGTTGGATGGATTCTTTCTGTTCTCAGGCGGTGGACAAGGTAATCCAGGAGGAGGTGGCAATTGTGGTGCTCCTGGAAGCGGAGGTGGTGGTGGTAGTGGTGGTTTCCCTGAGCAGCAACACCAGATGCAGAGCGAGGGTCTCGTCTGGTAGAACGAGTTTACGTTTAATTTATCTTTTATATATATACATATTAATCCATCCGAACTCGATAATGTGGAATCGGTAATGAGAGCGAGTATTACAAATAAATATCACAAATATTAACATATTTTGAAACGAATTCCAACAAAATAAAATAAATACCGGACGAATGAATAATGATTTATTAAAGATTTTAATATAAAATAATTCAAGTACAGGCAATTACGTGATGTTCTTTTTGTTTTCATATTCATTTTATTATCATTTTTTGATTGATAGAAATGATTTGATTAGTGCTGAATTTATTATTATTATTATTATTAATATTATTATTATTATTTTTTTTTTTTTTTAACTACAATAGTAACTATAAAAATCGTGCAGATAGTTGAAGTTTATAATTATAACGATTATTATTATTAAACAATTAATAATTTTATTGTCATGAGACAATATTTTGCAATATATTTTTATTATAATAATTATTATGATTATTTTTATGAATATCATTATTATTGAAATCGTGTACAAAATTGGAGAAATTTGCGATCGTGTGATATGTATTCCTTGTTGATTATAATTAAACGTTATCTATCATGAAATTCTGTAGATAAAGCTTTTTTTTACAGTGCAATAATTAAAGTTGCACTTGGGAACAAAATAAAATAATAAGAAAAATAATTATTAATTAGTGTTGATGCTAAAAATGAATTAATTCCTTACTTAAATGCCCATCATCTTTATGTACAGTAAATCGTGATGCTTTTATTCAATACTACAATTACAAGTATAGTAATAAAAATAAAAAATTTATTTAGAAAATTTAAAAAAAAAAAAAAAAATTGTAAAGCTCTGAAATATTAATTTTTTTAAGTTAAATTAATAATTTTTATTGCTATACTTGTAATAATAATTTATTAAAAAAAAAAAAACCTTTTTCGTGATAAACAAATGCGATTGATTAAAAATAAGATTAAACATATGAGCAATTATCTATTAATTGTCTTTATAAATATGAACATAAATATATAAAACATAGAAATAATAATTGGATATTTGATTGATAAAAAAAAAAACAAAATGAATCCAATATCAATGTAAATATATACATATATGACATTATTATGCTGATAAATGCGTAAATATACGTGTTGAAAAATATTAATAAGTGATGGTAGCAAAAGAATAAAAAAAAGTATGAATATAATTAATTATAAAAGAGTAAAAATAATGTTGAAAATAAGTATCTTTAATTCGTCTGTAAGTATCAAAAATGTACAGATATAGAGCATCATATATGCATTATCTTGCTATTAATAATACATTACAACTATAAATATGATACAATAAACCACCCTGTATTTCCGTAGTTTTTTTGTTGTTATTTTACTATTTAATTCGCCTCAACTTATTTCATCATCATCATCATCATTACTTCATGTTAAAAATACAGAGATAAAATTTTTGTTTTAAAAGAAAAGAAATTTTTGATTTTTAAAAAATCATTTCAAAGTTAATTACATTTATCTGTAATGAAATTTTCATAGTTTTATTGGTGTTACTATTATTATTTTTCTTTCTACTTCATTACTATTGAATTGGAAGAAAAAAAATCCCGTCTAAAGTCTGAGCATTTTGTGTGCTATAACAGAGTTACAATTGGTCTATGTGCCTATAACCATCAGGGGCTTCAGTTACGGACATCTGGTGAATTCGATTTTGATGTGTTTCTGCCGGAGGGTGCAGTTTAGTTTCTCTGTCATGTTGGATATGTATCATGCAGGAGGAAGAAAAATTGAGTAGTTACATATCTTGACCAAATTCCCAATAGATTGGTGAGAAATGACAAGACTCACGTCATGTTGATTTGTGTTCTATTTTACACTTATTTACTTCAATTCTTGAATTTCAGAATAATTTTACCACAATCTCCTTTCCAATCACAGAATAAAATAACAAATAATTCTGATCCAACTAACAGAAGATATTGTTACTGGTTTATTTATTGTAGAGTATCTTTTTTTTGTTTCTTTTGTAAAAGTTGGGATTCAGCAGAAGACAAAATCTATCAAAGTAGGACGACAGATGCGAACCCGCCTTCGCTCACTTGGAGAGCACCAGCAAGAGTTAGATTCTCTTGGGAGTCTTACCAGGACAAACCGTCCCTAGGGGTGTGTATAGCATACTTCAAAGCCCCACCAGTTTCACAACGACGAGATCTTGCAAACCCTCGTTTATATTAGAATCGAAAGGAGTTCAAGTGGATTCCCCAATCCTTTTGGGAATGAAAGATTATTTTTAAACACTGCCAGTAAGCTTTAAATAAATGATTAATTAAGCTTAAAAAAAATATCTATATTCATGAGCTGAAGATGATGATACTTTAGGCTAAATTTTGATAATGAAAATATTGCAATCCTGAGATAATATCTGTGCTTGTGATAGGCAGATAAAGAGAAGGGCTTCGTTCTATATAAAAAGAAAAAAAAAAAAAAAGCATAAAGAGGGTAAATTTTCATCGAAAGAAGCCGACCCCAGGGGGTAACTATTATGAAGGGCGAACGTGTCATGGTCCAACGCGCTTGAAACTCACGTGTCTCTACACGTGTCCGGCAGCTCTAAGCGTGCTTTAGCTCCGACGGCAAGTCACCCTTTAAAATGTCACATATACCTTGCATTGCTTTTATGCTTCCTATTACTTATTATACATACTTGAAACCCGACAAATCACGCCTTGTTTAACCATTCTCTTATTTCATCATTTTTAAACTGTCTCCATTTTTCAATCGTTCCATCCCACGTTTTTAATTAATAAATGTCATAATAATTATTATGTTGACGGTTTTTTTTTTTTATTCTCTTTTAAATGTCATATTCATCAGTCAATATGTTGTGGATTTTAATATCCTTGTCAACTACTAGTTGAAGACAACTGCAGTTGAATTGAATAAGACAATAAAGTTAAACTGGCTCTGGTATTTCATCATGAGTCTTAAGATAATCCAAAATCCGGATTATCGGTTGTTTTAGACCAACTGGTTCTCTATATTTCACATGTTGAAAACACACTCCTGTGGCTCTTAATATTCGAACTTCCTAAGACAGTCTTTTTTTTTTTATGATTAAATATTTACTAAGTATTACATACTTAGAGGTTATATTTTATTCTGCTTCAAAAATATTCTTTATTATTTTTTGTTTTCTTAGCAAATTATTCATGATCTTGATGATCAATTGATTGTCCATGTTATAAAGCATGTTGCTGATGTTATTTGTCCTTGTATTTAATCGTTGTTCCGTGTTGACATTTTTTGCGTGAATATTTGTCGTTAGAAGAGGTTTTTACTCAAATCAAGTCGAGTGTATCGCGTGTTTGTGTGACGCCACTATGAGAGGAAAATATGTGTAGGGAATCGCGCGACTTGAGTTTAGGGACGTGGTCCATGGGGTGGTTTATGAGGGTGTACTGAGCATTGTTGTATAAATAGGTTTGGTAAGTTAGGGGTTGTCGAGTTATCCTAAGGGAACTGCACATGTCCGCATCGATTATACCTCCCTCCCTTTTATTTTTTGTGCCTTCAGTTTTCTTCTTATTTTTTATCTTTCCATCCTACTTTCTGTTTTTGTTACTCAATATTTTACATTATATCTAACTTTATTGAACTTTATACTTTTTATCTCAAATTTATTCTGCATCTGTTTCTCTTTTTTAACAGCAATATGTTCTTTTGTGTTTTACAATATTTAATCTATTTATTTAGGTTAGTTTTAGTTGTAGAATTGAAGAAAATTATTTATAATTGGTTTACTTACTTTACCCTTTTTTTATACTGAAAATTTATAAAAATTCAAGCGTTTACAACGTTAAACAGCACAAACAAACTATAGTATTTTTTCAAGCACTTAGAAATGTTTAAAATGTGTCAACAAACACGTCATATAGTCGAAACACTGAAAGAGTAAAATTGGAGGTTATACAGGGAAATTATTTTGGCGCATGCGCACAAATTATTTCTAAACTGGTTCACAACTTAAAATAATTAATTTTCTGTATTAAATAATTGCCTGTATGATAATTTTTGATAAATAATAGTTTAAAATAACTTGAAATAATATATGATAAATGTAAAAAAACATAATAACTTGAAATGAATAACTTCGTATAACCTCAAATTCTACTCTTCCAGTGTTTTGACTATAGTTTGGTTATGGTATTTAAGAATAACCTATAAAAATAAACTTTGTATTATAAAATGTTTCTCGAATGAAAGACAATAACTAAAAGAAACCCAATTCGTTGTTTTTTAAAAATAAATTTGACTATTTAGTTGAGTAGTAATAAATGTTAAGTTTAAAGTGAGGTTAAACGATGAATCTAGTGGTATAAATAAATTCAAATATTTTGTAAATAAAGTCATTATAAAATTTACAACTTCTTAAAAATAAATTTGAATTATCAGATTTTATTCAAAAATAATTATTATCATTCTTCTTAAAATTTAACATCAACAATTTTACCATAGTTTCCAAACACTTGGATTTGCAGTGTAGGTTATAGTTTCATTAAGTGAAATAAGATGCACTTTTTAGATATTTTGTTTAATAAATTCGTATACAATCTTGGCACAAGTTATTAACTCAACTTATAAACCACTTTGCAACCTACTTTTCCTCATCTTCTCTGCAAATGCTTTAACGGTAAATAAAATAACTGGTAATTTTTTTTTATCATTTCTCATTCAATCATTCTACCAGTTATGAAAAATTACTCAGTCATATCCAATAATATGATTTTTTTCTGTCATTTTAGGATCTGTTGATTAGCAATAAATGATGGGAAAGAGAAAAAAAGTAGCACTTGAGAGAGTGAGAGTCAAGTGACTTTTGTTACAATTATATTAATGGTCTACATGACTGATGAACAAACCTACCCTTTTGCATTGACATTAAACTTGTTTTCATTCCCTTCATTTCTTGATGTCACTTCTCTCTTACTCTTCCATGCAATCACAGCTGGACGTACAACGGTTTACCCTCGAATGCGTCTCTTTTCGTATCGCCTACACCACACCCTCGATCATCCCAAAATGTTCAAGTATATAAACTGGTACATTGTGTACAATTTTATGCGCGGCATGCGTGCGTCATTAACTGTGTAAGGGGATAAAACATGAATTAGCTTTAATGTTCCCGTAGATAATTTTCAGCCTAGTGGCTCAATTGGAATCAGCACAAAGAATAGGAATACCTGTTCAATAGTTGGACATAAAATGATCAAATGAAAATTCTTTTTATTTATAATTAAAATTAGAATAAAGGTAAATAAATAAATGAAAAGTAGTTTATGTTATATATAAATGTAAATCGCGTGTTTGTGGTTACAAATATCAAAGTGACAGCTCGCGTGTCAAGCAAATCTGGACATGCTGCATGATCCTTTGAAATCAGGTACAACGAGGGTGGCAAAAGCGTGCAAGTCGTAAAGATATGCATGAGACGTCAGCACATTCAAGCATACAAACGATAAGATCCGCCCACCATCTGTCCTCTCTTTGTAACTATTTTGCCAACCCCTACTGATCAACATTACACCCTGGTGTGAGTAGATATTCAACTTTATTGAGAAATTGCTGCACTAGAGTCTGTAATATTTTTTTTCTTTCTGTTACAGCTGTTATCAAAATTATTTCTTTTAGTAAAAGTAATTAATTTGATGAACAAAAGCTATGTATGAAGTAAATCATATTCATTCATTGATCATCCACCATTGAGAATTTGAAGGAGAAATAGCAAAACAGGTGTTGGAGAAAAAAGTGGGTGTGCTATGTTGAATTGACTCTTGGGGATACCGTGTAAGGGTGAATATCATATCGCTATTTTATAGAACACATTATGGTAACGTTGCGTATAGGCATTGAAGGTACAAGGGTGGAATTCTAATTAGGTGACTAGGGTTACATAGGTCATTCTAGTGGAGGGTGGTATTGTTGTATACAAGTCCTAGAACTGGTATTACTGGTACCCAACATAAATTAACTTTCTTCCACAAAAATTTATGGATTATCATTTTTTTTTTTCTTATATTCATCGATCAAGAATTTTTTTGCTTTATCAAGTATCGTACGACTTGCATTTAAAAGAATTTATTAATTTAATAATAGTTGTGGTTGAAGAAATTGAATAAAACATCAAGATCCTAAACACATGTACACACACAGCAGTACAAGAAAATTCTTCTCAAAACAGATCACCAATAAATCACCAAAAATTTTGCCGTCAGTTACTAGAATTTGAAAAAAAAAAAAAAAAATGTAACATGCAATTATTTTATTCTCGATAACAATCATCGACAAGGTAAAAAAAATTTCCTCTATGTATCCTACATAAATAAACTCCTTTTAAACGTTTTTGTTATTTTTATTTTACACTCTCTTCTTTCAGCTTCACCATCTCTTTGGCTAATTTTTAAAGGTACACTTAGCTGTGGTGTAAAGATCCGTCGAGAATCGCACAAAACTCCCACAGTCTCCAAGGTTGTGCACGTCTGCATCAACTTGTGTACATATGTTCAGAGGAATCAAACTAAAAGAGAGAGAGAGAGAGAGAGAAAAAAATAAAAATATTATATACATCAACATAAACCAAGAAATGATAATGATGATGATGGTGATAATTTTTTGAAAATAATCATCAAGAAAGTCTAGATGGAAGCTGATGAACATTCAAAGAATTTTCTCAATATACAATATAAAACAGTTATATTTGTGGTACAGTTGTAAAGGCAAGATATTGCATCGTACGGAAATTCCAAGCTGAAAGAAGAGAAAGGAAAGGGTGATAGAGAGTGGCATGAGCTAGCGAAAGGGGGTCTCAACTGACCCCGTGGCCTGGCACGTACACGATCCGTAGACTGCTGAGACTGACTCCCGTATACTCTCCAGCCTCTTTGCCAGAAGGTAACCCTGGCTGTGAGCAAAAGGCCTCAACACAGGTCCACCTCTTGAAACCTATACTTATCTTACTTTTCCTCATTCTTCTATCTTCTCCGTTGAATTCTCATACTCTTGCCAATACTATCACTCGAATCGACACACAACCAATACATACTGATATACCATCACATCACTCAATACAACACCAGTGCAATCAGGATACCCAAACCAACTTGTAGTCAACGTCACCATATACTTATTGACCGTGGCCAAGCTGCCCGCGCACAGGGTGTGTTATTATTATCGGACATTATCTATAATTCTCGAGCGGCCAGGAAGCCTACTTAGAAATTGTGATAGCCCCCGTGATTAACCCCTACTCCTTCTTCTACCTCCTCTACATCTTATACGTCTGGTTTTATATATAAATAACGAATTTCAAATCAACTTGCAAGAGAAACTTTACTCAAGCTGTCCAGAATGTCATTTCAAGCTAATACCAATCAGTGATTATTGATATTTAATATTATTTCAAGAAGAGTTATTGAAAAAGATGACCAAAGTCTTGTTGACCTGTTGAAGAAGTTATATGAAATCTTAAGCTTCACACCAACTTACACAACACCCCCGTCAAGCCTCAAGGCATAACAGTAGGCATATGGGCAGCCCTAAGATGCTACTTTGGTAATGGTTAAACGATTATAACTGAAAAAGCCGGAAACCACTTATGCACCATTTAGCCAGTTATATACCATATAGTTATGACTATAAGCCTCAGGCTCCAGAGAGTCGCACCACACCCACCAAGGCCACTACAGCACAACTACATCACCATCAAGATTATCCAAAATACTTTGCCAAGAATCAAACTTTCTTTTATTTAAATCATTTTATCATCAATATTTCCAATCAACTAGTAACTTGGTAAATACAGTCATATTGGTATGTTGGTATTAAATGGTGATAACAATGTGAAAAGTGTTACTTAAATATAGAGTACATCTTGATGATACTTGGTCCTGCCGTAAGCAATGTTCTAAAATCTTGGAAGGTGCTACTGTGCGTGACGAAAGAAGGCGTGTCACTACAGTTTTAAATTTAAATCTTATTCATTCATTTAATATATCCCTTCTGGATTTATTTTTTTTTACATAATTGTTTATTGAAAATTAAAAAAATAAACCTTATGATTATATAATCACAATCATTGATTCTAATAATTGACTTGGACACAGATGGGTCTTTTAAATGTATCTTGAATAGAAATTTCTGCATCAGTTAGTAGCCATGGTGGATTGATGAAATGTTTGGAAAAGAAATCATTTAAAACAAGTTGACCACCCTGAAGATCAATGAGTGTAATGTGTCAAAAGATGACAAGTGCATGATATTTTAAATATTTTGATATATATTATTTAGATAAATATCTGACACTTATACCTCCTGCAGTTCAAGAATCTTACGGTGATCAATGAAGTCACCTGAACTGAATGGGACATTTTTAACTAATTCATATATCTCATTCACTTATGTATCATTGGTTTAGTGTGAGTGTCTGCTGGGATATGTCAATGCGCTGATATCTCGTGGCTTAGAATAGACTTTGAAAATATCATTTTTTTCTTTGTGTGACGAAAGAAGGCGTGTCATGTGAAAAAAATCTTGTGAATCATATATTATTATCATCATGATTATAATTATTTATATTATAAACCAAAAGTGACATTTTATTTTGAGGATATAATAAGAAAATTGATGACAAGAATAACAAAACATCATGATATTTGTTTTCAATATCTATTTTGATATTTAACCAGTAATATTCACTACCGGAAAATAATTTTTCTTGATTGATGTTTTATTTATTGGTCAGAATTAGACTATAACATTAACTTCATAACCTCCAACATATCATCAATGTATTGTGTCTACATCTTACCAATATATTTCAACTAAAATTTCGATTTAGGACTTGAGAAATCATTAAGAAAAAATTTCCTCTGAACTGATTTGTATTTTTAAAAATGATTGAAACTTTATAAAGTTAATCCTTATACTGATTTACAGTTCAGAACTCTATACGTATAATATACCAAGTCCATTATGAAAAAATTGCATAGTCACAAAATAATAATATGTTTAGAGAGTATCTATTATTAACAAAAATAGCATGAGTTGTATCAAGTGTGGTGTAAGTAAGCTAAACGAATTACTCTCGTGGAGTAATTGAGTTAATCCATGAAATTTAGAATTAGATACACGATGACTTGACTACATTCAGCGGCAAGAGAAAAGGAAGAAGGAGAGGAGGTGGAAAAAAAATGAAGAATAAAGAGAGAGAGAGATCTAACCCCATAGCAGAAAATTATCGACATGGTGAATGTCGAAAACACGCGAGCCTCGCGGGTACCCACGTGGAAACGTCATCGGCAGCTGGGATCTTGCGGGGTGTCTCGATGAAGGGGTAAAGGAGGGAACACGAGAAGCAAGGGGACATTGAATGGCATAGTTGTGTTGCATTATGGTAGTAGTTACAGACAAACTAAATAATATATACAAGCATGTATAACTACATAATATGTGTGGATCGTTGTTGTATACTACATTGGAAGCTGAAAGTGTAGGAGGGGTTGTCAAGTATTTCTGGGGATACAGAACTCGGTTGGTTCAGGGTGGCTAGTTCCATCGTTTGCGCCCCTAAGCCGCCTCAGGCGCAACCACCAAACCCTGCAGAGCTTATTTCACGAACGACCGATCACCCTCATCTTTACTCCATTCTCTCTTTCTCTGTTATATATTTTCGCTGTCTTTCTTTTATTTTGCTCACAAAACACCAGTGTGGCTGATGATAAAAAAAAAGCTTCTTAATTTTGTTATTATTTCATTCTTGAAAATAAAATATCATAAAACAATAACAATATTTCCATCACATACCCAAAGCCAACATTACACAATTCACTTGCCTGCTGAATTAGACTGCTTTTTAGTTCATCATCCAACAATATACTCCTCTACATTCTTCATGAGTATAAATATTTTTATAATTACCTTTCCTCCAAACGTTTCCACCAATTCCTCTTTCACTTCACCTTTGTAAAGTTCATTTGCCAACTTCCTTTTCAATATCACCGACCTGAAAGAATTTTAGAAAATATTAAAAGTCTGTAAACTAGTTGTTAGAAATATTTGAAAAGTTAACTAAGAACTAGAGAGAATGAGATGAGGAGGTCGTTGAATGATAGATTCGACGCCCTTTTCACAAAATTCAAGAGAGCAGAGGTGATATATATATACATTATACTCCAAAGCAGAGGGGACTTTGTTATCTGCAGAGTCCCAGGCTGACATTGGGCTCACCCTTCGGGAATAACGGGGAGATAAGCAGCGTCCTCCCTTCCCGGACCACCGCTAGCGCACGTCATCCCCGTAGAAATGCAAAGAGATCTTGATACGGGCTACCAGGACTCGAAACGTTCTAACAGTCTAGCTAGTATAAGCAGATATGCTATATACCGTTTGCTGCTCAAGTCTGTGTCCCCGTGGGACAAACTCCCTCGTAACTTATGAGTCAGATTTATCTACACCCTGGTGACTGATCACCCTCAACCACCCTACCTTCAGCCTCCCTTTTTCTTTATACTCATCGATGACATTCTCCAGTTAAACTCTGAGGGCTTCACTCTGATAATAATACAATTTATATACTTTGTTCTGACAATTTATACATGGATATGTCGCTAATAAATTCTCATTCGTGCATCGTTTAATATATAAAAGAAAATAACATGAAAATTTGTCTTGATTTCAGCAAAATGATAGAAGCTACTTTTTTTTTATTGGAAATATAAATTACTATTTAATAGCAATAACCAAGTGGTTTGATTTTATTTTTGCACAAATAAGGGTTCTATGTTAGAGATTATCTATCAAGTCACTCTTTATTTATTAGGTTAGGAACAATTATAAACAATAAATTAGAAAAAATTATGAAACAAAATAAAAAAAAAAGTACTGTCTAAAAATGAATCAATGAATATTCACTATTTAGAGTGATAATAATAAGACTAATTCAAATAATTATACTTTGATAATAGCAAATGTGTATTGAGTGTATTTAATGTTAACCTTACAATCCATGATTTTTTAAAAATCTGATTAGGGTCTAGATTGTTTTTAATATATTAGTATTTAATAATATTAGTCATTATTATACCAGTCTAGACCTGTTTTTAATATTATCAGTTGCACCATACATATCACTAGATGTATTGTAAGGTTAGAATTTTATATCCAAGCTGTTGCATTATATAGTCACGTTTGACACCCTTTAAATTGTATTAAATTTTATAATATTAATATTGAACATACCCTATGTAAATTATTTGAACACATTCTGAAGATCTTGGATCGTAATATAATAAATGTGATGTTGAAAATAATGAGTTAGGCATAGTGCATGTTATCAGGATGGCTTGGTTGAATCCATCAGCTTCTAGATGTTGAATCGACTGACAAGGTCTGCTGGTTTGAATTTTTTAATCTTCTTAAAATTGAGTCCTCATTGAACAGGTCAACGGTAGCACATTGGATAATATCTAGATGAGACAAAATTTATGCAATTAGTTACCAATAAAATAAATTCAAACTATTCTTAGAATTTTCATGGACATTGATATATTTAATAGATGAGCTGAATAACGAATATAAATTGGCTTGATGTACATTTGAATTTCGGTTAATCAAGTGTGACTGTCTGCTGGCCATCAAAATACATATAACGTAGGGTAAATTTACGAAGCCACCAAATGTCCTGATGAATACAACAGACAGGTGGTACAGGCAAACCTTAACCGCAACAATACCATCACCAGCGGAAGAATACATTTTTGTTGTTTCTAATAAAATAATTATAATTTTTATAAACATATAAAGAAATTAATTCATGCTAATTTAAGGTTTAAGAACAGATGCTATCAAGAAATAGAGAGAAGAAAAAATAAAATAGATGTAAAATTGTGTCGATATTAAATCAATAGTTTTTGATAGATTTTAAAAAAGAAATACCATACATTATTGTAAATGATATTTAACCGTAAAATCATCAACTGTTACTGAAACTATCCGATCACCAGATGACGCAGCCCATGACCTAGGAAATCTTTCGAAAGAGCCTAAATTCACTAATTCCGTTTTATAAACGTACATGCCAGTACCATGCAGTTTGAAAAATGAATTTCGGTCAGATCTTTACGGTCATTATAACCATTATTTTCAATGCATTGATTCCATTCTTTTATGAAGCAACTTTCAGATATATCTCAAACTATGTTCATTCATTGACTCTTACAACCATGATTATTATTAACAAAAAATCGAAGATGATCTTGATAGAACAGTTAAAATTTAAAAATCAGTTTAGATGTTAAGAATGACGTCAACAAAGCAAGAATGGGATCTCTGCGATGACTAGTGATGTTTTCGGAGCAGCGGTGAAACTTGAAGGACTCGGCTTGAGGGCTAGAAACACTCGCGGGCCCCTAATTATCACTCCGGGGGTTCCCCTGTCGGACGCGGAGACCCTCTGTCCGCTACAAAACTGCTCAGCAGGAGTCCAGTGTGAAGCCCCTTAACCCTGCCGACCCATCAAAACTTGAATGCTCCAACTCCGTCAACCTACATAATATACCACCTTTAATTCCTTCTTTTTTTTTCGCAATGACCAAGATAACATTTATCATTGAATTGCGTTTATTATTAATATTTATTTTATTAAATAATAATTCACTAGAAGAAGAATAGTCGTTTCCTACTTGCTCCAAAGATCCAAATAAAAATGAGATGAAGAGGAAATAGTTGATAAAATATTACTGTATATTCATATGATCAATAATATCATTAATTATAGCTTCCCAAAGTAATAGACATATGATTCAAGTCTTTTGATGAGTCGAGGGCTGATGAAAGTGTCAGACATATCCAATAGAGAAGGTACTGGACAATGTTTGCAGGCACTTCCTACAAGCACGCACCCCCAACGATCAAGGGGTCGGTTGATCGGTTGATGTTTTGTCTCGTAGGGAGCACACCTCGAGTTCCCACGTGCTGCTAAACCATCGCGTGTTCACCTATACGTTCTATGCCCTTACACCCGTCACTCGAGAAGCAATGGGATTAGTCAAGGGAGTGGCAGCCAGACTTGGAGCTGCGCAACACCACCAGCCTCAACCACTATAACGCCACGAGAAAGACAGCTCAGGGAAAAAAGCGCGCGCAACCATCTCATTCTCGTGAATATATTATTCAAGCTATTCTATCAATTTATCTATAATTGCACACATCATCAAATTTACATTACATTTTATAAAAACTTTCTTTTTCTATTTTTTAATCTTCAATAAAAAGAATTTTTTGTCATTTTTTATTTTTGATTGAAGAAAAAAAAAATAATTACTGTTGTGATTCAATCAAGATATACCTCGTTATTATATATTTTAGTCAAAACCGGAAGTTTGCAATTTCAGGGGGGTTTTTTTTTTTTGTGGAACGATCGTCTATCATGCAAAAGTCAATCTAACATGTTTATCTGTAATAATACTCATTTTATATAATTTAACATCTACACAGGTAATTTTCGTTTAAAATCACGATCAGTTCATGTATTGACAGCACATCAAGTTTACACGTTTTTTTTTTTTTTTAAATTTTTTGTTGATAAATACGAAAAATGTTATGAAAAATAACTTTACAAGAACACTAATGGCAATCTATGATGTCTATTTTAGCAATATTAATCGAATTGTATATGACGTTAGCCTCATGCTTTTCATTACATACATATATGGGAACAAATTCGATTCACAACTACAATGTCAATGTACACATAGTGGTTGCACGTGCTTACGCGTGTAGAGTACGCCTGATCCATTATCCAAGTGTCACAAGCACACACGTCCAGCTTTAATGCACTCACTATTTTTGATAAAATACTAAATCAGAATATTTTCCACTTCAAATTTGTTTATTACTCTAACAAATTATTTGACATAAACATTTTCTTATGTCATCCTGAATACTTTCATCTTTTTACAGAATAGTATTTATTCTCTTAAACGGAATCAGTAAAAACTATTGTGAATCAGTGAATATTCACTGATTCGTTTAAGAGAGTATTTTCATCAAGAATAATTGGTCAATCATGAGACTTCGATTTGTCGTATTGCACAAGTGACTAAAAAATTTTGAGTAGAATCGCATATTACATTTCGCTTAACTTTTCCTTTTTTTTTTGTTGTTTTTCTATTCGCATAGAACCGCGCGAGGGGCCAAAAGCCTTGTCGACCGCGGGACTTTAATGAACCAATTTAAATGCATGCGATGATCAGTTGGCCTTCCAATCCTCTTCTTTTTCTTTTTCCACAGGATAGATGGCAAGGATTGCCTCCCTACAAGTCCTGTACTATGTATATAATCAGTAAATATTGTAATGCACTTTCTATACGTATGTCTGTACATAGTTGCTTTTATCAAGATGTATATTCATACATCTATACACCAAGAGATATACATTTGAAAAAATTGGTGAACAATCATGAGTAATGTTATCATTTTGTATAACTGTTTTATCATGAAATAGTTGATCATATAACATCATTAGCTAGGATCTCCAAAAAGAAGCTAGGATTTATGAATTTCCAAGTTGTCTGTTTGTTCATTACATATAAATAATATATGTGAAAAATATATTTCGATGCGTGTATAGTCACGTCATATGGAAAAATTTACTGAGCAGCCACTAAATATCTCAGGTATATTCAACAATTATTTATTCCTCAGTGCGTATCTACCTGTTATAAAAGTAATTTTTCCTTTTTTTTTTTTTTTAACTTCTTTAGAGCTAAAGGAGTCCCGCATCCGTGCAACAGCTTGACTTTAAAAGAAAAGGTATAAGATGAGAATAGGGCGTTCCCACTCGAGTTATTAATGGCTTTGACTTTGTTGCTATGGATATCCATAATTCTTCAGTCGGTGCGAAAGAAGGTAAGAGATAAAAATTGACCGCCTGCCACATGAAATCATTGCAAGAAAAATCAAACATCATTTTCTAATTCTCCTTTCTTTCCTCATTCAGATCAACATGACACAACTTAGGATTAGTACCACATCAACTATCACATACTACACTTGACTTACTTATATTATACTTCAATCTGGAGATTAATATTATTTTATAGTAGCGTAAAAGACTAGTAATTTTTGCTTATAATGCAAAAAAAAAAAAAGAAGAATGATGGAAAAAAGTAAAGAATTGAACATCACCAGCGGGAAGTCAAGACTTAAAACCCTGCAGGGGGTCTACTTTTTTTTGTTCGAAAAACTATTGTTCTCTCTTTTTCATGATATGTGTATGCATGTATTTTATATGTATGTGAAAGTGTTTATATACATCTAACCCATTCACTTTTGCGATTTTACTTCACCTCGAGGTTCATTTCGAAGCGAGACAAATGAGTGGTATCCATCTGTGTCTGTTAAGTTGTCTGTTAACTTGCCTGTAACTTTTGAGATGTGGCTACGAAAGCTATTCTGCATATTTTAATTTTGTTCTACTTATATTTTACTCTTTATCACGGTGTTATCAATTTATTTAGATCATTTTATTTTGATAAAAAATGAAATATTTCATTGTTGATGATGAAATTTATTCTTTTAACTTTTAGATGAATTTATATTTACCTAGAAACACATAAATAAAGTATAAATTATAAGACTGAGCAAAAAGATATGACAATAAATATATATATATACATACCTTTGATGGTGGCACGTGTATAGATACTAAATATCTTGAGTCGTCACCCTGAAAAGTGAAACGGGTGTCAAGATAGACTTGGAGATTAAAATCTAAAACTGTTGTACGGGTGTGACTCGTCGCTCTACCTCGCCGATTCTTGTCTCAAAAATTTAAGGGACATGCTTCTGAAAAAGAGAAAGCCAAATGAAAGATAGACAAATGGATATCATTTATTTTACATAAATTTATCACCAAATATTTTTTTTTTAATAACAACAATACTGTAGGTAAACAAATAAAATACTCATAATACCATGAATATAATATTAATAAATCATGTTAATTTTTATCTAAAGATTAGAGATTTTTTAATGCTATGATTTGTTAAGCAATTGTTATCAATTTCATCCTAACCTAATCTCCCATATTTTTTCAAACAAAAGTTTATTGAATTCGTAAAAAAGTATTTAACATTTTCCTTCAGGTTATAATCAGTCTCCAAAATCTTCTATGAGTTGATTACAAGTTACTCCAACTTTTTATCAGCAAAATACATCATTTATAAGTTTCTCTAAAGTTCAATGACAGCAAAGAGATCATGCACTTTTTTTTTAAAATCACTTCAACAAATAATTTGTATTTGTAAATATAATTTCCAGAGCATATTATAACAATAATTCACAATGGTAATATGAAAAATTCATCAATAAAGCATGAGAAAGTGATAAAATAATAGAGTGCATAGTAAAAAAAAGTGTTATTTCTCAGGAGAGATTTTTTTAGGTTAAACCAAAAAGGAAAAAAGAGAATAAGATGGTTCCGATGAGTAAAGGGGGTTTGTCCAGCAGTAGTAGCAGCTGAGACGGTAGGACGATTTCTTGTGTGAGAGGCCTGCCTCCCTTCTTCTTTTCTCTTGTCTCTTCTTTTATTCCATTCTATTCTTAAATCGTTCAAAGATAGCTCCCTACCGATCTCGTCGTGGCCGACTCGTGAGCTTCTCATTTAGTAGTGGGCTCTTGACGCCAAACCAAAGGCGAGGCAAACGAAACGAAACCAACTCTCTGGCATTCGCTTCTCTTATTCGCTTTTCTGCTCCACCCTTCACTCCTACTTCTTTCCCTCTTTCTCCTCTTTCTCCTCTACAGCTCTTTCAACCGACTCCCGTACATTTCACTTGTCTCTGTCTCACCTCACACTATTCTCCTGTCTCTCACTTCCTCTCACTTGGTTGTGGCCGCGTGTAACGGATCACTCTGTCTTACTCTAATTCTATCTCGCGACCACCCGCTCTCTCTCACTCGAACAACCTATCAACTCGGTGGGTAGACGTCAGGTCCCGGACGCCTGATTCTCTCATCCCATCGACCCACGTTCTTACACCGATACGGCCCGTAGCGATCTCGCTGTGGTCGTGGCCGCAATACACGCGAGATCCACACTCGGACTAGCATGCAACGGGTGTACAACATGTAAATATCTCCATCACTACATTTTACAATTATTCATCTATTTTATTTATTTATGCATCAACTACACTCTCCAATCATTATTTTCCTCCCTCATTTTCACCATTTTTTACCAAAAAAAAAAGAAAAAATCCTCCATTTTCTCTCCAATTATTTGCTAATCAATCAAATTCCAACTTGATATCAATAATAATGTAACATTTTTAATGAATGATAAATAAATTTTCATTTTTTTTTAGGTTAAAAAATTACGAATTGATTGTTAAAATAATTATTTATAATATTTCTGATTACAAATGAGTTTATCTTGATTCGTCAGAGTATGCATTAATCGAGTGCATAAATATCTATGTAAAGAGAGAGAGAGAAAGATCATTTTCATCACTGTGATTGAAATATTATCATAATAACATCTATAATAATGGCGGATGTTTAGAAAATTATTTTAAAATCATAGAATTACGGATAAGCAAAATACTTCTTTTAGTTTATTATGTTTATTAATGTGAAGATTATATGAGAATTATAGAAAAAAAGATCTTATTTTCAACAGAGAGATTAATTTTTAAAATCAAAGAAAAAATATCTCCACCATGGAATGAAAAATGATAATAAATTTCAATTCAATAATTATTAATTAATATTTATGGCTCTTAATTACATTTTTATAATAAAATTTAAGCTATAATTAATTATTATTATTATTACTATTATTGCCATCAATAAATGTTATGCAATATTTTATTGCAAATAGTGAGGTTAGGTGAAATATTTTTCAAAACATTCAGAAAATATCCGTTAAAAGATGTGATTTTATGTATTATTATTTAATATTGTAAAATATAGAGAAATGAGACTTACATGTTTAGTAAAACTAATTTTAAATGTTTATTAAAGATAAACAAATGATGACAGATTTAGAAAGATGTCTGATCAAGACTAGTCTCAGTCAAATACTAAACTTAAATAAATTGATCAAGTATTGCTAATAACAAAATCAATCATTTGTCAATTAACACATAGATGGAGATATATATTTATTTTATAACATTTTATTAATTGTAAACAATTAAATAGGTTCAACAGCATGAATCAAATCAGAGCCGAAGGTATAAAGCAAGATTTAAAAGTAAAAGAAAAACTTAATACACAATTAACATTTAGCCTAATAATATATTAAATTAAATAATAAATTCTTATATTTACTGAAAATTTTCTTACCTCTGTGCAGAATTAAACAAAAGAAGATAAATCAAACGAATGATCTGACGATGAAAGTAAGAAGCAAAATTAGCAGGAGTAATTTAGTAGAAAAGACCTAATAATAATAAAACATCTGTAAAAAACAAAAAAAAAATCAATGAATAAATGAGCACATGTATTATTATAATTGTAAGTTATTTAAAAGAAGCTGCTTTGACCTTTTTTTATTTCTTGGCTCTTACGTCCGAGTCGATTTGATTTATTGACGCGGTCAAGATGAACAGTCAACGTCAGTATGGAAGCGATAATGGAAACAGAAAATATTCTACATAATAAAAAAATGAAATAAAGTAATGAGAGATAACAAATAATAAATAAAAAAAAAAAAAGAAAATCAAGTAATACAGTAACAATGATTTCGAGACACCCCGTATAGAGAAACGCACATACAGCCCGCGGTAGACGGAGCTTTGGGTTGCCGCTAGCTGGAGGCGTCCGGTACCTCACGTCTATCCTCTCATTTACCATTTGGTACCTATAGACAGGGTGTACCTATATAAACGTACGCGCGAACACGTACAAGACCCCTGAGCGCCCGATATACGCGAGAGAGCGTACGTAGCTTGGTAACTCCAATGCTTTATTTTTTTTTTCTACTCCAAGTTTCTTTATTTTTTACGTTTCTCTTCTCCACCCACTTTTTCATCTCCACCTCCTTTGCCTCCTAACTCGCTATATTTTTACTTTATTTTTCAGCGGCTTTATTTTGCAAAACCCTCCAGGATGAAGGGGTTATATTATAATCGTCTTTACAAGTTGTTTTTTTATTAATATAAAAGCATAACTAATCATACGTTTTTTATTCATTTCTAATTTAAATAGCTGCACTAAAAAATTATATTTTCCATTTTTTTTTAAAGAAATTTGTTAATTATTGTTACATATTTTTGAGGTTATAATTCTAGCAATTTGGATAAAAATATTTTTATTATAATTTTATGTAAATTTATTGAATGTTGTAATAATTATATTTATTAAATTGTAAATAAATGTTTTAAATATAACCTCAATGTCATGTCAATTATTGAAATATCATATATGTTAATTTTTCGGTTGAAAATTAACGACAAAATACCCCTAATCAGGCAATTAGTGGAGGCATGTAAGCGATAAGCCGTGAACAGGAATTTTTTTGTTAAAAATGATTGAGGATAACTGCATACCATATGTGGTGTTAATTACTTTCTTTTAGGGATTATATTCCTCTTTTCTTCGTTTAACTACTTGCACAGTTTCCATGAATTGGTACGAACCAACTGCATACTTTAAATGTCACTTCTTATTCTTGGCCCACATTTATAACTTGGTGAGACCATATTGAGTGCAAGATAATCTGTCAACACTACCACTTCATCTTCTGTCGTCTAGTATATTATACATACACATACCAACACTAGAAAATCAACTGTCATTTACAGAACATACGCCTTCACACGTCCACTTTTCATCTTCTCTATAAATAATAGTGTGATAGAAAAAAATAAAAATATTTCGACTCAATTTAATTTACGGCCGACACGCGACAAAAGTCCCAAACTCACCTATCATGATCATTAATATTTATTTGTGGCTATTTTTTTCATTGTAAATTATCATACGTATCTGTTGAAAGAAGAAACATTTCAGTAAATTGATAAATTTTTTTTTTAAATATATTCAAAATAAAATTTAATCTTTATTTAACCTTATTATTTGTTTTATAGGTTACTTTTATGTTTTGTATATTGAAAAAAAAAAGTAACCAACGAAATTTAGTAACATTTCTATAAAACATATATTATAATAATAAAGACATTTATTTGTCACTATATAATGTTGATTATAGCTTTTAAACTGTCTGTAAGAATAAACTGAACCCTCTAATCTCATCGTGTTCGACATCATCGAAGTAGCTCGCGTGGCTACTCGTCAACAGCCCCGCGGCAACCCGCTAATTTCGTCTTCCGGACATTCCATGCTACCCTAAACTGACAGCGGCCTAAATTAGTTAGTCGATCCGTCAGAAGTCAAACTCTAAAGATACAATTTTGTTGACAAGGAAATAATGAAGGAAATTTTTTTTTCCATGTGAAATGAGTAATTGGAAATTGAAAATAGATAAAAAAAACCCCAGTGAAAAAGTAGAAAAAATATATGGCAAGGTTCATCAACTAAAGCTACAGCTGTAAATGAAACATGTAACAGAAAAAGAAACTCACAAATGAGTAGTAATAATAAATACATTCAAGATATTTCATTTTTTTTAATAAATTTATTTTTTTCATACCTCATTCTTTGATTCGTATATAAAAATTCGTTTCTGTTAACATGATCAATGATAAAAAGTATTATGTATTATAATTAATACTGTAATTAACTAGAGATGATAAATAAAAAAAATAATAATAATGCATAATTATTACAAAATAATTCAATATATTTATTCCATCTATAAATGTATCATAATTTTTTTGTTAAGTACGGTATAAAAATAATAACGCAGTATTTGATCTACGTTTAATTGAAAATAAAGCTTAAAATTAAAAAATAAAATTTTTTAGTTATCAAACATAATTTAATAAAAATAATGGCATTTCTTTTAATTGATTATTGCAAAAATTATTCATTTCTGTTTCATAATAAAATTTGGTACATCATTATCATCGTTTTCACTGTTTATAAAAAATGGCAATTTTTTGCTACTTTTATTTAACTGTGTGATTTGTCTTTGATTTTCTGCATCAAGGAATGAATTTATCACCGCTTTCGTTTTTCTAATCTTCATATCCTCTATAGGATGTCTTGAGTTTAGTTCTTTCCTACGTCTGGATGCATATCTAGCTCGACAACATTCAAAAAATGATGTAAATTTTGTTGAAGGATTAACTGTTGTTATTTTTCGAACTGGTAAATTTTTATTATTAGTTCTTTCTTTCTTTGAATCATATGATTCCCAAAGATCACTTTTATCTGTTATCGAAATAGATTCCGCAGGTGTTTTCTCTTTGATAGTTGGTTGATTTTCTTCACTTATACCAGATACTTCTTCATTATTATTTACGATAGCATTATCTTCTTTATCAGGGATTGATATAATTGGTGATTGTCTGTTAGACTGAGAATTAACTATCTCACAATCAGATCGATTATCTCCTCCAGATTTAATCATCAGTATATTTGCAATGTCGTCATCTTTCAAACGAGTTGTAGAAGAAATTTTTGATTCCGTTTTTCGTTTTTTTTTATTTGTAGTCCTTAATATGATTTTTTCAGGAATAAGTTGATCATTTATTATTGTAAGTTTCCTACCAGAGATAGGTTTTCTTTGTGAATCGGATGCTATTGGACAATTATCTTCAGATGGAAACATATCCGGTGATGAATCTCTAGTGCTAGATACACTTGGTGAATCACTTCTTCGTTTACGTTTTGTTGATACCTCATTGACATCAGATTTATTGGAATGTTTTAATTGAGATAATAATTTTGGTGTTAACTTTTGAAGCTTCACTATTGCTTCAGAAAATTGAGGAATCAAAGGAGCAGGTGTTGCAAACTCTTTTTGATTTATTTTATTTTCACTCACATGTGTAGTTGGACTTTTTTCAGCATGTTTCTCAGAAACTTCCGTGTGTTGTTGATTGTCATCAAGAATATCTGGTTTAATAATATTTTCCTCTTTAATGACTTGAACTTGAGGTGTTTTTATTACTTGTTTTGGCTGTCTCAAATTTTTTAATTTAGAAAGACTAGTTTTACAATATTTTTCTGTCGAACAAAGTAGAATTGCTTTAACAATTTCAATTTCATTAGCCATTTTACGCTTTTCTTTGACTAATAAACGGCAAATATTTTGATAATGTGATTCACTAAGGCCACAACAGGTATTCGATGTTCTTTGATTGTCATCACATGCAATAATAATAGTATTTTCTGCAAGAAGATATTTATCTTTAAATCCATATTTAGCACACATCAATGGTCTACCTCCAGCAAGTTGAATTATTTCTCCATAGAGATTAATTTGGTATTGACTAAAAAATATAAACTCCATATTATCAAATAAAGTTTTCCTTGCAATGTCTGGATGTAATGATACGTTTCTTAATTCATCAGTGTAATTCCAATCTTCAGGAATGTATTGAGAAGGATTTGGAAATTCTTTCCTGGTTTTACAACATTTGTAAAAGTCTTCCCAATATTTTATTGTAACAAATGGTAGTCCAGCAGCCAAAGCAGTTACAAATTTTGGTGTGACTCGTTTACATATTGAAGTATAAAAATTGCATTCTTCATTCCACTCGGTAAATACTTGGCCTCCAATACTTGTGATAATTTTATTTAAATTCTTTATTTGATCTATACAATCTCCACATGTTAATAAAGAGATTTTCTTATAACTTACAACCCATTCATTCTTTGAACTAAAATGAATTTTATCATTAGGTTGTAATTCATGATTTGTAAATGGTAATAAATAAATAGTATTTTCATTAATTATTTTAGTACGTTTTTTAGATGCATTGCTTATAATACATTTTGAAGAATATTCATTATTATTGGTATAATCATTAGAATTGTTAGGTTTTATGAATATTTTTGCATGTAAATGACTCACTGATGGATCATCTAATATTAGATCACAGGACTTTCTTCCAATTGTTGTTGTAGTATCTGGTAGTAAATGGATCAATCGTCCACTTGGATGACGTAGAGTCCACATTATTAAATTAAAAAACAGGTAAAATTTATTATTGTTTCTTATTCTTTATTACTGAGAAATTTTCTGTTTACAAACATCAATACAGCCATTGAACTTATAAACTCTAGATAAGTTATAACCTCAAATTTTGCGTACACAAGAATAAGCTAGTAGCGACATCTGATAACCAAAATGTTAATTTTTACGTTAAATTTTGAATGTTTTTATTTTTTAAATTATCCATAAAAAATTATAAAAATAATAATAAAATGCATATTAGTGTATTAGTTGCAATCAAACATCAAATAGCGTTAATTCAATATCTTCACCATATTCCTTTTTTAGCAAGAAGCTGTGTTTCAACAAACAATATCTTCACCATATTCCTTTTTTAGCAAGAAGCTGTGTTTCAAACTGCATGTAAGAACCTGATGTCATATTATTATACATCTGACAAACAACTTTTCTATCATTTTCAGATAACTGTGCCCATTCATCTTCCAACTTTTTCAATAAAATATCTCGTAAAGTATGAGAATTGTTCATCGCTGCCTTTTTATCCTCTTCAACCCATTGATTCCAAGTACGTTTCGCCTCTTCACTGAAAATGATTAAAAAAATATTAACAATTCAAAAACAAAAAATTTCATATAAATAAAAAAATATTTACCTATATAAACCAGAATCAGCACAAATTGTTTCACGATCTTTAAGCTGCTTGCTACGAGCTTCAATATATTTCAAAACTTCTTCCTTTTTAATCGGATCAATGTGTGAATCATATCTTTTATAAATTTGCTTCTCCCTGAACAATTCTAATCGATTTTTCATGTCTCGTAAACGTAGTAATTCTTCCCAAAGATGTTTCGTACTTGCTCTATATTCTCTCGTTTCCAGATCTTCAATTTTCGACTTCAAAGCATTATCTCTCAGATACATTAACATTGAATCTGAATCAACCTCTAAGTCATCAGGTAATTGTATCAATATTTCTTCTTTATTTTCATCCTTGTCATGATCTTTATCTTCAGATTGTTCATTAGAAGCCACATCATTGCCTGAAGTATCTTCATCATTTTTTTCTGCTTCTGCTGAATCAACTTCATTTAAATCCAACTTGGACACATCGCAATGTTTGTCAAGATACTCCTCTGTTTCTTTTGATCTTCTACATTCATCATGAATGTCTTGTTGTTCATGAGAATTTTTGGGTAAATCAAATGAAAACATTGACGTGTTACTTATATTAGTATTTTCAAGACTTTGACGCATATTTCGTTCCTTATATTTCTTATCAAGGTTTGGATGATTTTCGTCATTAACATACATTCGATGGCCATACAAAAAATTCGGTGTGTATCTTTTCTTTTCAAAATCATTATCATCAACAAACTTGTCATTTTTATGTTCTCGATAGTCATTCATGCATTTTAATACATTAAAAGGTTCAGATGGTTGATCAATATCATAGAAATGTTGATACTGAGCAAATTCACTATTGACTCGATTTTGTTGGCATGCATCTGATCGTTCCTCAAAATCTTTTTGGTTTTGATCACATGCATCTGATTGTTCTTGAAGAGTTTTTTCTTTTTGAGTTGAATCTTCCATTTTACTATTATTCTTTTTACTATGAATACTATTATTAAAGGTATCAGTCAAAGGTTTATTAAATTCTTTCAATGGTCGACGGTTTATTTGAGTTGGATATAAAAAATATGATTCAATTCGACGACAAGTTTGTGGTTTATACAAACTCAATTCAGCTCGTCTTTCTTTCAATTGATTTCTCAATTCTTCAAATGATAATTCTTTTTTAGCACTTTTCCGTTCTAAATTTTTGCACTCCTCTTCGTATATTTTATTTTCGTTTGTTATAAGCTCCTTTAATTTATTTCGTCTTAATTTCAAAGCATTCAATTTTTTTAAATTTTCCCAATGAGTATGTTTAAGTCTATCTGCATTCCATAAATTAAATTGTTTAGCTTTGTCGCATTCTCTCTCAAAATATTTCGCAGTTTCACTGTAGAAATTAAATTTACGTTCCTCTAAGTTTCGTCTGTGTGCAGCTAATTGGTATTTTTTTTCAATAGGTTTTACCCTGGAAAAAAAAAAAAATATTTTTAGTACTGTAATGCATGGAGTTATTTTGGATTGGATTTAAAACTAAACCAATAAAAAAAAGTATTTAAAGGAAGAGTCGAGCGTCTAGATACCAAAGACGAATAATGAAACAAAGCAAAATACCAAATTGAAAAGCTTTCTTTTTTTTTCTTATTCAAATAATTCTTTCATCAATAAATTTTTTAAAATTTTATTATCCAAAAAGAATTGATAGAAAAGCTTCCAGACTTAGTATAAAGAATAATAAATAAAAAAATTAAACATAGGATTAACATCATTCAAGTATGTAAGTCTAGAGTGGCGTCCTAGAAGATGTTGGGGCAGTTATTTTCGTCCACTTGCTTGGTGACGTCATACTCCGAAAATATCAAGTTTTTGGTCACGGAAGGAGGAGGTGGTTCAGACACGGCCCTGGCGGATGGTTCAGGTCTCGATCTTTCCCGGACTTGAGAAAATTCAATACGGATTTTCCAAATAAACGATCAAGTCAGTGCACGTTAGTCAGTGAACTAGCCAGTAATCAGAGTATTTTCAATTACCCAATTTGCATTCATTTTTAATATTTTCTTCCATACAATCATCACTTCATACTTATTTTTACTAAATTTACTATTTAAACAGATTATTTAAAAAAATGAGCAACTGGAATAATCATAAAATTAAATTTCACTAAATCATTACATCTTGTATTGCATTTTCTAAAAGCTATCATTTAAACTATTAACGTGGTAAATTATTGTTAAGAATAAAAAATATTAATTGTTAATACTGATAATTGGGCCAATAAGTGCTATCTAAATTTGATAAAAATATAAATAAAAAAAAAAAACACAGCAATGCCGGGGGCGGGAGGTCAACAGCCTCAAAGGACAACATTCAGACCACCCTGGGTCAAGGATGGTCCTAATCCATTACCGATGCCGACAGCACCATGGACACTGAATTCTCGAAGAGATTCCAAGACAAGTAGTGATGATCATGCTCCAGCATTTACAAAAATTACATTAAAGGTATTTTTAAACTTATCATTCTTTTCATCTAGAAGTTTAACATTAAATACTTTTATTTTTATGTTTATTAATATTTTAAATAATCAATAAAAATAAATTTTTTATAGCATTGTGTATCTTCTTATGAAAGAGTTAATTCATTACTGACGAATCATCTAAATTGGCCCTGTAAACTTTTCAGTATATATAGCAGTAAAATATAAACGTGTGGTTTGATGGCATAGTGCCATAGTGAAAATATTTTTTCTTTTAAATTAATATTTCAAATTAGAAATATAACTTTTATCAAAATGATTTTAAAATTTATTAAACAACATTTTCTTAAGATGAATTAATTTTTAGTTATTTTAAATTTACTATGAAACATGACTATATATAAACTTTTGGGTCATGATTATTTCAAGCTCACATAAGTTTCTATATTTCAAATGCCTTCTGTGTTGTAGTTGGTTACGTCTTTTACTTTTTCTACACAATTATCCAAAAGTCTGTTCATGAAAATTCTCAGAATAATGAAAAAATTACTTCATTTAATTTATTTTAAATATTTAACATATTAATAATAAGATGATAATTGATAATAAAAATAATAGAAATCATTATTTAAAAAAAAAAAATATAATAATAAAAATAATGTATGATATAAATAAAAATTACTGACATTAATATTTACATATCATAAATAATAAAAACATGAGTCTGATAATTATTTAAAGAAATCAATTGATAAAACTTGCCAAGTTTTTTTTTTATCTTTTATATTCAAGATCAATTACCAATTTTATTCTTCAACTGCATTTGTATTCAATCAGTACATTTAAAAACTTATCTTGGTAATTCATTGTGTATTCATGAATTAGATTAATTTTAATTATTACATATTTTAATATTTGTGTAATAAATTATATATAAATGGAAACTCATACACAATTAAATACATTCACAACAGTGATTGAAATAAAGAGAACGAATATTGTAAATATTAATTGAATATAAACTAAAGATTGTCGATGAAAACAAGAAATATTATAAGATGACATTAGTTGATCATTTTATGATATTTATTGTTGTTAAAGAATCTTTTAATGTGCTAATTAATTGCATAAATGCATGATTTTAGAGTGTACCAAAATCAACAGAGGCCGTGACAAATGTACAGACACCAGAACTCCAAGCTAAAAAGCCAAGTAAAATATCTAGTGGGCAAGCAGCTGAACCACAAGTGAAAAAGCAAAGCAAAATAACAATAGTACCAACACAAGTAAAGAGTGAAAAGAATGCACCAACGAAACCTGCATCAGTCGTTAAACAGAGTGATAATGAGAGAAGTAAATCATCAGCAGCATCACCGAAAGTTGGGGAGAATGGACGAGTGGAGACAACAACAACATCGTCTGCCAATAAAGCACAAAATGAGCGTCAGATTCGCATCGATAGATCTCGATCACGCACTGATAACAAAGTTCCTCTATCAAAAAGTGACAGTTCTACAGGTAAGACTTTATTGTTTTAAACACACATTGCTCATTTAAAATAAAATCCATCTATTTGATAAGCTTCACTTGGGTATTCCGCAAAATATTTTTTTCTCTTTTTGAAAGCATGATCGTACTACTTGAATGAAAGAAGCTTCTGGTAAAATCGTCGATTGGCTTGTATTGTGATTGGAGTGAGCACGGTTATTTCGATCGTGACTGTCCTCGTTGTCAGTATATTTCCTCATCGACCCTGTTCTCTGCGTGTTATGACCTCAGGTGCTCCAACATTATCAAAAAGTTCATCCAGGGCGGCTATTCCACCGCCACCACCACCAAGGCCACCACCACCACCACCAGCACGTAATATCCTCAAGGATCTTCCAGAATTATCAGAGGAGCAAAAAAATAAAGTCGAGATGCTGAAATTGAGGCCGCGAAAACGTCCTGATTGGGCTAGTATGATGAAAGAAGTGGAGAGTGGTAGAAAACTTAAGCACGTGAAATGTAACGACAGAAGTGCACCAATTATTGAACGAGTTAGCAAAGTTACAGCTGATCCAGCCGGTAATATTTTATTTATATTTTTATTCAATCTTTATTCATTCAATGAGTTAACTATATTTTTGTAATCATTTCAGGAGATGCACACTTTGTATTTGAATCAGAAACATCAAATATGCATAATAAGTTGTTAAAACAAATTCAAGATGGAGTGAAATTGAAAAGAGTCAAAACAAATGATCGTTCAAAACCAATGTTACAAGGTTTGAGAAAATTCAGAAGACAATTGACTATTGAAGAACAAATGCAAAAAGCTGATGCAGCTCCTGTTGATGATGTTGTATCTGATGAAATGGATGATATTGATGCTGTAAGAGATGATTTGCAAAGCACGAAACAGATGCTTGCATTGGAGCTCAGAAATAAAGAAGCATTAGAAAGAGATAACAAAAGGCTACAGGTAGAATGGCTTTGATGCGTGCTTTAGTATTGCTTTTATTTGTTACTGCTAAGTTGATTAATCATTGAGCTATGTTAATTCAAGATAAAAAGTCTATATTCTTATTTATATGAATTAATTTTATTTAAATACTTTTTAGGAAAGAATTTTAAATTTAGAAGCTGAAAATGAACGATTAAAACTTCAGCAGAATGTGCAAGAATATAAAAAGCAAGATGAAAAAATTGTTGAAGCATTAAGGAAAGAAGTTGATTTTGCTAGGAAAGATGTTGAAAAAATAGAAAAAGAATATGCATCAGTTGCTGAAGAAAGAGATAAGGCTAAACTTGAATTAGAAGAGATGAAAAGGATGTATGCAGCATTAGAAAGACGAATGAAAGCCGGTAAGAAAGCATATAAGGTTATTTTAGTATTATCATTTCTTTGATAATAACAATATTAAAATATATTCAATGCCTACGCTAGCTGACTAATCATTATACTAATAAATAAATATATCTCAACTCTTCTATTGCTTTCATTTAATGCTGCTGCTTTTTCTTTCTTATTTGCTTCTAACGGTACAGATTGCTACTGGGATTGGGAGAAGGTTGAAGATGAACCTGTGGTAGAGTTTCCAGATGATAGTTCCGAAGGAACTTGGTATAATGTTTCAGGAATGGCATTAGCTGGATGCCCAAGTGCCAAAGATGTTGCTAAAATAGCATCACAAAAAAGTATTGATAAAGGTGAAATAAGTCCAAGTGAATCAGAAGAAGAAGAGGAAGAAAGCAATGATGAAGATGATAAAGATGAAGATCCAGAAACAATTGCTGAAAGACGATTGCAAAGAGAAATTAAATTATTGTCAACTAAAATTAAAAATTTTAGGTAAGTAATTTCTTTTCTTAAATACATTCATTAAAATTATATTTTTATTTTGATCATTAATATTTTGTTTTTATTTTTTAAAATTAAAAACAGAGATAAGGCAATTAATGCTAAGAAGGAAAGATATGCGTTGAAGGAACAGATAAAGCAACAACAAAAAATGTTGAAAGAAGAAAGGAAAAAGTTTAAAGCACTCCAAAAAGAAGTTGACAAAATGGCCAAATTGATGAATGACACTGATGATGAAGATGAAGAAGAGGAGGAGGAGGAGGAAGAGGAAGAAGAAGAGGAAGAATCAGAGTCTGAAGAAGAATCAGAATCTGAGGAATCTGAAGATGATGAAGAAGACGATGAAGCCCTAGATCCTGAAGATCGTAAACAGAAACTTCAAGTATGTTTTTTTTCTACTACTAATTAGTGGTGATAATTTGATGAAATTGTTCACGAATGATTATCATAATCATGCGATGTTATTAATAATTGCAGGAAAATGCCAAAAAACATGAAAGCCGCTTAGCATCATTAAAGAAAGGAAATTACTTACTCAAAGCTCAAGTTGATCGGCTGAAAGATGATCTAATAAAACAAAGAGAAGATAGTATATCACTTCAAGAAGATCTTGATTCAGTACTGGCAGAGTTAGGTTAAAATTTTAATGTTTAATGATAGTTTCAATATGACAAGTGAAACCTAAGTTACTTTGTTTTATAATTTATTTAACATTAATTACTGAGCGACGTTAATTCTACTCGTAAATATATGTAGATTTTTTTTATTTATATTGAATATTTTCTCCTTCTAATATCGAGTGCATTCTTAAAGTTAAAAAAACAAATCAAATTTTATAAAAATTTCAATCAAAATAATTTACAAGGTAATTTTTAAGATTAATAATGTGGTTACTTACATTATATATATATACGAAATAAATTCGTATATTCGATCGAACTCCAAAGATAAATTAATTAACGGTTTTTCTCCAACATTAATACACTGTTTACTGATGTTATTCTGTATTGTTTTTTAGCAATAAACGACTTGAAAAGCAAATAATTATGTATACAATTTACGTTACGTATAAAATGCGGTATCGAACCAGCGATGCTAAGCGTTGTAGTGTGTTTCACTATAGCCAAATTTGGAAACGCAATCGAGATACTAAACTATTGCTAGTTGGAATCGGGAGAATAACACAAAAACTGCGACGCAAATATGTCTGTCTCCTCTTTTGCACCAATGCTGGGCGCTTGCGCACAACGTTATGTAGAGTCACTCAAAACAGAGAGTGGCAAGACAACGCCATATCTCTCGATTCCTGCCTAAAGTCCCATAAGAACTTAAGGGACTTTGGTCCTGCCTGACTCCATCTTGCCAGACTCTATCTCAAGGGACTCTAACGGTGTGATAAAAAGAGATAGGATATATGCATTTAGCCTTTGTTTATTGTCTCCTTTCATGAGCAATACTTGTACTTACCGACAATCTTTGGTACAGGTAATGGTAACACCACCCACTTCAATGTCCGGAGGAGTGGTGTATTATTTAGCGGCAATTTTTAAAATGAAGAAATGATTATTGAATTAAATAAAAAAATTGCGAACCAAAATTGCCTTTACTCCAAAAAGCTATTTCCATTCATGTAGTGGAAAGAAAAAAGTTGTATGGTGTATGAAAAAAAAAAAATTATTAATACTGCATAAATTATTTAAATCAAAAAAGAAATAAACATAATTAATTTTATTTAATACGAGAATATTTTAAACAAACGAAAAAAAAAAAAATTTTTATAAATTTGATAGGTAGTATTGTGCTGATTCTATAATACTATAATAATAAAATTAATATCGCACATTAGATAGCGCTTATGAATTAATTCATTCATATATGTGTATATAATATATATACTAAAATATGAATTGATAAAAATTTATACAGACATTGATGATTTTAAATATTGCTAAATATTCAATTTATAATATTATAGTATATTATAAAATAACTACTGGTATTAATGAGTATGTATATTTACAAAATTGATAATTTATACACGAACATCAATATTTATGGATTATTCATGATCATGTTGCAAAATAAATTAGCTAAGAAATATATTGATCAATTATTATAATGGAATACATATCATTGCATATTATTTATAGTTTTCTCATTCAGTCATACATCAAAGTTAATTGTTTTATATATATGCAAAAAAAAAAACAAATTTATAAGAAATTCAATGATCGTATTGATACTAATATAATATAAAAATTACAATGCCAAAATGAAAAATAAATGATTTGTAAATTTAATTGATTAAAAAAAAAAAGAAAAAAATAGATGAAAAAATAATAGATCTATATACATTCTTTAGATAAGCATGCCTTCCTGATTTAGTAATTTGAGATCATAATCATATCCTTCTAAATACTTTAAGATAATTAATTACATAATCATTAATCATTACATACATTCAAAATAATTCTTTTTCTACCATTAGGTGGTTTCAGAAACAATAAAAATTTAATTATCAAAACGCATATACTAACAATAATGAAACTGAAAAAAAATTAATTAGCAATAATACATGATAATTATTATATATCTTCTATTGTAACACGATTTAGTTATATTTTCATTGTTTATTTGCATTAAAATAAAATTAATTATCGACATTTGATAAATTATGCAAATTCACAAACCTTTCAAATGTTTGACAATTAATATTATAATTAAGAATATTAACGTCATGTGCTGTTTTATCTGGGTATAAATACCTAAAAATTCCAGGTACCAAAACTTTAGATATTGTTTATCATTCATTATCTTACGCTCTTTTAATTCCACTTTTTGCAACTTTCTTTTCTTCAACAAGTTTTACATCAGTAACATGTAAATTATGAATACTTCTTGCTGCAAATTTAATTACACTTTGTGTGGAAACATGAGTTGTATGTCGAAGATCAAGCCGTTTAAGAGCTTTACATCGCGTTAAATACTCCAAAGTAGTTTCAGTTAGAAGTCGACAATCGGAAAGATTGAGAGAAACAAGATTGACAATAGCTTGCGTTGATGGTGCAGCTATTTGAGCAACACCAGCATCAGTGATTCGGCCACATGATGATAAATCAAGATTTTCTAAATGAGGCAAATGTTGAGCAATATATCTCAAAGCAACATCTGAAACATCACTACCAGCAAGCGATAAACTTTTCAGATGTTTTAATCTTGAAGTTTTATCTATTAGTCCAGGCCTGGAATCAGTTGGTGGATCCAAAATTTCACGAAGTCGAGCATCACAAAATTTTGTTATGTAACTAAGATCTAAACTGATTAATGGCGGGCATGTACAAGTTCCTAATGCACAAACACTAGCTAAAGCACAGCCTTGTAATGATAAGTGACGAAGCTGAGGAAGTCGTGCAAGTAACCACGCCAATTGTTTTTTAGCAATATTGGTCCAATCTAAACACAGACTTTCTGGCTGTCTTCGAACAATACCAGTTAGATGTGAAGCTGTCAAGTGCGCTCGAGTCATATCCATGTGTCTCCAAAGACTTGGATCTATGCTGTATCTTGCCCAAGTCCGACAAACTCTAGCACATATTGCCAAATCTTTTGAACTTAAGTACTTGAATATGGCCAAAAGAACAGTTCTATCATATGCTAATGATTGACCGTTATGCTCGGAGCGTTGAACAAGTGGTATCTGGACGGGTCGAACTACAGCATGAGGTCGCTTCAGTGATTTATTACTGGAGCCAGTTAATTGAGCAGCTAATTGTGTTCTTAATGCTGATCGTTGATCACCTTCAGCCGGTTCACGTTCATTCCATGTCTATTAAAATATTATCAATACAAATTATTCAATAAATAATATTAGTTTAGTTAAAAATTAATGAAATAATCATTACCTCTGTAGGTTCAGGTCGAGCTCTTTTACTCGGAGTTGTAGCTCTTTCTGAATCCGTTGTAGGAGCTGATGATGCTGCACTTGATACAGATACTTTACGAATTCGAGCTTTTGCTTGACGTGGTTTATGGTCAAGATTTCGCCCACTTTGAAGACACGAAGGACACTCCCAACTATTCGGTACATCTTCACTTATCACCATTTGTTTTATATCCACTCCAACACATTCAGGATGTACAATGTCATAACAAATAGAACATTCCATCAGATTTGAAGGTGTTCCAGGAATAGGTTTACCTGAAAAGAATCATTGATTATATTTTTAAATAACTATTCCAAGTTTAGAAAATGTAAATTACAGTTTTCAAATAATATTTTATTACATACCCATGAGTGGAGCCGGCTGTTGTCCCCAGCCATCTAATTGACAAACTTTACAAGCTGCAGTCACTGGTAACATTGGTCTCAAACACTGTCGTGTAATGCATGTTTGTTTAGCTCGACCACTTCCACCAAATTTCACCATGTCTTGACAGTAAACACATTCACCACAATCTTGTCGAGTACAAGCTTCACATCTTTTACATCGTGTACGACGTCTCCGAGGCATTGGTGCTTTAGCTTCTGATTTTGGTATCTTTGGGAAATGTTTTTTTGGCAATTTAAGACGTTCCCGTTCAGCAATCGTCAATGGTGGTGGGGCTGGTAAAATTGGACGTCCAGTTACTGCTGCATCAGGATTATCATGCCTATGTTGTTCTACAAGACCTCGAACATCATGAATTAAAGCAACTGGATCACGAATTAATTCTGGAACATTTTTTTTAGTTGATGGCAATGAATGTAAATACATGACAATTGACTTTAATCCATGTAGCTCAAATTGAGTGAGGTGTTGATGCGTTTGTATTGATGGAGTTATATGTTGACGTTGATTCTCGGGGATATCCAAATGACTACGACCCAAAAGGACATGGACATATCGTTCCAAAACATACCTTAAATTTAATTTAGATTATAAAGTAAATTTATAAAATATTGTTGATTGATTAAAAGAAAAATTATCAAAAAACATCAATTACCATAGCATCTCAGTAAAAAATGGATATCGAAATTTTTGAGGTACTTTGGTATGTTCTTCTACTTGAGCTACTTTTAATTGTTTCTCAATACCAAAACTATGTAAAAAATTTCCTCCAAACACTAGAGAGTCTTCCGGAGTATAGACAGCATGAATCCAACCAGTTGGTATAAACAATGTCATTCCAGCTTCCAAACAAATTCTTCCACATCGATCTACCATATCTCCAAAAAATACATCTGATTGTTTCCCACTCAATACCCATTCCTGATATAAATCTAAATTTTTTTCTGTTGGTGGAATTAACCAAAATATCTTTTTTCCTCGTAAAATATGATACCATACACTTGTTCCTCCAAAATCTACATGATAATCTGTGTAACAACCTTTCACTGACATTAAACAGTACAGCTTCACTTTAGGATACATCATATCTCCTAATACATTAGTTGATTCTGTTTGAGCTTCTATTAAATGTCTTGGCCAAACTGTATCTACCCAATCAATTTGTCGAACTATTGTCGGAGATTGTACATAATTTTCCAATTTAGTATGACTAAACTCTAATGATATAACATTGAGCAGTCTTTCTTTTTCTGAATCTTCATAATATTTTTGCCAATCTTTCATTGTCATTTCTTCATTCTTTTGAGTGTCAACGTCCATCACTTCTAATATTCTCTTAGATCCTAACAATATAAATAATTATAATGGTCATATTTTTTTTACATTATTATAATTTATTAAAATAAATATTTAAGTGTGTAATACTATAAATTGATATGTATAATTACCTACGCAAGTCCTTACATCATTTACAGAAAAATTCGAGCTTGGAACTCGTAAACCAAGCCCTACACTATCTCTAAAAAGTAAAGGTATTGTCAAGCCATGCTTCTGAAGATACGCCAGATTTAATTCCGGACCAGTCATTTCTCGAAATAAACCGGCAAAATTTTTAAGATCATATCTTGCACATTCAATTTTTTCATCTAATTGAAAAGTTCTTTTGCCTTCAATTTCTTCATCACCGTATGTAAAATCATCAGTGTATAATTTTCTAGTTCGTTCTCTCTATAATAAAATATAACATTTCGTAGATTTTTATTGCATATATTATGTATAAATTGTTTAATAAATATCTATCATGCAATGCCGATTTGTATTATCAGCCATTTGTTTACCAATTGACGCCGCTTAGGTAGAGGAGTGGTGTCATCGGCCATTGCGAGCACGCTGTTAAATCACGTATCACTTTTATTTCGTAAAAAATTTGTTAAAATTATACAATTTTTATAAAAATTAGTATATTATTTGAATAATTTTTCACGTTTTATCTTAGAATCACATGTCACGAGATAAAAATGCAGAATTAAGCTGAATTTTAGACCAATTACACTCGTGTAACCAAATACTCCCGAGTGCCGACGCCATTTTAATCTAGTCCGAAAAGTTATTTAGTAACTCTACTACACCAACATCAACAATGAATAAAATTCCTAAATAAAATTATAGAGATTTTTATTTTTCTAAAAGATGGTAACACTGGCAGCGCCAAATATTTAAACGCTGTTTGATCAATAGTTCTCAAAAAAAAAATCTCATGAACTTATTATGGTATTGTTTTTAATCAAATCTAAAAAAATATTTCCGAATCTAACTAAACGGAGGCTATAAAGTTTTTTGAACTTGGTAATTAAAACATTTTTTTTTTTTAATTCAAAAATTACAATGGAAATTAAACAAAATTATCCAAGAAATTTAGTTGAAAGAGCAATAATTACTCAAGATACACAAAAAGCTATTACAGAATACCACCAATTAAAATCACAGGAACAACAGATCAAGTATTTATGTCATCATAAAATTAATTAATAAATGTTCTTGCATTTTTTTCTTGTTTTAATTAATAATTAATTTTTAGAAAATATCCAAACTGGGATGTTGCTCAATCTGGACAAGGAATAAAATTATTAAAAGCGTACCGAGAATTAGCACAAGCCGAGAATAACCTCGAGACAAAACGTAAAGAACAAGTTGAGAAACATCAACACATGCAACAACAATGGGCTGAAATGCGACGAAAGGAAACACTCTTCAGAGAGCTTTTTATCAAGTTTAATCAATTTATTATAGAAAATGGCCAAAAACGAGAACGAGCTATGCGAAAAATCACTGAAGAAAAAGAATGTTCTGAAAGATATCATCAAGAAGTAATAAGTTAAAGAGTCAATGAAATGATGTTTTGAAATAATTATTGCTTGAAATTAATTTCAGATTGAAGAATTAAATAAAAAACTACAACATTTAACATCTGTTTGTGATAAAATGCAAGAATCAATTGAGTATTTTAAACGAGGAAAGAATTATCTTGAACGCGTTGTTAACGAAACTGGTGAATTTTCATCAATAAATGATATCTTTAACAGATATGAAAGTCTGATGGAAGCACGACAGACACATGTTGATAGTCAAGATAAAAATTTCGAACAAATTGAAGGAATTGGCAATCAGATGGTATAAAAATTATTCACAAATATTATTTTTATATTATATTCATTATCATTTTTTTTTTTTAGCAACACATGACTCAAGAGAAAGAACAAAAATTAATGAATTTAAATAATCAATTAGCTGATCTACAAATACAATATGATAAAGCAAAAGCAGAAACTATGAAATGGGAGAAAATTGTTTCACAAATAAAAGCAGTAGTGTCTGTTAAAATTTTAGAATTAATTAGAATTCAATCAGCTTGTTGGAATCTGTACACTCAAATACGCAAGAGAAAAGGTCTACGAGTTGAAATTGCTAAGGATGAAATAGAAACTCAATTAATAGAAATTAAACAAACCATTTTAGTACTTAAAAATATCGTGAAAGCTGCTGAGAAGCAAGCCTTATTGAAAAACAAATAAAATATATTTACATAATTAATCATACACTGATATCTTAATTGTTACAATTAATCATATTAATACTTTTAAACAAATTATATTTTAAGACTTCTTAAATAAAAAAAATATACATCGAAATCAGTGATATCGTTTTTGCGTAATTTTCTTGGCTGCAGGTAAACCACAGCTAGAAGTATTGTGCAAAATCTCAGGATTATTCAGCAATTCAGTTTCACGGAGTTCATTTTGAATATCATCACGGTTCAGAGGAACATGAATTTCTGAATCGTTTACGTTCTGTAATGTGAGTTTTTCTACACATCTATTTGAAGAATAATGGAGAAAATTAAGAAAATAAAAAAATTGAATATAGGAAAAAAAAATATTCATAAGGATAGGCTTACAAAGAACAAGGTTGAGTAGGAGCAATTTGAGATAGCGTGGGTACTTTAAGTTTAGGTTTTTTATCTTCATCAAGTCGAATAAAGTCAGATCTTCCCGTTGTATCCATCCAATGAACTTTGTTGAACATCTCAGTAATTCTTTTTTCTATGATTCCTAAATAGAGCATGATATTGTTCATCGTAACAGAAGTGTTATCCCCCAGTAAATCCAAAATTGACGAATTATCACAACCAATGGTATGAAAAAGATTCCCTATTCCCTCCAATAATTTTTCAATTATCTCATTGCACTGAAAAAAAAAACGTTTCATAAAAAGATAGAAAAAAAAATATTGAAACAATGTCTGTATTTAATTATATATCATTACTTTGATCAATCTTTCTTCCGCGGCAGTAGCTTGTGTAATTTGTTCCTCTAGCTGTTTCGAAATTTTCTCGAGTGTTTCTGTCTGTAAAAATCCTCTTTGATCGTTTAATGCACGAGCTTCGTCGATAGACTCTCTTAATTCTGCAACACGAACTTGCAAACCTTCCAACTCATCATTCAATTCATTAACATAGCTGAAGAGAGCGAAATTTTCTTCTTCTTGTTTCAAAAAATGAGCAGTAAGTTTGTCAATACTGTTTTCACCTACAAAAAGATGATCATTGTATATTATAAAAAGATAAATAAAAATTAAATAATCAACAATTTACCAGTAAACTCTTTTATAAGATTAAGAATTTCATTGTAAGAAGCAATTTTATTTTGAATTTCTTCCTGTTTCGCTTGAAATTCAGCTTCCTTTTTAGCATTCAAATCGGCAGTTTCTCGATACTGGCCTTTAACTCCAAGGAATTCTTGTAATTTTAATTCATTATCAAGGGTTCGTTGTAGTTCACACATTTCTGACGTGTGAGCTTTTAAATCTCTTGTTCCTCTGCATAATATAGTCATTAAATTAACATCTCAATTAATAATATTAATTAGATAATGTCTTACCTTTCTTTTAAAGCATAAATTTTATTTAACTCTTCATCACGTTGATTAAACGTAATTGTTGCTTGCTCAATAAGATCACTTATAATTAATTTGCCAGTATTTAATTGTCCAATCATTTTTTCCCATAGAATATTAAACTGAGCACGTTCTTTGAGTAGACTATCAATTTTTTCCCGCAATTGTGAATTCTCAGCCACTACAACGTTGAATCTTTTTGTTGCTACATCCAAGCGATTCTCCAGAATAGTAATCATTCGATTATGTTTATTAGTTATTTCTTGAGATTGTACATCTGTTCGTATTTTCATTTTCAATCTAGTTACTTCTTTTGATACTTTGATTATCTGCTCCTGAAGTTCATCTATTTGTTGTCTTTCATTTTTTATCATGTCAATATATTTACTTCTTTTCTCTAATAAATTAGTAAGCTTTTCATCCATTTCTTCATCTTTCTTTGCATTTTGTTCAGACTTTGAATTTTTTATCGCAAGCATTAACTCAGCTTTTTCATGTTCCAAACGTTCAATCATATTCTGATGATTCTTAAGTTGAAGTCGTGATTTTTCTGCATAGGTAACACGATCATTTTCCATAATCCGGTACTGACGTTTCAATCTAGACAATTCAGTTGCTGCTAATGTTTCCATCTCCAACTCATCTTGAACTGGTTGTTGTCTGTATGCCATAGTTTTATTTTTAATTTTCACCTTCTCTCCAACTAATAAATCATCTAATCAGACTGTAAATAAATAGAGGTGATACATCGAACACAATTATAATCATTTTTATTCTAAAAATGAAAAAGATAAATATGAATGATATACCTAAGTTTGGAGGTTATTTATTTAAATTGATTAATTAAAAAAAATTTCTATTGTAACGAAATTGGATCGTTGAAACTTGATGCTACCTAATACTTGAAAAAAATACATCAAGTCTCAATGAACATCATATTTTTAAATTATGCTTATAAAATACATTAAAAATCGTCTTTTGGCAAAAATATTCCAATCGTATATCAATTTGAATGTCATTATTGAGTTTTTTTCAGTTATTATTCAAAAGACATCTGCTATTCTTCAATACACTCAAGTAATAACAGTTGTGTAGCTTGGTGAGTTTGTGTTGCCAAGAGTATATGTGTACAACACAACGGTTGCCATGACGATATCATTGTATTTAAACTTGAATATATACAAATTAAGGACATTTTTAGGCTTGGTGTATGGTGGATGTTAATTATGCTAAGTTTAAATAAATGCATAAAAGATTATTACATTAAAATGATATGGTAAATTGAGGTTATGATATTGTAAAAGAGTTAAAATAATATTAAATGTGTCTATTATGCCTGTATTGTTGATGTATTGGTGAGTATTATATGTGTAGACATCATGGCATGAAATAAGAGGGGACGAAAGCGTTGTTTGGAAGTGGGGATAGAAAACAGGTATGTACTGTCGAGTATGGTTCCGGATCGAGTATTAATCGTGCACGAGTCTGCTAGGAGTTCAGTTGTGTGTAATGTATTTTATTGTTTAAAATAATATAGTTCTTTACTTAAAACAAGTTAAGTGTAAAGGAGAACGCGAGTGTGACGTTGACTAGTGAAAGGGAGTAGAGTGAGAAAGAAATAAAGATAAAAATTATGTACAACAGGGAAAAGAGTTATATCTCTCTCACTTTTCGTTCCAGGACATAACACGATTCCGTAATATTTATTTTTCACTCACGGGTCTGACTCACCCGATCATCGAGATAGAACACATAACAGGTCATCATATTGGAGTATAATGGAAATTTGAATATTTATCAATTGGCTGTGGTGGTATTTTATTGTCAAAAAATATGATCAAGTGAATAAACATCAAGAATATCTATTATCAAATGTAAATGACTGTTATTTTCATCAAATTATCAACTGGATTTGGATATAAACGTGAACATGAAAGTGAATAAAAACTAAAAAGGTTTTTTTTGGTTTAATGCACATGTGATTAGTGTTTTTTATTCAATAAATTTTTATAAATCTCATAATACAATAGACCAATTATAATAATCCTCAACTAATATATAAGTAACGGAATTTTTATGTTTGAACGATCGCGTGAGAAACCAAGCTTGCGTCATTGATCATTTTTCGTCAGTCACTTGACTTTGAATAAAACCACAAAACAAACAAAAATTAAAAATTATTCCGTCTGTTAATAATGCTAAGATTATCAGCTAAAAGAAATGTATATTTTATGAATATCTAAAGCAAGAAGTTTATTTACAACAATATATTATTTATATTGAAGAAAAAAAAAGAAAAATAAATATAATGTGGGAAAAGAAAAAACTGTTGAAATATAAATATTTAATTAATTACTTTTACAAAATTGTCTAGAAGCAATTATTGTAACTATCATAATAATCATGATAATATTTCCATGTGATAAATCAAATGTAGACATAAGTCTGCAAATTTTTATTGATTATAGTTAGTTTATACTGTGATCGTAGCAATATGACAGTTAAGTTTAAAACAAAATAACTATATTGATTTGTTATTGTGTAAAAAGGAGATTAAGTATAAAAGATAGAATAAAAACGTAAAAACTTTTGTTCAATGCTGATAATGAAAGTTATAACAAGGTAAACGTAAGCAACATAAACGTACGTCATTGAATAAATGTATTGACGCAAAATTGATAACGTCGCTAAGTGCCCACCTGTTATGCTACGACAATAAAATAGTCTAGTTAATGTAACAATTAATAATTGAAGCAAAATCCAACGCTGAAATAAAAAATAACCTATCAATTGAAGAAACTATGTTGCCAAGGAAAGACGGCCAATTGGAGTCGTATACTCTTGAAGATATGATATCTGATTTACAAACAAGAAGACATTCTCTAGATAATGATGATGATATTGGTGATCCTCATGAATTATTAAAACAACGTGAAAAGGATCTTGTACTGGCTGCTGAACTTGGTAAAGCACTTCTAGAAAGAAACCAGGAACTAACACGTCAAAGTGATGCACTTGTCGAGGAGTATTCAAGTAAATTGGAGGTAAGTTGATATCTTTTTTTCTCTAAACTGTTTGTGATAATAATAGACTCATTCTCTATTAGCTAAAACTCATAAAAAACACCTAGAATACTTGTAAATAATGTATTTATATCTACTCACTTTCTCTCTTATTTTTAAAATTATCTTTGTTTAATAATAATAACCTTTTTTCTTTCATTTATCACTAATTTAGGTATCATCTTTGATAGATAAGTTTATCAACGGAGAAGATGAATCATGATTTGATATTATTGAAAAAGTGTATGAAATAATATTTATTGTGATTGTAATGAAATAACATCAAATTATTCGCTGGGGGTTTAGTTCGGAAAGCTACGAAAGCGTGGAAACAAGACAGCGGGACTTAAGCAATATAACTTGAGAGTAAAAAATAAAAAGACAATAGCCGGTACTACGCTCTGTCTACCTTTCCGTGCTTTACGTAGTTCAGTTCTTTTTATTGACCTGTATTCGTACAAGATTTGCACTATCTATATAAACACAACATCTTCAATACCCTTTGGTATCAATCATCAATTTGCCATCACTGAAAATACTTTTGAAAGTTCATGAAACAATGGAATAAAAAGGATGCTTGGTGAATAAGTAAATTTTATTCATCACTAAAAATAGTGAATAAAAAAAAAAAAAATGCATAATAAAAATTACTCAGACTTTCTTTAAAATATACATAATGATTATAATAGTTGGTCTTTGTCATCTTTTTAAAATAGGCTTTACATAAGAATACCATCTGTTTCCATGTTGAAGGTATTTTATTTTAATATATACACAACAAGAACTGCAAAAATACACGAGAGAATTCACAGATTCGCTGCATATCCGGGCTATAGTGGAATTATAAGTTGAGGACAAAAGAAGAAGGAGAGCGGAACACAAAGAAAAATACCATAAAATTTTATTTCACAAACATAATTTGTTATATGTTGAATGTGACTTATATTTAATATATAAATTCTTCCATGAAGTGATTATTATAATAATAATAATAATGAAAAAAAAAAAAAAATAAGCAACAAAGTTCATTTATAATTAGAAAGATGCTTAGCTAAAATAGCTGTATTTCTTGTTAATTTACTTACGTATGTTCACACTTATTAAATCAAATAATGAATTTCAAAATTCTCACACTTAATTAGATCAAAAAATTGCACATGATAAATATATGTATGTAAATACTTACCTATTAACCTATTTTGTTTTTATTCTCGACATTTTTTCATTTTTTAAAGCTTCTCACTCTAGTGATTAAGTGGTAATTTTTTAATATTCATAGATTCTATTATGTGAATGGAATTAATTAATCATGATCATACTTTAAAGATAAATGATTCATTATTTGTATTAATTGCTTTAAATTACGAAGAAAGTGAAATACTTTTTATTCAATATTATTAATTTTTGCGATGATTTTAGCTAAGATATAAATATAAATTCATTAACATAAATATTAAAGTGTACATTAATTCATTGTGATAATAGAAAGATTTATTAAATTAAGATTAATTTATTTTATTGTTTAGAATTATAGAATAATTAAAATACTTAAATGTAAGAGTGTAAGCATAAAAAAGTGAAGACCCTAATGAACAAAATTAACTGTTGCTGAAGCCTTGTATTCATTGAAAACGTGAGACAGGATACATGTTAAGCAGGAAGTAAAATACCCGTATCAGGATATAGCGGATAAATTTAATGAGACATGAAATCTTTATTTCGACTATCAAGCTGACTCTAAACAAAAAAAAATTAAGATGATTTAATTATATATATTTGAGTGATCAAAAATGATTGTGGGAGAGAGTAATTAAATAGTATTGTTATGGAATAGTATTTTAATTCATTATGTATGAGCAAGTTGATGAGCATTGAAATTCAACCGTAGAAAAGTACACCATGTAATTATTGTTTAACTAGAAGTACACTTGAAGAATGATAATTTGGTGATTCGATAAAAAGAAAATTCGTAGAAGTTGTTTTAATTAATTATATAAATTACTAATGATATAATTAGTTATGTTCATTTTCCATATCCTATTTTATTACTGTGAAAATGAAAAAAAATTTTACTAAAATAATAATAGGTATTGTAAAACTGTCTACAGTGAAAATGAAATAAAAATGTCGACAACTATAACGAAATGTTTCACAGTAAAATTACACAATTTTATTGCCAAGTTATTTCTAGTCTTAAACTATATCTGGTGAAGAAAACATTTTATATTATTCGAATAAAGAAAAAAAATTGTAATAAAAAAGAAAAAAAGAAAACGCAATTGTTATATTGCAACATTAAGAGAAAATAATGATTGAACTAAATTTTATAAAGATTTAATCAAAAATTATTTTACTATTTACTGAAATTTGTTGTTTTATCATAAAATATATATGAATATACATTAAGTACTAATTGAGTTGTCTGCAATTCTGTAATCATTTTACTTTCTAATGAAATGCAATGACCATTTCACGATTACAGTATCTTGATATTAAAAACAGTAGTCTGAGAAATGCTAAAATGGAAATAAATAAGTGAAATAAAAATAAGATTAACGTAATTTATAATTAAATGTATATATTTTTATTTAATCGTCATATTATGTGATTATAATTTCATTAAATTAATAATGTATTCCGTAAAAAGAAAAGAATTATAATAGATTATTTATAATTATTATTTTATAATGAAAAAATTTGAGTTTAATAATAGTGATATTTTTTTTATTCTCTTTAAAAAAGAATCAGGGTCATTGCCACTACCTTGTCACTGTCTTTCATTGTAACAGGATAAAAAGTAGCATCGCTACAATCATACTGTTAGACAATGAATGTCTACATATATATATATATGTGTGTAAAATGAGTTGATGTTCAAGTCTTTTGCCAAGAATCAATAGCAAAGCAATATTATTATATCATAAGTCAGTGAAAGTCGACGTACTGCTTATTTATATGTAAAATTGATTATTTACATATATTTTAAACTCCTGTTTGCATTAATAACTTACAATTAAAAGGTCGAGAATAAATAATAACTTCATAATGGCAAAAAGTGAATTACAAAATACTGTACTTATCTAGAAATAAATAAACAATAATAGAGGTATTGAAATGATGTGTATAAAGACAAAGACATAATGAGAAAAATATTACAACAGTGAAATTTTTTTTTTCTCTCCATATAAAAAGTAATTTTATATGTACATGTATGTTTTTCAATTGTAATTATTCATTTTGTGGGAATGATGATTTATAAAATTATTGATTTAACTTTATGACCATGATAATTTGGTAATGATTTTTAAAAACAACAATAAAACCATTGAAATAATAATTTCATCAGAAAACATACCATGAGAGAAAGGATAATGTGTAGACCTTGATGTTTTGGAAAGCTATACTAGTAGTCACGTAAATCATTTAATGTTGTTGGCCATTGAAACATATCTACTATGCTAAAAATTATTTAATTTTACTATTTTATATTTTTACTTTTTCACAATATTAATTATTTTAAATTTATTATGCTATTTTTAAAGATAATAAAAATGATATTAATGATGATAGTGATTGAGAAATATGATGTATTAATTTATTGATGTTTCTTTTTTCAGTGTCTAGAACAAGAGAGACATTTACTACGTCGAAGATTGGAAGAAGTTAAAGGTGAGAGTGAGGCTCGTGTTTTAGAACTTCAGGCAGACATTGAAACATTGAGAAGTCAATTGGAAGAACAAAGTGAACGATCAAGAAGAGCAGAACGTGACCAAGCAATTCTTGTAGCTGAATTAACTGCTCAAAATACTCGACTTGCTGATCAATTAAGAGAAGCAGCTAAAACAGAAGATCAACTTCTTACTGAGGTAAAAGTACTCAGGGATAAGTGTACTCTTCGAAATACTACTCTTCAAGATCATGTTAGTAGTTTGGAAATTCTTCGAGATGAAGTACGTATTTATTCAATATTTACTTGATGAAATGAAAAAAAAAAAATAATGTTAATTTGAATTAATTTATTAATAATCATTTATAGGTGCAATTGGTATCAGCACAAAGAACAGAATTGGAAAAACGATCTCTTGAATTACGAGAAGAGAGAGCAAGAGCATTGGCAGCCCTGGAAGAGGCCGAGGAAAGGGCTGCGGCCTTGGAAAGACTTAGTCATGAAGCGGAACACCGAGCAAGAGCAGCCGAGCAAGAGAGGTATAAACAATTAATAATTAATATTTACTCAAATTAGTCAGCTTTTGAATTAATAAATATTTATAAGACCTTAAGTTGATAAACAGTTGATGTTTTATTTAAAAATTTTCTATCTTATTATCGATTTTTTTATAATTAACTTATTTTTAAAATCTGTTATTTAAAAATAGTCAGAATAAATTTATTTTTAATGCAATAAATTATTATAAATCTTCGTAAACCAATAAAAAGTATTGTTATAATAGATAATCGATAATATCTTGAATTTAAATCTTTATTAAACGGCTTTACAACTAATACCTTATTCATGATCATACTATTGAAAAGTTATTTTTACTTATCTATCACGATTTTCTATTCTTATTTTTATTTTCTACAAATAAAATTATCACATCCGATCTATTTGATTTCACATAAGTAAAAATTTCACTGATAAAAGCTAGCAATTAACTAAATAATTATTTTTAAATGTTTTCACATCATTTATTTAACTTACAAGATTAACTAAAAGATTAAGAATACTTCATTTGAATTAGAACAAATGTAATTACATACATTATTAAATGATATTAAACTTCCTAGTATTGTCATGTAATGGCTTCAGCTCATCAATTAATTTGATTTATATAAATCTAGATATTTACCTTTATTTCAATCAAACGTCTCAACTACATATTAAATGGAAAGTTTATTAATGTTAAGAATAAATAATAAATAGGAAATATCCGTTCAATAACATATATTTAATATTGTCATTATTTACTATAGAGATGAGTTGTCCGCCGCAATGGCAGCGATCGAAGTGGAAAAAAGAGGTAGGTCTGGATCGATACAGAAGCCACCGAGGTCATTACAAGCGGAAATGGAATGCGAGGTGAACGGAAGTTCGCTTGAAGAACAGGAAGACATCAAAGTGGAAGTAGAAAAAGCATGCAAACGACTACGAGAACTAAGCACGCACCTACGAAGAAGTGAAGAAGATTCAGGATTACAAAGTGACTGTGATGAGTCAATGCTCGTTATTGTTAATGGTGCTGAAAATGAAGTGAGTAAAGACTTTTCATTCTATAAAAAATAAAGGAAATTAATATTTATTTTCAAATCCCCTCTTTTTTTTTCTACCAACAGGGATATTATTCAGGAACACTAACAGAGTTAGTTGAAGAAATTTATGGCTTAGCCTTATCCGGTAGAGGAGCACCAGGAGAACTAGGACTTGCGGTAGAATTGCATAGAGTAACTGAAGAACTTGATGTAGTGAAGCAACAATTAAAACAGACGCAAGAAGAATTAAAGAGACGAGGTGAAACATTGTTAGAAACGACAAGTAAATTAACAATCTGTGAAGCTGAATTACGGGGCGTAAAAGAGGAACGAGATCGTGCTCGAGGTGATATGAAAGATACTGATCTAAATAGAGATCAAGTATTGGCTCAAGCTTATGCTGTAAGAGATCAAGCTGTTGCAAGGAAAAATAGAGCAGAAGTTGAATTAGCAAGAACTAGGATAGATGTGCTTCAAGTAAACAGCCAATTAATGGAAGCTATTCAACAAAAAGTTGAATTAAGTCAACAATTAGAGCAATGGCAAATGGATATGCAGGCACTCATTGATGAACATGTGAAAAGTAAACTTACACCAGTTTCTCCGAATAATAATAATAATAATAACAATAATTCCATTGATAACCCAGAAATCTCAGCTCCTGCTAGAAAGAAACAAAGTACTGGAAGTTCAAAAAAAATGTTTGGTCTCTTTTGAGTAGTGATATATTATTTTAATGATAGATAAAAGAAAAAATAATTGTGTAAATATTGTAAATTAATAGCGAATAATATTTAATATTTAAAATTAATTATACCTCAAAATTATATATTATATAATATTTAAATTTAAATATAATTTATAAATTAAATGAAAGTTTAATTAGAGTTTTACGTAAGAAAATTCATATCAGCTATTTACGTCCATAAAATTTAAACAAGCAGCTAAAGTTACTTATCTAATTATTACCATTTTTAATTTACTTGTTATGATATATCATCAATAAATTATTTTTGTATTGAATTTATTAAAATTAAAGTCACCGTTTAATACAAATGAAATTTTTCGTGTTAACACTCGTTAAATTGGCTGATATTTACTTAAATAATTTATTTAATAATAGTAAATACTTCAATTTTTTTTAATTAGTTGAAATGTAAACTCTACTAATAATTATTGTATATTTAGAAAAAATTGATTTGTCAATTAAAATTCGTGTGCCTTCTAAAAGTTTATATTATATTAATTATTCATTAGAATTGATTAAAAGGATAATCAATATATAATTCTAATTAAACAAATCAAAGTAAATTTTGTACAATAACTAATGTAAATATACACTACAACGAAATGATTATTATGCATTTCTAAATAATAAAAAACACTTGTTCAAAAAATTAGCTGGATTTATTGTGTTAAAATAATTTTACTTTCTCTTTCACTGGCCATGTTCATTCTTTTTTTTAAACTTACCTAGAAATTGTTGTATAATTACTTGATAGTAATAGTTGAGTACCTAGAATTTTCTGTTCGTTGATCCAACAGTCCTTCATTTTTGGATGACATAACACAGTGATCTACAATGCAACGTACAGTCTACCCAAAGGTTCCTGAAAATTTTCATGCTGTTAATTTTTTTAATTGCAAAAAATTAAAAAATAAATTTTGCCTAAAAAAATATACAAAAAAAATACTGGTTATTTATATTTACAATTAAGCTTCCGAAATAAGAAATTAAAAAAAAAAAAAAAAGTTCAAATTCCAATTACCATACATATTTTAATATATATAAATATGTTTACACATATTAAAGCTACAGACAAACTTTTCATGCTACACGTTTTTATGCGATAAGTTCTTTTTATTTTATTTAATTCAGCAATATTTTTTAATAAATTCCTAAAATATTCAGTATAAATAGAATTATCAGGATACAGAAATGAACTTATTTTATACTTATTATATACTTATAGTTAATTCTTATGAATAATAGATAAAATAAATTACAATTATAAATATTTATTAAATTAATTTTATCGTCATTTTCAATGTAAGCTTCATCCCATTCATTCAAAATATAATGGCATAGATACGATTACGTTTACATACTCACATTAGTCATATAGTTTTTTTTTTTTTTTTAAATTTTATATTTAACGATTGAATTATCATTAATTATTTATTTTTGTAGCGATAATTATGACATATTGCTATATAACAACAAATAAATAATTATAAACAACATGTATTCGTATATCTTTGTGTAATTAATTTAACACTTTATTATTTTTCGCCAAATTAATTTATAATATCTTCATATAAAATGATTTATGTATTTTACAAGATTTACAGTACACAGATATGAACGTAATATTTATATATATTTAATAAAAAAAAAAACATGTTATTTAAAAAAAAAGGAAAATATATATTCATTGTTGATTTGTTAGTTGTAAAATTAAGTATTTTTCAAAAAACTAATGTAATAATTATCAATTATTTACTACATGTAAATACATAAATTCACTTTTGACTAAAATAATTAGTAATTACATATTCACTTATCTTTTATTGTAGTTATTTCATTATAATAACATTGTTATTAACTTAAGTAGGATTTATTCTACTTCTATAGCAACATAGTATTATTATTATTATCATTATTATTATTATTATTATTGTTACTGTTTTTTTTTATAATAAGATTATTTTTACTATCATGTTTAGCTAGGTAAATATGTAAATCATATGTGTTGGTATATATTTTTTATATGATCCACAGTATAAAGGACAAAAAATATTATTAATATATATCTGTACATTGAGCGTATTGTCAGAGATACACAAGTCATTTTTCCATGTCTTAATATGCAGAATTTAAAACAATATATTCTTCTTTAATAACTTCTTTAGACTCTGACTTTTAACTGAATACTTCTTATTCTATATATTATATAATATAAATTATATGTTTATTTTATTTTATAGATATATTATTATGATTAATGATTAGATAGATTGTATATAAAATTCATTGCTTACATATTTTAATTAATGGACTAGTGAATTTTACGAATTACATTTGGTATTATTATAATTATTTACAAAAGTAATAATAAAATGCTTGATTAAATGAAAAGGAAAAAAAACTCTATATTGTTATATATATATATATATATTTTTTTTTATTAGAAAGAAAAAACAGTAAATAAATAATTTTTAGAAATATCTTTCAATAGAAAATAAATGGATATTATTACGCATGAATATTTTTTATCAGTGGCAATTTGCTAAAAATTGATGGTTTATTTATTTACAAGTATTATTATTGCATGGTAAATATTAAAAAAATACTTGAACAAATAAATGAAGAAATGATGATACCAAGTTGAAAAATAAGATATTTGTTTTTTGTTTTTTTTTTTCTTATAAAATTAATAAAAATAAATAAATTGAAAATAACAAATAAAAATAGAATATAAATTGGGAAAGTACGATAGGATATATAATGTAGAAACATGTCGAGAATAATATTTATATGTAATTGTATTTTACAACTTAATTCGATTAAAGTAATTACAAATCGTTTAAGGAACAAAAAGATGATGCAGAAATATTCAAGCTTTCTTCTTTTTGTTTCTCTTAATATTCATTGCAAAATATTTGTTTATGGTTTTAATATTTTATTTATTTATTTATTTTTTTTTTCATTTGGTTTTAAATTCCAAGTAACGATGTAAAAAATAATAAATAAGAGAACACACTTACATTCATTATAACTATCATACAACATTATTCAACGTAACTTTCACAGATATTTAATGTAAAAAAATAATAAGTAAATTGAAAATGAGCATAAATGGAGGACTTTTAAATTTAAAAAAAGCGATAAAAAAATTTTTAATTGATGATCAAAAACAAAAGAAAATTTTTAAAGATAATTTGTTTATAAAATTTCGTTTTTTCATGAAGGATGAATATTACATTTGTTATCTTATATTATATTTATTTTTAACTAGACTGTATTTATATTAATAGTTACGAAAAAGTCCATAATAAAAAGTATTTACTCTATCCAGTATTTTTTTTATGAATAATGGTAATTCATTAATTACTATATTCCACATGAATATTTAATTTGTTTATACTTCGTGCGTAATCGAGGCTACTAAACAATTAATTCGTTAATTTCAATATTCCTTTTAAATATGAACCCACAGGGTCCATATTTAGGTCGTATATCAATAATATAAAAAGATAATCGGAGGGAAGTAGAGGAAACATTGTGATTTATATTTATACATAAATAGTATTTCATCATTCATTTTTTTTTTTTCGTGATATAATAGCAAATTGCCACAAATACTTTGCATTTTAATATGTAATAATATTAAACAATCATCATTCACATCATTATTATTATTATTAATTATTATTATTATTATTATTATTTTACTAAATTATGACTATACCTACGCTAGTGTTATTAATATTAATACTTATATTAATATTACTAATAATGACAGTAAGACAAAAAAAAGAAAGATTATATAAAAAATGAATGAACAAACAAAATTTACATTTAATCTTCCTTCTTTTCATCTTATTTATTAACTATAATTAACGAAATTTTTTCATTTTCGATTGATATATTATTGAAGCTTTATACGTATCTACATAATCAACTTATATTATTTATAAATAATGATTCATTATATTTATATTAAACTTCAAAATTTTTTTTTTTTTAAGTCTACATTATTTTAAACGTTTATAGCAAAATTTCCCTACATTTATTAATTTAAAAGTAGGCCAATTTTATTTTTTATTTACGTCCACCGAATGCTCATCAAAAAATTGCTTTAAAAAATTATACATATAAGATTTTTATATCACTACACAATCGGCGATGGATGAAATGATTTTTCTTTTCTCCATATAATTAACAAGAATGTGAGATCGTCATTTCAAGTTATCGTTAATTTTTTCTTTTAGAAGATTATTTCTTACAACATTCAAAAATTCATTTCTTTTACGCCATATTATTCATTTAATATTCAATTACTCTATGATAGATAAACATTCATTCTTGTATTTTTTCTGATTTACAACACTGCCTTCAACACAGCCATACTAAGCCAAATACTTTTTGGGTTTTTCTGTCATTATGATTACTCATCTTTCTATTTATCTTTTCATCTTACATTTTTTCAAAATTAATAATAATAATAATAATAATAATAATAATAATGATAATAATAAGAATTAAAATTAAATGTTGTCTATACAGTTTGACTTATTTTATCACTTTCAATTATTCATACATATAACTCTGATGTTAAATGATATTAACTTGAATTATGGAAATATTTCAGATAATTTAATTAAATGATTAATGATATTCAATTTACATATATTTTATTTCATTATTTACTGTCTTTAAATTTGAAAATGATGTTAATTTGTATAAAATAAGTCCAGCAATTTGATGAAAATCTTAAGTATAATATCCTAAATGCTTTTTGCATTTTTGTTTGAATTATTTGACGCTCGATTATGTACTTAATGACAGTAAACGATATTAATAATTAAATTAAGGCATGAATTAAGAGAAAAGAAAAAATATATTTGTTTTTCAGCTAAGCGGTTTGTAAAGAAAAAATACAATAAGATATTTATTATAATACAACAGTGATATCGTCGCGTAATATCAGCCTCAATTGCATACGAAAAAATTTCATCATGGACATTATTTACAGTCCAAATTTCAAATATTAGCACATATAGTTGTCTCGAGTCTACCGTTAAATAATTTTGCAAATATTATAATATTTTGTTTTTCTTTCGTTTCAATAATAATGGGATTAATAAGAGTAATATAAATGATAATAATAATGAATAAATTTATAATAGACAGGTAAATTAATAATAATAATTATTATTATTATTGTAGTAATAATAGTATTTTATGTACAAAGTAGAATATCATTTCACTGTACGTCTTTCGATGACGCACAATTTTTTCTTTAAATTTTCACTTCTTCAAACATTCCTCCTTAATTAATGACGTACAAATTAGACGTATTATTAGATTTTGATTGATCTGTATACAACGGGTCCAATAACGACATAATCACATACATCACTCTTTACTGTAGTGTCTATTATTCATTTTTTTTTTTATTTTAACTTTGATCTTCCATCATTGAACACATGCATGCCGTTAATGCTTTATCCTTGATTTTCACCACATATTGGATGTTTTTTTCTTTTTTCATTTTCGTTAAGTAACCATCAGTTTGCGTTTAGCTTGAAGGAATTATTAGTATTATTATTATTATTATTATTATTATTATTATTAATAGTATTATTATTATTATTATTATAATTACTATTATTATAATATCATTATTAATATTAATATTATTATTATTCTTTTTTATTTTTACTTTATTTAAAAAAATCTTCTACAAACAAATTTGATCAGTAATAAAAAATCGTACACATAATTTGTTTATCAAGTACATGTAGCGATTATAAAAATTTCCTTCAAGCTCGAGAATAAATATATCATAATTGTTCATGAAAATCTCGGTAATAAAAAGCACTATTATGCATTGTATTCACACATTTTTACTATATACGTACGTGGCAGTCACTTTTGATAATATAAATACATATCTATATCCTTGTATGTATACATATATCATCAGCAAAGAAATGAATCAGTAGCAAATACAGTTCATACTGTACTCGATTGCTACAATTGTAATTTTTTTTTTTTTTACACTGTATTTTACTTTATATATAGTAATAACGAATATTAAGTATACACAATATATTTGTACGATTCCGCTCGATTTATAACGAGGAACTTTTCTCTTGTTTTTTATTTTTTTCCCTATAAAGACATTGAAGATCTGGAGGCAGCAAAGTTGTTTTGAATGACAATAAGTTTTGTATTATTTCATATAACTCGTTATTTACTAGATGCTTATAGCAAATTGTATCAACAATAATTGTGGAATTTTTCAACATTCAAGTATTTCATTATTATTTTCTCGTTTTTCACTATTAATCTTATCTCATATTAACGTCAAACTTTATTCAAAAATAATTAGACAAAAAAGACAATACTAATAAAATAAAGAAAGAAGAAATAAAGAACAACATTTTTTCCTTCATTCTTCTTACTTGTATTTGCAACGACGTGCACCCGAAAGTAATCTCATGCGCGAGTCATTGTGACTTTTCCTAATAACATTAATGACAATAACAATATTAATAATATAATATAATAATAATAATAATAATAATAATAATTAATTAATTAATAATAATAATAATAATAATAATAATAATATTACTAATATAATATAATAAAAATCATAATTAAAGAGATTAATAATTATTACAGAGTAATATTAGTATAATAATATTAATAATAATAAAAATAAGTTGCTAGGTATAGTTTATACAAATCTACAAAGATTGGGAAATACCGACGAAACTTACGATCGGGATCACACATGCACTAGTTCATTATCTTAGACATTGTTTTCTAAGAACAGTTTTTTTATAGCACGCGCGAATTTCCGTTATAATGTCAACGTTTAATTCGTTGATAGTCACTGGCTAAAGCCGGTCCTATTGATAACAGTCACTACAAGCCTTCAACAAACTTGGATAATTGATCCTGTGGTGTCATAGGCGTCACATCACCTGATTCATTAGCGTTCGTAGGTGGGGGTGCTGGTGATGGATGATGTGGCATTGCCGTAGGATGACCGGTCGGTGCACCAGTGCCAGCACCAAGTTGTGAAAGCATCATTTCACTAGGACCTCCAAGTTCGTGAGCTGGCGAATGTGTTGGTGTACCATGAGGCGGATGATGAAGTGGGGAAGGAACTGGACCTGCTCTCGGTGATGGTACTGGTTGATTACGAGGCGACGGAACAGGTCTTGGCGATGGATTTGGTTGTGGCGAACGAATTGGAGGTGGCGATCGTACAGACTGCATTAACTGCTGTTGTACTGAAATACCAGGTGGTCCCATAACACCTTGAGAAGAGGACACTGGTGATGGAGTTGGTTTAAGACTCGGTTGACCATATCCTTGTTCATTAAAACTACTATAACCAAGAAGCGGCCTCATAGGTCTTTGTTGGCCATATGGAGGCGCAGGTGGTTGTGTGAAAGGTTGTTGCTGCTGCTGCTGCTGTTGTTGTTGCTGTTGTTGAGCTTGCTGTCTTTGCATTGCCAAAACTTGCTGTTTATACCACTGATGTTGTCCTTGGCCAGCTTGTTGCTGCTGCTGTTGTTGCTGCTGTTGCTGTTGTTGTTGCTGAGCCTGCTGCTGCTGCTGTTGTTGCTGTTGCTGTTGTTGTTGATTCAACATTGCTTGAATTTGCATTCGACCTTGCTGTGTTTGTTGTTGCACTTGCTGTTGAGGATGCTGTGTTTGATGTGGTTGTTGTTGTTGTGGCATCATATGTTGCAGACTCGTTTGTTGTTGCTGCTGTTGAGTTTGAGCAGGACCTAATGGATTAACACCACCAGTATGTTGACCACCAGATTGTTGTTGTCGTTGTTTAATAAATGCAGCCATTAATTGTGGATTAGTTTTCAATATATGAAGAATTTGACTTTGTTGTTCTGGCGTACTAGGACTTCTTAACGTTTGCATAAGCTGTTGTAGTGCGTGTTTATGCATTGGTGTAGCACCACCTTGAGTTTGTGGACCAACCTGGCCTACCGGATTACCACTTATCACACTAGGTTGTCGTGGTATTTGACCAGCCATACCCATTCCAGGTTGCCCTTGATGTTGTTGTTGCTGCATAAGTTGTTGTGGTGTTTGTTGACGAAGCCCTGGATTTTGTTGCATAACAGCATTCGGTGGATATCTCGGTGTCCATTGATCCATAGAAATAAGATGAGTCCCACCGGGATTTGGCATTTGAACTGACATGGGTCTTTGCATTTGTGGAGGAGGCATTACTCCACTACTCTGTCCACCAACATTAACACCAACTCCAACGCCTCCACCTGGTGCAACTTTACCATATCCAACATGTGGTGCTTGTTGCCTGGCAGCCTCTTCCTGAACTTGTTTAACTACTTGAAGAACATGTGCTGGTGGTGTTTGTGTACCAGGTTTTAAACCTATACCCGGTTGATGAGGTGATGGTAAATTAGTTGGACTAGCTCCTGGTTTCATTGCTACACCAGCAGTCATAGCAGCATTCGGTTGTTGTCCACCTTGCATACCACTTACAGGAGCTGTCGGTCTTGTATTCATTACTGCCATTCTTCTTCGTAAGAGTTGTGCTTGTTGTAGTCTTTGCTGCAATTGTTGTTGTTTTAATTTATGTTTAATATTCGAACAGAATGGCACCAGACATTTCGTTTCCTGACAATGTTTTGCATGATAACAACACAATGCAATAAGCTGTTTACAAATTGGACAACCACCATTAGTTTTCCGTTTGCAAACTTTGGTATGTGTAACTACTCTCTTCATCTTTTGACAGCTTGGTAATCTACAATTAGCATCTCTACATTGACATGCGTGGACCAACGATTGTATACATCTTTGAATTGAAAGTTTTCTAGCTTCTTGAGGATTAGCTTGTTTGGCATCTGCTGGTGATGAACCATCATCCAAATCCAATCCAAGTTTCTCCATAGGATGAGGATGACCATCTTTTTCTTTACAACTTATACAGAGATCAAAGTCCTAGAAAAAATAACAATACAAATTAATATCAATTTATTACACTATACTCATATAATAAACTTATTAATTTATAGAAATGTATTGGATAACTTACATCGCAAATCGTACAGTGATACCGTGTCTCCACATGACTCTTACAATTATTACACGTGTAAACAAACTTGTCTTGGCCTTGATTATGTAATTCATACAACATTGACATTGAACTAAATTTCGCCCTTCTTAACGATGAAAATTCATAATGTTTTTCTCTCGCCATTGTAAGGAAAGCATCACGTCCGTCCATAAGATCACAATTAATAACAGGATCAGGATCTTGAATTGGTGCTAAACTAGCTGCACTTTGAGCACTATGCAATCTAATTACAAAAAAGACTTCTTTATGTTTTTCCATTGTGGCAAAGATTTTAGCGGAAAGATCATTGCCTGTTTGGGGTGTATTGGACTTTTTACTATTTTTTCGTTGATTCGCCTTTGATTTATTTGATTTTTTTGCTTTCTTTTGACCTTTTTTCTTTCCGTCTGGTCCAGTCTCCGAATCATCCGTCAATGAAAATATCTATTATAAAATGCATTATTATTTTATTAGATAATAATAATATATTATATATATATATTACTAAATTAATACTAAACATTGTAAAAAAACTTACCGCATTAGCGGCAGCAGCTGCTGCTTCTGCAGCTTCAGCTTGTTTCCGTTTTTCCTCTTCTTCTTGATCAAGTTCTTTAATACTTTCTTCGAGTACGTTGGGCCAAAAATCACCTTCAAAATACGGTAAATCAGCAGCAGAAGATAATTTATCTTCCATAGCTTGTTTTAAAATATCCTAAAAAACAAAGTACAAATTTATTTCCATTGCACATCAATTGTTAATAGTATATTATAGCATATATATCAATTGATTGTTAAAATGTATCCCAACAATCCTATGTTTAATATCAATCAAATATAAAAAACATTAGCTTACGTTAGGAATTAATTTAAGTCTCTTTTGACAACTGTATATTAAAAATTTCATATACAGACAACACAGAGACTAAATTTAAGGAAAAAAAAAATAATATCAAAAGTTTATAAAGTCTAACCTTATAATCAAGTACGATTCGTTCAACCATTCCTTTATCTAACATCTTTTTATACCACTCTTGTAATCGTTTAGGCTTTGGAATTTTTTGTTCTTGAGGATGGCAGTGAAAAATATAATCATCTCCCTCTGATGGCGGACACGCCCATATGTGAGCCATTGTATATCTACATAATCAGGAAATTAATTAATTAATTAATGTATAATTAGTAGTTTATTACATGAATAGTACTGATAAATTAAAAATATTTACCCTAATTGTTTAGCATAATCCAAATACCCAAGAAGAATTTCATGATAGACAGCCGTTCTAAATTGCCTAGGTCGAAAGAAGTGTACTGAATCCAAGTAAGCGATGTACACTCTTCTAGTATTCGGTGGTGTGCATTCACTTCCATATTCTTGCACATGCATACCGAAAAAGCAAACGTCTGTACCATCAACTTCTTCAAAAGCAAATAATGCTTTTGCACGATAAGGAAACTCTCCCGGCATATCACCGTTTTCGACAAACCTACTTCTCATACCAGGCTTAACTTCAACGACTTTATCACTTGATGCCACAACTCGAATAGCAACTTCACCTGCACCAGCTTCTTTCTTTTTCAAAAAGTTATTCACTCTTGTTTCAATATACGTTCCTAACTTTGTAACTGGTAATCGTTTTGCATTAAATTTATTCTCTTTTCGTTTCTGTCCTTTCTTTTTAAGACAATTATCACAGGTAAATCTTAAAAATAAAAATATTTTAAATATTTTATTATTTTTATAACATCAATAATAATTTATAAAAAAATAATTTTATAAAAATTAACTCACCCTAATGGCCAAATTGCTTCCATATGGAGAACACAAATTTGGTGAACCTTCCTATCACAATCCGTACAAACAACAAAAGGCTCCAATTCCAAATGATCATTTTTCATCTCTTGAAATTGCTCCTTCTTAATTATTCTATAATATAATAAATAATTTATCAATAGTATCAATAAAATGATTAATTTTTTTAAATAAATAATTAAAGAATAAAAACTTACGTCTGTTGCTGCGCCGGGTCGTCTCCCAACGTCACAGTGTCACCAGGAATGTCGTTGAAACATTTTTGACAGAAGGTGTATCTGTCGGAAACAAGATAACTCTTACTGTGAGTATAATATTTTGCGTCCAAATAAGCATGTTTTATTTTATTTTATTATTATTCAATTTCATATCCAGTTCGTAATGACATAAATGTTATGTATGGTCCAGTTGGTGATCGTTCAGATTAAAACGCGAGAATGCGTATAATTGTTTATTAAACATACGTTTATGATTTATTGTAATCATCATTTGATTGATTTAGATGCCAAAAATGATGTCAATCGAATTTTTATCCAGTATGTTTTTATTCCAATGATTTGGTTTTTATTATCGTCCAATGTAAATTTTTCCAATTGCCAAGTAGTATTTTATTTATTTATATATATATATTTTTTTTTGATTTGTTTATAATTCGAAATGGAAGTTGAAAATAAACAAAGGAGCACACCATGGAATGTAAGAGCCAAGCGACAAACGAGGATGTATGTGTGTGTGCACGCGTGTCCCACGTCAAAATGGAGGTAACATACAAAGAAGAGAATAGTGCAAATGTTAGAAACGATGTGGTAAATAAGTAAATGTCTGTTTATGTTAATAATATTAATTTTTTCCAATTATTCGGTTTCAAATGTCATGAATTTATATGATTAGAAGCTGTGCTATTGGTCAGGGGACTGATTTAAATCAGTATCATTGCACTGAATTAAACTAATTAACCTGCCATTTAATATAGCGCAGTCGATGTGTCAATTATTTTTTAATAAATAACAAAAAATTGACATGAAATACTGATTGCGCAGCAATTATACATGCAAGCTTGATTGTCAAAAGAAGCTAAATAAAAAAAAATAACAAAATGTATTTGTATATTTAATATCTCTTTAATGATATATATATATATTGACTGAGTTTTATTTTTGATTGCTATAAACACAGATTAAAAAAAAGCATGCTGTACTTTATCAATGTAGTATTTTTTTTTTTTTTTTAAATTAATAAACACAGAATGATATCTTAATACTGACCTATTTTTATAAGAATAGTATTTAGCATCCCGAGGTATCGTACAAAGTTGTTTGCCATAACAACAAAGAACCTGCGGATTGAAAGTGTATTTTCTGCCACAACAATAGCCCAAAGCTTGCATTACAGGATCAATTTCTTGTTCAAACACTTCCGACAGCTATAAATAATAAAATATGATTTTTAATATTTCTAATAAAATTTAGAATAATATTAAAAATATAAAAATTTTAATTACCTTTGTACAGTATCTATAAACTCGTGAAGTTTTACGATTATAGAGCCATGCATTATCAAACATCATCCACACATCATCAACGTATTCCCATGGATCACTGTATTGGCCTGTATCAAGTTTTCTTTTTATTGTTGACAGATCCATTGGATGTTTTACAATATCAAAGTAATCAGGGATTCCAAGTGCCGGTGGATCTACTGGTTGTCTAAATGGTATTGATTCAGGATCTTGACGGTAAAGTTTTTCTAATGTTGGCATCAACGCTTGTCTCAATTCATCAGGCTTAAATAAACAAAGTCGTTTTTTGTCTGAAGATGTTCCACTAGACTGTATTGGTTCAGGTACCATAGGTTTAATATCAGATGTAGTACCATCAACACCGGACATTGGTGTTACAGGCTCCTCTTTAATATTTGATTCGTCTTTCAAAGCACCATCAGCAGTTTCATCCATTGGTTCAGTTTTAATTTCGGTCTTTATTGCAATATCATTATTAGGATTTTTTCCACCATCTATCCTATGATTTTCCGAACAATCTTCTTGTTTTATTTCCATTTTAATATTTTCCTCTTTAATAGTATCTAATTTGCCTTTATTATTATTAGTTGGTGGACTGGGTGAATTATCTCGATCAAGTGCCGCTGTAATGGCAGCCATTTGAGAAGACATTGTTGAACATCTTGGTGCATTCAATGCCGCTCTCTCTTGAGACGTCATACCTTTACCAAGACTTGCGAGACCAACTGGTGAGGGAGTAGTACCTGGATGAGGTGGTGTTTGATTTGATGATGATAATGATTGATTAGGTGTAGTTAATGATGGAACAAGTGGCGTTGTGGGTGTTGAAGTTACAGATTGAGGACCATTAGTTGTAGGCGCTGGTCCAGGACTGGGTCCACTAGATGCTGGCGGTGGTATTGTTTGAGGTGTAGCCACAGAAATTCCGCTATCATTAGGTGTAGATGCAGATAATGGTCGCGTATTAGCAAATTGTTGATTGTTTTGTTGTAAACTATTAAATGGTGATGGAGTTTGTGGAATCGTCGTAGTATTATTATTATTTGGAACATTTGCACCAGTTTGTTGTGGTTGAGATTGTTGCTGCAATTGTTGAGCCTGTTGCTGTTGAACTTGCTGTTGTTGTTGTTGAACTGCTTGAGCCTGTTGTACTAGTCTTGCTTTCATTAACTCCGGAAATTGATGTTGATTTTGAACTGGTGAACTATTTGGAAGGCTTGTCGTACCATTGGACGTTGGGAATTGACTAGTTGTAGCTGATGTTGTTGTCGTTGTTAAACTAGCTTGTGACATTTGTTGTTGTGCAAAAGGTATAAGGCCTGGATTTGGTACCATGTTTGGATTTGATGCTGTTTGACCATTTGGACTTGGTCCAGGAGGTCCCACTAACATGTTAGATTGTTGTTGCAATTGTTGTGCCTGTTGTTGCTGTTGAACTTGTTGAACTTGCTGTTGTTGCACTTGTTGCTGTTGTTGTTGGACTTGTTGTTGTGAAAATTGCATACGATTATGTTGAATACCTAAAACGGGGATATTACTCAATTGTCCCATTGGTGAATGACTCCTTAAATTAGGAGGTACAGGTCTAGAAGGTTGAACGGCAGATGTAACACTTGGTGGTGCACAAGCTCTCGAACTAGGGCCTGCAGTGGGTTGAGATTGCTGTTGAGCTAGTTGTTGTTCTTTACGTTTTTGACGCTTCTCTTCGAGCTCCTTTTGAATTTTATAAATTTTTTCAGCTAATAAATGATAATACTCCGATCGTGAATTGGCCATTTCATACATATCACCTTCGACTTTTCTTGCATAGTTAACTAAATTATACAACCGTTTATCGAACATTGCTTGTGGATCGGGCGTCGGAAATATCGCTTGTACTAATTTATGAACAAGATGATTCCTGAGATCAGGTGTTACAGATTGATGCCATTCTTTTGTCCCTTGCACTGGTGAAGCGGTAACTTGACCAGGCTGTAGACCGGGAGGTAATTGTACATTTGATAGTCGATTTTCATTAAGTATTGTAGGTTGACCGGAATCATTAATTCCAAATAATTGATGCATATTAACTGATTGCTGAATATTTGTAGCAGTTGTAGCTGCTACTACAGGCGTAGGACCCGTTGTAGATACAGGCTGATTACCTGTTACAGCTACTGCTGCTGAATCGGAACTTAATGGAAGCGAAACATTGGGCGCAACAACTTGTTGTCCAGGATTAACTCCTGGTTGGACTGTTCCTAATTGAGTTTGTGGTTGATTTAATCTTACACCTGTCGTCATTGTACCTGGAGGGCCTTGTATATTAGGTCCAGGCATTCGAACACCAGCTCTATTAATATTTTGTCCCGGTAAAATTCCAGGTGTTGTTGTTGGACATTGTAATCCCAAAGCATCGTAAGCTCTTCTCATGTCCGAAGGACTTGGATTGGGTTGACTATTTGCTTGATTAGCGGTTGTAGCTATTAATCAAAATAATATTCATTTTAGAAAAGAGTCAATAAATGAAATTATAAACAAAGAAAAAGTATATGTCATGTCAATTGAATACTTACCAGCACGAGCATTAGCAGCAGGTTTATTTTTATCTGCTTGTTTAAGAGGCAAACAAACAGGACAATCACTCTTTTGGCATTGTTTCCAATGTGTAATAATTTGCCTCGATGAACTGCAGTGAGGAACAGTACACTCTTTTCCGTCATCACAAGTTGTCATATGGGTTAATACATTTTTCATAGTTTTACAATGCGGTAATGTACATTTCCATGACTCTCCATTAGCTCGACGTTCCCGAGTTTGACACTTGTGGGCATGGAGTAACAGCACAAGTTGTTGTTGGATGAGTTTTCGGTGTTCTGGATCATGAGTAGAAGATGAGGAACCTAAGTTATATGCACCGACGATCATTTTACACATAAAAAAATGGTCTTAACTAGTAAGAGCCATTTCATTAAATCAAAAACTCACCGGATTGAGTGTTGCCAGTAGTAACTTGTCCCTGAGTAGCTTGTTGAGGACCAGGTTGGCTACCGGCAGGTGCTCCCGATTGAGGTTGAGCAGGACTTGGCGCTGGCGGCTGGGCTTGGGGTGCTATTCCACCTTCTTGGCCACCAACTACATTTCCTGCACCAATTGGACCCGCTGAGCCTCCGAATCGTCCGACTTGCATCCCTCCCATATTTGGACCAACGTTCCGTTGTAATGGGGCAACTACACAAATAGGATTTACAGCTCCAACATTAACTCCAGTGCCTGGACCACTACCTGGAGAACCTATCATCCGAAAAAATATTTTTCATGAGTCCAGACACTTGGTTGTTAATGTATTACCCTATCAACTAATCTAAGAATGAAATTTTCTACGTTACTTACCATATCCATAATTCGAGGCATTCATTTGGCTTATATTAGGCATATTTTGCATATTTGGAGGTGCTTGCATTCTCGGACCAGTTTGACCCGGGCCTACTATTCCTCCTTGATGGACTTGTTGATGAGGACTTTGTCCACGTGCTTGATTAACCATGTGGGCTTGTTGTTGTTGCTGTTGTTGTTGTTGTTGCTGCTGCTGTTGCTGTTGCATTGCTACGGCTCTAGCATTTATTATTCCCGGACCATTTTGCATTTGAGGTATGCTATGAGGACCTTGCGGATGATGAATTCCTTGTGAATTCGGACCCATCATTGTCACCTGATTAAAAATCATTATTTTTGTTATTCAAACTTATCTTAAAAATTTTTCTTTTTAAAGATTAATTATTTTATATTCAATATAATAATTACCGTATTTAACGGTTGTTTATTTAAACTATTGGCAACGATTAAGCTTCCACCAGCCATTCCTCCCATGTTATTATTTCCCGTAGCAGAACTTGTCATTACTAATCCGGCATTCATACCACTTGGCATTGACATAGTAGGATTATTACTAGCCATACTCATAGACGACTGAAGACCTCCCATAGAATTCACAATAGACATCTGATTATTAGCTAATGAGCTTGCTATACTACTTGGTAAATTTCCCAAATTCACCACCATTTGTTGATCGACTACACCTTTAGAGACTGATACATTTGGCGGTGATTGCATATTTGGACTTTTACTACTTAATGTTCCAGCAGTCATGACCAAAGCATTCGGTACAAGATTTTTGTTGCTCTGTTATTAAAATTTAATCAAGATAAGTATTTGATATAGATTAAAGTCAATATTTTTTATTTGAAAAAATATTAATTTACCTGCTGCTGAATGAGATGATGAGAGAGCTGTTGCTGTTGTTGTTGTTGCTGCTGCTGTTGCTGTTGCTGCTGCTGCTGTTGTTGTACATGTTGACGAAGTTCCGTATCGAGCGCACCATTCTGTTGTCCGGGTCCTGGACCTGTTGCCGGTGGTTTAGCGCTCTCTGTTGCGGAACCCCAGGACCCCGATGATAGTAAATCGTCGGGGAGGTCATTTTCGAGATCAAACATGTCTGTATTTGTTATGTACTCTAAAGAATGGTAATAAATTATTATTAATATTATTATAATTATCATTATCATTGATAAATCTTAAATTATTTATTTTCTTTTAACTATTTTATATCAATATTAACTTTTTAAAAGATATTCTTTTTCTTTTTATAAATTAAATATGAATAATAAAAAATTATGTACCAAAAGATACCAATATTATTGTTAGTAACTTTAATGAGGGTAAATTTAGTACCGTCACCATAGCTTTTGATCCAAAGCTTTGAAGTATATTTACTTGCAAAATTATTATCAATAAATTATAGATATATTTGTTGCGAATTTTTTTTGATGTGCACATCGCAAGAGGCATTCGAACCCAAAAATATCCTTATTATATTTGAATGATATTTATGTGAAATTAATTTCCAATTACGGATAAATATTGCATTATAAAAATAACTATGGAATTGAAATAAACAAATAAAGGGATAAATAGGAAAAAATTGTACATTCATAGAATTTCTACATTTTATGCAAAATAAAGAAGACATGAGACATACACCGCACGAGCAAAACTTAAGGGATTTTAACGCTACAGCAGATAAAAAAAATTGGACCATAATCAACTCGTGCTCAACTATCAAAGCAGCAAAGCTACGATATACAAACTATAAAAGAATCATGCTTAGAGATCAAACAGCTGTTTAAATATATATATCTAAATCTGAATAGAAAATAAGAATTAATGAAACTCCAAAAATTATATAATTAAATAAAAATTACTTTTTATTGAAATAACAACAATTATTAAGATCTCCATTATTTTGTTTAATTATTTTAAAAATATAACTTTCATTCCTAAATTTCCTAAATAATGATACTTTGGTATAAAAATTCTTTTCAAGGGTCCTGAAAAAATTGATTATTTTTTATATTATAAATATTTTATTAATCATATTGACAGTTATTATTTTATAAAATTTCATATAATTTCGAAAGCTCAGTGAATGTTTGCCGCATGTCTTAGGGTATAAGTTGTGATGAAATAATTAATTGTTCGATTGCCTATCATGAGAAGTGTTTATAAAAAAGATATATATATACTCCAAAAAAAAAACGACACATCTATTATTTCTTGTTAACGTTTAAATAACAATATTCAATGACAAATAATTTTAAAATGCGGCGATGAAATTTAGAATGAACAATGGTAACGGTGATATATAAATGGGAAGACGGACGATTTTTGCATCTGAACAGCATTTGAGACAATTGTCATTTTGATTGTTTTGCTTTGAATTTTTGATAATATTTACTTCTCCTCTGAGTGGTATTGTTGTTCCAATGTTGTTGCATCTGATGCTGTTGCAGATGTAGTTGTTGCGCCTGGCCCTGCATTTGTTGTAAGTTACCACTGCCAACTCCCCCGTAGTTCGAATAAGTATGGGGCATCATTAGAGACGTCATACTCACTACATATATCACAGTTTTATGATTTTAGAAATTAAATACTATTTTTTGTTTAAATCATTTATTTTTTTGTTTCTCATTATTATTATTATTATTATTATTATTATTATTATTATTATTATTTTCATCATAATTATATACTTTTTCATGTACTCTTAAATGTTGATATATATTTATATTAATATTTATAATAACAATTTTATAAAAAAATAAATGTAAATTAAGTAAACAATGAAGGGAATATTTTCTAATATTTAATATCACTTTTTACAACTAATTGATCAACAATTATTAAATGTAAACTAAACTAAATATCGAACAATAGGTAATCAATTGATACAATATAATTTTCAGTAATAATGTTAATAAGATTGATTAAAAGTAGCTCTGAAGTGATGAGAATAATCAGAAGAAAAAAAGTTAGTGCATAGCTCATGCGAGCAAATTATTTTATTTTTTTATAGTAAATTTCAAATGCTTGTACAACCAGCATGCGCTACAGATCTATAATACAAAAATTAGATAAATATTATAAACAAAAGAGCTTAAATAATATTTATTTATTTTTAATATCAATTTATTACTTAAATCATCATTTTATGGAAGTACATGCAATGAACGATAAATACTCGTTTTTTTTTTTTTTTAACAATAACTTTTACTTTTTTGAATTACGTACAATTATATTAACATAAACACTACTATGAAGAATTTTATTATTTAATAGTACATTTGTCAGATAAATAAATGTTTCTTACTTCTATTAAATTAAGAACAAACGAAATTTCAAAACATATATTTAAAAAAGTAACTATGTATTCTGTTGTATTTTATTTTGAACAGTATAATCACTTTTTAGAAAATAAAGTCAATCATGATAGTTGATTTTGACAGTAAAAAAAATATAAAGATGAAAATTGAAACAACTAATGTAATACAACCAAGATATAATACATAAAATAAAAATAGATTTAGAATAATTGAATATAGAATTGTGTGATATAAAAAAGCTTTCAATGATTAAAATTTAAATTGTTGAGAAAAAAAAAAAAAATAACAAATCAAAAAGAAAGAGTGAAGTAGATAATACTGAGGTATCTGTAACGATACTTTAGGTTATCCCGCCTGATTATTGATAGATATCATTTGGTGATGATTTAACAATTAAAAGATAAACTTTGACACTTGATACTAAAATGATTGTTGGTGTTACCTTTGGTGGTTGAATAGTTAATAAAAAGAAAAAGTCTCACCTGAGGAATCAGATGGACCCTGAAAACCATCTCCGAGCTTTGGCCGCTTGCTCGGCGGTCCATCCACTAGGTGGTCGGCCATTTCTTCAGAAGCCACAGTCTCCGATGTTGGCTAACACTGATGGTCGGGTGTCACGGCACCAGTCCGCGGCAGTCCCTGAGTTTCAAAGGGAACGATGACGGTGATGATGACGACGACGACGACGACCAAAATATGATATTGGACTCCACGACGTGGTGTGCGGTGGCGGCTACACCCTGAGCCGCCGCACTGACAATGATTTTAAACACTCAAATTTATTCGATGAAATATGCACAAATGACGACGAGAATTGCGGTGATGAAACGACGTAGCCAAGTACGTGGTGGCAGGTCTTTTTCACCGCGGAACTAACATAATTCCGTTCACTACAATAACAATGATGAGAGCGAGCACGGCGCGTAAAGCGTCCTCGTTCATGATTTGCCGCGACATCAGCCATCGGGCATCCTCGGGGAATTGAAGAAAATAGGACGGAGTGCCCGCAACTCCGAGAAAAACTCGGCGGGCCAAACTTAATGACGACTAGCTGTTTATGCTGATGTTGATGCTGCGTTTGGAGCAGCTATTAAAATGTTAAAACAGCACCACCACCAGCTGATGTACACCATACAGTACAGTGGTTGAACAGATATACAAGGACCAGGAGCAAGTCCGAGAGAACGACGTTTGACGATTAGGGCGCGTATAAGATCGTACATACGATTTATCACGATGTACAACAGGCAACCACTGGGGCGCTCGTGACGCCGCGAGGATCGCGGCGGCGGGTTACGATGCTTCAACGCAGCAGCCCTTCCACAGGAATAATCCACTGTCTAAAGACTAGGAAACGCGCGAATAATACTTTTTACGACACCAAGACACTACACACACCGATCACACTGTGTCACACTGGCTGGGAGCACGCCGCTAGTAGTTAGTAGCGACGATAACACACTCAAGGGCCGCTGGCACCATCTTAACTATCTCCACCTCCGGGGGTTCTTCTGCACCTCTCACTCTTGGTGGCTAATGGGCGCGCGAAATCGACGCGGACGAAATCAGTCTCCGTATTCGTAGACACTCAACTATTTATTAAGGTGATACTACGTTAGCGTAATCACTTTATAGCGCCTTCTCTTTAAGACAGGCGCCACACTAATTTCCACAAAAAGCTATCTGCCGATGGAGTTCCGCACCGCGCGAGTATCGGCTAACGTAAAATGGCGGCCGCTGTTGACGAGAAGTTTTTCTACGCTTGTCAGAAAATGCCCGACTGTCCCTCAGATGAATGGACGTCGCTCCAGTACTATTTTCCCATTGGTCTTCCCAGTCACGTGACATCATAGTTATACTTTATTGGCTCAAGTGACCCTAGGTTTTGTGATTATGACTACTTCCACGCCACCGTCACTCTAGAAATTTCAATTATTATCTCCATCTACAATATGTATCCAAATTTTACAATACCATTGCTTTTTTTACCATTTCTTTCAAACTTGCCTTTTATTATTATTCCGAAAATACCATTTTTTCTTTACTCCTCTTATCTTCTTTTCTATTCTATCATTATCCATCTTTTTTGATGCTGCTTATTTTTTTCCATTACTCTATTCAACTTGTAGTTTGATCAAATATAAATTTATAAAATACATTTATTTATCCGATATTTTTATTTTTGTGGATAATTTCTTTCTTTTTTCGTAGCTTTCTAAATAATTTTTCTATCAAAAAGAAATCGTTACTATTTTTTCTCCTTTTTAGTAATGATTGCTTATAGAGAATCATAGATGTGAACTCGAATCTAATTCTTACAATAATTAAATTTAAAAAATGTAAATAAAATTATACAGCAATTGTATGCATGAAAAAAGACTGTAAAATACAGAGATTTCAATTTTCTATGTACAATTATCTGTGGATGAAATGTAAAACAAAGTAAATAATACTAGACATTTCAGTTCAATTGAAAATAAAAAATGATAAGATGGCGTTCATCAAACGCTTTTTATTACGTTTTACAACGAAAATTTCAAATTTATTGAAATAAATATAAAAATATTCTTACCTATAAGTATAAATTAAATTGACAAAAAAATTAATTAATTAAATAGTTTATAGGTATTCTAATAATTGATACAGTTTGTAATAATTGAAAATAAAACATCTCATGTGAAAAAATGTCTTCTTCATGTATATATGTATTTATGTAACATATCATATATCAAAAAGCATACTTCTTGTTTTTTATTTATATACATCTATACATATCGAATTAAATATTCAGCTATGAATTTAATTCAATGATAATAATTGATGATAATAAAATGTCAACAAAAAAATGAATTTTTTTAAATGACAAATTTCTCTTTATTTACTTACAATAAATCAAAGTTAACAATTTATAAAACGAAAAATGTTTCTACAAAAAAATGCAACATTATTAAAATGCACTGTATTATTTTTTATGAGAACAATAATTTTTTTTTTTTTTTTGAATTACGCAGCTTATGTCACAATAAATATTAAATATAATATTATTAAATTATATAATTATTGAAATAAAATTAACCACACCCGAGAATTAAGTAATTTTAATATTTTTTATAGGAAATATCGGCAGCCACTTGGATTGCACTAATAGGTATATTCATATTCATCATAAATAAATCTCTTTTTTCTACGTGTCAATATCACTATGAGTGTTATATATAATCTTTATCTTGTTTTTTTTTTAAAAAATATTCATTAAATTACATGTTTGTTATTTTAAATGATTTATCTTTAAAATACAAATAACAATTGATATAGTTATGGTATGCACATTGTGAAAAAATTTTTATAAATTATTGAATTAATAAAAAAAAAAAAAAAACTATCAACTGTAAATACCAAATTAAAATATTAATTAGTAACAACATTATTATTATTGTTTTATCGCTCAATAAACATATTTAAAAGTAAAGTTATACACACAATATTGAGAATTCTTTTCATCTTTAAAGCTAATTAACAAAAAAAATTTAACCAATTGACTTAAACACTTTCTTAAGTAAAAATTGACCGAATATAATTTAAAATAATTTAGTATTGAAATGATGTTGATTTAATACCTAATTAATAAAATGAATGTTCACACTTGACAAATTTTTACATTTGTTTTTAAGTTTAGAATAATTGTTGAAGTTTGATTTACTTTGATTTAACATTGAAATTGATAAATAAAAAAAAAAATTTAATTTTATCAAAGTATAATTCTATAAATTTTAAGAAAATTATTATAAAATTTAGCGTTAAACACTTACAATGATATTCATTAAGAATGTATGGTGGAAATTGTAGAAAATCTTCTACATATATAAAAATTATTCCAAATATCAAAAAAATTCTTCATATCTTTATAGCACGTTTAAAAATCAAGTATTCAGTAGTAGTGTAACAGTCTCAAATATTTATATCATTTTTACATCGTTCGATAGATTTTTTCTCTAAAAATGAATGTAGTTGATATCACATTCAAAATTGTATTACCAAGTGATCAATAGACATTTTTTTAATAATAAGTGTCATATGTCTGATCTTATCTTTAATATGATAGAATTTTTACGTGGTCAATCGTCTTTAGATTTTGCATCTGATTCTTGTTGACTTCCTTCGTCTTCTTCATCTGAATAATTCGTCGGTGCTTCACCTGGTTTTAATAATTTTCCAACATAATCGTATCTTTCTGTAAAATTAAAAATCATCATTATTATGATTATTATATTTTTTTTGTTTAAAAATTAATCTTTTAAGAATGATGAAAATTAAACTTGATAAGAATTATCAAACAACACTTGTGGTCTACTTCATTATTGAATGTAATTGTAATTGTAAGAGTTTCCTTGTTATTCTTGAATGATACAAAGATATTCTGACTGTCAATAAGTGAAGTATTAAAGAAAAAAATATTGATAATTATTATAATTAGCATGACATATTATGTAATATTTTTTATTAAAAAATAAATAAATTTCATTTGGTTACCTTTAAATTGTTCTTCCCACTCTAAAATTGAGTTCATTTCTGTAGTATTGAGATCACTTAAGTCATCATACTCATCTTTCCCTGGTACTACTGAAAATGTTGCTAAACCTCGACTAGCATCGCGACCTCCAAAGGCAGCATACGGGCCATCTATGAAACAAATTATAATAAATCATTTCTGAACTATCAATATCAATAAAATAGTTATAAATTATCTATAGTCATCATAAAATTGCTTCAGTAGCCAGTGCTAAAATTAATTGAGCTAACTCTACACTATTATTCATACTATTATTTCAATAATTTCAATTATAAAACATGCTGATATCATCGAGTAAAACGGAATAAAAATGAACTTGCTACAATAATGTGATCAAGCATTATTACAGTTGAGAGCATTAACTATAATGTTTACATTTGACAAAATAATAATGTCTATCAAATTGTCGCATTAATTATTTATAAATCTATTTATAAAAAAATTTATTTATTAGTTTTAAATAATATTAAAATTGATTTGAATCGTGATTTATTGATTCATAAGATTATTTTGAATGATGTAAATCAATACGATATATACATAAATAATGCATACGATTGCATGACTGAACACTTCATACAATAATTCTTATAGATGGAATTTGTTCAAATAAAAATTAAAAAAAAAATACCAGAGATAAATGTTTCAACTATTTAACGGTTAATATAAATAAGTATAAATTACTTATTGAAAAATCAATGTTAATGATTACAATTACTTTAGTATATGTAAATATATAAATTATCAGGTGTGGTCATCAGTTAGGATAGAAAATAAGTTTTTTATCTAACGACTTCGTAGCTGTAAGGCATTTGCCCAGTCATAGAAATCACGCGATATGACGAAGATATCATTTAGAGATATTTTAAACCATAGAAGTAATGTACTGTATAATAAAAATAAGGATTAATTAAATATAATTCCTTCAAGTATAATGTAAATTACAAAATATATGATATGTATAAATGATTATTATAATAATTAAAATTCATACCAGGTCCATAAAACCTTCGACCTTTTGTAACATCATAAACACTGCCGTTAACAGCTACAAGAATTCGTCCATCTGGTCCCGTACCATCGTATTTTTTCAATTCTTCAACAGTAAAATCACGTCTGATCTTAGGAAGCGGTTTGTATGTTACTACTTGTGGTTCTCCCATAGTCTTACTCCGAAATATTTTATAAACAAGAAAGGCTATAACAATCACCAAAAATATATTGATTGGGCTTTTGATTATTTCCGAAATAAAATTTGAAATGACTGAATCTTCTTGCAACATTGAAGAAGAATCTGAAGTACTAGAAACCGGCGAATCTACACGTTCGGCCATTTTGCCCACTGTCTTCAATAATGCCGCGTAGTGTTTTTTAGCTTTCCGGCAATCTCTGATAAGAGAATAATAAATAAAAAAATTATAACTTCGTCAACACACGCCGATGTCTCGCTATATATTCCATAGCGTATCGTAGTTTATACTTCTCCTCCTCTTTTCGTTCGGTTAACGTCATCATTCGTTCATTGGCCCGCATCGCACGGGTTTATATGTTGCCCTCTACACATAAAAGAAATCATTACATATTGGTTTAATTTATTAACCGATGGTTAGAAAATACGCGACAAATTGTGTATAATTTTGAATAGAACTGACAATAATACTACAGGCATATCATATGTGTACCTGAGGATCAATCGAATTTATTTTATTTCAAAATTAAACAATTATTCGATTCAAAAGCTTGTTTCATTCTGAAATTCAAATTTTATTAGAGTATTTAAGTTTATGATGCAGGTAAAATATATAAATAAATATTACCATCAAGTCATTTAAATTTATCTTGTAATCATATTCTTTTTTAAATTCTACAGGTTTCAAAACCCCTCTTGATGTGCTTTGATTTTGATAACACAATCATCAATGAAAATAGTGATATTATTATTAAAAATTTGTATCCTCATGATGTACCAGATAATGTAAAAAAACTATGCAATTCAGGATGGACAGCATACATGAGATCAATATTTCAATTAATTCACAGTATTGGAGTACAAAAAGATACTATTATCAATTCTATACATGGAATACCAGCAGTATCAGGTTTTGAAGATCTTATCAAAAATTTACATGCCAATAATTGTGATATTATAATTATTAGTGATGCAAATTCTGTATTTATTGAAACTTGGTTAGAAAAGAAACAATTAAAGAATTGTATTGATAAAATTTATACTAATCCGGCATGGTTTGATGAAAATAATTTGTTACATATCAAGGAATATCATCAACAAGATTGGTGCAAGTTTAGTGAGAAAAATTTGTGTAAAGGATATGTTCTTGAATCTTACATAAAAGAAAAAGCTGATGCAGGAGTTAAATATAATATGGTAGCATATGTAGGTGATGGTAGAAATGATTACTGTCCGATGTTGAAATTGTCTCCAAATGATATTGCATTTCCGAGACAGGATAATTACATTATGAAAATGATCAATGATTATAAAAATAGTAATGAATCCATTAAAGCCAAAATAATCCCTTGGAAAGATGGGAATGATATTTGGCAAGCTTTAAGAGGTAATTTAAACATTTAATAATGTTTTTATTAGAAAATTTTATTCATAAAAATATAGTCTATTTTGAATGGAAAATTTAATCTTCCATTTCAAGACGTATTATTTCAATACCTTGCCCATATATACAGACAAGTACATCATTTGTGTCATTATTTAAACTATTTACAATAGTTAAACCATGTGGGTCTGTTATAGAAGTAAGTAAAACTTTTTGCAAAGGCTCCACTGATAATATTGATTTACAATATGAATAATAATACGTCACAATTTGTTGATCAATTGCAACACTTACAAATTTATCAATTCCGTAAAATTTGATACCTGTGGGGAAAATTAAATTTTGAGTATAATTCTTTAACAAATAATTAATTACATTATTAACAGAATATAAACAGTATTTTTTAGTTACCTGTTATTTGAGTATAATGAATAAATGAAGAGCTCCATTCAGCTAAAATATCAGCCATCAAAGTAGTATTTGTACTTTCAAATATTGTAAATAATGATAAATTAATTTTGTTATCATCACCTCCAGTTAGTAATAAAAATACTTCGCTGTTTTGTTTGAAGTCATAGCTATTAATTCCCGACTGATGTATATTCCACGATTTGAATGGTTTTATATTTACATTATCAGATTTATTACAAATATTTTCAATTATAAGTTTCATTGACCAAAGATTTACAATTCCATCAGTTGCCATACTTATAAGAATAACTTCATTTCCATAATCAAATACATGAATTTTTATAATACAACGATTGTAATATGGAATTTCTGTTGTCAAATAAAAATTATTTAAATATATATCATAAGAAAATATTCTTATAAATCCATCTGAACAAGCAACAAATAATATAACAATATTTTTTTCTACATATGTATATGAAGTAATATCCATAAAACGAGTCTCAGGATCTATAAAATATTCTTGCTGTTTACTTAGCATTATTTTACGCTGATCTTTATTCGTTCCATGTAACATATAAGACATCAGTTCAGTAATTTCTAAATTATCCTTAATGAATTTATCTTCAACAACATCAACTGTTACTTTCCATACTTTCAACTGAGCTCTGCCACCTCCTGTGAAAATTAAACTTCCTGCTTTCTCATTAGAACTATTTAGATTTATTATATTGATGCATTTTACACTTGAAATGTGACCATCAATTAAATCTAAACACGATAATTGATATTTTTCTGGTAATATTTTATACAATTCAGTAAAGCGAAGTGTACAATCTTCACTAGCAGACAGCAAAATATTTTTATTTGATATACCAGGTAATACTTGCATACAATTAATTTCTTTAGTATGATGGCCTTGTATTATTGTTTTACTAAATGTGCACATCATGTTGTTAGTTGTATATACTTTTTTATTCCGTATGCAAGTGAACTGGATAAATTTATCAATAAATGTACAGTCCCAAGATCTATGGCCACCACCACAGATAAATTTTAAAATCAAACGTTGTGAATTAATGCTGTAAATCATAAACTCAATTTCTTTAAATCCTAGTACATAAACATCTTGTTCAGTTTGTACTATTTTACTCACCCAGGTCATAGGTACTTTTTTATAATACAAAGGTTGTATTATTTTAGGTGTGTTATCAGAAAAGTTAACTTTATAGAATCGTAATGTACCATCACGGCCCGCACTTATTAATTTTTTGTTGATGAAATGAAAATATTGAATTCCTAACACATAGTGCATTTTTGTTAAATATTGTAATGGATTTTTTTTATCCTTTTCTGAATTTATTTTAAAAACATAAATATGTCCATTACGATCTCCACAAATGAGTAAATTTTTAAGCATTATTGCCGTTGTAGTCCAACGTTCTTTACTCATCGGCAGCATAAACTCTGATTTTAATAATAATTCTCTGTCATTTGTTATCTGAAACATTTTTAGGTGGCCTTCATGACCACAAACAAGTAGGGTATTATCATTCAGCCAATGAACTGCAAAAATTTTCGATTCGAAAATTTTTGTTGAAGTTATATGAACGTCCAGCTTATCATTTACTTCTTCAAAAATATCTAAATGTCCATCATTAGATGCAAATACTATTTTTGTTCGATTGGGACAGATTTGCATTAAACAATAATTTTTATATTTAGATAAGTTAATATGATTCTTGATGAGTTCTTTCAAAGCAGCGTTGTAGGTAAATAATTCCCCATTTTCAACGAAAATTAAAATCTTGCCAGATTTTAAGTATTGTACATATTTAGGTATTTTTTTTTCTTCCAATTCTAAAGCAGACATTAAAGACATTTCCATTTGATTTGAAAGTAATGACCATGAATACACTCCATCATCTGCTCCTCCAGTAAATACATAACAATTATCATTCGACACTTCAATACTCCAAATTGTTGCTCCATTATGAGCTAATATTTTATCACATAAATTCCCATCCATTGACCAAATACAAACTTGAGAGTCCTTAAAAAATAAACTTGAATAAATAAATTATGCTATTTATCAAATAATTTACAATCATACCTCTCCAATACTGATGATAGTATTATTCACAATGATTGATTTCCATACTCTAGCAGTATGTCCATACATTGTATGCTTTAAATTTATTTTAATGTCTTTCCAATTATTATATACCAATGATTCGTCAGTGCAACTTTTAATTTCCCATAATCTGACAGTTCTATCATCGGAAGTTGAAGTTATCAAATTTTTACAAGAATCATAAAATATAGAAAATATCACACCCTAAAATTTCATTCAACATCAATAGAAATTTAAATTCTGAATTTAATTAATTAAATCAAAAATACGTAGTTACTAACATCATGTCCTTTCAAACGCCATAAAACAGGTTGATCCGATTGAAGTGATAAATTATCTTGCACAATGATCCATATTAAAATTTCTTGAAAAACTGTTCCACTAAATATTACAGCTTGATTTGGTTGATCTGTTGAAATGTTACCACAATATCTACCATGATGATGTTAATGTTATTATATTAAGATGATTAAGAAAAAATCTTGATTCATAATGTGATAAATAAACTTGCGATTTCAACAAAAGGATACAATAAGCATTTTTCCTCACACCAAATATTGGTATATTCCATAGTTAATGTGTTGTATAAATATAAATTATTGTGAGCAAATAAAACATAAAGCTTTTCATAATTGCTGTGAGGAATGAATTTGGCGGAAATAATCCAATCATTAAACATATGTTTTGAAGAATTTTTTACTCCAAATGTAGTAGTTGCTATTTCAACTTGAAAAATGCTAAGACATCTTCCTCCAAATACAATCAATTTATCAAAGGATTTTATAATTCCATGAATAGAATCATGGTGGAATGTATTTATTACTGATTCACAATGAGATGTTGAAATCTTGTATATGCATAAATGATTTCCAATTCCTGTAAATTAAATATCTGTCTTATTTTTATTGAATATTATATTTTAAATATTAAAGTTACAAACCTACTAATAGATAGTCATCAATACAACACATAGCCAAAACATTATATTTCAACGCCACAGAAATCATTTTATTTAATATTTAATATCTTTTATTTACAAAAATTTTATTTGTATAGATTTTAAACAAGCACGTGGTAGTTACATGTTTATTAGTTGATATACATGTATGCTATGATGATAAAGTTTATACAGAAAGTATATAGCGGCGGATGTTTACATGTCTCTATTTCAGTTTTGTGCTACAAACCCTTTTAATTTTTCGCGCCATTTTCTCTGCACATGTTTTTCTCAACTCCAGCCCTCTTTAGTTTCTTTTGCAAACGAAAATTTTGCAAAACGAACCAAAATCGCACGAAGTATGCATAATTGTAGCATTTACTATAGCAAACTTCTAAAGGGACGCCATCGTGAATGGCGTCGGTAGTCTGTACTGTACCATACATTTTGTACAGCGTTGTTTGAGCTCAGAAGTCAGTAATCTGCGAAGCAGTAAACACGCATTTCTGAAAATTACCTCAATATTTCTTCTAAAAAACTGTTTTGAAATAAGAAAATAGTGTAATTTCACATTTAAAAAATACTTTACTGATTAAATTAATTCAATTAAGGTAAGAAATAGTGTTTTTACTTTTATTTATTATTAGCATATCATCATGATAAACATGGTAGCTAGAATCGCATTTTCCGTCGTGATAACTTTTGCAATTTCAGCCTATAATAAATATTTTGATTTAAATTTATTATTTTTAATAATTTTATTGGAAAACCATACTAATTATTCATTATTTATATTTTTAGTAGTGTTATAATTATTATTGGAAAACAATACTAATTATTTATTTAGTAATACGAAAGAATGTATCAATAATTATTAAATTTATCATATACGACCATTTCTTACTAAAGCTTTCGAAATTCTTGATTTAACTATTGTTTTTTTTGTAAAACTAATGAAATTGAGTTTCCTAACCTCATTCTCAAATGGACTGAATTTCTACATTTGAACCTTTTGTCTCATCGGTGACCGTTTTATATAGTACATACCATATACTAATATAAATATGACCTTTTTTTTATTTAGCTTTACTTCTAAATCTTTTTTCAATGTATCTACATCAATATCTCTGTCTATAAGACCTTCAACATTTTTCGTTCTATTAAATCAATTTAAAATCAATCAAAATATCGTTGACTCTCAGAAATTTTAGTAAACAATTACTTCATTTACTGATCACATTTAAAAACAAAGTTTTAATTTTAAATATTTTTTTCGTCATGCCTGCGCGGAAAGTTCACTTTTCCATTGGAGAGGGGTTGAACTTTCCACTCAGGTATGACGAAAAATTATATTCAGCCCTAAGGAGGACAATTAGACAAGCTTAAACCACGTGTTTACCCCCCTCGCCTTCGGCTCGGGTTGTAATTTTACACGTGGTTTGAGCTAGTCTACTTTTCCTCCCTAGGTGTGAAATATACTATTTTTTTTAATTTTTTAATTTATATTCTATATAAATTTTATATAAATAATAAATTTAAATATTGCCTTTACAGATGACGAACATAAAATTACAAAGTAATGATGGTGAAATCTACGATGTTGATGTTGAGATTGCAAAATGCTCAGTCACAATTAAAACTATGTTAGAAGATTTAGGAATGGACGAAGATGAAGATGAAGTTGTTCCGTTACCAAATGTGAATTCAGCCATCTTAAAGAAAGTCATACAATGGGCAACTTACCACAAAGACGATCCTCCACCACCAGAAGATGATGAAAATAAAGAAAAACGAACTGATGATATTAGTTCTTGGGATGCTGATTTCTTGAAGGTTTATTTTTTGTTATATTCAAAAAATATTATTCCTTTTATAATATGAAAAATATATCATACATAAATTGCATTATTTAGGTTGATCAAGGAACTCTCTTTGAACTTATTTTGGCTGCCAATTACTTGGATATTAAAGGCCTCCTGGATGTAACTTGCAAAACAGTAGCAAATATGATTAAAGGAAAAACGCCAGAAGAAATAAGGAAGACTTTTAATATAAAAAATGACTTTTCGGCAGCAGAAGAAGAGCAAGTTCGCAAAGAAAATGAATGGTGTGAGGAGAAGTAAAAATTACATGAAAGATAACAACGTTTTTTTTTTAAATTCTTTTAGTTCAATTAATCATATTAGTAGAGTTATAAACATATTTCTTTCTTGTGCTAAATATTCGTAGATTTGTTTCTTTGTTGATACATTTTATTGTTTAAATCAAAAAATATTTCCATTATCACAATATTTTAAAAGATTACCATCAAGATAGATGACATGCTACCGTTTAGGAACGTTTCATAGAAATTAAAATAATATTGGCGTATTCCTATTTAAAACATTAAGTAATAAGCTTATTATAAGTTGAATTTATTTATAAAATATAAACCAACTTAATAAATAAACAAAATGAATCCTATTTAAATTAACATGGAAATATTTAAACCAAAAATTAATTGCGTAATAAATACCATTTTCTTTAACAAAAATAGATTAAATAGATTAAATTTTGTATTGATAAAATTAATGATTCTGAAATTGAGTAAAAGTAAGATTTAAAATCGTACACTGTAATAAACACATTTAATGTATACAATTCTATAATGTACCACGTACGAAATATATAAATTTTAAGTTATAATTTTTTAAACAATTCCTTTACATTCCCAAATCCTTTATATATCATATGTCAAAAAAATTTTCATCAAAATAATAACAATAATAATAATAATAATTTCCGACTTCTCATAAGTTGATGAGAAGACGTGACTTTAGCCACTTCAGCACGAATTACTATTTTAGATTGAAAAAAATAATGAATTAGTATTTTTTTGAAATTTAGCTTAAATTTTATAGAATTTTATTAATTTATTTATTAGATTAAGATAATTTTTTAAATGTTTTCATAAAAAAATATAATTCCATAATAATAATGGAACACACTTCATCCATGACGTTAATGAACAAAGAGAAAGCAAGCAGTTTTATCTGATCAAAGTTATTTTATAATTTCCAGCCTTGTCACATTATTGTTTTAAGTTTGACGTGGCTCGTCAGTATGTATCTGTAGTGTGCAGACATAAATATATGCAGTTTTCAAGTATATGCATACCGCATCCACTACTTCGTAAGTACATACATGCATAGACACAGAATAAGAAGAGATCTAGTTTTTAACATGAGATCATAAAGTATTTTACAATTTTTTTTGCAATTAAACATGTTGTTATATATTGAATTTAATTTTAAAAAAATTCAAAAAATATTAAATATTCTCAGTATGCAATAATTATTTTTTAACTTCTACTTTGCTGCATTCGATTCTCCAAATCACTGTGCCAAATTTTTTCGTACTTTTAAACAAATACAGTTATACAAATACATGTGTATCTACAGCAAATATTGTGTTCGTGTATGCTAAAAAGACAGTACGAGTGATATTGGTGATTACCTTAATTTGCATAAAATTTTCAATTTATTTGGTACAGTATATATAATTGAATAATCATCTATTAAACAATATTTATTGATGTAAGTTAATTATTCTATTCATTAAATGCATCTTTTTTATCTCATATTTATACTAAAAAAATTTTTTTTTATTACTATACAATTTTCTATTTATTTATAGTTAACTATTTGATTTTTTAATTAACGCATTGAAGACATTGAGTCATTGATTTTAAATGATCAATTTGACAAAATTATTTTCCATTTAATTGTGTAACTTATAATTATAAATTTCCAACAATATTTGCCTGGAGGTAAAATAGAAATTTGAAATCATGATAAAAATTAAATAAACGATAATTAAATTATAAAATACCTGGAACAAAAAAATTATTTGCCACGTTATAAGAAATAAAATTATCTTGTGAGTAATAACAAAATGATCATTTACTCAGGCAAAATTGATGATTTTTTTATAATATACAATTCAACATAAAGCAATAAGGACATTGGATATATTTTTTTTTGACCTTGAAAAATGTTTATGTTTAGTTTAATATCGATTGTGAAATTTAGTTAACAATTATTAATGTGTCTTTAACGTCAATGCTAGATATCTGTACATATAAATTCTTTACATGCTTATCTTTTAAATAATTCTTACCATTGTTTTTATTTAAATGTTTCATTATTATTGATCAACGTTTTTATGTTTATTAAATAAATATATAATCAGAAAAAAAATAAATGCTAAAGTTTTAACAGTAAAACACGTAGAGTGATATAGAGATAATACATTTAATTTTATTATCGTAGTTCCTATCATGAGAGTTCAGTCTTTGATAGTATGTTAAATTTTCATGGACTATTCAATGTCCTCTTCTGAATATAATATTTCTGTTAATTTGATCAAAGTGACTGGCAAGAAATAAATGTTAATCATTTTATTTCATTTCGTAATTATTATTAATATTATGTAATTATTAATATTTCAGGATTGGAGGTAAACTGCTATCTAGTATTATTCTATATGTTTTGTGATAATACTGAGGAACCATTCAATATGTGACATTTAGCCATAAAATTTCAATAAAGCAGTATTACAATCATGATTTTAATTGGACGACGAATTTGGGCCTTTAGGCTTTCAATAGTACTTAGTATTTGTGCTGTGCTATATTTTTGTGCTTATTTTGGTACTTCTGGCCCTTGGATTGATGATGGAACAACAGCAGCAGCTGTAAGCAATTTGGAACAAATAAAATCAGATCTAACTCAACATCAAACCACTTTCACATCTAAAAATAATAGTAAAAAAACGAATTCCATTAAACCAACATCAGCCACGGGGTTAGCTTCTTCAATACTATTACTACCATCAGCACCTTTAGTTTCATCACTATCATCATCGGTGAGTATAAAAATAAATCAAGTATTTACTTTGATTTTTTGTGAATTTATTTATTAAGCTATAATCATTTGAAAGGATTTAAAAAAATTAGAAGAAAAAGAAAAATCAAAAAATACATCTCATGTTGGAGTTGAATTTCAAGATGCACAAGATAAAGTAAGTAAAGAATGTAGAAAATAAATGTAATAATTAAACAGCATTTAATATTATTAGTTATTGAAACAATTCATTTTTAGAAACTATCACAATCATCCTCAATTACATTATCTACTCAACAATCAAAGAATAATTCTTTGAAGGACATTATTAAATGTAATGAAAAAACATTAGAACCCAAAATGGCTCAACGTGGTGATTATTGGGTATTATACAATTACGTGCCAATGAGTCTTAAGATACAATGTTGGGAAAGCGTGACTTATACAACTCATGCTGATTTTACATTTCTTGATAATCTAGAACCTTTGTTAAAACGTTGGCAAGCTCCAGTATCAATAGCTCTGCATACACCGGGAACAGATTTCCAACCAACTCTAGATTCAATCAAATATTTAAGAAGTTGTAAAAGTTCCCTTATCTCAAAATTTACAACATTTCACATTTATTTCCACAGTAAACATATTCCAAAAGTGGTCAGTTTTTTTGTCATTTTTATGTTTAACTCACATTATGGATAATGATAATATATTTAAATATTATCTAACAATCATCATACTGATAATAACTATTTTTATGCAGGTGCCATCAAGTAAAAAAGTTATGGAAGCCGAGCCATATAATTGTAGTCTTGGTCCACCTTGGACTAATAATAATTATATTAATAATAAAATGTATAAAAACAAAGAAAAACTTTTATATCCAGTGAACGTTGGTCGTAATATTGCTCGAGAATCAGCAATAACTCATTATGTATTAGCTAGTGATATTGAATTATATCCAAATCCTCCTAATCTGCCAATCAAATTTTTAGAAATGATTAGAAGAAATGATGATCCACTATTGTTAAGTAAACATCATAAAGTATTTGTTTTACCAATATTTGAAGTGGAAAAGAATAGTGAACCACCTCTCAATAAAACAGCTTTAGTACGTTATTCAATACACTTCATATTTATTAATATTAATTAGTGTAATGATATTAATTGCTTCTTTTTTTCTAGGTTAAGATGTTAAAAGCACGTAAAGCAGTACCATTTCATGAAAGACTATGTTCTATATGTCATAATATACCGAAAAGTAAAGAATGGCAAGAAGCACGAGTACTTAATGATGATATTCATGTATTTTTTTGTGGAAAAAGAACAGGAAGTTTTGCCCATTGGGAGCCTATTTTTATTGGAACAAATAATGATCCTCTTTATGATGAAAGACTTACTTGGGAGGGTAAAAGTGATAAAATGACACAGGGCTATGCACTTTGTGTTTTGGATTATGACTTTTTAATTTTAGATAATGCATTTCTAGTACATCGGCCAGGTATTAAACGTTATAAAAAAGATCCTCGTCGTGATACATTGACCGAAAAAACTAATATGATTATCCGGAAAATTATTATGCCTGAATTGAAAATTATGTATGGATTGAGAAAAGGTTGTGTCATTTAATTCAATCGTATGTTTATACGTGTGAATATATATTTTTAAAGTAGTACACCCTAAAAAATTTTTTTATATTAATAATACTATAATTACATCTATATACTCGTGATTACCGTGACTTAAATCATTTTTATTCTATATATTACACTGAGCTTGAAACAATTTATTCAATGTTTAATAGGTTGATATTTGTGTACTTAAAATCCCAGTATTTGTTGAGAAACACTAATAATTGATGTAAATAATGAATGTTTGATGTATGATAAACATTCCGAGATTATTTTTCTTGCTCATTTTTATAAATAGTATAATCTAAGAAATTATTTGTACTTAAAACTCTTGAGATTTTTTAAATGTACTGGAAATGAAAAATTGACAGTAGTAATAGCAGCGATAGTAATATTAATGGGAATAGAAATAATAATAATAATAATAATTGTAACATTAACAGTTATGATAGTAATAATGATAACTGATGATTTAATATTTAATAATCAAAAGTTTATTTTACGACTACTTAAGGGATAATATTATTAAAACAAATACTACAAATTTTATCTGCGTTTTGTCCGAAACTATAAAAGTAATATAATTACATATTTTCAACAGAAATAACATTACTTTGAGTAATAAGTAGGAATGTTCGCGCATATTATGCATCATGTGCCTTATTGCTACTGTCTTATTTATTAAAAAATTGGAGATAATACTCAATTATACATAATAGATACAGATCTGATATGAATAGATGAGATTATAGATTATAATCATTTACATGACGCTATAAAAGATCTATTGCACTAATTAAGTATAATATATTTGTTTGGTATTCAGTATTTTTTAAAATAAATATAAATTACTCTTGTACGATTGCTGATATTGAAGATGAAAAAGATATTTATAAAACAATTAATAAAATTATAATAATGAAAATAATGATAGTAAATGAATCATAGTCATTGAAAATTTCTTCAAATTTTTATAAATCAATCAGTTATTTGTAAAAGATCATTATTTTTATTTATACTTGTTGTAGATATCAAAATTATATATTTTCTAAGATTATTTATTCGTTTGTTTTAAACATATCCCATGTCATGAAATGACCAATGTAAATATAAATGATGATAATAATATTGTAAACGTACGAAAGATAAATAATTCTATCGAAAAAAAATAAAATTTTTTATTGTAAAAGAATATGTCCAAGTTAAAAAATAAATAATAATTTTGATATTAATGCTTTATTTCGTTAAAATATATACATCTGATAATATTAATTACAATGTGGCCCCCACTTAATTATATAAATATTTCTTTTGTTTTTAACTATTAAACATCCATTTTTTGTTCCTAATTATAATAATAATAGTACTAGCAGTAACAGTAGTAATCCATGCAAGTTATTTTTTTATTTTTTGCTTTCATCTTAATTAATAAAATACAGGATTTAATTTTAGATGTTTTTATACCGTTATTTTTAAATAACATATCAGTTGTACTAGATAATTTTCAATATACATTTTTTTTCTATTCATGAAAGTTTTAAATTCGTCTTATAAAAAATTTGTCTAAAAAAGTAAACATCTAAAATAAATTATAATACTTTTCATTCTGAATTTTCAACTCTATTAAATAAGGTAATTATGATAATATGAAAACCCTTTCATTTTTAATAATCAATTTAATAGGCACATATTGTGAAGATTATTTACTTTTACATGCATCCTTTTTTTAATTTTTCAATTATAACAAAAATCTACTTATGCCTTTATTATTCAGTGGAAGACATTTTAAAAACAAAACCGCAATTTCAACTGAATATTTTAGTATTTTTTTTTTTCACTACAATTTAATAAAAATTATATCTTCATCTCGAATAAATATATACAATCCTCAATAATTATAACAAATCTTAGCCATTTGTTTTAATTGTATCACGTTTGAAATATGATTAATTAGTCATTTAAAGTTGAAAAAAAAAACAATAGTTATAAATTTATATTAGAATATCGCAATTCAAGAAAGCTAAAGAATTATTAAAAACTTGAATCTTTATCTTACAATTGTTATACAATATTTCTCTTTAAATAATTATAAATAAGATATATTGATGAAATTTTTTCTGTGACAAATACAAGGATGATTTTAAGAACTATTCAAAAATTATTAACGCATCTGTTTTCACTTATTATATATACAAATTATATATATGTTTAAAAAAAAAAATGACTTAATCCGCTTATTTACTGAGTCGCTTGAGTCTCGATCGGGTACCTAATCGTGACCTTGTATTTGAATTGTAGGAACTTGATTTAACTCTTTTAGCAATAACCGATACTGAATTTGATAATGCTAAATTAGAAGCATTATTTTCATGGTTCATACCATTATTTGGTTTGATTAATTTACTCGTTGTCAATTGCATGGAAGTTTTTGAAATAATTTTAGTTGTTGCTGATGAAAGCTTATTGAGTTTTGTATTTAGGGGGGAATGTCGATTCTGTTTAACAATGCCATACTGATGAGCAATCTGAGGAGGTATTGTATGACCTGCGATATCAACATTTCGAGATCGTAGGGTTTTAATAGGCGTAGCAGCAATTGTATCGGATCTTAGCCATCTTTGAGGTGGTGAAGTATTTGACACTGGATTAGATGTAGTCTTTCCACTACCTACTATCATACAATTAAGTTTCAATCGATGGTCTTCTTTAGAATAACTTCCTGTCATTGATTTTCGATTTGATTTCATTTGATCCCAATCTTTAAGTGTAAAATTTTTCCTTAATTGAGCCAATCTTGGGGAACAACCAACACCATTGCAACTACCACTAGTACTTCCATTATTAATAACATAATTGACTGGTCCTCGTCTGGTATTTTTCATTGGCGTAGCTTTTTTTTCAAGATTTCGTCTTTGAAAAGATGCTGATGAAGAGGATGATGCAGAATTAGATGAAGTTGTTGGTGTTGTTATAGTACTTGCTGTAGATAATAAAATATTTTTTTCATGAATATTATTCTCAACTCCAGCTGATGTGTAAGATTTTGTAGCATTGATATTACGATTCTTTATGTTAGAACATGAATTAATCCATCGTAATCGACCATGTAATTGTTGTTTTACTTGTTTTTGATTATTTGGATTATTTTCATTCCTAGCTAAACATTTGCGATCTTCAGATCGAGTTCTTCGTTTCAAACACGGCTCTTGTTGATGAACAATATTACATATAACGTCATTGGGTGTAATATCAAATGTAGAACTGTGTCTTCGTTTTGTTGATGTTGATACTATAGCTTTATGAACTGTTTTAGAGTTAACTCGTGTGGTAATATTGGATCGCAATGATATTTCCCGCCTTTTTATTTTAAGAGTTGCTCCATTCAAATGTGCCACATTGCCTTCACTAGATTTATTCGAAATCATAACAGTATCTTTTTGTATTTCAAATTTTTTCATACAACTCACAGGTGTATTATTTTTGATATTTTCATCATAATAAGTTTCATTAATATCTTGGGAGCCAGAAACTGTAGGTGTAACTGTAGCAATGTCATTAGTAATAGAATTAGTATTATTATTAATAGGAGTTGAAGTTGTTGATTTAATTGTATTTGGATTTATAGCTTGTCGTACTGTAGATCTAAACAGATTAAAATCACTTAATGGATTTGAAAATGCATTCTGTCTTACTAATTCTTGTCCATCGTCGGTATCTTCAGACCATAGGGTCTGATCACAAAAAGATTCTGTATTATCCAAAACTTTTTCCAATGGTGCTTCCAATGGATTATTATAATTGATTGCTTCACTATTTTCGTCATTGTCTTCTGCAGAAGATGGTACATTAATATGACTGTTAATAGACGGTGTGCTTTTACTAATATTAGCGTCGCTGATTGTAATATCACTCGACGATACTTCAGCTACTTGAATATTTTCTGAATTTGAATAATTCATTGTGTCGTCGTTATTTTCAACAGTATCAACAACAGAAATAGGATTTTGTTGTTTTTTAACTGGATGTGCTATTTTATCGATATTACTATTTAAAAGTAGATCTGCGTTCTTGTCATTTGAATAGTTACTCACCAATTTCTCATTAACAGTAAGTGGTGAACTTATTGGTTGAGAGAATGGTTGGTTTGGACAGTAGTTATTTTCTAATAATTTTGTATCAGATGTATTGACTTGTGGATGACTGTGAAAGTCTTTTGTCGATGTTTTCTCTAAGTTTGGAACAGAATGATTAAAATTAGATGATGGAGGCCTGCATATTGGTGAATAATTTGGTAGTGAATTGGTTGATAGATTATTTTTAGAGCGATTCAGTAAAAATTCGATACGAGAAGGTCCAGGTGGATCTATCATTAAGGTAACAACACTCGTATTATCCGCTCGTAAACGGGTAGATGACCATCTTTCGAGTGCACGATCCACCAAACTCTTGGATGGATTTATCCACATTTGATTTTCACTCTGTTAATAAATTTACAAATAGAAAGGGTTATTATCTCATAGAAATTATAGTAATCTTTATCATAATATTAATAATAATAGTACCTGTAATACGTTTCCTGTTTGTTGAGATGCTATGAAATGTTTTTCATTGTGTTTTTCAGCTGCTTGAACAATCGATACAGCTGCTTGAGGTGTTAACATGTTCCAGAGTCCATCAGTACCAAAAATAAGACATCGATGAGATTTTACATCTACTTTAATAACTTTTACATCAGGCTCAGGTGAAACAACAAATGTATCTAATTCTGAATTGTAACTCCACAAATCACCTTTTGAAATCATAAAAAATAACAAAAAATTTTTTTCTTCGAACTAAAATATTTGCCTTACTTATCAGTATTTGTAAAATAATAAAATAGTAAATTACCTAGAGATCTCGCAACTGCAAGGAATGGTATCTCATCAATGTGGGTAGATCTTCTTACTGGGCCTTTGTGACCAATTCTCGGTCTATTCCAAACAACTCTTGCGACACCAGACTTACTTATAACTTTCCCGCCAGATTCTTGGATTCTTGTCATTTCAGGTCCGCTTTCTGGTTTATGATCTTTTGTGAGCGGTTTTGCTTTCCACTGCGGATCACCTTCATTATCTTGATAACCAAGTACTATTCCAGAGTCTCCAACATGGCCAATATAAATTTTTCCTTTTCTAATGAATGCTATACTGGCAGTTGTGCCGGCAGTTGAAGGTAATCCTGACGCTGTTCTTGGCCATTTATCTGCTCGAAAAAAATTGTTTTTAGTTATTGAATGTTTTGATGAATTATTTTATTATTCACTTGAATTAAATAATATTAATACTAATTGAATATATGTATGATGCAAGCAATTATTGGAAATCTATATTACATAATACGCTAAAATATTGAAACAAATGATTTTTAATAACATAAACATCAAGAAAGAAGTGATAATAAAAACAGTAGTTAAAAGTAATAATAAAATAAATTATAAATATAATAACAATAACAAAAGTGATAAAATAATGAAATAATATATTAAAAAAATTATATAAGATGATAAATAAGCTTAATTGTAAAATCTAGTGTTAATTATAAATGAAAATATTGGATATTATAAACAATTTCTATAAAAATAAAAACATATACAAGTAATATCAAACCTAGTTCTCGCCACATAGCATAGTGTGTGTTAACATATCCGTCTCTAATAGCGCGAAGTACGTCTTCATCTTTATCGCTCCAAAAATTTTTTTGTTTAACAATAATATCCATTAGATGATCTTTTGCAAATTTAGCAGCTTCACCACCACCGTGTCCATCAAAAATACCAAAAAAAGCATATTCCAAATCTCTATCATCAGAAGTCTGCTGGTATGCCACACTAAACATGTCTTCCATGTATTTACGGCCACCCTGGTTACAATGACCAGTAACTCGTAGATTAACCTTGATACTTAATGGCATTGTAGGTTTACTTCTGATTCAAATAAATAACAAAAAACTACTGTATGTCTTAATGATCAAGTTTTAACAATATTACTTTTCTCACTTAATATTCTGTTACTCAATTATAATGTTTAGTCAATGTTTTTCAACTAATAACGTTTCAACCACGTACTCGAAAACAGATTGAAAAGGAAAACCTACATCTCCCAACGATTAATTGTTCATGAGGGCGCTACTATCGATTTCAAACACTGGCACAGCAGTTATACACAAACTATATCATGATACATATTGTCAAGACGTTTGTTTTGTTAATTTACCTATAAATTTTACATAATATTCTATTAAAATTATAATTTAATTACTTCTACATTTCTTAAAAAATATTCTATTCATTAACAACATACATTTATTATAAATTTTTATAAATATAATAATTTTTGTCATCGATCCTTGTAGAGTTGCACAAACTATACCGAAAACGCGGAAAGTGCCCTCTAACGGTGTAACACATCATCGCATTTGTGAATTATTACAGTTACACATATTTACACGGATGCATGTATAAATTAAAAGTATGAATTTAATAACGAATATAATTATTAAAATTATAATAAAAACAAATTTATGATATTGAAATTTATAATACTCAGGCTATATTCCATTCTTTTGAGAGAATATTAGATTTTATTGATTTTTTTTTACAAGATTTTTTGTAATTACAATTTTCTTTAGTCATCAGTAATAACAAAAAAAAATTCAACTCCAAAAAGATATCATCATCAATATCAGAGCATCGGTCGGTACTCCGATATCTCTTAAAAGAAAAATCTAAATAAAGTACAAAAAATTTTGAATTTATATTAGACTTTTTATCTATCGATATTATTATTAATTAATATTTCTTACATATAATTATCTCAACTTTCTGTTGCAAGTAAAGATAAAGCTTTATTATGTCAAAAATATTTCATGTTTACAACTGAATACTTTCGATTTTTAATTGTAATCAATATCAGTATTATTTGTGTGTATTAAAAACTTCATGAATATTTTGAAGTAACAAATCTTTCATAAATATTCAAAGTTATAATTATTTTTTGATACTAATTTTTTTTTTATAATTTCCAGATTAAACATAATATTCAATTGATCCTGCTACCGATTTCCTAGCTCCTGCTCCTAGATAGCAATATCAGGATAACATGGAATAAGTGGTAGATATAGGTTTAGTAATTCTAGAGGTATTCTGCGAACGAGTAAGGAAAAGTCGTTTTCGAGTCCTGAAACCGGTTTCTTGACTGTCGACAATATAGCATATACATACGTATATCGGTCGTTAACAGGTAATGGATTATTTTAGCATTTATAATTACAATCATGGCAAATTTCAATTGTCTTTTTATATCAATATTATTTTCAAAATTTTATTCAATTTATCATACAAGTCATTTTTATGATCATGAATTATTACAATGTTTTTTGCTGTTTCATTAAAAAAAACATTTATCATCGCTAATAAGTTGCCGATAGAAAAGTTAGAAAATCATTCAAGTATAATCATTGTATTTATCTGTTGAAATAACTTAAGAAACAATTTTTCAAAAAGATTGGGCATCTTTTACAAATAAAATAAAATTGGCAAAATGTTTTTTAAAATTGTCTAAATCTATTTCGCTGTGAAATTTGACGGAAAGCTGGACTTGGATCGATCAATGGTTCTGGTGATATTACACTTGGTTGGCTGTAAATGAAATAAATAAATAAATAAATGGCTAGAAAGAAAAATATTTTATATAACAAATAAATTCTTAATCTCTTACCTGCAACCAGTAACATTCTCGGCAGAATCACAAGCATTAATTAATTCATTAAATGCATTCCCTTCGCCACAATTCTGGAGTCGAGGATGACCATTTATACATATAAAATATTGTTGGCAATCATTGGGGTTTCTGAAAAATCTAGATTCACTGTAAAACAATTGATACTGGTTATCTCCTTCAGCAGGATTGGGACATGTGAATTTCAAGAAAGCTGAAAAATTTTAAATATTTATTTAGAAAAATGTATTCAAAAAATATTTTTTAATATTTAAAATCAAACATACCTTCAACATTGCAATCAGGAACTTGATCAGGCCAATCACAACGATAAGTTTCAGAATTAAAAGCTAAACCTTCGGGACAGTTGAAAAGATGTCCAACACCATCAGCGCAATTAATAAACTGTCCACAATTGGCTTCATCACCAATTTTGAAATAACCGTATTGATGGGGACAGTCATCAGTTGGTTGTGGAGGTTCTGTTAAATGATTTGCATAACATGATGTCACAATTTATAATAAATTTCAGTAATATAATATTTGTTACAATTCTTACGTAAATTTGGACGTCCATCGCAATTAATATCAATCGGATATCCACATGGATAATTAAATCTTGCCTCGGGATTGAAGAAGAGACCCTCCGGGCAAAGTTTCTGTTCACCAATACCATCAACACATTCAATATAAGCATCACATTGAGAAGGAACTACAAATCGTCCATTCTTTTCTGGACAAGGTACGCCTGATTGTTGAGGAGATTGTCTACTATCAATATTATTCAATTGTTGGAATTGTTGTGGCCTTTGGAATGGTGCCTGTACAAATTGATTTGGACCAAATCGTTGTTGCTGGAATGTCTGAGCTTGGAACTGATTTTGGAACTGAGCTATGCCTGTGAATTTTTTATAATATAAAGATAAATAGTGAATAAGTCGTGGAGATATTAAATGTCAGCAATAACTACATATGTTTCCCTAAATACGTGCATTGCATGTCGATTCATGACTTGATTGTATAAGTTCTATTTTTCAATGGCTTTAGAAAATGTCAAGTATGACGAAATATCTATGAAACTATTAAAAGTTAGTTTGAAGATGATTTCTACGGTGATGAAAATTTGTGTTTATATTAACATTTATATATTTTTTGAAAATATGTTATATAAATTCTTTTTTATTCCAGACATACACACATTAAAATGACTAAATATTAAAAAATTGGTTTTATTTGCAAGGTGCAAATCATACGTGTTAAAAACATCGATGATGATGATGATGATGATAATAATAATCATTATTAATAATATATGATTAAAAAAGGTCAATAAATAAATAAAATAATACATACAGAATTTAGAAACAATAAGGGTGATAATAATTGGAACAATCCGTATTCGATAATGTATAATATCCATCTTCTTGCTTCAAAATGAATGTACGAATCTACGTATTGTAAAATCACTGGAAGATGCTACGACTTTGAAGATACACGACTAAATATAAACTACAGGTCTCTTGGGGACCTTTCAATATTTTTTATCATTTTAAACGCGGTAAAGGAAAGTGAGAGTACCTACCTATTCGTTGGGATGAACATCTTACTTTGTGGTGGCAAACACATCTTGATGCTGGAGTAGGAGATGAATTTCAGGCATATATTGACTAATAATGTTGTATGTATTGGTGTGTGGATGCCAAGAGAAATCAGAAAACGAATACATAAAAAAAAAAAAAATAAATCCCGAAAAATAATGATAATAATTTATATAACTCTGAGAAAGAAACATGAGATCCAACCGAGGATTTATTGGAATGTTCAAATCGTTTGTTTTGGATCTTTTTTTATGCGAAATTTTTTTATTTAAAGACATGAGTTTTTTTAGCAGGTGTATATATGTAGATATATATATATATATATATATATGAAGAGAAATAAATTTTTTATAATATAAATGAATAATTATACAATAAAATATAATACAAAAAATATATTATACAAACATAGTATCACACAAAGATTGAAAAATCTAATATACAATTTATATCTAATAAATAAATTGACTTAAGAATTAATGTATTACATACAATAACACGTGATAATAATTACATAATAGACGACTTTGATAGCTGTCATAATATAACAATATAAGTATTCTTAATCTTTGTATATTTATCTTATAAATGTTGATTAATGTTTAAACAAATATTGTCAATGTAATTTTTTTTTTACAAATTCAAGTTGTGAAATATTCATTTTAATGTAATTTAAAATGACTACGAGTGAAATTATACAAATTAATACTTTCGAATTTATTTTTATTATACAAGATGATTAAATTGAAACTATTAATGATATGGAACTACGTTATACATTTTGCTTACGTATATTTAAAATATATACATATTTCTAATTATATATGAATATTAAAAAATAGAAAAAATATTTACAAAAAATTTTACACGTGGAATTAAAAATAAATATAAACATATTAATTTATGTTGGAATGATTTTAGGATGATAAACAATTTTTCTGTTCTGTGATAAAAAAAAAAACTAACTGGTTTCAGTTGATTTTAATGTCTTTGGATATAGTTTTCTTTTGATAAATAACTATTAAAATTTGATTAAAAATAATATTTTAATTAAAAATAATCTGTCAATGTTTGTGTATTTTGAAGTGTTTAGAAAAATTAGTCAGTCCGTTAATCAATGGAAAGTAAACTAATAAAAATTCACGAATGCAAATTTCTTTTTCACACTGTATACAGTTGAAAGTATGCGAAAGACGGTGGGAGTATATTATATATATATTCCTTCCTTTACTACGAATTGAAATTGATAAATATTTTATCATCATGAGCAATTGTCAACAAACGATACACTTGATCCACTAGCCACTTCTGCATAATCTTGCTTTCCAGTTGAACAAAGTTTACTGGAGAAATCAGCCTCTCTCTTTCTGAAATTTGCAATATGTTAAAATAAAAGAAATGACTAATTAAGAAACTCAAGTAGAAATTAATGATTTATACCCTCGACCAGGAAGCTCCATCACATCAACAACAACATTATTAACATAAAGTCGATCATTACACCAAAAAAAACATAATGATCTTGGTTGAAGAACATCCATGTCATATGTCCAAAATAAATCAACTTTTCGGATTTTTCCGATGTCAGTAGCTGCACCTCCTGGATGTGCAACAACGATTTTTCTAGTTGATCCGTGTTCCAGTCTCATATAACCACTGTTACGTGACAAATATATAAATGAAGGAACATTTGAAATTGATTAAATGAAAAAAGAATCATTAATTACTTAGGTGTAAGATCCATGTTTCGAATAACTCCATTGTCTGCATGAAGTGTAACTTTGATGAAACCTTGGACCCAACTTTCTGCTGTCGAAGGCTGTGCAAGGTTGATGGTTATTCGGTAATGTTTTCCTACCGGAGAGAAATCAATTTTGTAATACCCAATATTACATAATTAATTATATATTTCATGTGAATAATATTAATGAAAAAATATATATTATAAAATAATAAATAGTTAAAGAAAAAAACTTACGACAATATGGATCGTCTTTGCCAGTAGAAAAGAAAAATTTAGAGCCAAGTAATGCTGATATATCTTGGCCCATTGATAATCTTTTCACTAGAGCTGGACTTTTATCAGCATGATAGCCCATTATACCACAACTTAAACTATTATTACTTTTACAAGAAAAACACTCGCCTCGTAAAAAATTAGCGTAACTACTGCATTCATGTGCCACATATTGGCATTTGGAATTAATACTTTCTATAAAAAGTTTGATAGCTCTGATGTGATTACAAGCCACTAACACTCTAGAAGCTTCTTCTAGGCCTTCTCGAATGAGCGTTAATGGTAATGAAGGCGTGGTTTCACTCAAGTCAGTACAACCTGGTTGTTCTTTACCATTATTAGGATAAAAATCTAAATGACCACATGGTTGACTCATTCCATACCCTAAAATGTTTATTTATCAATAATTATTTTTATTTTAATCCTATCTTGATATCAATTTTAAAACTAATATTCATTAATAATTAACTTAATGTATACCTAGAAAAAAAATACTTTTCCCATCAGTATGTATAACATCAACCAATTGTGCATCTGTCCAATCTAATCGCAGATGACTAGGCATACCCTGAAAATTTGGTTCAGCAGGATCCAATCCAGTAATTCGACCAATTTGACCATTCAACTTTTCGCCAGCATAACCAGCAGTATGAGCACCAAGACTGTGACCTATTAAATGAACATCACTCATGTTCAAACCATAATTCACCTGCAGTATAATTGAATGCTTAGTACAATATTTAATAGAAAATGATTTCTCAAGTGAAAATTATAAAATTAAGGCTATGTACAAGTAGGTATATAATTCATCCAATTAGGGATATATGTAATTGACATATTTTCTTGATGCAATCTCAGTGTTTTAATTGAGATATATGTATTTACTTACATGCAGATGTTTAACAAGATATGCTATTTCTAGGCCAACTAATCTGGTATTGGCAGTTGCTTGAGTATATAATGGTAAACTGCCACCAGCCCAATCAACAATTATTACGTTATAATCACCATGTTGAAGTAATTCATTTCTCATTTCCTACAATGTTAAATTTAAAGTTCATTACTAATACACAATACTTTCAATTATGAGAAAAAAACAACATTTACCTTGACCCAATTGCTCAAAGGTGTATCAATGAACCCATGAATTATAAATTTAGTCTTACGTTTCGAATCGAAATTTGATTTTCTAATTGATCTATCTTTATCCACTATGAGAACTTGTCCCTGTATTAATGATAATAAGTCAGTATAAAAAATGATCTTATGAATGAGTAAACACAATCACACTTACTTCAGTAGGATTTTCATTAGTATAAAGAATGAATCTAGTGTTAATAACTTCACGTGGCAATGGAAAAACATTTAGAGGCCTGTGAATAAGATGATACCAAGATCTTGTGATATTTAGACAACCCAGTTCATCATAACATCGAGTTTCATTTTCAACTAGGAAAAAATTTATAACAATCATGTTTACTTTTATAATAACAATAATAAAAAAATAAAATGTTAATAAATAAATAAATTATTTACATGGTAGCCAAGGTATATTGACTTCAATTTTATCACTTCTAGCCCACTGCCAAGGATCTAGAATGCCAGCGAAACCGGGAGTTGGAACAAATACACCAGAAAGACAAATCAATAGAATCCTGAATGTTGATATAATGAAGTGATTTTTTTCCCCACTACTTCTCATCCTTAAATCAATTAAAATACATTTGGACGAGTAAGTAAATACTAGAAATTTCAAATTGATGTCATTTTTTATTTAACAATTTAATCATTTCATCAACAATTAAAATATCATTATTTTATAACAAAAAAACTGATGTTTCTTTTTTTAGAATGTTTCTAATTTATTTAATAACTTTAAAAGTCGAGAGTTTTAATCTTTTACTATCATGTGTATCTAAAATAATTATAATAAATACTAGTTTAAAATTAATCTTATTCCAGGTATGAATTAAATCAATCAACAATGAAGATCAATATCTAACCCCAAAATGTACCAAAAAATCTTCTTACTGATCAAGAAGAGTGTTGAATATTTATCACAATTGAGATGTAATAGTCACATAAATGATGATAATACCAGGATAAACAAAGCTAAATAATGGCGGTAAAAAGTGGTAAAGGATATTACGTGACGATAATGTGCATTCTTTACGCGCATCGACGCGAAACTTGATTTTTCCTTTCTCTTAGACTAATCACTAGTACTTATAATTAAAATAATTATATACATCCTTATTAGAAGTAATCAAGCATTCACAAATGTGAATATAAACGATCAATTTTAGATGATAGTGCTAACCATTAAGATAGCACTGGAGAACCTGCGTGATCCTCTTTCACCCTAGATGTGTATGTATGTTTATATGTGACAGCTTTCCACATAGGTCGGCCTTTACACTGACCTACATACCACAAATAACGGTAAGTATAAATACTGTTATATATATATATATATAGATATATATATGCATGTAAACATTGCCTGTTAATTATCTATCATATCAATGACTTTTGATTTTTAATTTGTCTACATTTGAAAGTAACAACTAAATTTGATCTAATAAAAATATAACATCCATCAATTATAATGTTTAAATACTAGAACAATTAACATATTAGTGTTAAAAGTAATATTTTTATTTTATATAATAATAAATTGTTTAATAAAACATCAAGTATAATAGTAATAATAAAGTGAAATTTGGCGTACGTAATATAAATAAAAGTTGATGAATTTTAATTAAATTAACAGCATTAGAAGTAAAAATAAATTAGTTTGATTATAAGTATTATTTTTATATAACGTTAGATCATACTTTTTGAGTGAAAATATGACAATTGACTTTATTATTATAAAATAAAAATAACAATATATCATCATAAAATTCTATTATGTATCCAATGTCTGTGCAATAATAGTAGTTTATATGGACCGGAAGTACAAGACGGAACTAACTGGCTAGCGAGAGTTAAGAAAGTAATCAAAAGTGAAAATTTTCTGCAACATATAGAGTCATGAATTGGCGAGAAAAAGTCTAGGAAATAAGTAATATTAAGCTTGAAAAATGATATTTTTTTTTTACAGCTATTTCTTTCACTAAATTACCAGAGAATGTTTAATTAATATTCACTCAATAAATGTTGCATAAAAAAATAATATATGTGGTCAATGATGGCAAAACTTACTGATGGCTGTGTATACATAGCAGAGTTATTCTTACAGTATACGCCTACGTGGAGAAAGCGCATACACGTTCTGTTTCACTATTATAATATATTCAGGTATGTAATCCATCAGCTAAGTTCAATCAAGCTATCAGATTATTAAATCCAATCAAATATTTTGATTAATTCTTCATATTAAATAATACAAAATATTTTCATGATTTAATGTCAATATCAATCATCAATAGTAGTAAATCAAAAATACAATTGATTATTTTTCTTTTTAAATAAATAAAATAATTGTTTTTATAACAGAATACTTACATCTTCAATACTATTCTTGCATTATACAGCCACCATTTATTTTTCTATCGATCCATGATACTAATATACAGTATATCAACTTATTAATTTCACTTTTTCACATTGAAATTCAAATTCTATGCCTGAGGAAATTGCTCTTTTTTTTTGGAATCACTATTGCAAATAATATGAAATGAAATAAATGAAACAATTTTTAATTATAAAATCATGATTTAATTCATAATGATTTTTAAACATAACAAATAAATGATTTTGAATTTTAAAAATAATTATCTGTATATATCGAATACATGTATATAATATTGATCTGACTAGTTAGTACACTTGACTCACTTGACTTTCAGAGAATAGAAATATAATACGGTGAACGTATCACAGTGAGAGGCAGCCGGTGCTCAACTGGACTGTGCACGGAAGATTCGCTACAAGTTCTCTCGCTACATTTGCCTCCCGATGTTGCTTTTGAATTGTTGTTGTAGACCTGCAGAAGCAATCAGGTGGGTCAGTAATTTTTATTGATATATACTTTTATTTACATGTCTTATGAAAACAACCAACTTCCTACTATCATTATTTATTCATTAAAAATGTTCATTTCACATTAACTCTCTAGGTATTCCAATATATATGTATATTGTAACTTTATGCATTACATATTATTAATAAATAATAAAAAGTATTATTTGTACAGGTGATGATTATTAAGAATTATTTCTTGAAAGGTAATTTTTTATAATATAATTATGATACACACTTATTCATATGAATGATGTTCCACAATTATAAAATTCATTACATAATAAATATATAATTATAAATACTTTATAACACATCAAATAGGTGTATTGTTATACAAAATTAGTCGTAATGGATTTCTTTTTATGTAGAAAAGAATTTTAAATGGTTCTATAGCTTAATATATCCTGATTGTATAACACATAGACAATAAATAAAGATGGATGATCTTTTAACATCAGAATATATTATTATTATTAAATGTGTTATGAGTATTATTATTGTTGGAATGAAGTAAAATTTTCATACCATTTTTTGCTTTATATAATCATTGAAAAATAATCATGTTTATGTAGAGACTGTATTTAAATCAGTAGAGTGTATGTTGACTGCTTGATGATGGCAATTCTCAATTGTCAGAATTTTTGGTTCATTTGTTAGTAAAGTTTTTGTTTCATCAGGACAAACTGTAATGCTGTAAAGAGTATTAATGATATAATTGTCAAAAAATTATATAAATCTAATCAGTAAAACTATTTTATCTTACCCTTGACCAATTTCCAAACTATCAATTCGTAGAGAATCTATAAATGCTTTAGGTTTATGAAGTAATCGCCAAGTTAACGGATTGAATACTGAAGTATGATATTCCCATGTAATATGTACTGCTTCTGGCTTTCCAACAACTTCTCCTGGTAGAACAACAGTATGTATACTTCCGGGTTCATAGTACTTTGAATTTTCACTTAATTGTAATTGCTCTGTCTCTTTGTGACCTGCTCCTATTATTTTAATAATGAACATTCCAACTTCTCCTCCGTGATTCATGCTTTCATCATTTTTCGAGATAGTTAATATAACTTTGTAATGTCCTCCTAAAATGATGAACTGTCATTATTACTCTTACAAAGGAGTTAACTTGTAATCATAAAAGTATTTTTTAATACAAACTGCAAAAAGGTTTTTCAGAGGCAGTCATTAAATAAACTGATGCATGGTAATTTCCTGGTTGAGCATCAAATCCAAATCTAGGACAGTACTGATTGATGCAGTCGAAACACTTTCCTTCTTGGAAATGAACCCATGATGTACAAGGAACAGCGAGAAATGGACAATCAGTATTTATACTCTCTATAAAGTAATCATAACTTCGAATATGATTGCAACCAAGAAATCTTTTGATTCCTTTGAAAAAACTTCCTCGTTCAAGTGTTATTGAATTTAAGACTCCATTATTACACCCTGGCTGATTACGTCCACCGTTTGGATAAAAGTCAATATGAGCAACCGGTTGACTAATACCAAGTCCACCAGTCATAAATGGACTAGAGTCAGTATGGATTGCAATCACGAAATCGGCATCAGTTGGATCTAATCGTACCATTGGCGAAGTATTACTGAAATGAGGCTCAGCAGGATCTAGACCTGTTGAATAAAAAATTCATTTATATAATTACTCTGCACTAATAATAATAATAACATTATTGAATGATAAAGATTAATCTTACCACTTATTCTACCTAGATTATAACCATATTGAACACGTAAATAATATCCAAGGTATCCACATGTATGAGCTCCAAGACTGTGACCAATAGCATGAATTCGTTGAGGTGATACTTTGCCAACTTCAATTAATTGTGATGCTAATCTAGCCGTCATAGCACCAACTAATCTTGTATTAGCAACTGCTTGTGGGTAGGGTGGACCTGCACCACCAATCCAATTGACTACGACAACATTACAGTCTTCACGTATCAGTAATTCACGTTTCGTTCTCTGAAAAATAATCAAATTTGCAAATAAAAATACAGTTTTATTTTTATTTACAATTAATTTAAAGTTACTCACTAAAATCCATGTTTTATCACCATTATCTAAATATCCATGTACAATAAAATAGAGATTGTTAGAATTTTTTAGCGGTGATTGATTGATGGTATCAAATTGATCAATGAACAACTCATGTGGATCATTAGTGTGTTCGCGAGTGTAAAGCATATAATGAGGATCTATACTGTCAGGTCGACCTGGAAATGTTGATACTGGACGATTATCTCCAGACCAGGGAGTTCCAATATAAAAACATCCATAAGGTTGATAACATCTCCACATATACCACTCTAGAAAAAATAGTTCTTAATGATAATTTATTCAGTGTTTTGACTGTCTTGAATTATATAGAACTCTTTTAACCCTTCAATTCGGGTTATCAATGTCTCACAATGATAATATTTTTCAGTTTCATTATTACACTAGAGTCTATAAAATTTTCAATAATTACGTGAATAATCATAAAAATTATTCCCACATCTATCGATATAATAAATAAATTTATTAATATTTATTCTAAATAATTATTTAACTGTACTTAAATATGTATTAAATAATGCTTAAATTAATTTTATATTTACCATCTTCAAAATTAAATTCATTATCTATTTCTTCCGGCGATAAGGTTGTGGTAGAAGTATTATTCAAATTACTATTAGCTCCAAAATCACGTAATTCTGTTTTATTCGTAAGAGATGACATCATACTTGCTGTATATGTCAAAAGTAACAATGTCTCGTTAAGAAACATTTCGTACACCAATTTTATTTACACCTGCAAATATATATTATATGCATATGTATGATAATTATTGAAATATTCTTATTTTATTTTTCTTAACGATCATTTGTTTATGACGTACGACGTTCAACTGGTATAGAAATTGATAATAAGTCTTCAAGAGATATAATAAATATTAGGAAAAATCGATTGACGTAAATTAAATCTACCACATGATAAAAATTGTCAGCTGTATCAAGTTGATTGCGATATATTAAATAAATTGAAGACTTAAAATGGATTAAACTAATAAAAAATTCTTTACAACAATACCAGTTAAAATTATAAAATATAAAATATATTATAATTAATTAATAATATAATGAAAAAAGTATCGTCAAAGATATATTTCACAACTGAGAATACTTTACTGTATAACGTATAAAAAGCATCCAGACTTATTGCTGATACATTATCATTGTAGTAAGTTGAGAATTGAAATAAATAACTCACACATTTATATTAAGATGTCTAGTTCATTTGTAACATATCCAATTAAAATTAAAATTCATTCGAGTAAAATTACAGATAATTATATCGGTCATTTTATTATAATTTGTCCTCTATACAATGACTTACCACATCAATCAATTGTGTATATTTTTAATAACTTTCTTTTTAGAAATAAAAATTAACAAGTTTCAACAGTTACCTAAAAAAGTGATCACCACGTGTTTAGTATAGTTTAGATAACTTTCGTCGGCTCTAATCTAACGTGAACTAGATAAATTCATCAGGATAGCACTAATAATTGGTATGTACTGTAATAACGATATTGTATTATGATATATAAGAAGTGATTGAAGTAAAAAGTTCTGAATGTGATCGAACTTTATCACTGACTTATTGATAATTGGTGTTTCTGTCAGCTTAAATGGTTTTTATCCATGGCAAGTATTTTCTACTATTTCCAATCAATCGATTCCTTTCGGCGTTACCAGAGTAGCATGAAATGCCTCGGAAAATCGAACTTTCAGGCATCGTTTATCACGATTCGCGAGGAAACTTAGTGAATCAGTGATTAAAAAATTTTCACTATCAAACTTTTCTTTTTTTTTTAATCACAATGTTGATTACATCTGTACTATTTAGTGTATTGGTATCTGTGGAGAAATTAAAAAATCATTAATAGAGATAAAATATTAAGCTGTATAACAATATATTTTATAAATAAAATTTAATTACAAATTTTTATCAAATTGTAAAGAGAAATAGAAATCATGCAACAAAACATAGTCTATCTAAAGTTCGAATTTATACAATTTTTTATTTAAATATTTAAAAAAAAGAAAAAGCAACCTTCTAGCATTGTAAAGCATATAAGATTCTAATAAATCAAATTTATTAAATTAAAAAAAAAAAAAAAAATCTGGTATCTATATGATACTGTATATCATTAATGCTTATAAAAAAAATTCTTAATCATACATGTAGATCCAAGTTAGGATGCTTACCTTGATAATGGTGATTGGTTTCACGGAAGTATCTAAAGCTGTATAAAATTACCCCCTGAATATAATGGTTAATTAAGATGTTACATTGGATTGTAAATGTCATAAATTGCAAAAGGTGATTCCGCACCGCCTTCCTTCGTATGAGGGTTACGCCCCGCGAGTTTGATGGCCTGCCCTCCGTGGGTACCGCCCCCGCTCTTTGAACAGGAACACAGGAAATCTAAGAAATTTATTATATCAAATTCTTATTATGAACAATAATCAATAAAATTAAGACAAAATATAGTCATTCAAATAATTATCAATAATGTTACTTACTTTTTTTCTTACTTAAAATAGCATAGGGTAATTATTCATTGCTCCATTATATTCTTGGCTTATCACTGAATAATTATTCCAACTGATTGATTCTAATTATATACTTGATAATTTATAAAAATATCTAGTAATCTTGCCATTTTTGTGATAAATTATTTTTAGTAACTTTGTTAAAAAAAAAAAAAAAAAAAAGTATTCATATGAATATATTTTATAAATCCTTGAATCAATGACACTGATGTTCAATTCATGAATAAAGTTGCTAATAAATGTTATACAACAATTAATTCAACACAATAAGGGTTTAAATTTGATTGTACCACATAAGCCACATTTGGTCAGAAAGGGTGCAACCTCATGATCTTGGCCAGCCTTCGTGAAGACCGCGCCCACGCATTTTCAACAGGATTACAGAAGAGTCCAAGAGTATCTTAGTTTTGTCTTTTAAATAATTAGACCAAGACTTGAATTCTATATTATTTAAAAAAAAAAAAATTATAAATATTTTATCCATAAATAATTATCTCAATAAAATTATATTTATTACCATTAAAACTTGATGTTATGAATTATTTATTAAATCCATTATCGATTACCTTTGTTCCAGCTCATTATGTACACAATAAGTCCAAAAAATGTAGATATTATTCATCATGGTGTACATATTAATAGTACATAGCAGTGCGTTCACATCAAATAAAAGAGAAACCACCCACGCATCTTGAACAGGGCTACATCAATCGTCAAAAAGTATTATATTTATGTATACATAAATATGTAGTTAAATCTAATTAATTATATACACTGTAAACAATAATATACTCATTAAATATACCATTAATTCATATTTATTTAATAATTAATATCATCACTTAAAAATTCTATTTTTTAGAAACTACTGAAACAACAACATCGTTCACACTTACTTGACTAGAATTACACAAGTTGTATCACATATAGAAGGATGTTTATCAACAGCTTGGTTTGTTTTGATTTCATTGACGAAAATTCCAATTAAATCCACTGCCTGTATTTCATTTCCAAACTTTACACGGAAATATTTCAATACCGACTGATCCTCATCAATTATCTGAAACTAAGGTTATTTCTTTTTTCGGAGTCATGACACAACCATAAAAATAAACATACTTCTCACCTTATAGAATTCAAAATATAGATGACATAAACTCTTCAATAATCAATATCCCATGCGAAGTATTTATTGAATTTTTAATAGAAATATTGATAAAATATTATTGATACAATTTTCTCGGAATAGTTAATCTAAAAATCATTTAATCTCCTCCATCTGTAATATGTGTCTCTGATTCTTAGAGTTTCCCGCCCTATAACCTCCTCTATACCCTTATTCTCCTGCTATATTGTTGTAACAGAGTTGTTTACACTGCGCATGTAATATCAACAAATTTTTACTTTGTACTTCATTGACAAAAGTATTTATTATTCTAAAATTCAATTAGTCAATTTTTTGTGTACTCCAATGACCAATCAAGTAAATATTATGACAGATATTGATGTATAAATATGTTGTGCATTGGTACTTATTGAACCTTGTAACAGAGCAATTGTTATTGAAGTCTCTACTACTGTTGTAAGTATTTTATTTAATCACAAATTAGTGGATAATAAATTATATTTATTTATTTACACATCTTCATAATATTTGTAAACACTTTTTATTTTATTCAGTCTTATTTAGAGATCATTAATCCTGATAATGGAATAAAATAAATCATTTATTTACTAATTAGCTTTGGTCCATTGAGTTCTAAATGTGGAGACTACGTAATCAGGATTACAGCGAATCCAAGGAGGATTTAGAATCCTTATAATGGATAAGCTCAACTCCTATATATTCAGACTAACAAGTTTAATACTAAATTTAATACATATACTCCGAGTCCCATTCTGTTATCCTGACCCTTGTCGTCTGACTTCTTATTAATATGCTAATTTCAAACTAATGTAGTCGTTTTACTGAAAAGGATTTCCTTTTTATTCATTTTTATCTATACTTATTTAATACCAGCAAAATTTAATATTTAGTAATTGTATAGAATATATTGTTATATAATAAAACATGATTATATCAGACATGAATAAAAAAAAAACAAGCAAATAATGTAAAGAAATATTTTGAAAACTTGTTCATTTTAAAAAGTAGTTTGAATAAACGTAAATTTATTTAATTTATATACTTCTTATTATTATATTGTCATCTTTAAACGAAAATCACGTGTTATATAATACACCTAAGATCAGGAGATTATAAAAGTCTAGACGTAAGTATCGTATACGGTATCCTATGGATCCCAAATTTTAACAGGAAGCAACTTATTGCGATAATTATAGGTAAATAAACGAGTGCATTTGTGGACAGAAATTTTTTACACTTATTATAAATTAGAAATTTATTTTGAATTCTAAAAAAAAAAAATGTTTTATGTAAATTATTGTGTCAAATGTTATATGTTAAAGAAAAAAAAATTGGCTATAAAAATAATTGTAGCTATAAATAACCTGAATATATTCATCTCTGTCTCATTCGGAGTTTTTATAAATAATATTACATAATGGTCAGTTCAGAGAAACTTCAACGAGTAATATAAGATTGGCATAAGCAACAAGTATTGAATAAATTTTCCATACATATTTTTACGTAAAAAAGGAATGACGATAAAAATATTTTAATAAATAAATATATCAATTAATAATATTATTGATATAAAATCAAATTTTTTAATTTCATTCACATTACATTATATCATTGATCAGCATTATATACTGGATAAGCAAAGAGTTTATTTTTAAATTTTTCAATATCTTTTATATATTCATTATAAGGCCTTAAATCATTGAGACTATTTTCAGATTTATCCAAAAATTCAATAACCAATTTGTTATGATGATTTTCAGCATCAGATATAATTTCTGCATCAATGTTATTTTCATTTTTATTTACTTGGTCTGAGCACTGTTGTTTTTTAGATCCAACAATTTGTATTGATAATTTTTTTGAATTTCCCTTGTTTAAAATAAATGCTCTAAAACAGTCTCGAAGTTGTTGAATATCAATTCGATTAATTTCATCAATTTCTCGAGGATGTCGATCAAATACTAATTCTCCTGAGACTATTTCATTCCAGTTTCTCATAACTTCTTCTTTCAAAAAAATATCAGAACATTGTTTAATTTTTATTAGTGATTTTTTAACATTATCAAACTCTTCATTCGACATAGTATTTAGTTGATCATCAAACGATATGAGAAAGTTTTCTATTCTATTATCAATATCATCAGTTGTGAATTTATCAGCCTGTGTACAAACTGTTATTGAATACCCAAGAAGACCATAAGTATCTCTTATTAAACAATATACATCATAGCCAAGTTGTTGTTGAGTTCGCAATTGATTGAATAATGGCTCTTCCATAATCATCTGTAATAATCAATTAACATTATTAATATTTTATTTCAACATAAGATATATAAAATTATCATTTATACTTACAGCGAGTAATTCAATCATAACATATAAAGATATAGATTTCAAATTAATTTGATAATAATTAAGAACTAAAGAGTTCGAATCCATTTGATTGAAATTTTTTAATCGGCAACAGGTTGATTCACTTGGTAATGAAAGAAATCGTGTTTGTGGCATGGTATTTGGTAACAAAGGACCACAATTGAGCTGAGAAAAAACATCCAAAGTATTTTTAATAACATCATCTTGACTCATATTTCCCTGTACGAGGCTTTTAATATATAAATGGTTAGAAAAATATTTCATAAAATGCTTAAATTCATTAAAGGAAATACTGTTTATTGCATCATATTTTTCTGTTGCAGTCCATTTGGTCAACATTAAAATAGACAACCTTATTTGCCTAAAAGAAAAATGTGATGTTAGTATATGGTATTGGTAGTTACATAATATTTATTATCACATACTTTTCCAATTTATAACGCTTCAAAGTGGTATTGTAGTATTCTTTCAATAGCTCTGATTTAAAAATCTGGAATAGATCTTCACTGATGAGTTCAGAGCTGTTAGCAATATAGCTCATACTTGTTTTAAATAATAATGGCAGTTTTTGATTAAACCCAGATATTTCCATCACCACACCTTGCCTATTAGTATGAAGACCAAATTTTAATTTGGCTGCTGTTGCTGGGTATAATTCTTCCATGAGTAATTGGTTTAGTATCATCACCATCAAGTCACCCATTGCAGCTCTAGAAATTAAATTTAATGAATAAATGTTGAAATAATGGTCGATTATATTTTTAGCACAATATAAGAATACAATACCCATCAGGAGATGTCGTCATCAATGGAGATATTAGTTGAAAATACATATAACATTCTGGTAATCTAAATTTAGCATCAGGCTTGTACCAAATTTCATACAAATTATCTTGATAAATTTTCTTCGGATACTGATAGGTTTCGTTCAATGGAATTAGCGTAAAATCATCGGTTAAATATAAATTAACTTCTGGTAAATGAAATTCCGGATAAGGTTTTATTTCTTTCCAACAATTGATCCATTCTTTTGGAATATCTTCATCAATATACTTAGTATTGAACCAAGTTTCCGTTTTAGTCAGCATATCATCATTGAACTGTTTATTAAAGATGAGTATATTCATATTTTCAGGAGTTAAAAAACTCATACAATTTTTAATAGCTTCTGGATCATACTCAAAATAAAGATCACTTCCTGTAATATAATCAGATGGTGCATAAAAATGCATTTTTTCACAAAGATATTGGACATAGCCAAATGGAGGTACATCATCAATGAATTTAAAATTGATATTTTCAATAGTTTGTATTTCATCGTATATTCTTTTTTGTGGGCCTAGTTTTTGAAGCATGTTAATATATGAATATACAGCGTCTAAAATTTCTTTTAAATGCTTATAACCCTCATTAGTAAGAAAAAGTGATAAACTAAAAAGTGCATACATTGAACTATGCTCAAAACCACTTTCACTATTTCCACATAAGATTTCTAAGCACCACATTTTTTTTCGTAAATAATTTATCAAAGATCCTTTGCCTTCATGACCAATTATCCAAGATAGATACTGATGTGGTTTTACTTTATAAAGGTGATGTAAAGGTGGCATTACCCATGTCATTTCTACTTGACAAACATCTTTAATCGGTTTAATTTTATAAATTCGCCGAAAACTAGTTGTATCAAATGATTTAGTTCCAACATAATTGCTAAAATTATCTCCTGGTAAATTATTACTAGGAATACTTGAGAAACACTTTTTGACATACTCCTCTAATGTGTCAAGTGATAATTTTGCTTGAACTGTTAACGTCATTCGATGAGCACTGTAATGACGAACACGGAAATCATGGAGACTTTTGTATAATTCATCTTCTGTAATATTATCTCGGAGTGTTTTCAAATTACCCCATGTAAATTTAGTAGCTGGATATCCTGACTGTGCTAAACTACAGAACAATTGTTCTTTTCGAGATGAATCTGAAGGCAAAGCCATCTGAAATTCTGATATTTAATAAATATGTATTTCTTTGATTTTTTTTATATATATTTTAGATGAAAATCATGATGACATACCACTTTCTACTGCTTCACGTTCACGTGAAATGGCATCTCGTAACATTAATGGAGAAATGAAGAATTGTGCAAAACGATCAAGAGCATCAAAGAAATGTTTTTCAACAACTTCGAAATAAAATATTGTATGCTCTGGTTCAGTAGATGCATTATCATGTCCTCCACATTTTTGAATGAAAGAATCAAAATCATTCTCCTAGTAAAACATTAAAATACAATGAAAATAAAATAAAATTTAATTACAGTGCATTTTGTAAATACTTACTTTAGGATATTTTTCTGATCCCATGAATACCATGTGCTCTAAAAAGTGAGCTAAACCTGGTACTTCTGGAGGATCACTGAAACTTCCTACACCTACACATAATCCACATGCCGCCTGGAATGAATTCAGTAAATCGAATGAGAAGCATTATCATATTGGGATGTTATTTATTTTTGATAAATGAATGATGATTACCATTTTGACTTCTTTGTTTGATGATAAAATTTTCTTTTTCATCTTTTTTAAATTAATTTCATCATCAGAGTTTTCTTCGTCATTTCCACCATTCTCTGATAAAATTTCATCATCAGAATCAGACTCATCATCGCTGTCTGCTGCTGATGACGCTGCTGATGATTCTTCTGTTGGTTAAATAATAAAATTAAAATATGCTTAGAGAAATGACATAGATAATTAAGAAATATTTACCATCATCGTGTGATAAAAGAGCTTTTTGATCATCTGTACTATTAGTATTGGCACATCTATCAACATCAGCAATTAGAAGCGCTGTCAATCCATTCTCAAGCTGAATTACTCTACATAAAATAATTATAATTTTTAATTTATAGTAATAATTATTATTCAAATGAATAAATTATTTATAAAAAAGTGTATATTTATTTTTTATACAGAAAAAAATTTTTACCTGTATTGTTTTTTATCACTTTCAGATTTTGTTGGGGTTTCTAAGTATTTAACCTCTTTTACAATATCATTTGAATTTTCTGATGACTTAGAAGTTGCATTATTTTTCGGTTTATCACAAATTAACGTGCTCGGCATTTTACTTGAACTTGTAAAAGGTTTACTATCAATATTATTACAATTTAATTTAATTCTCTTTGTCAATGGTTCTCTCTGAAATAAGTCGCGAGGCATTATCCGTTTAAAACAATAATTTAGAATGTGCTTCATAAACATATCATAATTCAAGTAGTAAGCTTCATTAATTATATCGTTTACACATCGAATAAATGAAAAAAATCGATCACCTTAACTGGAAAAAATGTGTAAAAATTTATTCTCTACTTTTTTATATTTGGATAAATTTAAAATAACCGTACAATTTGTAGGTATACAGATTACCTTATCCTATGAGGTAACTAACGGATTTTTTTTTTAATTTTTTGACAACGTCGGTTACATAATTATTATTTAAACTTATATTGATGGAAAAAAATATACATATATTAAATAAATTCTATTTAATATTATATAAACAATTACAAAAGAATAGTGACTTATTTATTTTTTTGAATCACATATATTACTGTGGTATAACGTTTAATCCACTCAGGAAATGTTGTTTTATAAACAACATTTTCCATAATTGTCATTACTGATTGCATAGATTGATGAGCCCATATGTCATATAAAGAATCCAATTGTTCAAGTTCCTTGTGACATTTATCACTCAAGAACATGGCATTATCAAGCAACTCTATAACATCAATATCTTTTTTCGCTACGATTGGATTGGCAGTTTTTGATATTGCTGTTATTAATTCTTCAATCGAATTTAATTCGCACTTTTGTTGCTTGAATAATTTATTCATCGATATATATTTTAAACAATTAATTATATAATAAATTGGAGTTTGGTAAACTGGCACAAAAATTGATAACGTCGGTGTAGTTAGTAAAGCATTGCTCATACATTGTAGTGTATGTCTAAAATAAATATGAATATATTATTACGATAATTAAATGCAGAATTTTGTTTTATCAATTATAGACTTAAATTACCTGTAAGGATTTTTAATATTAATCAGCATGATTTTATCTAAAGCATTGATATTCAAGTTTTTATAAAATTCATCAATTTCCGTATTAATAAATAAGTTTAACCACTCCGTATTATGATTAGAATTAGATAAAACCATTATGTTATTTAGTGAAGTCATTAATAAATTTTTCAGATGAAAAATAAATTGAGCACTAGGCTTCAAACGTATTAATGAGTTTTGGAATTTCTTTACACAATCAGTCTGGAATAAAAAGCGTATAAAAATTATTTAGTAAGAGAAATAAATAATATTCATTCGAATATATATAAAATGTACCATCTGAGCTGTAGTTTCTTGAATATTACAGGATAATTGACTGTATCGAATGCGTAAATTTTCCTCTTCATTGTTAATATTTTTAAAAAAATGGATATAATGTTTCAAAATGGCTCGTCTTCTTTCTAATAATGAACTTTGAACAATAATTTCTAACCAGTCATTAAAAACTTTATTTTCATCACATAGCTGTAATCAAGATTTTTAATTTTAAATTGATTGTTATTGTAGAATTTTTATTTTAATATATATTTATTTACTTACCAGTATTTTTTCGATATAATCTACTCCAGAATTACGGTATTTTTCACTGCTGTAAGTATATTTTACTATTTCTGCTGCATTTAAAATATGTTTACTATAAACTCTTGCTAGTTCAATATTATGATAACTATTAATTTTATTATCTTCCTGAATTTCTTCATCATTTTTTATTGAATTCAAATTTTCTGCTCCTTCATTTCTCTCTGTTGAAGAAAGTTCTAAGTGTGTTACTTTGTTAGTGTCTTGGATACGCTTATTTAACAGCCATTTCCACAATTCCAAAATAGAGATTGATCCTAAATCCTTCGATATTTGTTGCCAAGCCTGTTAAAATATACAACGGAGTATGCAGTTAGAAATAATTCGTTTATATCAAATAAATACAAGTTGTTTTATCTACATACCTCTCGTTTATCTTCTCTACAAGAAATAGTACCCACTGAAGCAATAATTTGATTCATAACAGCTTCATTAATATTATTATTTTCAGATGGTTGTAAATGGTGACATTCTGATAATAATTCATTGCATGTATTCATGTCTCTCTTAATATCATCATGTTTGAAATGTATAATCATTTTTTTTACCTTGATTGACTTTTTTAATGCATTCAATTTAGCTATTTTGCAACCTATAATAATAGTTATTATGATATAAAATAAGTTATTCCTCAAAAATATTATTTTTTATACATCTGTACATACTTTTTGGTTGAACAGATTGAATCTCTTGATCATATTCACTTTCAATCTTTGTCAAACGTTCTTTGATTTTATTCCTTTCAAATCTTAATTTATTGATATTGTTGATATGTTCAATTGATGCTACTTTTATTTTGTTTTTTAAATAATACAATAAAATATTCTTTCGTGTTTCAAGAACATCATTAATAGGTAGAGATCGTGAGGAAATTTCATCCCAGGCAAAGCTTACAACACCACAGTTTAACCTAAAATCAAGTTAATCTATCAATTTTTATAATAAATTATTTATAATTAAAAAAAAATGTTAGCTTTTTATTTTACTTACAACGATTTTTCGTGCTCTTGAAAACTTTCTATTAAAGGACATCCTAAATGTTGAGACCATTCGAAATTATCCAGTGACACTTTATCCATTATTGTTTATTGTTTTGGAGCATTCAAACAATACATATGTTTATATACAGAATTGTGAAAATTGAAGAGAGTAATAATTTATAATTTTTGTATATTAATTATGAATAATTATAAGAATAATAGAGGCTTTCGAAGAAAAATAGTATTTATTGACATTCCACCGGTGTCGCATAAGGACATTTTCAGATGTGCCAAAATATTCAAGTGGCGACCTCGATAAAATTTCGGTCAAACTAAATACTATTTGTTCGATTGTCGATAACTTTTATTGTAACCTCAAAATATGTTTTACAATTATTACGATATCTAGAGAACTGAATATTTTTTGATAATCTGAATCACATGTATCGATCAATTATTTAAAAACACGTAAATAAATTTATTTATAAAACTAGATATAAAAGTAATTGAAATATTTAATTATCTCATTACTATGAATATTGCTAGAGGATTTAGTTCAATAATCAATCATGCTCAAGTGTTGAAAGAATTTTTATTTTCACCGAAATGTTTACTGTATACAAACATTGGAATTTCTATATCACTATCTGCAACAGGAGATGTTTTAGAACAACATTATGAAATTTTAAAGGTAGTATAAATAGAACAAAAGTTTAAATGATTTCTGTTATGTCATAAATTTTATTTTAATGATATACACAGGGTGATATAGAACGATGGAGGTTAAAAAGAACATGTCACATGGCATTATCAGGAATGACAGTGGGAATTATTTGTCATTATTGGTACCAATTTTTAGATGCTAGACTGCCTGGAAAAACTATAAGTATTGTGTTAAAAAAAACTGTTATTGACCAACTCGTATGTTCACCACTTTACATAGGAATGTTTTTCATAACTCTTGGAATTTTAGAAAATAAAACTTGGTATGAGTTGAAAAAAGAAATTAGAGAAAAATTTTATAAATTATACTTAGCAGAATGGATCATTTGGCCTCCAGCTCAAATTATTAATTTTTACTTTTTACCTACAAGATTTAGAGTTCTTTATGACAATACAATTTCATTAGGATATGATATTTATACCAGTCAGGTAAAACATAGTCCTGAAGTAAAGCATCATGATAGTTGATAATCAAAATAGAATTTTATCAAATTAATTCAGTGAATGATTATAAATTTTTAATGTTTAATACTATTGTAAATACTTTTAAAAATTTTGTAAATAGTATAAACAAATAAATATCATGTTTTAATTATTTAAAATAGATGATATATCTTCATTGTTATTCAATCACATGTATCTCAGGTCAGAACAAACTTCTCATCCAATTACTTTTCGGTTTTTTATTCAATTTAAATCATTTTTATTCGTTATAAAAAATAATAAATACAATTTACAATGTTATGAAAACAAAAGTATTGTTCAAAATTCAATTACAATTCGTAAAGTAGATTTATAGACTGTATAGACATATGTTAGTTTTTAAACTAATTGCTTAACGAATCATTTATGATGAATAAAATTTCGATGGATTTGCCAACAAATTAATAATATTATCTTTTCAATTAAGAAAAAAAGAAGAATGATTTAATACAAATGTTTAAATTGAATTTATATTTGATTTTTCTTGCTATTTGCAGGGCTATTTTGGTGATTATTATATTTGAATTTTTCCATTCATTAGCATAATTTTCATAATGATTATTATTTTTTGAAACTATCATTTGCATCTCTATCATTATTAGCATTATAATATAGAATGACTGACATTAAATACATCATTTAATTGTGTATTGTAATTTTTTATAAGTAAATAATCAAGTTAATAAAGTGAATAATTGATAATACTCTATTAATCTATCACTGCTCTTCGTTTGTATATTATATGATTATGTATATAATTTATTATCTATTTTTTGAATAGTATATTTAAAATATATCGGAAAAATTCGTATAATTTAATTGTAAATTGAAGAATTATTAAATTTATTTATAACGTTATTAATGAATAATATATAAATTTTTTTTCTAACTTATAGTCTTCATAGGGAACATTTATATCGATATTTAATGCATTTTTATCATAACAAATCTACAAAAATATACTGCTTTTAAATTTCCTATTCTCTTTTTTTTTCCTTTTATATTCCATTTACAATTCTACAATTAATAATAGCATTTGCAATCCTAACATCATATCTCATTTCAATGATTCTTATAGCTCTCTATGTTATTCATATCCGTGAACTTATTTTAAAAAATGTTTATATGGGTAATAAGTTACCGATATGATAATTATGCACATATAATATAAATTCTACGTGTATGAAAAGCATCAGTCTCTTTACATTAATAATGTCGTTTGTATATTTGATGTCTCGCTATTTTATACATAATATTATTAATATTTATATTTATTGTATTATATTAATATAATTAATATAATATTACAATACTTTATTATCACATGGAAGTGTACATGTGTATATATTTATATTTATAAAAATACGAGACAACTTATATTCAAACTGTGTAAAATAAGCATTTTATATAATGCTGGAAAATATACATTATATTATCCTGAAGAAATTAGTTTAATTTGTCCAATTTTAATTTATTTTTCAATGATAATTAAATATTAATAACAACTGTCTACATGTCGTCACAAAAAATGTTTTTAAATGCATACACACTTATCAGTCAAATTTACACTTGACGTTTTTTTTTTTTTTATTTATTATAACTCTGATGTACACAATTACCGAGATTTAAAAATTTTTATTATTAATATAGTATATCTGTTATTAATATATATATATAATATTTTTTTATTTTTCATCTTTCTTATTTTCTTTTTAGTCTTTTTTTTACTAATGCTATAAATAGGATAGTATATTGGCAGTGAGGATACGATACAGTATTACCTTTTTACTAATTTATTATAATTAATTTTATAATAACTTGTTAAAATTTTTTATTTTTATATTTATGCAGCTTTAATAAATGATTATTAACTGTTGTTGGCCCCATCAAAATTTATTTAGTACGCATATCGAGCTAGGATGTACTGATTAATAAATATTTAAATAATATTTATCATGATTTAGATAGAAAAATTTTTTTATATTAATAATACATAATAATTGAATACATTTTCATTTATAATGAAAATGAAACAAATAACATAATAAATCAATTAACCAAAACAAGCATTTTACAAAAATAGAAATAACATAGAAAATATTATATTTTAGTCAGGATATACACAATCAATAAAATAAAACCAAAAAATATGGAAATGAAATAATTTTTATAATTTCCAGTATTTCCTAAAAGCACACAACTGTTCGACAAACATACTCAGTGTGTTTATACTGGCTGCTTAGACGTTTCTGTTACACTCATACTAATTATCTGTTATCTATCAATATCATAGGTATTCTCAAAATTGAATAGATTGATTTAATAAAAAAATTTCTTAATTATCATTTATTGCTTGGGATACACTGAATGATGCATCGCCTTGACCTTTTTCTACAGCTTTACCAGTATGTTTTTTTTTATCAATAGTTTTACTATCAGATTGATAATTCAATTCCGCTGATATTTCTTTGGTATTGATATCTTTCACCATCAATTTACTGAATAAACATAATATAAAATAAAATTTCATAATTAAATAAAAATTAAGTATTATATTGAATCAGTAACAATACTTACGAGAACGCTTCAGCATTACATTCTGTATCAAGTCCGGTGTCACGATTACTTTTAGAATCTTTTTTAGCGTCATTGTCTGAATTCTTTTTAACTGTTGATTTTTTCTTACTCATTGGCTGTAAATAATTATTATTATGATTATCAAATTACATGAGGAATAATTATTTTATATTATTAAAATTATTAACCTTCATTTGAGTCTTTTTTCCTCGAGAAGCTAACAAATTTGAATTAGTTCCTCCACGAGTTTGGAACATTCGAGCATTTAAACGTGGAAATGGTATCTAAAATATCAATTAATTTTATCACTATCATTATTCATAATAAAATGTAACATATAGAAGTCATTAAATGTATATGAAATTCAACCAATTAATTTTCTTACCAATGTACGTAAAATCTGATGCTCCATGATAAACAAGTATAATATAATGAGTAAATACATGATAAATGAATAATTTTATATGTATAGTTGAAATTAAATTACCTGTGGTGGAAGTCGTCCTCGTAAATGACTCGGTAAAGGCTGTGGAATTCTTCCTGGCTGACCATAATTAGCTCCCCATTGGCCAACTACGACACCAGCAATTTCTAATTGTCCTCCACGTGATGGCATCGGTCTACGAATTATTTCTCGTTGAGGAATATTAGTACTTGTTCGAGCAATACGTGAACGGGATTGATTATCACTGATTGTACAGCTAACTGGAAAACCGTTCGGTGTAAATGATAATGCTCGAAAACCTATGATAAAATTAAGTATTAAGTATTTTTTTATATTAAATATAAATAAAGAAAGTATTATTAAATAAATTTAATTACTGGTAGTCAATGGCGGTGGTGGTGGAGGAGGTGGCGGTGGTGGTGGTGGTTGAGGAGGTCGTGCGAATACAGGCGTTAATCCTTCAAGAATTGCTTTTCGCATTCTTTCAACTTTTACAACTCGTTCTATGTGTCCTCCACATAATTCTAATAAATTCTTGGCAACTATCGCTCGAGCTAGGGTATGATTAAATAATTTACCATCGAAATATAGCCAAGGGCAACACATTAACCATGGAATTGGTGCACCACAAGCATCATTAGCTAAAAGCGCACTTTCCACCCCGGCCATAAATAATGAAGCAAGTTGAACACCTCGGAATGTAACTAAAGGAAGCTACATTGTGTGTAAAAATGGAAAGATTATTTTTCTTTACATTTATATACATTTATTATGTATGATATACTGTAAAAAAAAATTACCTGAAGATCTTGAAGGTATTGAGGATTCATTAAATCTGGTGAAAATGCTTGAACAATAAAAGCATCTAATTCTTGGCGACGTAATATTTTTATTTTATCTGAGAAAGACATAATGTATCTGCAAAAAAATAATTGATGAAATTATTTGAATGTAATAAAAAGAGAAAGAATTATTTAGATTTATTAGAAGAAGTACCTTAAAACACAAGCCATCACAAGTAAATGTTGAGGAACATACGATATATTCAACATAAGTGATGTATCAGATTTCATACATGTTAAAAATCCACGTAATCGACGACGTTTATCTTCAATACTAGTTCTAAAAAAATTTGGATAACATTAAATTAATTATAAAAAATTGCTAGATAAATTATTAACTTACCCAAACCATAAACGTTGTATTGTAGGCACACCCCAGCCTACTGGTTCAGCTTTTACATATTCAGGATTTAAATAAGGATTTCCTTTAGACCATATCCATTCCTTAATTATAATATCAGGCACCTCAGTACGTTCGTTATCTAACATTCAATATATATATATATATATATATTTATTAACAAATGAATTATTTTGTTTTGTTATTATGATAAATAAATAAATGAATATATCTACCTGTTTTTTCACGATTTTTTGTAGCCATAAATATTTGATGATGTAAATTAAATACAATAGCATAAACCATTTGTCTTATTGGTCGATAAATAAGATGTATTGAGGGAAATTCTCTATGATTTTCGTCTTCTAACAGTACTGGTAATTTTATTTCTCCATTAGTGAGAATTTGATAGATATAAGGTGACATTAAACCTTTTTGATGACGTTCAGATGCCGTTCGCATGACTTCAGGTACTGTCGTTGGAATACTGATGGACTTTTCAGTTAATTTTACTGAATCAAGGACTGTTGCATGGGATGGTGAAGCAGCTGAGGAACTACTGCTGGAGCTTGATGAGCTTATCGTTAGATTATGCGAACCATTAACAGTAGGTGATGTTTGTGTTGTATGACCATTATTTTGTCCTTGCTCAGCTTGGACACTTTCTGAATCCTTAGGCAACTGCATTCCAGGTGGTTCAATGACAATTTGTGGTGAAGCTTTAGCATTTGCGGTAGCTTGATTGTACGCATTCAAGCTTTCTCTTTCACTTTCTGCTGTTTCTGATGCAAATCGAGATGATCCTAGATTACAACAGTCTTCTTCTGTAGTTGTTGTTGTTGCTGTGGTATCTATTGAATTCTGTTCAGATGTAGACGGCTTGGCTTCAGCTTTATGACCTGTAAAATATCTGTATAAATATTATGTTAATTTAAGAAAAGGAATAAGTATGTACCTTTCTGTGGTTTGATAGTTTTATAGTGCAAAAATCCTTCTTTAGTGCCGTTTATATAATATTGGACGGATTGATGAAACTTTGAACACCGAGAATCTGACAACGAACCAAATACCTTCTGAGCAACGACATCTTTTTCAATTGATGGAAGATCTTTAACAAACTCAGCTATTAATTTAATAGAATGATCAATATTTGTCTTATTTGGACCAGTAATATTGATATTCAATTTTTTATAAAAGTCAGATAAATCTTGTTCATTAAGAATGAAATTCCCTAACAGAGCAGCAAATACAGGCATTTTATCATGAGTTATTCCCAGAGATTTTACGACTTCACTTATAATATATTCCTTTGTATCTAATGATCCTTTATATGTTAACTTTAGTTGTTCTGAAGAAAAATATCGAGGTGGATCAAATGCTGCATATTCACCATCATCGGCAATAAGACCATGAAAATTATTTTCACGACAGTAGGCGATCACTTCTTGATGATGATCGTCCATACTACACATCTATTCATATATATTTGTATCAATTATTTCAATTCTTAATAGAATTAATAGCATATGACATTTAGTTAAATATTTATTTTCTCCCTACATACCACAGATATTTTTAAATGACGTAAAGCCATTCGTAGACTTGTTCGTAAACAAGCTGGAGGAGTCCACCAAATTTTTGGTGGTGGTGTTCCTTTCGTTGTGATATGCTTCAAAACCTATTAAAAAATTTCTTTTTATAAGGTTGTTTTATTCATTAGAAAATATTGTATGGGTGTATTTTCTTACATTATTCACTTTCAAGCGAGTTTCTAATTGTTGATGAATCCATTCCGATCGACGGGGTAATTCATTACAACCATTGAAAAAAACTACTAATTCAACTCCCGATAATTCGATTGCTTGGATAAGAATTGCAAGAAACTGGAGCATGCGATTCCATTGTCCACCACATGCCCAATCTGTAATGAAAAAAATTTATAAGATGAAAATTTAATTTTATAAATTTTAAAGTTTCATATCTAATGAAAATACATACCTGAAAAATATCCGCCATAGAGTCTATCAAGACAACATTCACCATCTAAGACGAGTCGTAATATTGCTGATGGATGCAATGGTGCTTGAAGCTTATTCATACGATTACGTTGTTGTCTTTGCATTAATTGACGGGCTATTTTTAACAAATCTACGGGTACTGTACCACCAGGTACACAATTACTATCCAAGAATGTTTGTAAATCTTGTATCCCCATGATTACAATTAATTGTAATTCAATTCAAAGATATATTTATTCTTATTTTTCTTTATCTTTGTTTAAACTTTGATTTCTTTATTTATGATTCTTTTTTGAATCTTTATTTTAATTATTAATCAATACTTTATTTTTGCAGTTTATTTTGCCAATTAATTTAATATTATTAATTCACCAAATGTCCTTTTATTTTGACGTCAAATTTTTAGGAACTTTTCGTTTAACTTGAAATCTATAAAAAAAAATAAGTTTTATGTACTTACATTCTATATATATAAAAATTTCTATCTATTATTAGAATTTTTTAATAGCTATTAAGTAAGGAAGAAAGAAAAAAGATAAAATTACTTATAATAAAAGAGGACAAGATAAAAAAAAAACTTTATGCTGTTTTTATATGTATATTAATGGGGATAACAATATATTATTTATTATAAATAGTACAAAATAGATTTTATGAATCAATAATAGCAATATTAGAGACAAAATTTTAAAATAATTATTCTCTATACGTATATGTGTGCGTGATTAATTTTCAATATGTGTTAATACATTGTTGTCAAAAAAACTTTGATATTTTATATAAAAATTGACAAAATAATGACACAATAATAAATATTACATGAAATTTAACGTAGAAAAAAAAATAAATTTGTTCGTAATTAATAACGAATATTAGATTTGATAAACCGGCATGGCGAAGTTAGATCAAAATGAGTGTTGAATAGAGAAATAGAGATAGTAACTAATAATTAGAATAAAAATTTTATCGGACTCGTGACCATTTCTCTAATAATACGATGTCCAATCAATAATTAACAAGTGACAATTAGTTATTATTTTCTAGTTTAACCATTAACGTTCCAATACTCACATTAAATCCAGAAAAATCGTCATTGTGAGACTCCAATAAGAGGAACTGAAATAACACACCAAATTTGATTGTATGTACCACACTATTTATTGGTCATATTAGTATGTATATACATGTATATACAGTCATACATACAACATCTATATATATATTTCACTTATATACTTGGCGTCTTCAATACATGGAGTTACATGTGAACAACTCAGATGGTAAAAGGTTAGGCGTAGCATGAATAATGCCAGAGAGTAGCACAATGATGTATACACGTATAAAATAGAAAGGAGAGGTATATATGTGTGTGTAAACATCAACAAAACTATCTAATCAAAGTGGGGATATTTTTCGCATACATTCCGGTGTGAACACTTTATAATTCCATTGTAGCTAGAATGTGATGGGCTGGACGAAATGTTGCGATTACTTACATAAATTTGCTATAATATGTTGTGTTGCCAATATAAACTATACGTCAAAGTAGTGCATATGTAGTTATGTATATTCGTATTTTTTTATTCATTTAGCATATTTTTTTAATCAAAGGACCATTTTTATACGTATTAATCATAATAGTTGTTTGTAAGTTTCTACTGTATATGTTTAATCGACTTTAAAAACAATGTGACTAAATAAACAATTTTTTATATTTTGATAATCAATGTGTAAGTAATAACCAACTTTACATTTTATTTATGGCATTTATAATGATAATCAATAACCTTAAATATTTCATAGTTATTATTTATGTTTTTGTTTAATTACTTACGGATAATAGAAATATAAATTAATATTTAATGGATGATATTCCGAGAAAACGTTTCTCAACGATGATTTTTATTTCAGCTGTATCCATATTGATGTAAATATTATTTTATCCGAACTAAGGTTATAAAAATGATGAAAATATCTGCTTTAAATGAAGAATCACATGAAGAAAGTGAGGAAGAAAATACCTCATCAATTACAAAAGAAGCACAAGTAAATATATTATTTTAATTTATGTTAATTATATTTTATTATTGATTTACATAATTGATTTTTTTCTTTCAGGAACAATTAGCTTTAACAGAATATAACAAAGCCTTACAATTATTAAAAGAAAACCAATTAAATGATGCTCTTAACATTCTTAAAGATCTTGTTGAAACAGAATTATTAGATCAAGTTGAAAAACCATTAGTACCAGATGGCAGAACAAGACCAATGTTATCATTGAAATATTGCTGTTACAAAAATATTGGAAGTATTTACCGAAAAATGGGTAATTATGAAGCCGCAATAGATAATTATTGGGAAGCAGCAAATCTTGATGATTCAGATGTTATGCTGTGGTATACGATGGGTGTGCTTTCTATGAAAACTCTCAATTTAGAATTTGCTTGCTCTGCATTTAAACAAGCTCTCAATTGTAATTCTAATCATTGGCCTTCATTAGATAATATTATCACAGTAATGTACGCTATTCCGGATTATATGAATTGTTTATTATATATATCTATAGCGTTAGAACGTGATCCTACTTACATCAAAGGATTAATATTTCGAGAGGATATATTCAAAAAAATTCCACATTTTGAGGAAAGTTATAAACTTTTTAATGTAGATTGGACGTTAGATCCGCCATTAATGACTGATTTTGATAGAATCTTAGGTAATGAATTATTAGCTGAAGCACAAGAAATAGCTGATAAATGGATAGATATTTGTAAATCTGAATTTCTTCATAAATCATTGCCTGATCTTACTGTAAATGTACCATTAAAAAATTACACATGGCTAGAGTTGGGAGAATCTTTGATAAATATGTACGAATATATTGTGATAAATAATTTTAATTTTGTCAGTAAAATTCATTTAGAAATGGATAAAACTGATGATAAAAAATTAAATCCAACTCCATTAGATAAAGAAATTAAAGTTGAGAAGACTATTGAAAATACAATAGTTAATCTAGATACAAGTAAGGAGAATGATGAAATGATGATTGCAAATAGTGATGTAGAAATTGAAAATGTAGTCAATGTTAATAGTGAAAACTTGAAAGAAGGAATCGGAAATAATCACATGAATAATTTATCAAAAACTGATCAATCTTATTTAGAACAAATTCAAGAAAATAATAAATCAAGTCCTGCACATCAAATGGACATTGATGTAAATAATGATAATGAATCAAATTCATCAGAAGTGCGTATCATAGAAATTGAAGATCCATTAAAAATTGATTCATTTGAATTAGAAGATTTTGGTCAATTGGAAAATAAACTGAGTGAAAATATTAATAACAGTAACAATAATAATATTTCTATGCATAATAGTAATAATAATGATAGCAGTAGTAGTTGTAGCAGCAGTAATAGTAGTAGTTCAAGTAATAGCAGTAGTAATAGTAATGGTATCAACAATGAACGAAGTAAATTGATGGAAAATGATTCTGAGATAATTAAATTGTCAGGTGATGAATGCCGTACATTTATTGATAAAATGACTGATATAATAGACAATAAAGTCAATAAAAATGATGAAACATTCGAAAAATTTAAGGCAGAAACCAGTATCGATGATGATGAAGAAAATGATGATGATGATAACAATAATAATGATGATGAAGATGATAATGGAAATGATGGTGATGATGATGATGATGATGATGAAGATGAAGATGACGATGATGATGATGATATTAACAATGATGATATTATCAAAATAAGTGATACTGATAATGATAATATTGAAAATAATCCACGTCAGAATATTTTAATTGATGATAATGTAAATAATGTTACTACTACTACAGCAGTTACTGCAGCAGCTACAACAACAACTACTACTAAATCAACTGATGATGCAATCAAAGTTCATAAAGATGGGCAACAAAAAGTGAAAAAAAGACGTAGAAGTTCATTATGCTTTTTACAACAATGGGCTTGGAGTAGTAGTAGTATGAGAAGATCAGCACGTGTTCGAGGTTCGAATAAACGTGAAATGGAACGAGAAGATATACAGCTGGAAGAAATAATGAGAAGATTATTTCCACAAAATTTATTACCAGATACTGCTAAAATAATTCGAGATGATCCATCAAAGCATGTTGATGATTCCATGGATACGATGGATCTTTACCAATTATTTGCTAGTCAAGAAAACAATCATACTGATAACAATCTTTCAAATGATGGTAATATAAATGGAAATGATGATAATATTGATGATGGTAGTAATAATAATAGTAATAATTTTAATAATGATTTTAAAAATAAGAATAATGGAGTGAAAGGTAGTCATGATGGAAATGATGTGACAAAAAATATTGATGGACAAAATGAAACACAATACTTTGGTACAGATAAAGAAAAAAAGCAAGTTATGTCTTTTATAAATGAACATAGTGGTAAAAGCAATATTATGGTAATTATTGGTAAAATGACCGAATTATTATCCACTAAATGGAATCACGATTGGCCCAATAAATTAACTGATGTGTATCAAAGATTATATATATTTACAAGGAAACACATTCCTCACAATAATGATATTTTATTCTGTAATATTGATGGCACAGATAGTCACAAAGAAGATGCTATTTTAAATTATGACGCAGAAATGACATTATTATTCATTGAACTTTATACTGATAAATGGTTAGATAGTAAATCAGATATTTTAGTAAATTCAACAATAGATAAATTTGGTATTGGGCTACCTACAGAAGAACTTGGTTACATTATTTTTTCTAGTATTTATTATGATGACGAAAATTTATCGAATAGTATTGATAATTTATTATATTTATTACGTGTTTTGTGGGTTAAAGCAAACATATTTTTGTGTCAAGGTGAAATTAAAATGGTAATTAAAACTTTGGAATTATTGATTGATTTTATGGAAAAATATCAAGATGAATCATCACATGAGTTATCAATTAAATTACCTCATTGTAAATATAATTCTCAAATAACATTGCCAATTGTTAAAAAGAGATTGATGTCGATAGAAAGAAGTGAAAAACTTGGACAAGTTGAAAAGCTTTATGAAGAGAAAAAGTTTTATGAATTATCTCTAATTCTTAAGGATACATTCAAATTTAGTAAATCAGCTAATAAACAACAAAATGATAATGAAATGCAAACAACATTATTTTTAAATAATATGAAATTAAATAATATTGATCGTACAAAACAGTTTTCCATGCTACTTGAAAGTTTATGGCAGCTAGAACAATATGAAGAATGCTATTCATGGAGTGAAATTTGCCTTTATGAATCATGGCAATATTATAGTAATAATTATAGTAATAATTCTTCCTGCGATGTAATTGATAAGAAAAAGTGGTCCTCAAGTATTTTAAATTGTTTAGAAAAATTAGAATTATGTGTCGGAATGACTGGTACATCAGTATCGAGATATTTGCCTGATTCAAGAATATCACGATTAGTACAAACATTAATTCAAATAATTTGTCATCAATTAGATGTACCGGAAAATACTATTGAAATGCCACTGGAAACAGTTACACCATGGATAATATTACATCATATTCTTCAATATCAAGATGATAAAGAGCGTGCTGTTCGTTCACGTAATGCACAAAAGTATAAAAATAAAAAACATTTATCAAAAAAAATAAAACAAAAACCGCCTCTATCGTCAACACCAATTTTTAATGAAAATTCAACTGAAAATGTAGAAAATGGAGTTGCTTATGAGTCAGATTTAGATTCTTCAACAACTACTGTTGAATCTAATACAGATAAAGATAATAATGATATACCAGCACCAATGATGATTTTATTTATTGGTCACGATTTTTTAGGTCGCCATTCTTGGTGTTGCATTGATGAAGCTAAATTATTATTATTCACAATTAAAACTGTAATACCTTGTATGGTTAGTACACGCTTCACTAGGATACGTGAAAAAATAAATAAGCATTTAGAGCAAATATTTTGGTGTTTATATGGCCATCCAAATAGAACTAATAAAACAAGACCAAAACATTTAGAAGAACATGGAGTTCCACAAATTCCATTAACTTGGGATATTGCTCAATTATTATTTGAATATTATAAACCTGATATATTACCAGAATTTGATACACCAAAACCAATGTCAATCACAGCAGATATTAAAATATTATTTAAGAAAATAAATTCATTAGTACCTCCAGAGCATGATCCTAGTGGAATGATAGAACAAATAACAGGATATATTGTTGGTGATATAGAAGAAGCACCAACAGTTGCCAAACCATTGCCGTATCAAGTAGAAACACTTTACTATCTCCTTGGTGATTATTCATTTAAAAATAATAATTGGTCATCTGCAACTAAATATTATACTATGGATGTTTGTTTACACCCAAATGCTGTTAATTCGTGGGCAGCTTTAGCAATGTCTGTTAGTACATTAATTGGATCTTCTTTAAATAATTGTAAACCAATCACAGATGCAATGAAATTGTTGTATCAAGCTAAAGTAGCACAATGTTGTTATCAACGTGCTGTTGAACTTAAACCTGGTCATAGTGTTATTTGGATTGAATATGGTAATTTCGTTTATATGGTACATTCATTTTGTTCACGATTGTTAAAACAAGAATCAGATACTCTCTCGATGGAAAAATTTTCTATTTTAGAAACAAGAAAAGAACAAACTCTTGAAATTGCAGCTAATTGTTTTGTATCAGCAAATCGTATATATCTTGCAAATATTGATGACACTCCTGATATGCTTGATGAACGATGGTTGTTTTATTATATGCTTGCAAAAATAGCTGAGAAAAAAAATAGTAATCCTACTGTTTTTCTACAACATTATGCTACAGCTAGTGAATTATTACATAAAAATAATGCTCATTATCCTAAAAAAATAAGTCATAAAAATGCACACTATTTGTCTATTGAAGCACTTGAAGTTCATTATCGCATACATGCGAGTATTTTAAAATATTTTGAACAACATGATGGTAAACCTTTAAAAAAATCATTGGCTCTACTATTTCTTAAGTATTTATTAGACTGTGCTAATGGACCTTTTATGCAATTTCAATCGAAATTAAGTAAAAATAAATATCGAGATGAAATTGTGTCAGATGTAGGGTCAATAGCAATGACGAAAACGTATCAAGATAAAATTTTATCCAATAACGAAAATAAAAATTTTAAAAATCAACTCAATGATGCTAATTCGTCCAAAAAATTAACAATATCAGATAATAAAATACAACAACCACAAAATCAAAACCTTGGCGATGATATTATTGTTATTGCTTCATCTAATAGTAATAATAAAAATACAGATTTAAATAAATCTAAAAGTGATAATATTAATAGCAACAAGAAAAGAACAAGACCGTTGAATGAAAATTCACCATCTGATGATTATCCAAAAAGGATAAAACTTGGTAATGTCTCGCATATTGAAGTAATGCAAGATGTACTAAGTTTTATTGATGATTTAATTTCAAATGTTTGTAAAATAGTTAATCCAAAGCAGAATGATGAAGAGCAAATAAATAACGAACAGTGTATGATAATTTCAAGTGATGAAAATGAAGAGAATAATGAATATATTAATAAGGCTAGTTTAGGTAATAAAGATGAACAATTATTGTTAGATGATCATGAAATCCAATTAATCAGTGATAAGCAGAAAGTGTTGAACAGTAATCAAGATGTACACATTATTGATGAACAAGCAGATAAATCAGCTGCTTATTCAACTAATAATAGAGACAAGCACGTGAAAGATGATAAGTATGTATTTGATAAAAAAAAGACACAAGTAAATACTGTGAAAGATGATGCAACAATGAGTCGTCGTGGTTCACAAGAAAGTACCACAACAACATTAACAACAACAACTAATGACACAAACAATTCTAGTTTCAGCAGTAGTGATGAGTCTAGTAGCAGTGAGGATAGTTCTGATACCGATAGCTCCAGTGCAGACAGTGACAGTGAATCCGGCGAAAGTGATAATGATAAGAAAAAAATTCAAAATCAAACTAATGAAAAGGGTAAATAAAATGTAGTCTTGATTATCTTTTTTATATTTATTATATAATTAATTAATTGATTATATTTATTGTTTTTACAATAGAAAAAGTCGATGATGAAGAAGATGATGCGACAGAGGAAGAAGTAGCTAGATTAATATCATATTGTCTTGCTGGTTTAGAACAATGTGTTTTACGTTTTCCTGAGCATTATAAATCAATTTATCGGCTGTGCCATTTTTATTTCAATCATAAATCAAGTAAAGATAATGCCAAATGTCGTGATCTATTGTTGGGAACTTACAAGTGTCAATATTATACTGGATTAAACTTTCAAGGACTGTTTGCCGATCGTAAAAGTACCAACTTTTTTAATGTAAGTAAATTGAACATTTAGCAAGAATATCTTATGCATTCTCTGTTTATTTTAAAAATAATTTAAAGACAGTTGACTTTTTATTAGCTGTAGTACAAAAAAAGATTACGAAAAATATGTTATTAGAATATTTTTGAATTTCTCAACATTGAATTCCTGGATTATTTCTATGTTTGGTGTTGTACTAGTTAAATTAGAGTAATCTACTAAAAGTGAACCTCTTGCTTTACCGTCAATTATTGGATTAACGTTAGTTAACAGTATTTTATCTATCAAGTCGGGCCACAGTACAACAGCTGCGATCATGGCATCTGCTGGTTGCCAAACATTTTGTGTTCTGTTTAGATTTTGTTCAGCCTTATTCAGAAAGTTTATTATTTTTGAATTATTCTTTGATCCAAGCACATTCATTCTCCAATCCTAATGAATTAAAATTACATAAAATGTGCAACGAAATTTTTTAATTAATTACTTACCATCAATATCACAGAATTAATGGTCGTTTCCCAAGGGAATAAAATACTTGGTTTATCTTTTATTGCATTCAATGCAATCCATACACTATCAGGATCACAACCAAAATTAAATTCAACACCTGGTGCTTTATTTCCAACACCAGACACACTACCTCCCATAATATAAAATTTTTTAACATTATTTGCAAAATGAGGATCCAACATTGTTGCAATAGCGATATTTGTTAATGGACCAAGTACTAGAATGCTCAAACTACCATTATATTGTTTCGCTAAATTTACAAGTGCTAAAGCAGCATGAACTGAACTGTTAATTTTATTCGGAATGATATCCTCATAAAAAACATCACCTAGTCCATCTTGGCCAAAGTAATTGTCATTGCTGTAATGTTCTATGATGGGTTTCCTTGCTCCACCATACACTGGAATCTAGATAGTTGATGATTAATTAAATATATTAAAATCTTTAATAATTATAAACAAACTTACATGTGAAGCATTGACAGTAGAAAGTATCCTGAGTACATTTTTTTCAACATTTTGTTCTTCTGTGTTTCCGTAAACACAAGTAATTGCAACAATCTCACTATTAGAGTTATTTTTAGCTAGGGCTGATAATAGTAAAAAAATGGCTACTGCATCATCAATTCCGGCATCAGTATCAATTATTAATTTCTCTAATCCATTCGTGATACTACTATTATAGATATATTTATTGCGAATTAATAAATAATAAATAAGTACATAACTGTAAATAAATTTTATTTTATAAAAGCCAAATACCGATGGAATAAGAAATTATATAATCATCACAATTAATTTAGATTATTGAATATAATTTTTTTCGATATTAGAATGATAAAATTAGGTATTTCTAAGTCTTTTAGAGTGATTATTTTCATTTAAAAATTAAATATTAATTATATAGATTTAAGAACTTACCCAATTACTGTTAATGATAAAATAAAAAATGAAACAATGACAACTTTTTTGAACCACATGATTACTGAAAACTATTAAGCTGTACACTCTATATATGCATATAGATATATCTGTATTGTATTATACACATTAAAATTTATCAGTAGAAAAGTCGATGCAATGATATATTGGATTGTAGAACAGTCAGAATTACAAATTATGTGATATTCACACTTATCTATCAATTACAATTTTAATAGCATTGTAAAATAAAAGATTTTATCTCTAATTGTGCCTTAATCAAGACACTAAAATGTATGAAAGTAGATTAAATTATATAATTATCATCAAAACAAATTGGAGACTAGTATTAATTTATTAATGGATTATTTAAATAAAATAATTAATTTTTTTCTAGGGTGTATGGCGAATTCCAGTTGAAGAAATCGATCGTCCAGGAAGCTTTGCATCACACATGTCAAGATGTATTACATTATTACTTCAGGTTCTTAAAGAAACAGAGGATAGTCGAACTTTAATGGAGCTATGTATTCAACTTCGTAAAACTCCAGATCCTGATAAGTAAGTAAAAAAGTGTTATTATTGTGTATTTATGTAAATATTTTATAATCAAAAAAATTTACAATTAATTTATTTTTTTTCTTATTAGAAAATATGTTCGAGATTCAGAACGTGAACAGTTATCACGCCAAGCATACACACTTTGCTTACAATCTCTACGTACACGAGTACAAACTATGGGATTGCCAAATCTTGATGATAACATGTCTCTTGCTAGAAATGATCCTAGAACTCGAATTCTTCTAGATGTTTATAAAATTTATCAACAAGTACAAAAGCATTTCCAAGGGAAAGAAGTTCAAGCTTTTGCAACATTACTCGTTGATACTTATAAAGTATACATAAATTCTAAATCATCGGAAGGAAATATTTTAGATAATGCAGTTAGATTTTGTCAACAACAAAATCTTGCTAATAAAATAGCAGCATCACAATCAAATTCTCATTATAATCATCATTCATCAACATCATTACCTAGTAATCTACCAGCTTTTGGAACGAATATTCCAAGTTATTCTTCTGTTATAACTACAGCGGTTACTACCCATACTTCTACCAATATTTATTCGTTTGGTAGTACAGATATTAATACAACACCAGTAACAACGATGGCAACTACTATTACAAATACTTCTACTATAAATACACCTTTAATTCAAGGTCAATCATATGTATCACCACCTCAAGCTTCTTACTATCGTAAGACTTCATATAAAACTTCAGGAACTGGTCGACCTAGAGGAAGACCGCCCAACACCAATAAATTTATGCAAAATTATCAACAACCAAGTAGTACTGCAAATAATTTGAATCAATTTGGTGCAGCTAAAACAAATTTTGCAAATAGTTACTTAGGAGCATCAGGAAATCAACCACTACTTAATCCGTACTTTATAAATCCTCTGATTGATCAAAATATGATATCAACATTATTCACAGCAGGTCTGGCTAGTAATATGTTAGATTCTCTTTCAACAGCTAACTATCTCAAAAGCTTAGGTAATTATCATGATATTTTTCGCCACTATCAAAATAATTTGTCATCAATAAGTAATTCTCTAACGTCTTCTTTTAATAATTCTACCATGAGTTTGCCTAATACAACAATGAGTGATAGTATTGTATCATCAAATATTAGCTCTGGAATGCAGAAAATGAATAGTATGACAACTCAATCGTCATTAAATTTAAATGCATCTTCCGCAACTACAGGAGGTATTACTAATACTGCATCGATTTCTAAGAATATGACAAATAGTGTCGCTACTGCTGTTTCAAGTAACAATGCTAGTTCTGCGAACACGAGTACTTCTATTGGTGCATTGAGTGCAGCATTAAGTAATACTACATCAGCAGCGACTATAACTACAGCATCAAGAGCAGCAAATATTTATTCAAGTGGCAATACAATACCACATAATATTTCAATAACTCCAGTTACTACGATAAATAGTCAATCTAAATCACATAAATCTTTAAAACATGACATGTCAAATCATCCTACTGATTCAATGTCTGGAGCTAATACAAAAGCTATTCATCATTTAAAAACAATGCCGCAATCTGGAATGACTCAAGTATCGCTGTTAAAACCATCAGTATTGCAGTCAAATAAAATACCTACAAAGCAAATGTTACAAACGGCTAGTGGAACAGGATCAGGAGCAACACCAACAATAACAACATCAACATCTTCCGAATTTACTGGTCAAATTCGTGTTGCCAAAAACTTGACTGAACCTATTCATAGTTCTTCTTCAAGATTAACGTGCTCAAAAAACTCTAGTCCATCAAGTATTACGGCTAATCTATATTCATCCATTTCTAGTGGTTTACAAAATCCTGACATAAATATTAAACCAGTTCCTGCTGGAATACCTCGTATGAGTAATACTGGTACATCATTGCAACATAAATTACAATTGAAAAAACAATCACAGCAAATACAACCTCCTCAACAAAGTATAAGAAAACAAAAGATTACAAATAATAAATCTTTAAACAGTCATTCATCTTTGGCAAACACCTATCAAAGTAATTTACCGAATATTAATACATCAGCTAGAACAATCATGAATACTACCTTTTCATCTAATGACTTGAGTGAAATATCTATAAGTCCAGTTAGTAATTTAGATAGTGCTGAAAATTCACTCATCAAGTATCATCATAATCGTCATCAACATTATCCTAATGTAAAAAAATCACCAGTTAAATTCAACAAACCAACATTGTCAACAGAAATAGCAGATTCAATGCAATCGTGTTTACCACCTCATGCTTCTAGTGTAATATCCAATGCAACGACTGAAACTTTAAATATGTTATCACAACTCCAGCAACATTCACACTTGGAAATAATTCCACAATCAAAAAATTTAAATACCAAAGTGATGCCTGAATATTCAAAGAATAAATCACATTCGTTGAATGCCATACCACCAACTTCTGTTCCTTCAAGTTCAGAATCAATGCCTAAAGCATTTGAGTCACTATTATCAACAAATTCTTCCAAGAAACCTGAAAAAAACATAAAAGATAGTGTGGAAATAATAACATTAGACGATTAGATGTATATTTTAATTTATAAACTTGTTATTTAATAACTCCTACACACATATATAGATATATTATGATAATCTTATGTATCAATGCGTGTAAATACGTTAAAAATTATTTTAAAAAATACATTCTTTCATATAAAACAACTTTTTTATATAAAAAAAATATTTTTCTATTATCAGAATTGTTGAATTACTACATTTATTCAATCTATTGGTTTTCAATTAGTCATTTTATAAGCTAACATTGAAGTTCCCTTTACATCAAGCCCTTCAATTGAAAAAACTGAACCTGCTAAGGGTTGTTCTTGTAATTCTGCATTAGTTAATTTTTGTTTTGCACTTGTCACGTAAAGAATATCTTTATTTTGACCACCAAATGCCACACTTGTTATTTTCGTTGCTGGTAAATTAATAGTCTTTAGTAAATTTCCATTACTAGGATCAACCTGGATGACCTAAAGATAACAAACGATAACAATTGTTTATTCGATATTAATCTTAAAAAAAAATTAAAAATTTTTATTACTCGTCCGCCGTCGTAAATAGCTATCCAGAGATTTCCACCTTCATCAATTGTCATTCCATCAGGAAATCCGGGAATGTTATGATTGTTTAAATCAAATATTACATGTTTATTATCTGCAATCAAATCGATAAGTGATATAATTATTCGTTAGGTAACATATTGTCGTATGTATTAAAAAAAAATATATAAAAATAATTACTTACTGATGTCACCAGTATTATAGTCGTAATCATAAGAAACCACTTGTCTAGTTGGTGAATCAATATAATAAAATGTATCATTTTTATGATTCCAAGTTAAACCGTTACTGATACACACAGGGCTGACCATTTTTTTTGGAATACCATCTGATCCCATTCTGTATAAAGATCCTCGTTTATAAATTATTTCCTCTTTCTTTTCTCCCATCGTTCCAAACCAAAATCTACCTTTAGCATCAATTTTACCATCATTAATTCTTGTATCATCTCGATCAGTGTCTACCGATGCGATAACTTTGGTAATTGGGTTTGTATTATTTGCACTTGTATCCCAAGTTAATTCCAAAACATTAGTACCACATCCAACCACAAAAGCATTTTTTTTATTAGCTATTGGAATAGCAACTCCAACTGGAGAATCTATAGATGATAAAAAAAATTAGTAAAATTATATTTATTGTTTAAATAAACATAGATATAAATCTTACTGAAAGACGTATGTGTGAGTTTATTGTTTTTTGGGTTCCAACAATAAAATTTCTGTTCTGGAATGTCAACGAAGTAGAGAAGATTGGTACTTTCATCCCAGTGTGGACCTTCAGTGAGGGTAAATGGACCAGCGACTGTTTTAATTATTAATTGTTTCTCACTCCTAGAAATAATTAAATAATTTGACAATATTAAAAATGATAATTAATAACTTCACTTTCAAAGTATATTTAAAAATTAAATTACATTTTGTTGAATGTATGATTTATCACAACGTAATATGGAATTTTCAAAATGAATATAAAAAAACTATTTGTTTCGCGGTTTATATGTGTTTAGAACTCGAAGAGCATTTAATTAGATGTCAATTTATACTGATGGTTTTAAAGGCCTGAATATATATTTAACCGCAGACGTATATTATGTGTACAGAAAAAACGATTATAAACTTTGCTATTATCTCATTGTATCGTATTTTTTTAATGTCAATTTGATAAAGTTACTTTTAAAAGAATTATGTTATTGAAAGACATTTTTTACAAAAAATTCAATTTATTGTTATATGATGATGGTATTCAATATTTTTTTTTTTAGTGAACATATAAGGTCCTTTCAATTTTAATTTCTAGAAATCAACATTTATTATGTTCTGTATGATAATTTTAAAAGGTCATTGATATCTGCTGCAAAACAGATACCTAATTTTGTCATGATGACTTTCACAAAAATAAAAAAAAAGTTGTAATCAACAAGTGTTAACAAAAAATAAAAATAATTATTATATTACAGTATTTATTAGAGTAAATAAAAATTATTAGAACACTTACTGTTGATATGTTAAATGAATAGTAATTAAAAATAAAGTCCATAATAATTGAAATTTGAAAAAAGTATTTGTGTACATTTTTCAATTAGAATAACAAATAAAAATTAATAATCTAAAACATTAATTATTTTGAAGGTTATCATAAGTAAATATTTATAGTATACTACCAATATGCATTTATGTACTTTTACTTTCATTTCTCATTGAATTGCATTAACCCAATTTTTTTCGTAAAGATAAATAAACATTTTCATTTGAAACATCTTCAATTGTAAGTTTAAATAATTTTTTTTATCATCATAAGAAAACATGTTTACTCTTTTGAGGTTATTCCGCTTTCAGTATAGAATAGAGGCGCTTACTGGATAATGAAAAATGGAGTTGAAATTTAAACAATAGTCAACACTTACATAATATAGTATAAATAATAACAAAAAACATATATGTGTATATGTTGCGTTGTCCGTTTTGAGTTTAGTACATCTACTTGTCGTCGGCCAACATCATCAAATCACGTGATCACGTTGTATTGATACGTGTCGTAAAAGAGAGCCACGATTCGTTGATCACATTTCCAGCCGAGCGTTCTTAGATATTGTTCTGTCTCAGTTTACCGCACAAATCGGAGAAATTCAAGTACTCTTGTAGTATTCGGACACTGCATATGCCAAACATACTTCATAGTAGAGATTAATTAATTTATCTTTCATCGTATTCATCATGGGAAGTAAGTATAATATTAAAATATGAAATGTTTATAAACTTTTCATTCATCAAAAGTAATGTTAAATTTACGGTTACCTTAAGTTCAAATTCATTTTTCGGTCAACATATTGGTCTTATAATGAATAAATAATTACTTTTTATCTTGAATTATTTTATTAATATATATTATTTTTATATTTCTAGTCAAATTTTTGGAAGTTATAAAACCGTTCTGCAGTATTTTACCAGAAATAGCAAAACCACAGAGAAAAGTAAGTTCAACGAATTTTCTACATATATCTATTTATTTAGTCATCTTATTTGTTTCAAAAATAATCATGCAATAATATTTTATATCTCTATTATAAGCTAAGAGCTGTATAATAAGAGTGTCTATACATATTTCAATTATTTTTTTTTGTCCTATTGTAGATTCAATTTCGGGAAAAAGTGCTATGGACTGCTATAACACTATTTATATTCTTAGTATGCTGCCAGGTAAATATATCCATTTATTTATATTTTATTGATATAACTTTTTAGGAATGAATTTAACATGGTGTCTTAAACGCGTGGCTTATTCCTTCTAGATACCGTTATTTGGAATTATGTCTTCAGATAGCGCCGATCCCTTTTATTGGATCCGTGTCATATTAGCGTCAAACAGAGGAACTCTTATGGAGTTGGGTATTTCTCCAATTGTTACTTCAGGTTTAATTATGCAGTTGTTAGCTGGTGCTAAGATAATAGAAGTTGGAGATACAATTAAAGATAGAGCACTATTTAACGGTGCCCAAAAATGTAAGAGACCATTACTACTGGTGTAAAATATTAATTTTAATTGCAGATATCTTATAAAACCTTTTTTTTTTTAGTATTTGGAATGGTAATTACTGTTGGACAAGCAATTGTTTATGTGATGACTGGAATGTATGGTGATCCAGCTGAAATTGGAGCTGGAGTTTGTTTATTAATTATTATTCAACTTTTTGTTGCTGGTTTAATTGTTTTACTGTTGGATGAACTTTTACAAAAAGGATATGGTCTTGGAAGTGGTATTTCCTTGTTTATTGCCACAAATATTTGTGAAACAATTGTATGGAAGGCCTTCTCACCAGCAACTGTCAACACTGGACGAGGTACTGAATTTGAAGGAGCAGTAATAGCATTATTCCACCTGTTAGCTACTAGACAAGATAAAGTTCGTGCTCTAAGAGAAGCATTCTATCGTCAAAATCTTCCAAATCTCATGAATTTATTAGCAACAATTTTAGTGTTTGCTATTGTTATATACTTCCAAGTAAGAAGCAATCATATTATGTAATAATAATAATTTATTTTTTACTCACTGTACTTACTTATGATTGATGTGTATTTTTTTAGGGTTTCCGGGTTGACTTACCTATTAAATCGACTAGATATCGTGGACAATACAGTAGTTATCCAATTAAACTTTTCTACACGAGTAATATTCCCATCATTCTTCAATCAGCTTTAGTATCGAATCTCTACGTTATATCTCAAATGTTAGCGGCTAAATTTCAAGGCAATTTGATTGTTAATCTATTGGGAGTATGGTCAGATGTTGGTGGTGGTGGCCCAGCAAGGTCTTACCCCGTTGGAGGTCTCTGTTACTACTTATCGCCACCTGAATCAGTAGGACATATTGTTCAAGATCCTGTCCATGCCCTCTTATACATTCTTTTCATGCTGGGTTCTTGTGCGTTCTTCTCTAAAACTTGGATTGAAGTTTCTGGTAGTTCAGCTAAAGATGTAAGTACCATTGATTTATATAAACAATTATAATGTTTATGTCTTTTATAAATTGTTATTATTAATAAATTTTTAAAAATTTAAGGTTGCTAAACAATTAAAAGATCAACAAATGGTAATGAGAGGACATCGTGATAATTCAATGATTCATGAATTGAACCGTTACATTCCTACTGCAGCAGCATTTGGTGGACTTTGTATTGGAGCCCTTTCAGTACTTGCTGACTTCCTTGGTGCGATTGGATCTGGTACAGGAATATTACTTGCAGTGACAATAATTTATCAGTACTTTGAGATTTTTGTGAAAGAACAAAGTGAAATGGGTGGTATGAGTACGTTATTATTCTAAATTCAATTAAATGGACAAAAAAAAATTTTCTAATGCTCCAATATATAAATTTATATATTTATTATGAGTCATCGATATTAAATTCGATAGATTTTGTCTTCATCGATCTTTAAAAACTTTTATAAGACTCAGAAAAGGGTACCATTAGATCATCTTTTCGATGACTACACTTATTACAATAAACCATGATTTAAGACTTGACTGTACATAGAATTTAATTGAACTGTTAAATAAAAATAATCAATTTTTTCAACCTGTGCTAAATGAATGATTTTTACATGAATGCACTGAAAAAAATATCAACATTGATTATTATTTAAATAAAGTATCATGGAAAAAATAAGTGATCTTACTGCTCATTGTGCATTCGGCTTTTTTCTACATTATTTATTTAAAGAAAAAAAAAATACAAAAAATATATAGGTAAATATTTAAGTAAAATTATTCATTATAGAGAAAATTTTGTATTATTAAAATAATTATGAATAATAATAAATATTTTTTTCAATATTATCACTCGTGATATGTAATATTCAATTTTTATTAAAATAGAACTTAATTAATAATATTCATTTATTATTATTATTATTTTTTGTTTAAATTACAAGTTATTTTATTACAAATGATTCAATGTATACAAATATTTACAACTCTAATTAATAACCAAAAAATTAAACTTCTTTATTTTCATTGAAAAAAAATGTAAAATATAACATGCCAGTTTTGGCAATATTAGCAAGTATAAATAATCGAAGAATATTAGTAAATCTGACATTTGGTGTTGAAACATCTGGATCACGCCAGGCAATACTTGCACCTTCAGTAAGAGTAAATAATGCCGGAGAAGGAACATTTTCATGCATGTAAGCCCACACACATTCTTTCATTACAACATTGATCTGAAATTAAAATAAATATTGTATAAATAAAGTTAATCAATGGTCAAATAAGCCAAAAAATCATCAAAATGTACCTGATGAGGTGTGAGGATTGGTAAAACATCTGTGAGACAATTAAGAGGTGTAGGAAGTAATTGACCTAGGACCATAATATTTATAAGTCGTGAACCTTCAGCCAAATTCCAATTGGAAATTACTGTAGCGGTGATAGCTCGTAATAAAACTGAACAATAAGTCAATGCTGGACGATGTCTTGCAGTTAATTCAAGTAAAGTCCAAATAAGAGGTACTTCTTGAAATGAACGACGTATCTTTAGATCCCTTTCAACTGTAACTTTAGTAAATTCTTCATCTGGCCATGGAAGTCCATTGTACATTACATCTGGTGAAATTAATTCCACAAGAAGTAAGCTAACCATTGTTATGGCATCTAAGTTTGGATACTGATTGTTCGATTCATCACTCATACAACAAGCTTTAATAGTATCTAGCAATAATAAACTATTTAAATCTATGATTTCTTTGCTAAAATTATTTTGAGCAATATTTCTTCTTGGTCCCTGGCCAATAACACCAGCATGAAATACTGATGAATGCCGTTGTGCTAACATAACACTAGTACCATGTTTATGATTTTGATGAAGCAATGAAAAATTATTTGTTTCATCGTTCGGTGTCACTTTAGCACCAAAATATTCTGATGGTTCACCATACAGACTATTCTCAATTAGCTCTCGTATTGCAAGAATACGTGCACATGATGATCGCGACGTGATAAGACTTAATAATCGGTTTGATATTTTTACACCACGTTGTTTCTTCAAAATGTTATCTTCTCTAATGCAAATAAAAAAATATCGAACAATCGACTTTGTCAATTTTAATGTTAGATCTACACTGTATGTATAGTTGCTTTTACTATTACTGTTTTCATTGCTATTATCATTTGATAATAAATTTAATGTTTGAGCGATGCTATGTGCTAATTCAAAGTCTTGAGTTTTATTTAAAAGTTGGGTAATTTGCTCTAAATTTGAGTGTATGGCTCGTGAAATAAATTTTGATTGTAAAATAGTAACTTTACTTGAATGACTATTTTCCCATTTTAGTAGAGTAGTTAAATTTTTAAACAATTGACGTGGTTCATCACATTCGTGGTGTTTGATATCATTGAATGAATATTGAATGTCTCTTAAAGCTTGTTCTAATGTTTGATTAAAATATCCATGACCAGATAGTATATTTTCAGGTTCTGATTGAATTATTGGAAATACAACAACATTTTCAGCAACCAAACGTACAAAAGCTGCTAAATGAAAATCTGTTGAAGCATTTCTAATAAGATATGAAGCTGATGAGATAATAACATTTGAAGAATGTGCTCCAAGAAGTGAAATAAGTCTTACAGCTGTTTGTACTTTTAGTGGATGTGAATCAGTAAGTAATGGTGTAATGAGTGATAAATCTTGTTTAATTGACGTTAATAATGCTATTCCACTAGCACTATGAGGTCCATTCATTCTCATGATCAAGTCGATTTTTTGAAGAATCATTTCTAGAATTTCACGACACACACTTTTTACAGTTGTTGCCGCATTGACTCCATGATATCCAATATTACTTGTGTTTAAACTTGTATCCAAAAGTATGCTTATTATTTGCCAGGCTTCTTGTTCGCAGGCTAATGCTAAATTTACTGTTAATTCAATCAACACTTCTGGTTGATTGTCAAAGTAATGACACCAGTCACTAGCAAATGTTGCTAATCGAGGAATTATATCAGATCTTACTGGAAATAGAGTTTGTAAGAGAATCTTTGTTATAACTTTTAGTAATAATGATGGTGAAAGAGAAGCAAATTTTAATAAATAAGGAACTGTAGCAGTTTTTTGTTTTCTTGTTGATTCATCATCATTAATATCTTCATTCAAACTCCACTTGAATAATTGTAGAAATGCATCATTTATTTCATATAAATGACTTGTTGCTAGATGCTCTAAAATACCTACTACTGAGTGTAGTATATTTTGTGAATTTTCTTGAGTTCCTGTCACTGAAAAATCTTTTAACCCCCAAAATAATATATTTTTAATAATTAATTGTGGAAAGTAACTTCCAATATGAGCAACTACCCAATCTAAATATGGGCTGTGTGTGGCCATCAATTCAGTCATAATATTCATACAGTTGTCAGTTTCATCTTGATTAAATTCTAATAAATATTTTATACATTTGGCTGATAAATCCATCAAAGTCCTCGTTGTTTTACATGATAACCAATACTTAAGACAATCATTAATTGTGGATTTCATTGTTAATTTAGCTCTTTTTGAAAAACTTTTTGATAATTTACCTGCAACCAAAAAAGAAAAATTGCCATTTATATTCTACACTATTGTTATAAAAATAATTGATAAACTTTTATAAAATAATTACCCAAGAGATCTAAAGACCAATTGGTGATAGGACATGACCAAGCTTGAGGATTATCAGAAACAATTTCAATTAATACTCTATGAATTTCAGGTACTGTAATAGCCGTAATTGGTTCATCATTCACCGTCCCAGGATGAGTCTATAACATAATTATTTTTAGTTAAATATTATTTATAGTTACAAAAATATTTATATAAAATTTAAAATAACCCTTACATGGCAAACCTGACGATTAACTGCCGAAAAGAAGACTTTTCTGAGATATTCCAAAACTGCATTTCTGGCAGCAGGAAGATTTTTTAATAACAATAAAGCTCCTTTTGTAACTTCATGAGTATATTCTTTTTGACAATTTTTAACAGACTCTGGAATAAACTTTCTAACTTCTACCAGTATCTCTTCTGGGGTTAGCGGTTTATTGCTTGGTAACATTGTTAATTTTTATGTTCACAAACAAATTATTTATAAAATCATTTATATACGATTAAATAATAAACATTTATAACAGCTTGTTCTTGTTAAATAAATATTAAGTTTTAACTTCAATGTTTTCACTGCAAAGTTCAACTTTTTAAAACATTAAACCTTCACTACAAAACGTTTTAGGTGGAAATGTAGAAATTACAAAATGTATACACATGTGTATCGAAAAGTGGGGATGCCGTTGAGGATCGATCTTATGGAGAATCGATCTTTCAGTGAAAATTAATCGATTGTTTTAAATCGATTTTCGATCTTTGCAATCGAGATAAAATTTTTGAAATCAAGTTTTAGGAAAATGTCATTATTTATAAATAATTTATAATAATGTAATGGCAATTATAAACAAATATTTTAAAATCTTTATGAAAGATTAATTTTGGGTCATAACACATGGCGCCAAATTTGAATAAAATCCATTATTACACAATTTATTATAAAACCAATCATTTATTACTTAATACTGATACATTTATCAAAAATGAACATTAATGAATAATGAATAATGCTTTATAAATAAATACTTATACAATTGTTGTATAAAAATTTTCTACTCACACGTACAAGTATGTTAAATATTTAAAAAAAAATGAGAGTAACGAAACATTCATTCACAAATTTTACAAAGTACAAAAAAATTATAAACAAGATAATTGAATATTATAAAAATAACAACACAGTAGAAATAAATCAACGTCTTTTTTTCTTTTCTTGTTTTCTTCCACGATGAGGTTTTCTTGGAGTCACTTGTGGACTACTCTCAGAATAATCTACATCACTTGTAGAATCATCCTATCAAATAAAAATAATTATTTCAGTAATTAATTATAAAAAAATAAGCAAAGTTCAAAGTAATAATAATTTTCACACATACTTTAAGTGAAGAAAAACTATCACCAGGCCAATTATGATATATAGCTACAGTTAAAATGCAAATAACTTGGAAGACTGCACCAACATAAAGTCCATATCTTATAATTTGTTCAAATAATGTTTCTTCATCTGGGAGTAGAAGCCTTTTTATGTGTTCATTCTCCATGATTTCAATACTATTATTCTATCGATTTCATTAAAACTTTATAACAGAAAAAAAAGATATATAAACAATCGTTCTTGTTACTATTTATTTAACAAAGTATCCATTTAATAATTACTCACTTAAATATAAATACTGTAATCTAGGCAGGTAATAAAAACAGTCGTATTGTCGATTACAATAGAAGTGTATAATACATCAGTGTCAACAATAAACAGAGTGTACTCTTATCTATAATATGTCAATACACGAGATGCTGGATATATGTATGCTGTATAAATTATTATTTTAATTATAGTTACTGTTTACAGTGCCCGTATATTTATCTCATCAACTCATAATGCAAATATTATTTATTTTTATTATGAATCATCATGATGGTATTTTTTATAGGTAAAATAATTATCTCGTTAAAATTCAACAAAAGAGTACAAAGATGTACAATGGAGCAAGTTAACAAAACAAAGCAGGTTCCTACTACTCCAAACAATGTTATTTACATCTTTCCCACCACAGTTCTGAAAGTGATACGGCTTTGGTTAGATTGACTATACTTTAAACAGAAGCAAAATGTGTGTGGTTCCAATAAATATAGGACAACTTTGTATTTGTTGGTAGTCCATGTGAAATAGTCTAGCTGTTGGACGTCATACACTTTCTCCTTGACGTGTACGTATTATAATTGGTCCACTACATACACACACACACATATTCTTTCCGGCACTCCGCCCTATGACAAATAACCTGTACTAGCAATTATTACACAGTGATAAATTGCGTTTTATTACGTATATAATTTGTTAATTTATTTATTAATTGTAAAGATATTGTATTTTATAAAACAAAAATCATGACATTTGTATCGCCAATGCCGAGTAGAGAGTTTTTGTGGGATGTCTTTCAAAGGTATGTTCACTTATTAAGTATTTTATATTTTCAATTAATTTCAGTTTATCATTTTAATTTTTTAATCACCAATTTTTGATGTTAAAAATATGAATAAAGAAAATGTGTTTACTTATGTAAATCTTTATCGATGATATCATTGATACTGTCATTAAGGTTATTATGCTTAGATTCTTATCTTGATAAATTAATTCATAAGACTACAATAGCTTTTTTGTTTTTTTAATAGAGTTGATAAAGATCGTTCTGGTGCAATCTCAGCTGACGAACTTCAGCAAGCACTTTCCAATGGTACCTGGACTCCATTCAATCCAGAAACAGTTCGTTTGATGATTGGTAAACATTAGTTTATTTTTGTTGTCTTATTAAATTCAAATGTTTATGCTTAAAAGATTTTATTCATAAAATAGATGAATAAATGGATAGAGTTTGAATTAGTGTAGACTGGAGCCAGAGAATATGCATGATGACAACAGCTAAAAGTTGACAATACATTCTCTTGGTTCTGGTTTTTTTGTTCATGCAGGTATGTTTGATACTGACAAAACTGATCCCGATCCTTCAGGTATGTTTGACAAGAACCAGAGTGGTACTGTAAGCTTTGAAGAATTTGGAGCACTATGGAAGTATGTAACTGACTGGCAGAATTGCTTCCGTTCTTTTGATTCTGACAACAGTGGAAATATTGATAAACATGAATTAAAAACAGCTCTGACTAACTTTGGATACCGATTATCAGATAATATTGTTGAGATGCTGGTGCGAAAATATGATAGACTTGGACAAGGAACTATTTATTTTGATGATTTTATTCAATGCTGTATTGTGCTATATGTAAGTAATAATATATTTAAATTATTTAATAAATCAATACTTATATTATATAATTAATTATTTAATTTATTTTTATCTTTGTTATAGACTCTGACGTCAGCCTTCCGAAAATATGATACTGATCAAGATGGTATTATTACAATTCATTATGAACAATTTCTCAGCATGGTATTCAGCTTGAAGATTTAAATATGACGTATTTTTGAATATTCAAAAATGAAAAATGATTTGACCTTAAAATCAAAACTAAGGTAATACGAAAGTATGTAATAATTATCGAAATTGTGTCAAATATACGTACATTTATATGCGATATTGATGAATAATATACGTCAATGTTACATTCCTTCTTATGACAGATATTTTTAATTCAATCAAAAAGGAAATTACACATTGTAGAATAATCAATACAGTTGTTGGCCAGACCATCCTGAATTGATCATGAATACAATAGAATGAGTGCCAATTGTGTGATTGTGACACGACAACAATTATGTTGCTTACTGGAATATGTTCATTGCTAAATTGATAAATATTTTGTAGAAGCTATGTAAAATTCAACTGACTTGCCTTCTTTTCCGATTTATGTTTACAAAACTGTTAAAATTTAAAATTTACTTCAAATCATTCATATGTCATATAGAAAATACTGTTATTTATTCTTTGTTAAATTTCAATTGCACAGTTTGATAAAGAATACAAAGCTTGATAAAACGTTCTATAAAAATTATATTTGTTACAACTTGTACTACTGTATTATTATTAAAAGAAATATATGTTTTATAATGTATCATAATATTGATTTTTAAAATTTTTACCATCAAAATAATTCCAACATTTATCTCCAATATTTTTAAAATTATTTTTTAATATTATTAAATGAATTTCACAAAGATGTACAAGTAATAGTTTTTACTAATTGTTAAATAAAAATAAATTAAAAGTTCAAAGTATGTTGGGATTGCTTGGATTGTGGGGGATGCGAAAATAGAAGAGCAAAAAAAAAATTCGAGCTTGTAATGCAAAGAACTTTTGTTCGCTATGTATACTAATTTGTTGGGCTGAGATGAGAAAACGAAATGACTCCGCCTTTTCGTTGGCTACCGAGCCAAAAAGTCACATTATTTACATTCAAAATGTTAGTATTATATAAATCCTTATACACATTTTCATTGATGTTTTTCAATACATTTGATATTTATTTCTCTTAAGAAAATTTATTAATGCAATTATTATTATTATAAAAAAAAAAGGAAAACTCAAAAGATATTATAATTTATGGATCCTTATGTTTAATACCGAATGACATATAAATTATTCTAGCATGTACAAATCTAACAATATGTTTCCTAGATAATAAATAAAATTAAATGAAAGTTCAGACATGAAATAATAATATAATATTATGACTTTCAAACCAACTTACTGCCAAATTGTGAAGAAAGAGTAAATCATTTTAATCATAATTAATTATGATTATTTTATTATAATATAAAATTAAAGTCAATAATAATTTCAGAATGAAATAATACTAAATTAGCGTAAGGATGATTTTTAATGCAATTTAAGCTCCGCCCTCGATCCAAAATGTATCTCTTAATTCTTCGGCATCTTGCCAATGTCTCAATATAATACATACAAATAAAATTGATGGAGTCAAGTTGGTTCATTTGCGTGGGTGTTAAACGTAGGAGGTTCTTGAGATAACCACACCTTAGATGATCCCTCTCTCAAGTAGAATCTACCACTGACGATTTTCAAGTTGCAGCCTTATTTTCGGGAGGAGAAAATGAACAAGGATGGATGATGAGCATGATGAAAAAGAGTAAGATAAAACTAATGGATGCTAAACTAGCCAAAGAAAGATAGATATAAGACATAAGATGAAAGTAAAATTGGGGTATTTTTCAGAGTAGGGAGATGTTGAAAATGAGCATAAGTGAGAAATACGAAAAATGAACTAATCTAGAAAAGGAAAGAAAGAAAATGATGGGTCGTTGATAAGCCAAGGCAGTCATTCTCAAATAGTACTTCTGTCTGTCGGTACGTCTTTGCAGTCTTCTCGCTCTTTATTTAACATTCAACATCTTTCTTACTCTTTCTTAATTTCTTATTTCTCTTGTAGTTACAACGAAAGCTCAGTGATTTTGAGCTCTGTCAACGATTAGATACTAAGGTGAAGACATCCCCTGTTCGCAGTATACGTGACCCTTGACGATGCTTAAACTTGTCGGATATTCGGTCATCTTCTTACAACCCGCCAAAATTTAACGATGATTTATCACAATTATTGAGTATTTATTTTATTAAATTTTTTTTGTTATTTTATAAAAACACATCTTGAGTGACAATTATGTTAAACTGTTGTTGAAACTTAGTGTTGTGTTTGTTTTGTATTATTCATTCAACAAATGATTAAAAGTGGTGATAAAATATCTTCAACATTGTAAAAAAAAACTCGAAGCATTCAATGATTGATATAATTTACTGATAATTCATTTGTGTGATTTTATTTTGGATTATGGAAATGCAACAGCAAAATCCAAGACACATTAACACTGATTGTTGCTATCAGCAATGGCCAATGCATCATCAACATCATCAACATCACCAACAACAGCAATCTCATCATCACCATAACAATAGCAATAACAGTAATAGTAATAATAATAATCATCATCAACAATCACAGCAACAAGTGCCGATTCCTTCACCGATGCAACAAATGGAAGGTAGGAATTATTTAATTTATAAAGAAATTTAAATTAAATATAAGATTAAAAGATGAAGATTAGAGAAACGTCGGATTACTTCAATTTAAGGAAGAAGCTCTTCTTTTTTTTCTACCTAAAATATATATTATTTTATTAGGATGAATTATTATAGTAATAAGTTGACTGTACATGTTATTAGTCAAGTCGTGTAGTAGAAATAATGAATTACTTTTTGTAAGATTTCAAATTAATGTAGCCAATTTTAAACCTTGCCAGTTACATGAGTCTTGTTTTAGCTGACTGAAATTCGTTTGTTCCCCAGCTGCACTTAAATTGTGACTTCAAGTGATTTCATTGCATTCTCAAAAAGATAAGACATGCAAACATATAGGTACTCAATGCCCAAAAAAATACCATTCTGATGTTTTTCACTGTTCTTGAGTTCTCTCTCTCTCTTTTAATTACAACAATTCTATATCTAGTTTATTTTAGTAATAAATATTTGATATTTTATTAATGATTGATGAAACATCAAATTTAATTAATTTTCAGCATGCTTGAAAACGGCAGGAAGAGTAAAACGATCACGATCTCCAGACGTTCCTCTTTCATCTAAAATATCTTCTGCAATATGTTTGACTCCTGAATCTCACAATGACAATAATAACAATCACCGTCGGAACGACAATGTATCAGGGTCATCTTCATTATCATCAACTCCATCATCGTCTTCACCAATAAATAGCAATTCTAAAAGACCTCTTCATCCTGCACTCCTTGGTGTCAGTGCTGCTCTTGAAGCAAGACCTTTATGGGAAGAATTCCATCAGTTGGGTACAGAAATGATTGTTACTAAAGCTGGCCGACGAATGTTTCCAACATTTCAAGTAAGTTTCTACCTAGAAACCAATATAAACAATTATTAACATAACTAACAATTTAAAAAATATTAATATTTGTGTTTTAATAGTGTCGAATCTTTGGGTTGGAACCAAACACTGATTACCTTTTGATGATGGATTTTGTGCCTTGTGATGATAAGAGATATAGGTATGCTTTCCACAGTAGTGCATGGGTCGTCGCAGGTCGTGCAGATCCAGTATCACCCCCTCGAATCCACGTGCATCCTGATAGTCCAGCTAACGGAGCTCATTGGATGAAACAACCCGTGACATTTGATAAACTGAAACTTACCAACAATCAACTTGATGACAATGGCCATGTAAGTACAACAAGTGTATATTTTTTAAAATATTTATTTATAATAAATTAAAATTAAAGTAAATATGAAGATTAGAATGAATTCATAATATAAACAGGATTTATTCAAGAAAAATCTTGCACTGAAAAAATAAATCGTTAGATAGATAAACTTAAGAGCTTAAGCATAAAGTAGATGGTTGAATCGTACATTATGTGTCTCCACGTGTTTGTCGTTTCGGGCGAGTTCTTCTTAATTGACCTGAGATATGAGACACCGTTGAGAGCACTTGAGAAAAATTATAAAGCTGCCACGCGTAAATCTAATCGTATCATACGTAAGGACTATTTTTCACTCCAATCATTCTTCTTCATCTAACAAATTTTTTTTACTATAGTTACTTACTAAATCACGATGTTTATTTTTTTCTAACCAATAAATTTAATTTTGTATAAAACAACTAAAATAAATAATGAAATATTTTGATTTTATGGTAAGTAAATTATAGTTTGTTTAAAAGCCAACTTCATGGTAAAGAGTCATTAAAAATTTAAACGATAGTTATTTTCAGATCCATGATATTTTAAATAAAACACTTGATGCTTGATTACTTGGTCTACTTTTCAATTTATTGGTGTAAAAAATAAAAATTGCAGTTTAATTGTAAAATAATGATAGGTTAATTCGATTCAAGCAATTGATTTCCATGATGTCTTGATCACTTAGGTTATCGTTGATACGTTACGCTATATTCTATCCAGTAAAATAAACCATTTGCCCAAGAAGAATCATGGAATTCCAAGTTTTCAGACAAGACAAATCTTCACGCCTCCCCTGTCTTTTTTATCTATATTCTCCTTTTTTTCTTAAGGCTTTCTCGAATGAAAAATGTGGTGTACACGAGAGCAAGTCAATCGACCCGTGAAACGCCAGCAAAAAAAATGTATATATATATGACTTAACGGGTTTTTGGTAACTGGAGATCAACATATAGATCCTACTGTCATGTGGGTTGTTTTTTTGGAGACAATTGTATTATTTCCGGATTGTCATGTTCTGCTATAACTATTTTGATCATTAGGTAAACCCAAACATCAAGTTTCTAATTAATTTGATCATAGTTTAAAATTGGAAGATCCTAGTAAATCGTAGAGAATCAATTTTAAAAAGGTAATTAGTTAGAAAAGGGTATCATTAATAAAGAAAAAAAAAAGTCAACTTCAATGAAGCAAGTATAGACATTAAGGAAGTAAATAAAGAGTAGAAAGTGAAAAGAAGGATATATGCACATGAGGAGGAAGAAACACGACGGGGGGCGGTTACAATGTTTGACAGACTGAAGAATCCCAGTGACTAATTAGTGTAAAAACTAACTTCGGAGTCGAGTGAACAGCAATCTGACACCCTTTTTCTATCTTACTCCAACTCATCTTCACTCTGTAAGCATGGCATGGTGTTTGAGGACAACACACGTGCTTATATTGGCTTACCACTGTCGCACACGTGGTAACTGTGAATCCAGAGATAAACGCGTCAAGAATTTAGACAGTAGAAACACCATAATACTTAGCATTATCTGTTCAATAAATGAACGTTTTAACCCTACCTAACTTGTGTGGTCTAGTGTTATTTTTTATACATTTATCTAAACCTGATACCTAATTGTTATCTTATCAATATTTAATTAGTACATATTTATTCATTTTGATTTCAGATTATTTTAAATTCCATGCACAGATATCAACCAAGATGTCATGTTATTGTGGCTCCATCACCTCCAGGAACTGCTCCTGATCCACGAACTGAAAATTTCAAGAGTTTTACTTTCTCTGAGACACGATTTACTGCAGTTACAGCTTATCAGAATCATCGAATCACTCAATTAAAAATAGCCAGTAATCCTTTTGCTAAGGGATTCCGTGATTGTGAACCAGATGAGTGTGAATCGCCTAATTCAACGCCACAACATCCTGCTAAAAAACCAGCCACCGCAAGTACAGCAGTTGTTCCGGCTAATTATTCATCAGTTCCTGCAACACCAATTACAACTCCAGAACATCACCATCATCATCATCATCAGTTTTATGCTAATACTCCATCACATTGGACATATCCAGGCCATCATCAAACAAGTCATATCGTTAATTCTGGACACTTTTCAACTCATCATCCACCTGGTACCTCACTATATAGTCCACGATAGTATTTTACATATTATAATGTTGATTATATTTTTTATCTAAGATAAATGAGATCTAATACTAAAGTGCAACTATGTCAAAGAATGATACCAAAGTGAATGTAGTACTGTTAAAACTATACAAATTTAATATCTATTCATTTGAAATGTATGTAATTAAATATTTTTACATTTACAAATTTAAGATTAACTATGATAGTCATTTAATTTAAGTATTTCATAAAATTATTTATTTATTTATTTCTTAACAATGAAAATTATTTAGATTTATTTTTCAATAGTTAACTTGTTTTATTTCTTGATGTTTTTCTATTTATCATCACAATTTTTCAATTATTTTGAAAAAATTATACTGAAATGATAATGATATATATATTGAATGAATTGTACTGATAGTAGATTACTCTGTAGTTAAAAGCTGAATGTAATCAAAAAATGATTTTTTTTATTGAACTTAATAGACAGTTATGGCATTTGTGAATAATACCATCAAGTATAAAACAAAGTGCCTTTTGTAGAAACAAAGTGCGTCTATTTATGTAGGGTGTTTCAAATGCCAAACGAGCCAAAAGTTCTTCTCTCTCTCTTTCTCTGAATCTATATAGATACAAACGTAAACGTGCCGTGACAAACCCCTTTAGCGTGCGTTAAGTGCCTTAATAAATTATATACACACCAAGTTCCCACATTTAATTGTGGTTATATTATACTAACCACGACTTTAAGACACTATGATAAATTATAAGGAAAAAGTATTATGTATTACTAATTGTATCTGTTATGAAAAATTACTATATTATAAAATATAGAGCAAATAAATGATATATTTCAGTAAAAACGAAACAACTTGTTGTTATTCTACATGACAATTGTATAAAAATTACCAAAAGATTATATATAAAGACAACTTAAATTAGAATTTAATTTGATGCAATTATTTCAACATTTTTAAAGTTGGAAACATCTTTCATGTCTCTTCAAAAGTTGATGTAGTATGCATCAAACATTGTATATAAATTTGAAGCACTTGAAAAAAAAATAGAATAAGATAAGAAAGAAGACTATAGAATTGCAGTCACCGGACGGAACTTTTTGAGAGCTCATAGAATAGAACGGGATAAAACTTGAAGCATTGGAGGAAACATGTTGTGCGAGTTGACATGAAGTGGCAGTGATTGATGCGAGCGTGAAAAACAAGTTTATGTAAACATATTAGTGTCTCAACTGTTGAGTGTCCAAGAGGATGGCTACATCAATGTAATAAGTAATTAATCTCAGTTTCGAAAATGTTTGTAGTAAATTTGTTAATTATTACCTCAATATATTTCAAATATTACTACACATCTGTAAAAAAAAAGTCAAATATTTTTATTTTTTCATTTTAAGAATCTGTCGATCAAAAAAGCATTGCAAATGTCAAAGAAACTTACAGAGATGCCAAGAAGTTTAGTGTTGCATGACGCCGTCTAGTCATAAAACCCGTTACTTTTACTCGATATTTTCTTTCATCTTGCCAAAATATATGCTGACCTAACTTACTACCACGAGACTAAATACTTCACTTAGGTCTTAGAATATATATTATTCTTATGTTAGTAGTAACATTTAACGGCAAATAAATAAAATGGCAATTGTAAAAAATCAAAGGATGCGCACTGAGTTCCGGGTATAGTATTAAATGATCGTTTTCACTCTTTTTCTTCCCTACAAAGGCATCAACATTATGTTCAAAAATTTCACTTTCTTCTTTTACAGACATCTGTCTTTAAAATGTTGGTCAAAAATACATACAAATTAGTGCTAATGAAATATAACTCCAAAATGACAAATATTCATTTTCCATAAGTTGATTTGTTATTTATTTTTCAACTTGAATATAGAATTGTATGATCTTGAAAATTAGTAGTAAAGCTTGCAAATGCTGGTAAAGGTTGTCATCGAGTTCTTAGGTTGCAGCAATCATTTGGTTCCGGCCCATGAAATATAACGAGACGAGATGAATTCGAGAAACACCGGAATTGTATTAATGGTATATAGCCACACTGATGTAAAGAACGAAAGTGTGTAGATTCTTTAGCGATCTTATCCTGGCGAGCGTCGCGACGCCAGTGTGAGTTCGTACCATAGATATGGTTGCAATGACAGATTTACAGATTCCAGCCTCCGGCTTCTACTTCTTCTTCGTCTTTTTTCACTTGTGAATTCTTTGAGTGTATGAGTAGATATAGAGTGAGGTACTTTGAATCTTCATGTAGCAGAGTATCAGAGACTGAATAGAAGTTTATATACTGCAGGAAGGAATCCTATAAGAGAAAAAGTGAGAGTTACTTCGTGCATGTCAAATCACACCTCTTGTGTTTATGTTTTACAGTTGAATACTTTTAAGTCTCTTCCATTTATTCTGCAAGAGTTGAGTCCTTAAAGTCAATGATAAACACATATGTGTTTGTATTTAAAATTTATTATTTTTATTTTCATTTTAAAATGATACTCATTCTAGAATGAAAATATGTCCTCGTATTCTTGTCATCAAGTTCCGTTTTAACGAAAAAAAGGAAAAATAAAATTTGTAGATCAAAAGTTATGATTAATGAGATGATGAGTTTTAGGAATTTATTAAAGGAAAAAAATTTATAGTAACTCTTTTGGAGTAAAAGGCTATAAAATATATATTTTATGTACACTGTTTGTTGATAAAAAAAAGTTGTAGAGTAACAGTGATGATTAATGTAATGGATTTCGAGAATTTTACTCCATAGAAAGTATCCATGTGTATATGTTCTATCAATCAATTCACAAAAAATAATCATCACCATAAAATAATCTGATTCATTTAATTATAACCTCAAAAATTTATCAAATACTTTTGATTAGAATGAAATATTTGCTTGTATAAAATCAATTATTTATTTAAGAAAAATTTTTAAGATATTGTTTATTTGATGTAACTTTTAGAAAAGAAAAGTTAAATTGAAAAAAAGATGAAATAAAAAGAAGGAAGGAAAGTATCTATCGACACTGGAGAGTTACTCTGGTCCATTATAACTCGAAGACAGACGTTAACCGGGATTAAGAAGAAGTTTACATTACTGTCATGTAAATAAGAAGGAACAATACTAATAATTTAGTCTCGTTAAGATAAAAGCAAAGTGATGTATAAATTAAACAGTGTTATATATATTATTGATACATTAAAGAAAGTAATATAACATTACCTTCAGAAAAACTATTGAAATAAATAATGATATTTTTGTTTAAAATATTCTCTTCAATTTTTATTAAAATAACATCACTGAATTATGATAAATGAACATTTTTACAGTAAAATATTAGTTATTTAATTATCATACATATATTTTACATTTATTAAAAAAGTTTTACTGAATTTTTAAGATAAAATGTGTTGGAGAAATAATCATGTTTATTTCAAATTTTATTTTTTACCACTAATGCCATCTATGTAATACCAACTGAATAGAGTACATTTTTATCGACTACTAATAACAATAAACCGAATGATAAAAAAAATTTCTGTTTTGTGACGTATTATATCAAAAATGGCGACGTAAATAAAACGATATGTGAATAAGTGATGAATATTTAATATTTTTACGAAATACTATGAGTATATAAAGATATATTTGGAGTGTCAATCTAATTTTATGACCACGAAAAAACAATAAATCATTAATTTCGCAATATTGTAAGCTGTACATTTGCAAAGTCGATCAAGAAACGTATTGTTGTTAAATCTAGGTTATTTCGTAGTTTCCCAGTTTTATTAAGTATTTTAATTGTTAATGATGATATAAAAATTGAATAAATATAAAAATGGGTTCACCAATGGACACTCCTGGCTCACAAGCTCTCGAAGTGGCGAAAAGTATAAAAGATGTGGTGATATTCAAGAAACCAACAGGTCCTGTGAAACGTAAAAAATATCAACCATCAATTTTGGATGAAGATACGTACGTTGAAAAAATTGGAGAAATAATTCAACGAGATTTCTTTCCACATCTAGAAAAATTAAAAGCTCAAAATGATTATTTAGATGCATTAGAGCAGAATGATGCTAAAAAAATGCGTGAGCTCTATGAAAAATATAGTGCTGGAACTCCTTTAACTGAAAGAGTAGCAAGTCCAGCTACATTTGAAACACCTCTACGAGAAGATAGTTCATCAAATATTGATCATATTGAATCTGAGCATGCCAAAAAAGCTAAAACAGATACGGAAAATAATCAAATAGGTCTAGATTGTTATTTAAATTCCCATACGAGTGAAGACAATGCTAGTTTTGAAGAAATGATGGTTGAAGCTGAAAAAAAACAAAGAATCAAATACTCATGGTTATATGATATGGAAGAAAATTCTAAATCTCTTGAATTAAAAAATAATACTTTATCAATTACTAATGACAAGGATAAAACATCAAAAAAACCACTTAATCTCGATACTTGGAGTTATAAAAATAAAAATTATATTATGTATATACCTGATGGTGTTGAAATTACACCAGAAGAAAAAATTGAATTAGCAAAGAAGAAACAAGAAATTGTTCATGTAAATACAAGATTAACTGTAAATCCTTTCAATGAAAAACAGAATAAAGAGACGATAAATGAATTGGCGAAAATTCAGTCAAAAGTAAATGATGGAAAAATTGGAGTAGACGGTAAAGAAGTCCTAAGAAATCCTACTCCAAGAGTTAATGGATTTAGTTTTGTTGCTACACCAAGTCCAAGACCAGGAGAATGTGAAAGTCCTCTGATGACTTGGGGTGAAATTCAAGGAACTCCTTTTAGACTTGATGGAGGTGATACTCCATTATTAAGATCGAATCAAGGACCTTCTTTCAGGATGGCGGAACCGCCGAAGAGAGAAAAATTGGCATTACAGTTGGCAGAAAAAGCAGGAGAACGGCATAGAGATAGGAAAAATAAGGCTTTAGAAGCTGCAAGAAAATCTTTTGCATCGTAAGTTTTAATAGATATTATAAAATATTTGCAATTTATTATCCTAGTGTTGATGTTATAAAAATAATTTTTAATAATTATTACAGACCATCACCCAAGTGTTCATCAGCAATAGAAAGACTTAGCACAATGTCACCTGCAGCAAGAAGATTAGCGACACAGAAACTTAAAATACTTGGTACACCAAGTCCACGAAGAACTCCATTAAAATCACCTTTAATAGGAGTGAAAACAACTAATTTAACTCCACGTCATGTGACACCTTCAGAATCACCGAAAATTACCTTAGAATCAGAGAATAATTTGAAAACTAAAGAAACTGTACTTACTGATAATTTATTAAATTTACCACATAGACAAAGAGCTTCTGATTTTTTTTAATCAGCAACTTGATGGATTTTAAATATCTTTTTTATTATTAATATGTTTTCTAACACCAAAAATCTTGATATGAACTTTATAGAAATTATTAATTCGTTGTATATATTATTAATAAAAATGAATTCTTGTAAATATTAAAGATGTTTTCTCTTTTATGTCTTCAGAAATTCATAAAACTTAATTCAAAAAACAAATTATTGATGTTAAAAATAGTAAACACATAAACAAAATATTGGAATATTTATATATTAAATAAAATTAATGTTTATAAATTATAAAAGTTTTTGTATTTAAATGAGTCATAATGATATTTGAAACCTATGTCACAATGCGCAATGTGTCAATGCGGAAGAAATTTATTTCGTTAAGTTGAAGTATAAATTTTGTTTCTTTAAAATAAAAATCTCCAAGAAAATTTATAAGGAAGTGATCTTCATTTCCGATTTACTTATGCACATGTATGGATATTCCTGTAATTATTGCAGACGTTTTTATTATTATTACAACATAAGAAAGGCAGCTCAGAACCATATATAAGAACTAACAACTGATGTTGATCATTCAGTATCTCATTCAATATTCTTTAATCAGATCATACGTGAATGAATTATATTTAAAAAGTAACATTTAATAGTGTAAGTGGAAATAAAAAAACCTCAAGATGACGAAGATTTGTGATTTCAAAGCAATTTTTTACATTTTTGTTGTTCTATTCATTGCGACTGTTTCAACGCAAAATCTATCACCAGCATTATGTGGAGGATTGCATTCAGGTGTGGATCGGTGTAAGGAATGTTCTGATAATCAAACAGTGCTAGTAAAAGCACAACCATTGCCAAAACCTTTTGTAATTGACTCAACTACGAGTCAAATGAATCAAATGAAATCACGTCCAACTCAAGCATGGAGACGTGGTTTAAAACTTCTTCAAAACCGTCTTCGAGTTCCCACCAAACGTCATAGGCCACTTCTAAGGAACTTAGTGGTACCGGAAACGGAACCTATCGGTTTTGAAAGAACTGTACAATATGCGCCTCAGATTCAACAAGCCCAAGTAAAAGTTCCAAGTGTCGACCCAAATGTTAAACTTGCTCCCAGGTAACATAAGGATAAATTTTGAAAATAAAATTAATAATATTTGACTAATTATTTTTTCTGGGATATTATAGATTTCATCCAATTGGTGACCTCTGTTATAAAAAAGGAAGCAAGCCAGAACCAGTTCATAGATTAGCAGAAACAATGATCATAACTCCAGCTAATCCACCAAAAATTGAATGCTACACAGAGTCATCTCCTGTGATGCCTTTAGGTTCTGCGAGATTTAATACAATGTTACAAAGCCAAACAATTTCTGGTGATTCTAATAGTCAAATTCCACAATTATTAAGTGGATCTTCAGTAACTAATTTCGGACGTCAACGAACTAAACTTAATAATAAACCAAGAGGTGGTTTAATTAGCGTTGATAAGACAATGAATACCAACTCTGCTGGTAGTGATATCAGAATGAGAGGTCTTGTAGTCAATCTTAACGAACAAAATTCGAATCTAGTTAGAACAAATAGATTCAGGTCTAATATGATGAGTTCTGGATTTATGGTTAATAATCCAGTGAATAGAGGATTAAATGTCTATTCTGGAAATTCAGCAGTTGTTGGAGTCGCCCCACAAATAAGTGGAGTTCAAAAAACATCATATGTACCAAGTCCAAGAACCTTCCTATTTGGAGGCACTGCTGTACCACTTAGTAGGAATAGCGACGCAGGGTTTATTGTCAACAGAGGCAACATAGAAAATAGTATTGGTATTTAATTCATAAATTTAAAAGATTCCAACTATTTTATTTAATTGTATATTATTTTTTATTCTATTTTAGGAGCTTTTAATGAAGAATCCAGTCAACCACCTTCAATGGACAGTCCTGCTGATTTAGTATCAGTAGCTTTGTTATACAAAAATAGGATAGAATCATGTAAACAAGCAGCTGAAAATGTTGGAGGCATTAATCCTATTTCAAATGCAAAAATACCTGAAGGAAAGATATCGTATGGTCCAGAAACAATACCTATTAATGGTCAAGTAGATGTGATATCAAAAGAAATTCCAGAAGAAAAACTTCATGTTTCTGAAAAACCAGTTATTGAATTGAATCTTCAGAAATCTTCAGACACTTTACGTTCTTTTGAAGGACCAACAAAGCCAGTTACTTACAAGTAATCTTTCATTTTTATTGCTATACTTAATCATTGATTTAAGTTCTCAATGACTTATAAAATGTTCTAATTTTCAGCGAATTAGGTTTTGTAGAAAAAACATATGACACTCCAAGATTCCAAGAAAAATCAGTAGTTTACGAATCACCTGTAATTAATCCAGAACAAAGTATAGATGAAGAAGATTCAGATGATTCAGAATATAACATTCGATATCCAGTTGCCTCGAGAACTATCGTAGGAGAACTTGTCCGAAGTGAACCTATACCATCAGAATATGGACCTACCAATCCTAATTTTCCATTCAGTCTTTTGGATAAACCTGCTTATCAACCAGTTCAATCATGGTCCCAAAATATAAATGAACAACCAAAACTACGGACTTATTTGGCAACAAATAAAAATGTTGGCCATTTAATTACGAATACTCCAATGTTGCCACAATCTAGGAATCCAGAAATTTGTTATTGTAATAGGAAATAATTATTTAGACAAAAAATTGTTAAAAGTCAGTGTAAAACTAGAATATTGTTTTAAAATAAATTTGTTTGAATGATAAACTGCATTTTTCAATAAGAAATAGAGTTACACACATAAATATAAGTTAAGATCAATCATTTGAGACGATGATGATAATTAAGGCATGATTTTTTTCCTGTTCCTTAGTGGATTGATTGCCCTCTTCTTAGCTTTGGTCAAGCATCCGATTAGTGAACTGGAATAAATGAAAAGAGAGGCAGACGAGGGGCTCACCCTGTAATTTAACCTTAAATATCAATTCATTCCAGAACTCGTAGAAACAAAAATGAAGGTAAAACCGGAAATGGCTATAATTTCAGCATAAATTATGCTCGGATCATAATTTTGACTACATCAATAGAAAGCTCTTGCTCTCAGGAATCCATTGATATGCTTGTGGTCCACGTACCTCTCATAGATCGTGAGTTATCGGTGAAAAACGAAGCTATACTGCAGCGGAGCATAGAAAAACCTTTAAACGCTCATAACTCGAAAACTAAGCGAGATACGGCATTTTTGACGGGGATATCCTATAGGGGGAGCCTAATTTTTTACTTAGGTCCAGATCTTTCATATGAGCCCTTGATCAATCCCGTAGCATCATTGGCATAGAAGTTATGCATATTTTTATGTTTTTCCGTTTTTCAGAAATATCTCCTGATTTTACGAACCAAATACAGTCAACTGCCAGTGTTTGGAAACGGTCTCGTCCCGCTCTTGCCAATGACATCCTTAATTTTATGATCCAAGCATAATTTCGATTTTTTGCATTTTTTGAGGTTAGAAAAACAAGTTTTCCAACTTTGATGATTGGGGGTTATTCTGTACGTTTCATAAGAGTACTCGCTCTGTTCGCAACATGCATAGAGGCTATAAAACTAATTTGATATTTTTGTAATAGCTCAGTGTTCAAGCCTATCAATGCCTTTTTTTTTTAATTTAATTAATTGTAATAATTAAAATTTTTAGGACAAATATCACATGCAATCACGCTAAATGAGAGTAAAAGAGAACACAAATCTTATCTCTTTACTCTCTTAGATTAAGGGGGCGTGGCTAGAATAAACCGTTGCAGCGCCATCTCTTGATGGGTTTACAGAAACGTTAATGTTGTGACCTGTGATTACCGACATGTTGACCCAAAATACCGACATTGTTGACCGAAACTTCGTCCGGATTTTTAACACAGCATTGGACTTCTATACTGTTCTCTCTTCTCTGTTTTAGCCCCGCTTTGAATAATTCTAGATTAGAAACTCGATATAAACAAATCGCTACCGCGGTCGGCAATTACTCTTATGGTATAGGGAAGACATTAATGAACACGAGTGTATACATAAATGTTGTGTCTACAGTGTATTTATTAAATAAAAATAGAGAATTGAGTTGTCAAACAATCAGTAATAACGATGAAAGAATGGAATATTTTATCAAAAAATTAAATATTTATTATAAAATATTTTAAAACACTACAAAATCTAGAATGGTCACTAATGTTTGTGGTAGAATATGACTCCATTAGATAATATATTTTCAATTTATTCTAAGTGTCAACATGATCAACATTTTCTAAGATTTAGCTAAAACTATGCCATTCGTAAATTGATCATCATGAAATCAGTATATAGATTCATTATTATATTTATTGTTTTTATTAGTTTAGTTATTTTTCTCAGTTTCTCTAATCAATTTTCAAATCAAATTTATGATGAGAAAAAACCTAAAGAATCTTCATTAATATCAAATGTGCATATTATACCTGATGCTGATGTTCAAGAAGTTACAATATGTGTGGTCGTTTGTGGTGACAGATTGGATGAATCTCTTACAATGTTCAAATCAGCTCTAATATTTACTAAAAGACAATTAAAATTGATTGTTATCACAGAAAACAATTTAATAGATCATTTTGACGAAAAACTTAGTGAATGGAAACTTATGACGAATAATTCATTCACATACGTTTTGAAACCAATCAAATTTCCTGAAAAAAGTGATGCTTTAATGTGGAAAAAATTATTTAAACCATGTGCTGCTCAAAGACTTTTTCTACCGGTATTTATTATTACATTAAATTATTTTATAATTACTTACAAAATATAATAATAAATTATCAATAATTATCCTTTATTTTAGACCGTACTCAATGACACTGATGCAATTCTCTACGTTGATACTGATACGCTTTTCTTAGCTCCACCAGAAATAATTTGGGATGAGTTTAAGAAGATGAATTCTACTCAATTAGCAGCTTTAAGTCCAGAACATGAAGATCCAAACACTGGATGGTATAATCGTTTTGCTAAACATCCATATTATGGTAAACTTGGTGTAAACTCAGGTGTTATGTTAATGAATTTAACACGAATGAGAGAATTCAGATGGACTGATTATGTGATTCCAATTCATAAAGAGTATAAGTTGAATATAACTTGGGGTGATCAAGATATAATCAATATCATTTTTCATTATCATCCGGAGAGATTATACATTTATACATGTCGCTTTAATTATAGACCTGATCACTGTATGTACATGTCTGTATGTACAGACGCTGAAAATCATGGTGCTTTAGTTATTCATGGGTCTCGAGGTACTTTTCATTCACAAAAACACCCTCCATTTCGGGCTGTATATCAAGCAATACAAGAATATCAGTTTAATACTGACAAATTTGAAAATTTATTTGTACCAATGCAAAATTATTTAATGATGGAGGATAACTCAAATTGTGGGAAAGTTAGAAAAGTATTTATTAAACAACCTGAATTACATTTAAGCAGGAACAAATTTATTTCTCGATAAAATATGATATCATTAAAAAAAAAAAAATTTTTTTTCAATGCTCAAGTATATTATAGTTTGATTTTTTTTAAATTATTTGTTTAATATACAATGATGAATTGTAACTGAAAATTATTAATCAAAATATTTCAAATATGACGTATATTTGATATCCATAAAACTATAAAAATAAATTTATTAAGATCTGAGTGGTGCCTTTAATATTTTCTAATGCTGTGATTATTTTTATAATTATGTTAATTAACATTTTTCAATATTACAAGGTATACTTTCATATAAAAAACTTTTTTATAAAGTCATTATTTTCATCTTGAATTAATATTATTATGTAGATGGTTTTTTTAAAATAAAGAACTATCTTTATGGAGTAAAAGTAATAATTAATTATAATTAATAGTATTTTCTTATTTGATATAATGAATAATTAAGAAAGAGTTGGGAAAATTAACATAAATTAATGATGTATAGTAACCCAAATAATTTTAATGTAAACTAGAATTTTTATGAAAATGGAAAAATTCATTTAATTATTTATATTAAATGATCAATGTTGATTAAATTTACAGTATCACAATCGATTTTAAAATTTTTCTATTCTAATATGTGTATGATTATAAAAAAATAATGTATATATATTCTCAAATATTTCTCTAATTATATATAATGAATGTAATTATGACTTTTGAATAATATATTGAATTAAGCACTTATTGCTTTGCAATAATTTCACAAATGTAGCAATGCGAAGTGATAAATAAGTATTACTTCTAATATTTTCTATGCAATAATAATGATTGAAAAAAATTAGTAAATTTGTTTAAAAAAATAAAGTTTAATGGAATAAAGGTACATAGTGAGTATGAAACGGTTGAGAGCATAGAGAAATTGAGAGGGAGAGAAGTGAGGTATATCATCAGGAAAATAGATGGTGGGGAATCTAAGTAGATTCACGAGAGGGTCACGAGAACTCAGTTCTGTCAGTTCGATATATTGTTCTCCTTTCGTAGTACAACAATGATGCTAAATATAATTTGGCTTAAAAAAAAAATTTGTTAAGAAATTCTTTCATGTACTAATTCATCAGTATATATATGTATATATATATATATACTATAAATTATTATAATATTTCACTTTCACATTTTTTTTACAAAAAAAAATCATTGTAAATGTTTATAACTTTTGAAAGTTAATTATATTTATTATTATCGAGTTATTATTATGTACGATATTGTTATGAGTAATAAAAAGAAGTTTGTTAATTATGGAAAAATGTGATTATCGAACATGATAACATAGATCCCTGATAAATAAAGGATCCTTGAAGCGATAATCTCTGAATAAGCGATAAGGAGTTGAGCGTTTTATTCACAGCTTGTTTCAAACAAACTGTTGTGAAATTACGTGTTGTCTACGTGGACTGATATGAGAAAAAATCTGACAGTCATAAGTTGTTGTTTTTTGTTATCATTAGCATGACTTATTGTTGTTTCTATTAATAATTAAAGGTATGTAATAACAATTAATCATAATAATATTTAATAAATTGTTAATGATTACTTATAGTTAATATTAAATTAATTATTTGTGTATAGTAATGTCATATGCTATGATCATTATCATTGTTGATAATATACATACTCGAACGTATAATTAGAAATAACTTTGTATATCACAAAAAATAATGTATTTGAATGTTTACAGAACAATGCCTCTATTTAAACAAAAAAATTCTTTAAAGTCATCGGTACCGTCATTAGAGAAGTCAAGTAACGGTGCTAACTACCATGAAGATCATGACACTGTCAGTGGAAGTAACAGCAACAACAACATTCACGGTGCTGGAAAACGAAACAAATTAAATAATCAAGATCAGACAACATCAGCTGAGGATAATCAAAGTCAAAGCAAGACTCACTTAATTTTTAGATGCCAACTCGCACATGGTAGTCCAACAGGTTTTATCTCAGATTTTAGTAACGTCAGAGAACTTTATCAAAAGATTGCCGAGTGTTATGATCTACCATCAAGTGAAGTGAGTATTGTAATTAATTTTTCAATATTGTGGAACGTTGATTAATATCAGTTTATAAAAAAAAAAAAAAATTCTACATCATTTTTCATGGACGTACCGGATACACTGGTCATGGTTCATGATCCTTGTGACGCCCGGATATCCCCTGGATATGAGAGTTTAAACTATTTAACAATTCAATCTAAACAAACCAACTCACTGTCACTATATATTGATGCCTCTTGAAATTATTTTTATAGAAAACCATTGAATATTTATTTATCTTTTAAAATTAATACATTATTTTTGTTTCAGATTCTATTTTGTACATTAAATACTCATAAAGTCGAAATGTCAGAGCTACTCGGAGGACAGATAGGATTAGATGATTTCATATTTGCACATAAAAGAGGTACAAATTAATTTATAGAATTAATGTTTTCATATTATCATCATTATTATTGATATTATGATTATTGTAGGACAACCGAAGGAAGTAGAATTAATTAAATCAGAAGATGCTTTAGGATTAACGATAACCGATAATGGAGCTGGTTATGCTTTTATCAAGCGAATAAAAGAAGGTTCTGTGATTGATAAAGCAAAAGTAATCCAAGTTGGAGATCATATAGAACGAATAAATTCTGAAAGTCTAGTTGGTCGAAGACATTTTGAAGTAGCAAAAATGTTGAAAGATATTCCAAAAGGATCAACCTTTACTCTAAGGTTAATTGAGCCACAAAAAAGTGGGTTTGGGAGTATCGGACCACGAGGTGATATGAAAAAAGGCAAGAAACCAGGATATGGATCTGGTAGAGAGACTCTGAGATTTAAAGCTGATGGCAGTACTCAAATTCAAGCTGTAAGAAGTTATTTTATTGAATAATTTTGATCATCTGATTTTAATGATAAAAAATAATTTTTTATGCTTAAAGGTGGACAAGGCATCAACAATTGGAGTAGAAAAAATAAATGTCATACTTGAAAGTTTTATGGGCATTAATGACAATGAATTAGCAACACAAATTTGGGAACTAGCTGAAGGAAAATCAAATAGTATGGATTTTGCAGAAGCTATTGATAATTCTGATCTTGAAGCTTTTGGTTTCACTGATGATTTTGTTATTGAATTGTGGGGTGCTATAACAGATGCTAGAAGTGGGCGTTTTCAATAGAAAAATAATTACTAGGATAAAATTAAAAAGAATGATAAGAGAAATTAAATTATGTGTAATCACGAACAAAAATATGTCTGCCATATATGTTCATTAATACATTATTGATCATTACACTTTCATAATGATGTCAGTTTGTACTTAATTTACACTATCATTATTAGAGTGAAATTACTATTTTTTTCTAGTACACAATATAATTTTGATTTTTTTTTCAATTAAAGAAAAATGACTTATAATTGTTAAAACTGTTGTTAATATTAATGGACACTACTTATCATTTTTTTTTTGTCAATGTCATTTACTTAATTGATATAGTGTCAATGTATAGAATAATGTATTATTTCATCATTAACATTGAAACTGTTATTTCTATTTTTGTATCGATTGAAATATATAATGTTTATTATTTATTAAACAAATTGTAAGATCTCGAATGTAGGAAAAATCTACATTTTTTCATCTTAATATATTATCAGAATTATGATACTTTGAGAAATGATAATAAAATGTTAGTAAATAACATTGTTTGAATAATAGCTTAAATATCTCTCATCACTCAAAAAGAGAAAAAATTGATATGCATACATATTTCACCATTTCGAAATGTTATAACCAAGTGATAAACAAATCTTGTTGATAAAGAGTTTCTTACACTTTTCATAAACGAAATGTACCACCAATATAAGGGATATTATTGGCATTTGTTTCTTAATTAATCAACTCAAATACTTGTTTACAATTGATTTCATACAATATACAGAATAATAAAAGCACACACTAACAACACGTAAAATTTAACCGTGAATATTAAGTACATATCAATAATATAAACTGATACAAATTGCAAAATTATTATCAAAACTCGTGAGTTATTCAATACAGCAGTAGAAATGTAAGAGTAGTTGATGAGTAGTGGTATTCATGTATATAGCAGTGTTACATATATGTATGTAGATGTATATATATATATGTGTAGGAAGGGTATACGCCGCTGTAGCAATCGGTCTGTGTTATTTATCACTCATCAATCAGTTAAGAAGAGAATTATTATAGCAGAATTTAGGAAAAATTAAATTAAATTTCATTTTATTCAATAATAATGGTGTTGTCCATCATGAAATATGGAAATATATTCATTAAAATTGCTGCCGGTTGCAGACCTTCACGACATAATTTGCAAATTAACAAGGTAAAAATTGTATAACCTCTAAGTAAAACGACGAAACTTTTATTTATAAATTAACTTGAATATTTATATATTTTTTAACATTAATTGTTACAGATATATGCAGTTAATTTTTCAATAAAATCTGATTTACCTCAAGAAGAAGAAAATACTTCAAAATTACCACCACCAGTTGGAACTGAAGGGAAATATTTCAAGTCTGTTGATCAGGCAATATCGGATATTTCTGATGGAGCAAAATTATTAGTGGGTGGTTTTGGACTTTGTGGGATACCTGAAAATTTAATAAATGCAGTTAGTAAAAAGGGAATAAAAAATCTAACAGTAGTTTCAAATAATGCTGGAGTCGATGATGCCGGTTTAGGAATACTTTTAACTCGTAGACAAGTGAAACGTATGATTTCTTCGTATGTTGGTGAATGTAATGAGTTTGAAAAACTTTATCTTGGCGGTGAGCTTGAATTAGAATTAACGCCGCAGGTAATTGTTAAATATATCTAATTTAAACATAATTAATAGTATGATAAATTTGACTCGTATCCCTTTAATTGGTTAGGGAACATTAGCAGAACGAATTCGAGCTGGAGGTGCTGGGATCCCAGCATTTTTTACACCTACAGGATTCGGAACAATTATTCAAGAAGGAAATGTTGTTATTAAATATGATAACAAAGGAAATGCAGCCATATCTGGTGAACCAAAGCCTTCTCAAATGTTTAATGGAAGAAATTATGTTATGGAGACTGCTATTACTGGAGACTTTGCATTAATTAAGGCATGGAAAGCTGATAAAGCTGGAAATTTAATATTTCGAAAATCAGCTAGAAACTTCAATCCTACCATGTGTAAAGCAGCTAAAATTACCATTGTAGAAGCAGAAGAAGTTGTTGATATTGGACAATTAAATCCAGATGAGATTCATGTACCCGGCATTTATGTAGATCGTGTATTAAAAGGACGAAATTATGAAAAACGAATCGAAGTAAGTAAATATTTAAAATTTTTATCATTATCTATTATTCAGAGTAAATAAATGTAAATAATTTTATTTTATTCGTAGAAAATTAAAACTTATCAGTCAATGCAAACAACTAAGTCAACACCAGCTAGTAAAGCTAGAGATAGAATTATTAGACGAGCAGCCCTAGAGTTTAAAGACGGAATGTATGGTAAATAAGAATATATTTACTTATTCGATAATGAATTGAACCATTGAGAATTTTTTTATTCATTATTTATGTTGATGATTTTTAGCTAATTTGGGAATCGGTATCCCGATGCTAGCTGCTAATTATATTAAAAAAGATATGAATGTAACTATTCAGTCTGAGAATGGAATTTTGGGACTTGGACCTTATCCACATGAAAATGAAGTAGATGCTGATTTAATTACTGCTGGAAAAGAATCAACTACTGTTGTACCGGGTGCTTCTTTTTTTAGCAGTGATGAAAGTTTCGCTATGATTCGAGGGTAAATTTTTTAAAAATATAAATCATTAAAATTACTGTGCAATTAAGAATACGATTTTTGTTCATAATAATTATAAATAAATTTTTATCAGTGGTCACATAGATTTATCGATTCTCGGAGGTATGCAAGTATCTAAATATGGTGATTTAGCTAACTGGATGATCCCCGGGTCAATGGTAAAAGGTATGGGTGGGGCAATGGACTTAGTTTCTGCTGCAAATACAAGAGTAGTTGTGACGATGGAACATAAAGCTCGAGATGGTAATCCAAAAATTGTAGAAAATTGTACTCTACCTTTGACAGGTAAAAAAATAAGAATGTTCTTTTTATAATTATTATAGTAATTAAAAACAGTTATTTATAATGAAGTGAATATATATAAATTAAAAATGACGGCCCTGAATATGTTAATGAGAAAACATGTTTTTTTAGGTCAACAATGTGTTGATTTAATCATCACGGATCTAGCTGTTTTTGAAGTTAATCATGAAGAAGGTTTACGATTAATTGAATTAGCTCCTAACATTGATATCAGTGAAGTAGTTAGTTCAACCGGCTGTGAATTTTCTGTGGCTGATGATCTTAAAGTAATGGAACAAATTTCGTTGGATGATGAAAGTTGAATTTTATAAGGTGATCATTTGTTATTTTATTTTTTTGAATAAAACTTTTTTATTTTATATATCATTTGTTATTGAAAAATAAACAATAAAATTGTTATCTTTTTTAAATTTATTCTTTAATTTTTTTTAGTAAAAAACAGATAATAAATACAATATTGATGATTAATAATAACATTAATAATATAATATAAGAGATTTATATTTGTAAATTTCATGTGCAATAAAAAATATTATTTTGTACAGACTTTATAAAATAATGAAAATTATTATTCACGAAATTTAGCCTTAACTTTTGCGGGAAGTGGAAGAAGATAAAGAATACTGTTTAAAATTACGAGACCAAGAGCGAAAGCTAAAGAGATAAGCAAATTTAAATCAACATTTAATACTTGCGATATATTTTCCCCTTCACGAGTAAATCTTTCAACTAAATAAGAACGACCGTCAGGATATCTACAAAGTCCAGGAATTCCTGGACATGAAAGGCTCTCATTGTATGGTAAGTTTGAGAATGTTGGCATATCAATGGTTAATTGATTGATAGCTAAAGATGAATATCTTATCGGTAATGCTGTTGAAACAGCTGCTAACCAAGTTGGTAGATTTCGTAAACTTCGAACTCCACCAGAAGCAAGGACCAGAGAAACCAACGTTAAATACAATACAGCAATTGCACCAGTGAGAGGTCGTTGGATTACCATAAAAAATGCAATCGTTATTTGTTCTGCAGCTACGTAACTCGCCCAAAGAACTCCTGAAGTGTAAGCCCATGAAATAGCATCTAGCTCTAAAATAGGCACTAGAATTCCAACGGTTATGGCTGTGGAAATAAAACTCAAAGGAAGACTTAAAAGTGTATACGATGTTAAAAACATTGCTCCACCATATAATCCTTCTCTTTTTTCCTGATAATATCTTGCACGAAAACCTGGAACTAAAATTCATATGTCATTATTTGAATATTTCTTCTTATCTATCTAATTAAGAATAATAATTAATAAATTCTCACGTACACAATAAAGTTGTTGTGGCAATTCCAGCGATATAAAACAATGTTAAACAATTGAAAACAAGGCCTCCTGTTTGTAAAAATATTCTCGATTGCACAGGACTTGAATGTGAATACAAAATACTTAACAATGCCAAACAAAATGGCAATAATAAAATACGAGCCGCAAAATGACCAAGTCCTGATTTATTAAAGGAAAATGTTGCAGTCATGCCTCGCCTTTAAAAAAAAATGTCATATTGAATTTTAATACTGTCAATGATGAATTTCTTTTTCTATTTTTTATTTTGTAACTTACAAATATAAAGCTAATAGTGTTGAAAAACATCCGGGTTTAATACCACGACCTAAACCTTTATGTAAATATCCTACAGGTGTTTCTTTAACGCTAGAAGGACCTTGAGGTGCTTCTTTCATATATAACCCACCTTCAATTTTAAATTTTTCAACAAGATTTGATATTTGTTGGTTTGACTCCAAAAATCGTTCTCTAGATCGTCGATCAACTGTCGAAAGGCACACTAGAAAGATAAAAAAACAAATTAATTAAAAAAATATTATAATTTTAAAAATACTTAATTTCAATCTCGTAAACTTACAGTAATACATTAAAGGATTCTCCAATTCAGGACAAGGAAATCCAATATAAGTGAAGTAATCTAACATACTTCTAGTTGGTCCTGAATAAACAACTGCTCCAAGACATAGAAGTGTTACTCTGCTGACAAAAGGCAATACATCAGATCTTGGTGTTTCCATCGTTAATACAACAATAGATCCACGTCGTGTAGCATAAGACCAAAGCATTGAAACAATTAAATAAGTATTCAAAGGATCTGTATCCCAAGTGGGTTCATCAAGAAGTAAAAGCATTGGATCTTTTGCCAACTGAACTCCCAACATCAATCGCCGATATTCTGGTTTCGTTAAATCATTGACTGATCTATTAGCTACTTGAGATAAAGCTAAATCTGCAAGAGTTTGACGTACTCGTAATTCTCGATTATTCAGATTAGCTAACCATGTAGCATAATTCAAGGTTTGTCGAACTGTTAAACTTGGTAATAAATAACATCGGTGAGATACATATCCACCATGACGTCGAAATAATTCATTCGTTAACAGACTTCCTCCTAAAGTTATTCTTCCTCTAGTTTCTCCAACTGCTCTTCCAGCTATAAAAAAAGAATTATTTTAATAAAAATACTTTGATAATAAAAAGATCATTTTTATACCAATGACATCTAGTAGAGCTCGTTTTCCAGATCCTTTAGAACCAAGTACTGCTAATACTTCTCCTCCATGAACTCGTGCAGACACATCTCTTAATACTGCAGTAGGTTCAGACTTTGATATACAACTTCCTCCTTCCAAAAGAACTGACGTAGAATGATAGACATTTGAAACATCTAACGTGCACTCATGTATTGTCATTTTGAAGATTTTATTCTTTTTATTTTATTAGTATTCTGAAAATGTAAACAAAAAGTGTTTATCAATTAAATGCAAATCATTAAATCTCTCCAACTGGTATGTCATAAATATGTAAACAGTAATTAAACAGCATATAATTAAAAAAAAAAAAACACTTAATTTATTATAAATAAAATTAATTTGATAAAAAACAAACTATTTTACCTGAATTTTAGTAGATAATTTTATTTTATAAATTCATATTAAATAATTTCACTGGAGAGTTTTCTAATTAAAAATAGTCTCTGATAATAAAGTTGGAGTAAAACCAATGAAAACTGAAGAGAAGTGAAAAGAGAATTGAAGCGATACAAGCTGATGCCAGTTGTGGCTACGCCACTCAACTCGTATCGGTGGGGAATGGATACCTGTGGATACCTACCTTGAACAGGGAGTTAACTTTTGTGGTGGTTATGCCGAGGTGAATGTCTTCCCTTCTTATTAAAAAGTTTGACGTGTAGTGGGGAACCTTCGAAGGTGCACAGGATCCAGTGAGATCCAAATAGAGAGAAGAACCAAGAGAGAAAAGGAAGACCGATAGAAGGGAGCCATACACGAGTGCTGTTCGTTTGGACGATCCTGCATTGGAATTGTCGACTGTGGTTGTGTTTCCACTAGTATAGAGTTAAAATAAGTTTCATAGTCAAGTTAACTCCGTTTAAATAAACAGAATTTAAAAAATCAGAATAATACATTTTATCATATTTCATTATTAACCAGTGAATTGTGATTTTTATTTGCCTTCTTTCAAGTATTTTCACTTTATATTTTCTCTTCTTTATCTTGATGAATTTTTACGATCATTGGAATTTAGTGGAGAACTTAAATACCCAAAGTTGGACTTATTTATGTTGTTATATTTAAAACAAGTGATCAAAAAATATAAGATGTATTTTAAATTTTGAAATCAAATGTTGATAATATTGTTTTAAGTTTATTCTTTTTATCTATAAACTGACCATACAGCTATGAAATACTGTAGTTATTTTATTTGATGAAACCAGTGTCTACTTTCATTGGTGAGTCACATTTATTTATTCAACTATTTATTTTATTTAAGATATAAAAAATATTTTATAAACAATAGTAAAATAAGTTTTAGAAATTCATTCTGATTAGAAACTAATTAAAAAAATATTTCTACTTAATGAGGTTCTATGATAATAGTAGATCAGTCTAAGAGTGATTTAAATCTTTAAAAATTTTTGGCTTCCACTCAATTAACTTTACTTTTTAATCTCGTGTACCTCAATTAAATTTTAAGTGTCTTTTTTTCCTTAACTGACTTTCTAACTAAATTTGATATTTAAAACTTTCAAAAATTAACATAACTTCAAAATGAAGCCAAGAAGAAATGACGGAAATATTTTATTCGTCCTGGGAAATGATTTTCACTAAGTTGGTCGTGGTTACTTGACGATTTGAAAATTATTCTTATCTAGAAACAGTGACTAGCTCCGTTATACTATTATACAAGTTTATACTAACGTAATTACAGATTTATTAGAGTAGCCATCGTATATACGTACTAATCATGTTACCAAGTAAGCAGCACAGGAAACTCTCGTCCGTTGGCAACAGATTTACCTGATAATAAATCTCTTAAAAACAATTCTTTAAGTATTTAACAATCGTATTGTAGGTTGTGAAATGACTGCAATCGATATCAAGTAGATATCATGTATCGAAAGACGCTCCAAAGTATTTTGATACTGACACTCTTAATATCATTATTATTATTTCATTTGCCATTGAAGCATGCATCTGATTTGAATTTTTATAGGTTGTACTAATTTTAAAATACAAATCACATATCAAGTCATGAATACAATTAATATTATAATTACCTCAAGCAATAATGCTAGGAATTATCATTGAACAACTTTATAAATAATATAACAAGTATTTACAACATTAATTTTGAATATTTAATACATAACCTCTGTTGTTTTTTAATTATCAAGTGAAATTTCATCATTGAATTCAATTACTGTCATCTGACAAGTATTTGTTAATTAGAAAAAAAAAGAGTCTTATTGAATGCAGTTGGAGATACTGGAAGTTGAAAGAAAAATGCGTCTAGAATGTCTAGAGAAACTTATTTCTTAAAGAATTCCACTAAGGTTTCCACGATTTCGCAAAAATAATAAAATATTTATAAATGTACTTATATATATATATAAAAAGATTGAGGTCATCACAACAACGTAAAGCACGTGTTGATGAATTCTTGGGTTTGAATTGAAGCGCTTAAATGCATGGAAACCGGTGCGTGGGATTACTTTATGCGATCGCGTGTGTAAGCTTCTCTATACATCATATTATAAAGAAATTAAATGGTGTTAATGAAATAATGATAAATGTCAATGGAAATAATTAATGAAAATGAAATCTAGAAGTGGAGTAGATTACTACTGTGTTATAACTAATCGTATATAATATGGGAAAAGTCTTATGTTAAAATGCTTTCAATTTTTTTTTTATCAATTAAGTTAGAGAGAAATATTCAGTGATTGTTGATACTTACATAATAATTTTTTAAAATGAAAAATAGATATGAACCAATATGTTTGGATAAAAACTTGAGGTTAATTGAATTCATTCAAACTTGTAGAACCTGAAATTGATTGAGTGTAACATAAAATGAAATTTTTTAAAGCAGGTGCTTGACATTTAATAGTATTATTTAATAGAATTTCATAGGAAACAACATTTTCTAATATAGATTAATGATTGTTAGAAGGAAATTAGTTTAATTAATTCCACAGTTTGTATGTCTTATTTTAATTTATGTAATAAAATAATGATTAATGTATATTGAAAAAATTTTGTAATTTATGATTATAAAAAACCGCATGAATGAATATGAAAATTTTTCATAGCCAACATTATTATGAGACATATGTATTATGCTTATGATATGCTTAGCTTTCTGAGATTCCTCATGCCACCATGTAACGGTTTTAAAGCGGGTATTCACATAATTTCTCTAGAATGTTTCCGGATTTTATTTTACACCTGATAATTGTATTCAAGAAAGTAAGGAAATTTTATTTTCATTTAGAATTATTTTGATTTGATCTAAGTATACTCCATTAAATGTTTTGATGGCTCAAATGATATTTTTCTTATTCATTTTATAGTTAAAACATGCACACATGTTTTTTTTTTTTTTATAATCATTATTTTATTTACCTTGAAATTCTTCGTGTATCCGTTTTCATTTTTTTCTTTCTATTTTACACTGTATTTATGGTATACAGTTGTATTTAGAATGTTTTATTTTCTTTCACTTTACTATCATGACTTTAACATATCCATTAAAAACGAGCAATGAACAGGTGTTGATAAATTTTTAGGCCATCCATAAAGACCCGTTAATGCGAGATACTATAAAAGAATTTGAACATTTATTATTTCTTAAAAGTCAAGTTAGAATAAATAATTTTATTGTTAAACTTACAGGTTTAATGTGTGTGTGTGTGTAGATTTTTGTTAATTTTTTCCATCCTTGCTCTTGCATTCTCTAACAATTATGTATACAGGACTTTACGATCAACTCAAAAGCCGTTCAACAACTTTACTCTCGGTGTAATTTTGCTAGTTAGTTTCCGCGGGTGTGTTTCTCTGCCTTCCTGACATACCGGATAAACGAAAATACTTTTAGTACCATTAATAGAACAGTATTTCATGCTAACAATTTATCAAATTCTTTCCATTAATAATGATAATTATTTTTACATTATTTTAGTGAATATTTTTAATTTTTTTTTTCTTGTTTGTTCTGCAGGCTGTAAAAAAGATGGGCTCAGAAGCTTGGGAGCTTGAAAGAAGGTACTCAGTACCAGGAGCTTTAGATACTCGAGGGCTTGAAGCACCTGCTAGTGAAGACCTTCACGCTTGGTCAATATACAGACAGAATTTAAATTCCGATTTTACTGATTCAGCTCTCGGTTCAGCTGAAAAATCACCACTACCTTATGGTAATTTTCAACTTCGAGATTCAACAGTTCAAAGTATTTTAAGGCATCCAAGATATGGTCCAAAAAGTCCATTAGCAAATAATTCATACACATATTTAAAGTTTGGTTTACCTCGAGTGTTACCACCTTCACGAATTCGAGATGGCTCCAGTGGCTATGATTCAAGTGAAGAAGGTCGACGAGCTTTTAATTATGGAGTTATTCCTCCTCAGTCTGGAGGATCAGCCATGAGATCTGCTAGAAGTGATCCCGACTTTAGGCAAGTGCATGTTGCACCACGAGAGCAAGCACACTCTCAATTAAATGTCCGTGAAAATCCAAGGCTAAGAAGTGTAAGTGAAGCAAATCTTTTACAAGGTTCAAGGCCTAATAGAAGACATAGCATAGCTCCAATGGATCCAGGATATGGTCAATCAGTACTTAATCAAGCTCAAAGTCATTTAGGTCCTGAAAGTTATTCAGGAACTGTTTTACGAAGAGTTTCGTCACTTCAGCATCCTCATCTTCAACTTCGTGGACTGGAATCTCATTCTGATAATCCTCCGCTGCTCCATGGAGTTACACTGGAAGCAGGTGCTTCTGATCTTCTTGCTATCATGGCGACAACCGAAAGTGAAGGAACAGCAATTATTGAAACGATTTCTGGAAGAAGAAAAATTAAAAGAGGAGATATTTTATTAAATGGTAGACCTGTTTCTATGAGCACATTACGGTAAGAGCATTTTTAAAATTAAAAACAATTAAATAATATCTGAATCAAATAAATTTCATCATTATCTTGTATTTAGATCCAAAGTGGCTTATTTACCTTCAGAAATCGGTCTAAGTCCAGGCTTAACAGCTCAACAAATTTTAAGCTTCTATATGTGTCTGAAAGGAGGATCAAGAACGTCTGACATGGAAATAGAGGCAGTATTACAAGAACTTGGTCTAGAAGCTACGAGACATTGTCTTGTAAATTCTTTAACAACATCTGAAGCAAGAAGATTAGCTTTAGCATGTCGACTACTTCAAGATGCTCATATTTTAACTCTAGATAGGCCAACGCATGGACTTGATATTTTCGATGCATTCTTCCTTGTTGAGTATTTGAGGCAATGGGCTGTTCGAGGACAAAGGCTTGTAGTTTTAACTCTTCATCCGCCAACGTATGAAATTCTTACAATGGTATCAAGAGTAACATTGACTTCTGGAGGAAGAATAATGTACTCAGGACTTAGAAGAGAAATGTTACCTTACTTTGCTCTAGCTGAATTTTCTTGTCCTCCTTTCAAAAATCCATCAGATTATTACCGTAAGTATATCCGAATTGCAAAAAAAAAATCATTCATTCAGTTAAATTAATAAATAAATAAACTTTCAGTGGATTTGGTAACATTGGATGATTTATCAGCTGAAGCAATGCTTGAATCATCGCAAAGAATTGAACATCTTGCAGAATTAGCTAAATCACGATTACCTGGATTAAGTGATCCTGGTCCACCTGCAACGCTTCCACCATCTGTATATAATGCCAATATATTTGTTCAAATTTATGCCCTATTGGTTAAGACTTTAGTGTACAGTCAACCTTGGGCGATGACGAGACTTGTTCAAAAAATCGTTGTAGCTGCATCTTTAAGTATTATCCTTGGAGCAATATTTTGGAATGTCGGTGATGATACAAATTTACATTTAAGAGACAGAATAGGATTATATTATTCGAGTTTAGGAATTTTGTTTTGGCCACTTGGATTATTGGGAATTTGTGAAGTGGTTAATGCGAGACCGTATGTTGAAAGTGACATTAAGTATGGTCTTTATAATCGATTCATTTACATTATTATTGAGGTAATGTTCTATCATAGAATCTAAAATTATATTGAAAGTAATTGACATAATTTAATAAAATGTTTACTTATTTCAGCTCCTATGCAGCATACCATCATGGTGTCTTGTGTATGCAGCGTATTTAATTCCAGTATTTGCAATGGCAGGACTTCATGAAGCTCTTGATGATAATTTTACCTCTCTTTGGAATTACATCGCATATGGATTACTTTATGTGATGTTACAACATTTAATATGTGTATTTTTTGCACATGTTTGCAAGTGGAGTGGAGTAGCAGCTCTACTTGCTGGTATAGTGATAGGAGAGATGACTTTGGCGGGTGGAATTACATTGCATCTTAAAAATTTACCAGTCTGGTATCAAAAATTAAGTCCTATGCAATGGACGTTATCTACTCTATTACCGGACATTTATAATTCAGAAACTCTTAATAAAGCAGCCAATTGTAAAGCAAAACAAGTTCAAAGACAAGATATTATTGTTCAAGCTCCTTGCGAGCCTCCCGATGGAATTTCTGCTTTAAAAGAAGTTGCTCTTGATACTCTTAATGAAGATACGAGTATACAATTAGCAATAGGTATTGGTATTGCTTTAGGATTGATCCTGATAGCCTTTTTATTAATTCGTTATACAGCTCAAAAGCGACCCAGAAGTGCTCCTAATAAACCTTGAAAAATCAAATTTAATGATTGACTATTAAATAAATACTGCAAATTAAAATAATAATTAGAAAAAGAATGTTTAAAATATCGATTACTAATGTTATTAAAATTTATAAAAAATATAATTAATAATTATTTAAGAAAATTTATATGAATAATTTTTAATTATATTATTAACTATTTGTAAGATAAAGTTTTTTTTAGTTTGTAAGAAAAAAATCGTGTGCCACTTTAGCCATATTATTTTTGCACGATACAGTTCAGATTCATTAAAAAAAATTATCATTTTATCATACGCTGTAATTCGTCTACCTCACTGCGTTTTTTTGAAATTAATTTAAAAACTCGCAAGATAGACGTTTTGAATAAATATTAAAAATACGTTATTTTATAAACTATCTATAATAAATATAGCTATAAATACTGTAAAACAATAACTTTTATTTCATTTATTATTATTATTTTTTTTTAATTCTAATTATCAACTAGATAAAATCATTCATTTAACTGTTTTTTGTAATCATCAGGCTCAAAGAATGGATTTCGATATTGTTGATCTAATACTTCTTGAGTAGATCGCTTTTGTATTAGAACATGATCAATATGTTCAATTTGTCTTGGTGGTAAAAACAAACCCACGACATATCTACTTTCTGCATTTAAAAAGTTAAAAGTGTGACAGGCTTTTTCCACTGGTAATATTTCATAACTCATACCCATCTTTTTGACTACTTTTTGAAAATTCACAATAAAAGGTTCATGACGGGGATATTCCCTATCTAAACCTAATACTAAAATATCTGGTCTTGGCTCCAAGATTTTGAATAATACAAGAGAATCTTCATTAATATCATTTGGAGTTCTTAAATTCCATCCAAGTACAGTTTTTGGAAAAAGTATCATTGGCCCAACTATTTTAACTCCAATATTTAATGAGAATCCTAACTAGAAAAATTAATGAAAAGTTTAATCCATTTGAAATTGAACTAAGAAATAAACTAAATTTTTATCATCAAAATTTTAGGACTCACAACACTGAGAGAGTCGACCATTAACCCATAATTCCAATCTTTGTTTAATATTGTTACAGTTGTTTTTCCATCACCATCATAAGCACCTTTATGAGATGTAAACCGAAGTGAACATCGTTTTCTGAAAAAAAGCATACAATTAAATCATTAATTGTTGATCACCTGAAAGTGTTGATGCCAATTATCTATCATAATTACTTAAATAAATTCAATGCACATGACCGTAAGTGTCCATGATGCAAGCTAAACATTTTTTATAAATATGACTCGAGCTAATTTTTTTATTATTTTAAATCATGTCTCTGCAAGTTACTTATAACCTATTGTGCTGAACGAGAGATTCAACGTTGAGATGTTCAACAAAGTCGTATAAATGTATTGACATACAAAAATTTTAGAATTTATTTAAATCATGAAACATGTACTAATAATTGTTATATTCCTTAGAATTAATTACAATTAATAATTCATACAATAATTAATTTATTTTTGCAAAAAAACATCGCACACGATTCAACACGTTGGATACATTTGTCATGAATAACAATGAAATACCACTTTACCGACTGTGTCCGACCCGAAGATGGTAGTTTACTAAATTTTCTCAGATGGCGACACTCGATAATTTTACATCCGGAAAAGTCCGCGCATTTCTTTTGAATAGATCGCTTCCATTGTTATGTACATCACATATTTGGTTTTCTCAGTTTATTATCGTTGCTTCAACCTTACACTCTGTCTTACATTTAGGTTGCTGTTTAACTTTAGAACAACAATTCAATTTTATATAATCATTTATGTGATTCAATTGTTTCTAATTATTGGGTATAAACAATATATTAAAATGGTCAAATTTATTGCAACAATAAAAGCCATTATAACGCGTATAGTGTTTGCAGCGCATGGTTTTATTGCTGTATGGCAAGTGACAACATTTAAAAAAAATCCGTTTTACTGGTATTTAAGTACTCCAATAGTATTATTGTTTTTCGAAGGAATTTTTACTGTTACAATTAAAGCTAATCAAGAATGGAAATGGTAAGCAATTCTTTTGGAGTATTTACAATGTTGTTATTAACACAATCATTCATGTAAATGTATTTTAATTTAAACAAAAGACATAAAAAATATAAAAGCCAATATTTATAATACTACACATTTTTGATAGACACACGGAAATTGAGTATTGAAGACCTAATCAAAGAGATCAATAAAATATTTACCGTGTCATTTCCGAAAGAATAAGAAAAAAATATGTCACTGTCTATTATTGAGTGTATATTGTATGATTGTTTTTCAGGTTTTGTCCTTCTGTATTCTTGTATCTCACCAGTGTTGTTCCAGCTATTTGGCTCCTGGAATTAGATAAATTAGATCAACGAATGCTCACAAATATAAATATCTCAGAAACTCTTGATCTAACCAATTTAGCAGCTAAAGATTTAAAACATTTGGAAAAGGTTTTTGGGGTAAGAAAGTAAATTAAAATTATTATAAAAATATATAAAATCGATGATGACTTTGATTTTGCAGGTTAATTTAAGATTACCAGAAATTCAAATATCAACAGAAACATGGGTAACTTTGATAGAACAATTTTTAATGCTTGTTTTAATTATTGGACGATGGATGTTACCAAAAGGAGATTTAACTCGGGACCAATTAAGTCAACTTTTACTTGTTTACATTGGAACAGCTGCTGATATTATAGAATTTTTTGATTCATTTAAAGAAGATAAAATAGCACGAGAATTACTTTTAGTCTATTTGACTTTAGGAATCTGGTCATGGTCATTAATGCAATTTACTGTAGTTCTTACGGCAACAAAATCAAGAAAAGCTCGATTGTCTTCTGGAACTACAGTCAAAAGAAAAGTACCTACGGAGACTAGTTGTTGTAGTATTGATGTTTGGGCTATAACTCTTAATATGATTCTTCAAGATGCTCCATTCCTTGCTTTTCGTTTACTTATCATTATTCATTATCGAATTGTCAGTTATATGAATATATTCTTTACCTGCAAAAATACCTTGGTTATTCTTTTGCAACTCTATCGACTCTACGTTGTTGAAAGTGAAAATAGAATTAAAAAAAGAAACAAGTGGAAAAGTGAAAAGTATGAAATTCCAAGCATCAGTATTGTTGCTAGAGATGATATGTATGGATACAAAAATTCTCGAAGAAAACGAAAGCGAAATGCTAACGAGAATCAATCTGATAGTGATGATTACTTTTCTGATGATAATCATATTTATCACAATAGTCATAAAAAAAATAAAAGGTTGGTATATTAAAAAGTATCTTCAACATATAATTATTTAATATTTTAAAAATAATCATTTACTATTATTTTTATTTAGGTATGCATCAAAGAATAAATATCAAACTGAAAACATAAACAGTGCATCAACATATCGACATAAAATGATTGATAATGGAGAATCATGTACGGAAGATAGAGATGAAAAAATGAGAGCATGCGTTGATAAAAAGAAATCAAAAAAAGTCAGAGATATTGAAGAGGATAGAAAAATTGCAAAGAGAAAGGAAAAAGTTATAAAACTTGAACGTGGAAATAAAGCAATGAACAAATCGTCTACTGAAGATTCAGATGAGTTTAGTGAAAATAATAATCAAAGTAATGAAATATCTGAAATAGATTCAGAGCAACAAATAAGGTAATTATTTTATCAAAAACTTTATAGTTTATCATTGATTATCAAAATCAAATTTATCAAAGAATAATCACGAATGAATATATTTTTAGATATCAACGTCGTAAAAATCATCATAGAAAATGACAAAAAATATACATATAGAAAATTCATCTGTTTTCGTAAGTTTTTATTAATTTAATTGTTTTAATTTTAATATCACTATCATATATATCTAAATTATATAATGATATACATTTTTCTGATTGAAAATCAACTAAATTATGATAAGAAATAATTAACGAGTATTTAATAAACAAAAATAAATTTTATGATATAAAATAATTCATGAGCAAAGGCAAAAATAAATAATGAAGAATTAAGAATTTAACCAATTCATACATTGATTTGAATCTAAATTATTGAGATACTCTACCAGATCATCTTGATGTACTCCAACTGCTGTACAATAAAGTATTGCTGTGTCTTGAATTAATTCTTGAAGCCAATTTTTATTTTCATTATTTTCATTACCAATTAATTGAGGATTGTAGTATTTATTTGCTTTATCATTCTCAACTTCTTGATTGCTATCATGAATAGATTTTTGTTCAGATAAACTGTGATTTTCTTTATTAGAATCAAATTTCATGTCACTCAAGTGGGTTAATTTTTTGTTGACAGTGTAGTCTTTTTTTTCATAACTTGTAGATGTAGAAGATAATGAAGGATATTTTATTTGTTCTAGTTTATTAATCGATGTTGAAATATTGTTATCTTTTTTCAGATTTGGATCAAGAGTTTTGAGTAAAATTAATGTATTTTTAGGGTTACGACGCTCTAAAACTTGCTGAAGTTTGGCATGATTTTGAATGCACTTCAAGTTTAATGGATTCTTCATTTGTCCTTTCCATTGATTGTGTGAGTTTCTAACATTCAATGACTGCGAGTAATTTGGTGAATTTAATTCAGATGACATAAAGGAGTTTGTAGTGTTTGTAGAATTTCTTGAAGTTAGTGTGTGGTCACTTTCAGAATTTTTCTTTTTTATATTATCAAAAAATTTCTGATAATAAGGTGCTACTATCTGTGCTGAATAAGCCAATACAGCATGAAAACTGTCATGCATACAATTTTCAAAAGAATCTTCCATCTTTCTTTTCGACTTTTCACGATGATTTTGTTTTTTAACTAAATAGGAATGATCTACCTTCTTCTCCATTTCCAAAAGAGATTGTGATATTTCCTTATAAATAAGTCCATCTATGCTGACAAATTTGTGTCCAAAAAATTCTGTTGCTAAACCAACCTAATAATGATTTAAAACAACTTTAATAACAAACCCTTTTTCTAGAAGAGATGTAATGTAAAATGAAAAAATCAATAAAATTTTATTACCTGGGGATGAAAAATTGGTCTCTCATGCATTCCATGAACTGGCCATTCTCTCCACTGTATTTCATCATTGATATTCGGTGCATGATATGTAGCTCCAATATTATACATTTTTTTAGTCACTGATCTTGTATTCATATATGGCACATTAGTTAATTTTATTTTCTTATTAAAAACATCATGATAATTTTTTTTTCCTGACGTCAAGAGTTTAAATCGATTAAAATTATTACTTTGTTTCCTCTTGCTTTCTCTCGTAACATTTCTATTCATTTTTGTTGATCAACAAAATAATTCTAAGGAAATATCTGACTATTGTCTGTAACAATTGACGATCGTGCGTCACTTTTTATTACATTTGAAGATGGCAGCACTTTTGAAATATGCAAAATGAATTACTCTAATAAATTTATTGATAAAATTATAACAAAATTATGATGAAAATATATATGAATAAATAAATAGATATATTAATACTGTGAAAAATTTTTATTCATATTTGTTTTTTTTTTTTATTAAAATTGTGTAATCGAAATAAAATTCTACTTACATTAACTATAATATTAAACGCCTTTTTACAGGTACACAAATACGACATTGTTATCATTCGTATTGCACATTTTATCTAAATTATTAATATTTATATCTTTATATATATATATATATATATATAGATTTATTCCATTATTCATATTAAAAATGAATTTATCGGCACTCTTTATCAATATATATTATTTACAACAAGAATATTAATGAAACATAATATATATTTATTGTTGTCAGTGAATTTTGGATTTAATTGAGATTATCAGCAGTTAAAGTGAGTGTAGTAAGTGACGATCGTCGGTTTGGATTTACACCCAGATTTTCCCAGTTTATCCAAGCAAGTCGTGCCATTAAATCTTAAAAAAGAATTATTTTTACTGATGGTAAGGTTATCATAATAATTTTATTTTTTATTTAATAAATATTTATATTTACCACTGGTATTCCATTCTGCTCTTTCACTACTCATTTCACCTCGGAGGCACATTTCAATGTACGTTAGAGGATCAACATTTTTGACTTTAAGTACTTCTGTTAGTAATGCAATATATGCTATTGCCAGTCGTAGTGTATCAATTTTTGACAACCTTTTTTCGTAGGGAAATGTTGGCACGTGGCCTCTAAGTGCATCGAAAGCCGAGTTTATGCTGCTAAAAATTGCAATTGGACTTCGAATCATATTTTTAAATTATTCCAAAATTATCATTAAGATGATGATGATGATGATGATCTTTTTGGTAATGTTTATTCAAAAAATCTAATTTTTACCTTAGCATTCTTCGACGTTCTCGGATGTTTGCTGCATTCCTTTGGATTCTGTAAGGACTTCCGTTGGGATAATATCCTTCCTCAAATCCATTGATCTCGTTCTCATTGTGATCTATGATTTAACAGGTAAATTAGTGTGAATGATCAAAGTGTTTGGTGTTTGATAGAAATTTAATTTAAATTATAAAGAATACGAACCTTGGGTAGAAATTGGCATGTGATATTGCAATGGTGAATGTGAATGAGTATGAGGAGAAGTGTGAGTAGTCACGTGCTGTGTTGATCTGCCAGCATAGGCACAAGATGGTAAATCAGTAAGATCTTCCTCACTCATGTCACTTCCTCCTCCCATATAAAATCGTGTGCTAAAAATATTTTGATGTGTTTATTTATATTTAATTATTAATTAAAAATAACTTGATGTGAAAAATAGCAAAAAAAGGTGTCATTTTGTTAAGTGAAAAATTTGAATCATTTTTTAGGAGCAGCAATTTAATAGCAAGTGAAGTAATACCTTGGACCCAATGTATCGGGTTTAGTAGCAGAAGGATTGATTCGATGTCTTGAAGAAATTCGATGTCCTCGTTCTTCATAATTATAGACAAGATTGGACGCCATTTCCAACAAAAATTCACACGTTTTTCGAAAGCAAAATTAATCAGCACTTATTCAAACATCCATGATAACACCAATAACCGTTGATGAAATTAATGTTTAAAAATTCCTTCCAATGGAGATATTTGTAATGAATAATTATACAAAATAGTTGACTCGAGAATAGGTGGATAAATGAAGAAGATATAACACAAAGATCAAGTTGAGATCTAGCATTGGACTATCAGCTTCGTCCCAGGGGGTTTCTCTTTATATACGTCCACGAGCTTGCAGATCAGAGGGGACTCTGTGAATCGATACCAACCCCTGGGCGGAGCAAATCAACCAATGAGCTTGCAGCATAGATATAATTATTATCAACTAACATAGAGATTGGTCAGAGTTTAATAGCGCAATTTACTTTGACTGTTAAGCTGACGTGGGGAGAGGAAGGAAAAAAGAGAGAGAGAACTTCTGTGGTTTATCGTTACTGCCAACAAAATCATTTTATTTACTCAAGTGTGTAATGTGCGGACATATACAGACAAAAGTATAAAAACCAACTGGAATAAATGAAAGAGAAAGAAGAAAAATAGCTGGAAGCCATAGCAGTTTTAATGTCGAAAGAAGAATCGTTTCACTTGTCGGGTTATTTTTGGTACCAACTACTCATTCTCGGTTTCATACTATTTTATTTTTATTCAAACCATCCAAATTATTTCGACATTTTTATATTTATTACTTTCAATTTAATTAATATTTGTCATTAATTATTCACACTATATGGGAAAAATTTCATAAGAATTTTTATTACTCAATTTGGAGTACAATTTACTTGACAAAAAAATTAAAAATTACTAGTTTTGTTTAGTAAAAATATTTTTAAAAAACTTACTTTAGAAAAAAGTGCTATTTTAGTGAATAAAAATGGTAAAAAGTCTTATGTTGGTTTGTAAAAATTTATTAAAAAACATTTATAAATTCAGAAATTCATTTTCTATTCAATATCAGTAGAAGGATATAAGTATTTTTAATAGATACATTAAATAGAAAATAAATTTCTGAATCTATAAATTTTTACGAACCAACATAAGACTTTTTATTTATTTTTGGTAATTTTTAAGAACCAAAATAGTACTTTTTCCTAAGTTTTTTCAGGTATTTTTACTTAAAAAAAAAATTAGTAATTTTTTTGGCTAGTAAATTTTACTCTAAATTGACTAATAAAAATTTCTATAAAATTTTTTTCTTGTAGACAAATAAAATTTTTTTTTTCTTTTAAAAAAATTCTTTTCATTAAAACAAATTAATAAATATTGATTTATTTAAAATTAAACTGCTATATTTATTGAATATCAATGAACTGTGGTGAATGCAATAATTTTAAAAGCATCCCTAGATGTGATTATTCAACCAAAACATTTTTTTTGTCAATAAAATAATTTCTGTTGAATAATACTAGAGATTGTGGTAGAAGTGATATAAATACATGATAACGATTGATAAAAAATAATAATAATAATAATAATAATAAGTATTGAATAGTAATGGTTCCTTGGATAAAATGAGAATGTTCTAGATAGGTAGATGTAAAATTAAATCGATATGACAGCCTGAGAAATGGAAAAGAAAAGATCGATTAAATGGAGGATGCAAATATTAGCCTTCCCATCATTTTCAATAGCATCGAATTATTTAAATGAGCTGTGTTTTCGCGATACACAATACTCTACACCAGGCGCAATTATATAAGGTGTTAATGCGACCACAATAGTTTTGGTGTAGGGTTGTAGGTACAAGCTAGGGGGTTCGTTTTGTCGAGACATACGATGCCAGGCGCCGGGGATATAAGTCGTTCAAACTTGTTTTCAACTTCCCTCAACACCTAACTCTCTTTTGACTATCATTCGTATTCCTCTCATCATTATCATTATTATTTTAATCATTCTCGCAATAATCATTTCTAATTAAAAATAATACATACATATTTTTTCGACAAAGAGTTGAAAAATGGGTCTAAATGCACTCCCATTCATTAAAATCTATAATTTTCTCATCTTTTGATTGTTTAGTTTATAACAAATTCCTATTATTATTAACAATATACAATTTTTTAATTACCTAAAATTACTTATAACAATATTTTATTGATATTTATCAAATATAATCATAGTAATAATGATTCAATAAATTAAAATCATTTTTAATTGTTTATAATAATTTTAAATTTTTATAAAAAATATGTAATTGTTGAGAGTTATATGAAATTGTTAATAACAATATTGTACTGATATTGAGCTCAGTATGCATTAATATTAACTACTCAATTAGTAGAATTTATTTCAAATGTTTCTTCTAATCAACTTATTTTACAGTCTTTTTGTTATAAATAAAAAACGACTTGACCGAATTTGTTTAAACTTATTTTCAAATTTTCTTCATTGTATTATCTTTCAAATAAAATTAGTCTGGAATTGATATCTTTAGTGGTTTTCGAGATATAAAAAAAGAAAAAAAACCAGGCATACGTACGTACATACATAAGCGCGGACAATTGTATGTACGTACGTACATTTATTTTTAAACCTCCTAATATGCTTTTAAATGTCTCAAAACATAAAAAAATGAAAAAACTACGAATTTGTATGAATCAACCCCATCACAATAATTATCTCATGAAAAATTAAAAATCGAAAATTATTTGTTTATTATTAATTAGATAAATTTTTGGAATTATTTATCTTTCGTAAATTTATCGTGTATTTGATTAATGTTAAAAGTGTATCGGAAAGTTTTCAAGTGTCTATACATATATCTATTAACCACAACTGTTCTCAAGAGTATGGTATTGTCGTTGACATAAACGATTATTTATCTCAATTTGTTACGTATGTTGGGGAGTTGAGATTTACAGAAGTGGAAATAAACTCTGAGAAAATTTTGTACTTCTCTTTCTTTCTAATTATTATTAATCATTATATACATTTTTTTTTTTATCAACACAAAAATACAATATTTACTCTGTAAATCGTAGTGTTTTATTTCAATGCACTAAAAATGTATCAATATAACTCTCACGCATTTTATTAACGTCGTGGTCACTTTTTAATAAATAAATATATTAGAAAAAAAATTATTTAAATTTTTAATAAGCTTAAGTAATAATATAAAGAAAAATGTCAGATTATGGATCACTTTTTTTTTTATAAATCATTATTATTTAATAATAATAAAATATATAAATCATTATTTATTTAATAAATCATATTTTACTCAATTGAATCATCAGTAATATCAGTTTTGATATTATTTTGTTAATTATTAACAATAATATAAATAATAATCTAGGATAAAATATCATCTAAAAAATGACTCCAAAATGATAATTATTAAGAACAATTGAATGTTACTGAATTCCATTAAATATTAGTCAGATTTCTGTACAAACATTTAATTCACAATGATTACATACCAGTCGTCCACCTCTTTTTTGCAACACACAGAAACCCCCCCTGTCAGCACCAACGACAGGGGAACATATCCAGTGAGCCCTATAATAGAGATTTCACGCCGCGGGCCCTCGTCGGCCCGGTTCTCACAGTAGGGGTTTCCTATTGAGGGATAAAAATTGTCCATAATACTTGTGATCTAAATTCAATCAATCGAGACAAAAATTTCACCAGTCATTTCAATGAGTACCTTGACGCGTGCCTTTAAGTATCTGTTTATAGTCTATGGGGATCAATTTATTTGCTAAATTATTTATTGGTCAAATATGCTTACTAAATAATACAAGTGATTGGACATGGTTTACCAAAATCTGTTTGGATGTCGAATTTATCTTGTTGAGAAAAATAAACAGTGTGATATAAACTACTTGATGATGTTTCATTATCTCAGCAATCAAAATCAATTATATTTTTTGTAAAAAAAAAAAAAAAATATTTTATGAAAATTAATAATAAATTTTTTTTTTTTTTTATAAATTCATAAATAAATAAATAAATAAAAGTAGCTTACATTAAGTTGGTTTGTTATCAAATTTTTATAAACTAATAATAGAATTTAATGCACTTTAAAGTGTGTAAAAAGTGACTATACAATTCAATGGCTTGTATACAGAAATTCAAAATTGGATGCACTTAAAGTGCATTTGAAATCAATTAACAGTGCATTGAGCCTTAGTTTTGATAATTATTTTAACGACAGGGAGATAAAAGAATTTAGGTAAAAAAAATGACAATAAGTTATTTCTTACTTATGATATATTATATTTTTTTTAGTATAACAATTTTATTTGTTATTCGTTTTTGTAATAATTTTTATTTATACTCTCTGAAAGAAAACAGTGAAAATCACTGCAGAACAGTGTAAATTAACTAATTTGCACTGATAAAACCATTACTATTTAAATTACTCTAACTATTACCAATTATTGTAATTGATCTTAATTAAAAAATCATTCAATGCTATTATTTTATTCAAAGCGACAGTCAGCTTTGATATATTAAAGGAAAAATTTACAATTCCTTTTATAATTATTCCAATTTATTTTTACTATTCATTTTTTTTCTCGTCTTTCATTATTGCATGCAATCCATTTATTTAAATATTTATGGATATGACACTTTTTCTTGCATTCTTAATTATCTCTGTATGATTCTGTTAATAATTACTAACTCTTGGGTTTGTTTATAATAATAAAAAAAAATAATTTAAATATGACCCGGAAGGTCCTGACGATTTGATAAAATCAGAAGGAGATATTTAATTTTTATCATTCAAAATGAATTTCAAGAAGTTGAAGATGAATTATTTAAGCTCTAAAGAGGTTTACGATTTCCAGATCATTAATAAGTCTGACACGAGTAACAGTAAATTATTTGTTAAACGAAGCGACACTAAATTCTGGCCAATTTCAAGGCACATGAAGAATAGAGAACATTTTGGGGTCCCCTAGTTTGCTTTTTGGCACTTGGATCATCAGCAGATAGATCGGTAGGTAGCCTGGCAATGCTTCTATATTACTATATACATATAGGTCCCTAAGAAGTCGTCTAGTAACGTGGTTCAACTCACGTGACGGAACGTGTGCACCATTGTATATCTCGTTGGTCGTAAGAAGGGCGGATCGAGACCAATTGAACGTGCAATGACACGTGTACCAAATAGGCTTGGTGGTCGCTATTCTCTGTTTGTACTTTACATATGTGGCTTTATACTTGATCAGACATATTTTTTTCTCGTTTAATCGAAGATTTTACTGTTATATCTTTTTCTCTTATTCCTCGTCTCTCTCTTTTTCAAGTACATCAGGACCAAGTTTTAACAGTTAAGTGTGCTACACTGATAAAAAATTTATTTAAATTTTACTGGAACCTTCCAGTGATGCAAAGTCATATGCGTATGTGTGATAACATTTACTGGAGAATCCAGTAAAAATTTTTCGGTAAATATTTTACTGGATTATTACATAAATTTTTGCTGTGTTCTCCAGTTTATTTTATTGTATTTCTTCGTTAAAATTCAGTGCATCTCTCAGTAAATTTTACTGTATTCTTCACTGAATTTTACTAAGGTTCAAAAAATTTAATAAATAGTACAATACATTTTTACATGAATTCAGAAGAATCATATTCATTCACGGAGAAAAAGGAATTGTTTTTAAATATAATATTTAATAATATTATTATTATTTAATTACATTTTCTTAAAGAATACATAAAAGAACACGGAGAAAAAGGAATTGTAAATTTTACTTCAATAAATAGTAGGCTATCGCTTCGGGTAGAAAAATGGTAATATGCAATTGTTTAATTAGTATACATTACAATTTTTTCTTGTAAAAGTTTTATTATGAATCAAAATTGTGAACTATACAAGGATAAATCTAAAATATTACAATTTGAGTGTGTAATAAAATTTTTACAAGAAAAAATTGTAATGTATACACGCAGAGAAATGTATAGTAAAAATTACCCTGAATTTTATAGTAATTTGGTGACACTACAGGGTGAGGGTAAAAATTACTATACACATTGTAAAAATTGCTGTGCACATTTTAAAAATTACCATATTGCATAGTAATTTTTACCCTAATTTTACCCCAAAAAATTACTATGCAGGATGGTAATTTTTAGAATATGCACAGCAATTTTTACCCTCACCTTGCAGTGTCACCAAATTACTATAAAATTCAGGGTAATTTTTACTATACATTTCTCTGCGTGTACTAATTAAACAATTGCTTATTACCATTTTTCTACTCGAAGCGACAGACTACTATTTATTGAAGTAAAATTTACAATTCCTTCTTCTCCGTGTTCTTTTATTTATTCTTTAAGAAAATGTAATTAAATAATAATAATAATATTATTATTAAATATTATATTTAAAAATTTACATTTATAAAATTGAATAAATAATACAATACATTTTTACATGAATTCAGAAGAATCATATTCATTCTTTTATTTATTTTTTAAGACAATATTATTAAATATTATATTTAAAAATGTACATTTATAAAATTTACTGATTAATACAGCTTCAATCCAAATTGATTAAACATTTTTTTTTCTCCATCAAATCTAAGATAAATTATCTTCAACATTTTCAATTATTAGGATTAATTATTTTTTGTCATGTAAGAAATTCCATTAATCTGATTTAAAATTAGTCATTTAGAGAAAATTAGGCATCATAATATCCACAGTACATTTTGTCATTCGTAACGATGACAATATAAACATACGTGTTAGCAGAATTAATGATATGGTGTAGTAACTAGTTAGTTACACGTCAGTTGATTTTCCCATGACTGAAATCAGACCGAAGGACTCTTTGTACTTTGACCTTTGGTGAAGGGTAATTCTTCCAAATGTGCGGGTATAGTTCAAGTGATGTCAAAAAAGAGAAACTCTTCAACATGTCTGATTGTGGCTTTTTTAGAAACTCATTCAGATATGCTGATATCAAATATCACTTGAAGGAAATATCATAAACAATAGTCCTGTTGAGATTTGTTTTTGATTAAAATATTATCATCAATGGACCACATTAATGCAGAATTATCAAATATATCTCAACAATTATTATCAACATGAAAAATTTAATACTTAAAAAATCATTCTGTATAATAAGAAATTGATGATTTAATTTTGGTCTGCTCATAATTAAGTTTATTTCCCTTGTTTTTTTTATTATACTTTTTATGCATTACTTACCATTATATTAATGCAAATTTAAGTGTGTTATTTTTGTAGACACTTTATACACGCTAAGCATTCTTAATTTTAACAACTGTAGATTTTTTACACACTATGAAACGTGTAAAAAGTGTCTTCGAATCATGGAATCTTAGGATTTGCAGATGAGAACACTGTAAATTGAAGTGTTTTATTTTAAAACATTAAAAGTGCTTTAATATGACGTCACCCATTTGATTAACATTGTCTCGATGTTAAAACGTTTTTAAGTGTTTTAAAAATAAAACACTAAAATTTACTTTTGCGAATTCATATGTTTTTTCAGTAATTAAATAAATATTAAATAAAATCAATAGACTTTAAATAAATAATCATTAGAAATAAAAAATCTCAAATACTGTGGTATGTTCAAAGTGTGAACAAGTTTACACCTACATGCGTATAACAGTCAATCATGTAAAATGATATAAATGAATAATAACAACAAAGATAAATAAATGAAAAACAAAAAAAAAAAAAAGTTAAATAATAAAATGAAGATGATAGATGAATAGGTATAAATTTAATAGTCTGCACAGGTATATTTGGTTTATGCTACTTGTACAAACGTTATTATATATCAAAGGAGATAGATATTTGTGAAATACAGAATAGTCTCTGCCATTGTCGACTCTTTATGGTGGAGTGTGCTCGTGACGTGAATTATTAGCCCTCAAGTACACACACAGTACCACGACTACAAGGGGTGTGACGGGCGTGGTTTGTGAAACTCACAGTTCGTATGAGGGTGGCAACAGGCGTGGCACTTCCGGTCTACCAAGGCTTCTAGTCTTTAGTAAACTAAGACAAGGCTCTTTTTATTTATCAATTAAAACACCATTAAACACTTGATTACATCAATTACTAACATTTTTATTATTTATTATTTTTTATTCAAACTTATTTTATCAAATTATATTTTTAAGTGCATGAGTTGAAAAAAAAGTGTGCAGTAATCTTTAAGAAATATATCTCTAAAATAATTTTCAGTCTTTGAATTAATTGATAAATATTTTATAAAAAAGTGTTTAAATATAATTACTTTTAATTTGTAATTTTTTTTCCTTCAAATAAGTATATGAGAGAGGGTTTTAGTTGTTTTTTTTCCTTTATCTCAGGTTTGCGTTTGTACAGTGGTAATGGGCTGTCAAGAACAGACGTTGGCTGTTGTGCCTTATGTACCGACACCATTACACTCGCGATCGCCCTATCAGGTTGGTCCAAACCAGCCCCTCACGATGAGAGGTTACGCCGTTTATCTCTCTCCTTTGCTCGAGAAGAGACACACCGTTACTATAAATGCTTTTGAGTCAATGTGGTAGGATCGATTCAAATGGTCTCTCTACACCACTACTACTAACATTCGCATCTTCCTCCTATACTCTTCTCATCATCCTCATCCTTCTACATGGCTACATCTCATTTGCCCTTACTATATATACAGTGATCAATACTAAGATATTTTCTTCTTTGAGGGTGGAGCCTTTTATTTACCTTCAATTCAATTTCACTTTTTCCTCATTTTCTTTACAAAATTTTACTATAGTATTGTGAATCGTTATTTAAAACATAATAAAAATAATTTTAATATAGCTTCAAATATATTGACGGTATGACTTAAGGGATACAACCTATGTATGGTCAGACATGTTACACAATAGATTATTCAATAATACTTCAGAAACTATTGTCATATTTTGCCACTTGAATTAATTTTAAAAAATTCTTATAATTGAGTTCATATTGGTCGCAATAAAGAATATTTTAAATAAATAAACATTAATAAATTTTATTTATTTATTAAAAGAATATGTTTACACAGTGAAAGATGTAAACGTGTGTATAAATAAATTGTAATCTTTTTATTTATTTTTTTTTTTTTTTGTCGAAGTAAGAGTCGTTTGTTACATAGTTTTCATATTTTCACTTAATTATTAATTCTTAAAAATTAATTTAATCACAAAACCGTGCATAAAAAAATGAGCTTACGATACATCTGTGGTTCTTTACATAGAAACCTTGAAAAAAAATAGTTTTCTTCTAATTGTCAGAACATGATACTGGAATCACATAAAGCGTATTGGACATAATAAAAGTATTTTTCCGGAATTGGAAAAAATTTTATTGATTCGCGAATATGAATTTTTATTTTAGAATTTTTTATCTATTTTGCCATATTTATTAACCTTCAGCTGTTAAGTTGCTCTTTCAAGGATTTTTTATTTTACCGATTGATCATAGTATACCGGCACGCATATTTTTTTTTATTGTGAAATAAAAAATAAAGTTTTTCCATATTAAACAATACGAATTACCAAATTTATGTTTTATAATAGTAAAATAATACTGAAAATTCAAATTACATGGAATAAAATCTGTAGTATGGATGATAAAAATAAAGAATAAATAACTACATGATTTGAATTACGCGGGGAAATGAACTATTCTGAAATGAAAACAGGAACAAACGTTGTGCTCCATAAATTTTTAAGTGCACACACGTACTTCTATGTTTGATAACGTTTGTATTCATTATGGTGTCCGCAAAAGAAGTTTAACAACTATTTTTCGATCAGTGCTCAATACTTATAAACATAACCGTATAATTCACTATCAAAATAATACCACTAAAAGCAAGTAATTTTTTTTGTGATTCACTTTATCTGTACATCTAATTAAAAATTGATTTAAAGTTAAATTATTTACACATTTGATATTTTGTATATTTATTATTCGTTTCATCTTATTGCAGTATGAACTTGTGTGAAGAATCTGATTCACCTGTGTGTGATACTCTAGATTTAAGTCGTCAAGGATTAAAAAAATTAAGTCGTTGTCCATCGGATGCTGATATCAGCAAGCTGATTCTTGATGATAATGAGTTCCAGCGACTTGACAATCTTGATTCCTACAGTAGAATAACAAAGGTTTTTAGAATAAATGCTTTTACATTTGATTCAGTTTGTTTTTATTTCTTATACAGAGCACAGCAATTTTGATTTAATAAAATTGCTGTAAACAATAAAAAATATAATTTTGTTTCACACACTCAAAAAATATTTATTTGAATATTTTTACATTTTTTTATAGCTTTCTATTGTCAGGAATCAGTTATTACGAATGTATGGAGTATCTAAATTACACAATTTAGTCACGTTGAACCTAGCTAACAATCAAATTTTAACAATAGAAGGTATAAAAGACATGCCTAACTTAACTACCTTGTGTTTAGCTGGAAACAATGTCAAGGTATCTTATTATTAATTACTATCCTTTGACTAATTAATTAATCACTCTTTACTTGACAAATTTTTGATTTTATTACTTGTAGTCAATCGAACATTTGCATACAAATACTAAACTGGAACATTTAGATCTATCTGAGAACAGTATTAGCCACATTTCAGACATTTCGTACTTGAAAAATCTAAAGGCAAGTATTAATAATGTATACTTATATCTTTAAACATAAATTTTTAATATGTTTTTCTTTAATTATATAGGAGCTTTTCTTACACAATAACCGTATAATAACACTCCGACAGTGTGAAAGATATTTACCAACTTCTCTAGAGACTTTAACATTAGCTAATAATAACATTACTGACTTGAATGAAATGTCACATCTTGGAGGATTAACTAATCTTATTAATTTTTCTATTGCTAATAATCCTTGTGTTAGCGCTGCAGGTAATACTATGTATCCTTTTGATGTTGAATATTTTTTCTATTTATATAAACATTTTTAATCATTATCAATTGATCAAATATTTAACTGATTCCTAGTTATGTTTATAATTGCACTGAAAAGTCTGTTTAATATTTTTCATAAAATGTTAGTTATAATTTCTTAACAAATAGCTTGTAGTGGATTTGATTATCGTCCGTTTGTTATTAATTGGTGTATGAATCTTAAATCAATCGATGGTTACGCTGTAGATCCGATTGAGAGGTAAATTATAAAATTTTTTTATGATATTTTTGTAATTAGTATTTATAGCATAGTAAGAAATAGCTAACAATAGTTATTAATATAATATAAATGCTACTTTTTTTTTTATTTAATCAGCTTGAAAGCCGAGTGGCTTTACTCTCAAGGTCGTGGTAGACAGTTTCGTGTAGGTGAACATTCATTACTTGCTCAGTATTTGGCATCAGTATGCCCTTTGTCTGGTGAAAGTCTTGAAAATGAAACTGATAGAAAATTGAGATTAATTTTGAGTAAAGCTCAACATCATCAACAACAATTGAATCAACAGAGTGACTCTAGTAGTATTCACACAATGACTTCATCACCAGCAACAAGACGAAGACTTAATACTAATAGAACCAATTCACCGAGACGTCCAAGTGAGTTAATAATAAAACAATAATATTAACAGAAAAAAAGTAAACAAATTATTTAAAAAATTGCCACATGAAATGATCAATTGAGATAAGAGTGATTACTGCGAGTTAATCGTTTGATTCTCGTTTTTTTAAAAATTTTATTGAGAACGTGAGTTAAATGTAACACTAAGTCCAGTAATCATTACGTTTTCTCTAGTTGCACCAATGTTTGCATTCTACGAAGATAAATATTTACAGTCAACAAAATTTTACGAATCAAAGAACTACATCTGCCAATCACCTTTCAAAGGTTAATCATCACTTTAAAAAATCATTATTTAAAATGTAACATTAAAACAATTTTTAAAACAGATTAACATTAGCAGTTCAAATCCCAATGCTTTTTATAGCTTCTAGAATACATTTAAAGTTTTAACAATAATTATTCATACATACTTTTTATTGTTATTTATTATTACAGCTATAATAATTAATTCAATAAAATAGTCTTTAGTATGCACACACGATAAATCTCATTCATATTAGAAATTTAATTAAGCATCAATCAACTTATAATTTGCACGCTTTCAATGGCAATGTTGAATTATAAATGTTTTTTATATATGTTTTAAACATTCAATCATTCACGTATTAATTATATTATTTAAAAAAATTAATTTAGGTTCATCACGCAATTTAATGCGAATAAGATCTCCAGATCGAATGGTAGCTAGTTGTCATACAGATACTGTGGCATCTTCTTGTCATGGTATTTTAGGTGATTCGCATGAACCGCTTATGACTCAAAGTCTTGATCCTAATATGCTTTGCGGTAGTTTTGCTAATAAAAATAAAGAATCTACATTACATGATGTTGAAGGTAAATATATTTTATTTTTTTGATTAGTAAAAACTTATTTAAATAAAAATAAAGTCATCATGTAATGTTGTATTATTTTAGAAACTTCAAGTCCTTTACAAGCAGCAACAAAACTAGTACCAGTACCAGAATCTCTTATGAGTCCAGATTTTCGACCACCATCAGGATTATCACGAATTCTACCAAAAACTCCACCGAGTCGCCTTAATTCGCCGATTCAAACAACAGTACCATCAAAAATAAATAATGATAATGCAAAAGCTATACCTATTATAAATACAGCTAATCCAATGGCAAAGACTGCTGTAGGTGTACTAAAATCCAACGCAATAATGAAAAGCAGTTCTGCAACAAATTGTACAATTGGAAAATCTAATATTGCTAAACCAACTATTACTAGTACGAATGGGAAATGTTCTCAGGCAGTTAAAATAAATAGTTATAATCAAAGTAAAACACCAACACCAAAAAAATGTTTAAAAAGTTCACCAAATTTACCACGGAGTGCACAAAAAAGTAAAATATCTAACAATAGAATTAAAAGCAATGGCTTACAAAGAAAAAAAGATGAAATGATTTGCAGTAGTGATGAAGATAGTGAAGTTTGTCAGGCAAAGTTGGATAATATTCGTCATACAGCTAATCAAAGACGTCAAGAAGATACAAATAAAATTGAAGACAATGCTGAAAAAGCTGCTATTTGTATCCAAAGAATGTGGCGTGGTTATCATACTCGTAATTTAAATAAAAAAGCAACAAATGTATTGAAAACAATTGAAATGATGAGAACAAATAAATATATTCAGAAATTATCGACTGATATGGAAGCTACTCGGACAGCATTAGAGAGTGAACATAAATTACAGCTTCTACAAATGCAAGCTATTAATGCTCTTTGGAAAAAAGTTGTTAGCCTTCAACCTGGTAATCGTGATATCAATGAATGTGATGGAGCTACAAGTAATACTGATATTGTTACAAATTTAGCTCAAACTTGTAATTTATTGCATACTCAAGTTCAACAACTTCAAGATTCCATGACAGAAATAAAACGATGTATGTCAAACATGCAATCAAAAACAGTTTTAGTTGATAATGCAGTTGCTACACAAACAGAAATATCTGCAGTTCATACACCAGCTGGCGAAGAGAATACTTTTCCTTATGTCAGACCAATTCATCGTCCTCAATCTTTGTCAATTCAACCAACAATTCACGAAAGTAATGAAAACAAAAGTTTCGCTGCTAGCTTTGTAGACAATGTACTGAAGAAAGTATCTCAGTCAACAGATACTACTGATGATGAAGTAAATACTGATATTTTTAATTCGAACTCTAATACTGAGCTTGCTGTCTCAGCAGATCATCCTGAAATGTTTAAAAGTTGTGAAGAAATAGCTGAAGATGAATTCAAAGATATGGATGATGAATTAGGGAAAGTTATTGAAGCAACGGGCGTATGTGAAGAGATTATTTGCAAAGAATTACATGAATTAATTGAAAATGAAAATGAAAAAGAAGGTATTGGAGTGTATGCAGAAAAAGAACTGATAAATGACGAAAAAGACGAGCATGAAACGAAAACAGAAGAGGAAGAACACATTGAGTAGTTCAATTCAATTGAAACAAAAATTTTAAGTCTGAAGTAAAAAATTGATTTTTTTTTAATTTCGTGACGATTTAACTGATAAAAAAATGCTCACTGTAAATATAATTATACACGTACTATTTGAAATATTATTACTACATTTTGAACATTGGAAATATTAAGGAATAATTATTCATAAGTTTAAATTAAAAAATTAAGACATTGAATAAGCTGCCAGAAATTAAATAATTATCTTTGATACATTAAAATTAAGACTACAATAGAAGTATTTGATAATGTTAATTTTATTTATTATCTGGCTGTTTAAATAGTCAGTATATTTGATATTGTAGGCTGTTTTTTTGGCTGATTAACTGCTCAGAAAATATTTCCTCATGAAAAATAAGCAAAAAAACAAGTATCTATAGAAAAATTTGATAAAACCATAATATAATGTCAATTGTTGAAATAGTAAAATAAAAGTGACTTAAAGATGCGCCTTTAAAATCATTTTAGAGGAAAACAATACTAGGTAAGCTTAAATAAGTGTGGAAATAATTTGAAGTAAGATCTTGAAGATGTCTAGTCAAATTTAACGTATTTAAAACAATTTGTGAATTTAGTATTTATTTTAATTATATTACTCATGAGTATTTAGCATGAAAAGTGTTGAATTAGTATCAGAAGTTACACGTCTAACTCAATAAGTTAATTTCTTTTTATATTGATTTATCATTTTATGCTTCCACTACTTACTATCAATATTAAGAATTTTCATTAAATTACGAATAAGATTTATTGATTATTGCAGCTTTGATATATAGTATTGTTCTGCGAACGCTATATTCGTACTGTTCACATGCAATATATGATATTACTATTGTATAGTATTTAATTAATGCACAAATTCATAAGTCAATCGGTTTGTGCAGACTTGTTCTTGTAATTAAATTTACATGATGATACCAAATAGCATAAAAGGTTTATTGAAGTACAAAATATAAACATTGTATAAATAACTTTGGAATAGAGTTGTTATTTAATTATTCGTATTAACCGTAAACTAGCATTTTAGTAAATCCCACTATTATCTCTAACATAAACTTGAGTTAATTTCAGATCGTTCCATACTTTTCCAACATGAAAATAATTTATTAATATTTTTTGTGACAAATTATTATTTGAATATGATTTTTCTTTATCAGTAAAAGTTTATTAAATATATCTCATAAGTACATATAAATATTTATTAATTTAAGTGAAAGTCATTTTTTTTAAAACTTCTTAATTTTTTAAACAGTTCTCATAAGTAGTATATACATTTAATTATAGTGCCTTTGTTGTAGATTATTGTATCAAACATTTATAAATTGAATCAGTAAAAATATTTATTTGAACATTCTTTTGAATGACTCTTTCTCATAATTTAAATATTTTTTCATTAATTTCTTTAATTTTTCTATCTCTTGTATAACGGTTGAATCTTTTGGATTCATTGATAGTAGTAATTCTAAATCTGCAAGACCAAGTTTATAATCATTTAAACCAACATAAGCTTGACTTCGTCTAAATAAAGCTTTATTATTTGATTTATCAATAGACAGTACCTAAATATATAAAAAATACTGTAATTATCGTATAATTTTAAATTGATATAATGTTTAACAATATCTTACCATATTGCAGTGCTCCAATGCTTTTCGGTATTGTTCTTTTTTCAATTCAACTATAGCTTGATTTAATATAATTGATATTTTTGATTCTAATAGATTTTGTTCTAAATTATTCGGAGTATTACAAGATTTCATCAACCAATCATAATATCTCAAAGCTTTTTTATATTTCCTACTAGCTTTGTTGTAATTTTTTTGAGAATAGTAATAATTTCCAGCATTCTTTATTTTATCAATTGCTTCCTTAACACAATGATGCTGCAAACAGACAAATTTAGCAGAATAACTACTGACGATGATTTTATTGTCGACAACGTTGTTTTTTTTTCATGTAAAATACTTACATCTATTTCACTTTTATCAATGTTTAATGCATAATCCCAATCATCAGGCCAGTCTGGATAAGTATCAGATGATTCATCAACTTTAACAAGTCCCCAGTCTTCTCCCTCCTTAATTTCTCCGCAGTCAATAATTTTAGATACCTGGTATTAGTTTTTAAATACATCAAGGAGATTTAGTTGGTAAGTATTTTTATTATTTTAACTGTATCAGATCATTACCTGTAAAGGTTTGTCGTTATTTACTGGACCTTCACTAATTTCTTGCACTACGCCCATACCTCTTATAACTTTTCCAAATACTACATTCGTATTATCTAAATGATTACTAGCTTCCGTTGTTATAATAAATTGAGAATTATTGGTATCCGGCTGTCCTTTGTTTACTGTGCTTAATAATCCTTTTGCTGAGTGACTAAGTTTAAAATTTTCATCTTCAAAATGAGCACCGTAGATGCTTTCTCCTCCAGTTCCATCGAAATTTATTATATCTCCTCCTTGGATCATAAACTGAGGAACAACTGTAAATTATTCATATTTAAATGATGTTTTTTTTATTATGGATTAATTTGAATGAAGAGAAATATGTTCTTATTTACTTTTATGAAATACTGATCCTTTGTAATGTAATTTTTTTCCATTTATCCCAATTCCTTTTTCTCCAGTGCAAAGAGCACGGAAATTTTCAGCAGTGCGTGGAGTAACATCTTTGAATAATTCAAAAATAATTCGGCCCGCTACATATTAATAATTATAAAGAGAAAAAAAAGAAAAATTAATAAGTAAAATTTGATAAAAGATTACTCAAATATTAATTACCGTTTTCACCATCTATGGAGATGTCAAAAAATACAATTGGATTTTTTTCCGACTTATTAATAATTAATTCTTCAGGTTGTACACCCATAATTGTTTGTATTTCAATTTTTTAAAATTAATTTCAAGTTTTAATTGTTTTTTCAACAATTAATTTACTGTCATCACAACAGTATAAACAAACAACAATTAAAGATTCATTTTCATGAAATAATTCACATTTCAACATGGTATAACATGAAGTTGGCTGATGTGATAAATATCCTCATGTAAACAGGACTTGTTGTTCTTGTTGCTCAGTTAGCTTCACGCCATACTATATTAAAATGCAAAAATTATACATTTCATGAGAATGTTTAGTTATTTATAATTTATAAAAATTAATATCTAGCTTAAAAAATAATCAAATAAAAGCATAATTGATATCAGCTGATTTTTTTCGATTTTTTTTTGTTATTCTGAATTTTTTTGCAAATATTGACGAATAACCAATATAAAGATTTATTTAAAATAAATGCAGAGTACTGTTCATGAAGTGAATTTTTTAATTTCTCTAATCCATCCAAAAACAGTGATTATATAGAGAATAAATCTAAATTAAATATGATTGCAAAAATAATAAGTAATTAAATTTCATCAAAGCAAATTATTGTTTTGTAACTTTTCGCATCTTTGCTGTTTGTGGTAGTTATTTAAAAATGGCGGATGCAATGTCTTCCGACACTACCTCAGAATCTCTCGATGATGATTTATCTGATATATCCGCTGAACGTCAATCGCGATTTGTTGTTATTGGTCAAAAACCGCGAAATTGTAATCAAAAGATTCAAAAACACTTGATACAAAAATTATTTACCAGAGAAGTAATTATTTTATTATCATTGATACCTCTGATTTCCATTTCTTTTGATCATCTTGACTCTACAAAGAATATTTATTTTTTGTTAGAATTTAAACTACTTTTTTTATAATCATATATTTACAACGTGAAACAATTGCATATGATTATAGAAATAAAATGAATACTTTTAAGTATTACTTGTATCATTTTATTAAAAACGTCAACTCACAATGTTTATTGATATCTATTATTCCTGTGAACAATTAACATATTATTATTTAAATTTTATTTTAGATAAGAGGTTGTTTATCACGACATAGGCATGATGTGGAGGGAAAATTATTTAATACCATTCCTTCGTGGGGATATTTACCACTTCTTCAAGTCATTCCAATGTCCGCGATTCAAGCTGGGTATAAATTTCAAGTGAATTATAGTAATAATATTAGAAATAATAATTATTATAATGCAAGTAATTACAGTATGTTACATAAAAAATTAAAAAAACTGTAATAAGTATAATTTGTTTAAAAGAAATCAATTAAGTTTTAATTTTTATAATTGGTAATTAATTTTATCGAAAGTAATATTAAATCATTAAAGTATTTACTTATTGTTTAATCAATGACTTTATTTATTTTTCTTCTTCTCTGTTTTGTATTAAAGACATATTTTTATGGGTCTTACCCAATGCGGACAATTCATCTTAACATACACATGCAATTTGGACCTTAGAGGAGGTTCTCTTTATAAATACCTATTACACTGGTGGGCATTTGCTCCCAAAAAAACAGCAAGAAAAGTCGCTGAAGTAACTCTTTTTGGAAATTATTCAATAAGTAAGGAGCTGGATGTTGTCGTAGCTCAATGGCCTATGGAAAAAAGTAAAATAGTTATACACGGCTTACAGTAAGATCAATCTCTACTGCTTTCTATAAATGAATAATCCATCACTAAATTTTAATAATTAATTCTAGTTCTGACTGGGGGCATACACAAACTACTGATCGTGGATATTTGACAATAACAACAGTACCTTCTTTATCAAATTGTAAAGACTGTGCAAAAGTAGCAGCATCATATGAAGAAGAAGGTAAATATAAATTATAATAATAATAATAATAATAATAATAATAATGATTTTTAAAAAAATAATAATTAATTTTTATATTCAGAATTAGCAGCAAATTGGGACGGTTGTGTAAGATGTAATTGTCTACAACATGGACTTACAGTTCATACAACATATGAAATTTTTTCGCCATATCCACGATTTCGTCCATCAATTTGTCTCAACTATTGGAACCATGTTGTATTGAACACAGGAAATTTTCTGCATGTATTGACTGTAGAATTGCACGTGCCTAAGTGTAAAAATTATCGTAATAATGATAAACAGGGTAGTGTAATATCTGATGTGATGCCATTAGATGTAAGTGATGTTGATGAAATCGATGATGGTAGAACAGAGTGTTATGATAGTCCAAGCGAAAAAATAGACAATTTAGAATCAAGTTGCGAATTATCACCAGGTCGTGATTCAATAGTGGACCGTGAGTTGGATGAAAATAGAAAATTGACTGATGATAACTTGGTGAATGGAAAATCATGTGAGTGTCTAAATTCAATTGAGTGTGAGTGTATTATTAAGACGACAAGTAATGGAAATAGTCTGGGTCCGAGAGCTATTTCAGTAAGAGATAAAATTCTTCAGGATTTTTGTGAAGATATGTCTCAAGAATTAAGTATTGGCAGTGATTCAATAACTTTAGTAAAACATCCTTCATGTTCTCCAAAATCGACTCCACAACGACTTCCGATGGATTCAAAGCAACCTTGGTCTATACTTACACCCTCTTTAGATATTCTTAGGACCAAAAATTCTGAGTCTAGTCATGGATTAGCAAAAAAACGTCCAGTATCTCCACAACCTGGAACCTCCCAGGACAACACCAGTACAATATGTATTACTTCCATAAATTCTCCCTTACATACACTTTCAATTAGTCCCTCTCCTTGTTCTCCACGATTAATGTCTCCTCCTATTACATCTTTTAAGCATCCCAGTCCAAGAAAGCGAGCAAGTCTTCATTCACCGCCTTCACGATCTCGTATTTCTCATTCAAAACTCATTCTTGAAGCTGAAAAAGCATACGAGTTTACCGATGATACACAAGAAACTTGTGAAAAATTAAGCTCTTTCCGTAAAAGACGATTAGCTGATAAAAAATATGAATTCCGAGAAGAAGCTGAAGATACCGAAAATATTATTCCTTTCAAACATATTAGAGATCAAACTGAATATAATCATTGTTCAGTTCATCGAATATTATCTAGAGCTGTTTCACCAGCTTATTCTAATGGTAAATGGCAACGTATTGAGTCAGAAAATAGTGAAAGTGAAGAGACTGTGCCAAACCAAGATATTTTATACAGTTGTTTTCAACCTGTTGAACCAGCTAAAAAATCGGTTTTAAGACCATTGAGTCAAAATCAGTTATACAACTCTATGAGTTGTCATGGTCGAATTTATTCTCAAAGTGATATTGTACCTCATAATGTATCGCCATTAGCTCCAAAATCATTCATTCCTCATCCTATGATTAAATGTACAGCTCATTTTAAACGAAGCTACATAGAGTTAGACGATGAAATGATCTCAGTCATTACTGATGTTGAAGGTAAATTATTTTATTTTATTTTATTTTAATTATTTATCTAAAATATGAATTTTCATTTAAGATGATGAAACTGGTGGATATGTGAGTTATCAATGTGTCTTACCAGTAAATGTACATGGTTCAGGATACGTTCAGATGCAAATGATAAGTAATAGTAAAGCAGCCAAATTGGTAAATAATAAATACACTTTCTGTAACATATATTGTTTAATTAGATCATCATTTGTGTATTTTTTTTTTATAGATGTTACCATATGTATCAATAAATCAATTTAGCTTCGATGTTGAAACTTTTTCGCACCACATTGCCGATTGGATTTGCAAAAAATTTAAAAAAAAATACTGGCACTGTAGTGACTACGATATTGAAATAATTGACGTATGTGCAATCAGTGGAGATGTTATTTGTGTGCTTATAATGAAAATACAAGCCAGTGAAAATTGTGCACAAACAAATTGGTTAGTGAAAATAGTAGTAGTTATATGGATAGAAAAATTTGGTTTATTTATAATGATGATATTTTTTTAATGTTTAGCTCACAAGAAAGGAAAACATACCAAACTGGATGCAAATTTATGTGGAATGTAGATACCAATCAGTACAAAATAACAAATATCTTGCCTATGACTGAAAAGCCAGGAAAACCTAATTATTCAGAGTTGATGAATAGTTCTGGATCTTTATGGAATCCAGCACGATATTTAGTTCCATATTTAAGAAAGAAAAGTCAACAATATTATGCTCGTTCTGTGCGATATTTACAGCATTCAATGGGCTTTTCAGGTTTGATAATATTATTTTTTGTCAGCTTAAATTTTTTTATTTATATTTACTAATAATGAATTATATTTTTTAAAATAGATTCATTAACTCAAATTGTTGATATGGATAATTTAGTATCATTTTACTTAACAGCGTTACCTGAAGATATAGGACCAGACTGAAAAAAAATTATCAGTAATGATTAAATTATTTAATTAAAATTGGAATGAAATATTTTGAAAGAAACTTTATTTCATTTCAAGATTTTAAAATTGTAATTTTATATTATTTTAATGTATTATATTATTGCTGTAAATGTTATTTACTGTAAAGACAATTGTGAATGTTAAACTTTACATTAAATTCTTCGATTAATTTTTACTGATTTTTCGGAAACAAAAAGATAAAAAACATATTTTATATTTATGTATATATCTTTCGTAACAATAATTAGAACGTATTTAAATGTATTAACTTAATTGAATTTGAATGAATATGTTATTTGTGTAAAATAATATATTATTATTTAAATAATGAAATTTTCTTCATTATTGGTCCCAAAATTAATTTACAATTACATTCATTTTTATCGTGCTTTTAAATATTTTTTTTTTTCCATTTAAATTTATCATATTTGCATAAATTATATTATACAAGAAAATTTAATAAGTATATTGCTTAGAATTGCATGTTATATTTCAAGTTGAAATAGTCTTTTCAGTAGTTTGAATATCTGTGGAAACACCATCAAATTTTAAATGGGTCAAAATTTTTTCCCATCCTTCCATGCAATCTTGATAAAGCTGTATTTGCCTATCAGCTGTAGACAATAATATATTCTTTAAATCACTTTGTTTTTCAAGTGACCATCGTTCAATATCACTCCTTAGATTTTCATTAGCACAATCTAAACGATCTAAAAGTACTTCTGAACGTTTTGCAAGCTGTGGTATATTTTGACCTAATCTCTCAAGTTTTTCATCACGAGATTCTGATTTCCACAAAGTGTTGCCCCAATTTTGACCTCGATTAGAACTATTTGGACTTTCTAGAAGCTGAAAGAGAAAGAATTATTAATAGATGATTTATTTGGACATTACTAATGGCATAAAATATCAATAAACATTTACAAAAAAATATTTACCTGGTCTTTTTCGGTGCGCCGTTTAGATAATTCATCTATTGTTAATTCATATTCAATTTGCATATTATCCCGTCGAGTCAAAGCATCTTTGACTGATTCTACATAAGCAATATATTCACGCTCTTCATTTGGAACATTGTCAATCAATTTTTGGTGTGCCAAAGCATTTGACTCAACAGCTTTAGCAATGGACAATAACAATGGAGCTAATTCACGTTCAGAAGCGGACCACTGATTGAAAATTGGATACATTTGGTGTAATTCAGCAATATAATCTAAATTACAATAAAAGTTTTAGATTAACATTCACACGTAATCAATTATATGAATTATTCATTATGAAACATACTAACCATTTCTTTCTTTGTGGATTCGATTATTGATTTTATCAATATGCGCTAACTTTTCAATAAGGGCGTTACAATAATCTTTAACACGCTCAAATTCTAAATTACGTTGTTTAATAGAATAAGTACTAGCTAAGTTTTGTAAAGAGTCTGTTACTCTGCCAATAATATTATTACGATTTTTCCGTAGAGTTGCGAATTCCTAATGAAACGAAATTATATAAATTTACGTACATAATACTGAACAGTAAAAAAAATCTGATTATACTTACAATCGGTTGAGCTGTAAGGAATGCTTTTAAATATTTATCACAGCTAAGAATAGGATGATTTACTACTTTATTGAGAAATATATGTAATAGTTTCATTCGAGCAATTATGAATTCTTTAGAATATCGATCGAGTTGAGCTATAAGTGAATGCTTTCCAGGCATGGGCTATAAAATAATTAAATTTAATTATTAGTTAAATTAAAAAATATTTAATGCATTCTCAAGACACTCACTGGAATGATATGAGATGGATACATGTCCACCAATTTCTGACGTAGCCAAATGAAATCATTATACCGTCTTCGAACTATGTATTCTTCTTTTTCAAATTCTGATCTTGTAGTCTACAAATATATATTCAAATCAATTGTTATTTTTTATATTAATTAAATCAAGTTAATAAATAAAATGATGGATTACTTTAGTGGTAATACGGAATGTTATGTAAGTTTCTAAAGTTTCCAAGTGTTTTTTAGGATTATCTACTTTAACTTTCAGATCCCGATTATCAAATTGACCATCTGACGTGTCTTGTTCTGGTAAAGTTGAAAAACTATCAATAGAAGCCGATGCAATCTAAAAGAATTTTATCGACATTATTAACATAATCAAATAAAAAGTTTTATGATGATATCAATAAAATTGTTTGTTTGGTGTTAAAAATTATAAAATTAAAATGACATACTATTGAATCCTCATTTCCAGTGTTATAATTTGAAATATAATCGCGATCATTGCTATGTTGTTTTATTACACTACTTGTTGTCGTACTACTAACTTCAATAATTGCAGAGTTATCTGTTGTTTTACTATCAAAGTCTTCTGTATCAATTTCAGATGCTGTCATCATTTTGGAGTAATTTTCCAATAAACACAATACACCCCAATTTGATAACTTATACCTAGATAATACGTGGTTTTTATCTAATTATAAACACAAAGTTAATACGAATTTATGCCCGAATTAGATTTTACTAATGCAGAAAATTTTTAATTAATTTATTAGATGAATATACGCATGAAAAAATTTATTTTTTCCGAAAATTGTAATCAAACAATGTTGGAGACAGTTTTATTTATCCAAAACATGTCGCCATTGGTGATTGTTGCGACATCTATGACCATTAGAGAAGAGAGAGAGAGAGAGATAAAAAATTCTTGGAATTAAAAATCAACACCATCTATATTTATACCAATCGATCTATTAACATTAATAATCACTTATTTAAATTTAAAAGTTCACAATTTAATCTACTTTTATAAAATATATACAATATATTTGTAAAAAAATGAACATTATGCGAAAAACATGCTTTAAATATATAATATAAGTAATTTTTGATTATGTTAAGGACGGTTTCGTTGTCTTACTTATTATAATAACATTAAAATACTTTATATATCTCGAGTTTTTTCATCATGAAGATCGAGATATGGACGGATATTGAGATTGAGAGGTACTGTTTTTATATCTATTCTTTCACTGCACATAGGACATACTTCTTCAGTTTCTATTATTCTAAATAAAAAAAAGAACCATTTTATTTATAAAACACTTTCACATATAATTAATATGTAAAGGAAGCATACCTTAAATATTCACTCTTTATAGCTGGAAAATCACATTGAGGACACGCAGTAAAATCATTCTCGTCTATATGACGACCCTGTAAAAAAATCATTTATAAATTCAAAATGAATTCTATAGACTATAAATTATAATTAAAAACAATAATAACAAATTACCGTTGCTATACAAAATGGAATGGTATTTTTACATTTATCACAGGTTATAGCCGTTTCTGGAATGCGATTTTTACAATAAGGACAAGGTGACAATGGTTCATCTTCAGCTTCATGATCTTTCGTTCTCGGTGGTTTTCTGACAATGGCTTCTATTTTTTTGCTATATTTAGCGTCCACTTGAGACCGATATTCAGGACGCATAAGCATTGCAGCATAATTGAATGCAGCATTCTTTAATCCAGCTCGATGACATTCAATAACAGTTGATGTTAAAATTGGTACAATATGTGAAGGAAACTTTGAAATATTATTAGCAACTCGTATGAGGAGTCTTGCACCTTTCAAATGATCATTTTTCTTTACATGTAGTCGTACTAAGATATAAGAATGTAATAGTCGTAAATTTTCAGTCATTTCTAAAGGAATTGTGATAGAATTACGTTTTAATTCAACATACATTCCAAATAAAACATCATGTGCGTTTCGATAGTTGCCATTTATTTGTTCTTCATTAGCGATAATTATTGCTGTTTTTGCAGCTTCCTTATATTTCTTTGTAGCCATATACAATCGGAATAAGTATTTCGGATCTTTTGGTAGGCCATCACCACCAAGAAGAAAATCAATCAGTTGATTGATCAACTTATCATCTTTAGATGATGCTACTGTTTCAATTGCTAATGAAAGTGCAGCATCATCATCAGTAGTGAGTTGTGCTGCCTTTATTAAATGTTTTAGAGCTTTATGATACTCCTTGGCATAATAATAAAATTTACCAGCCAATAAACTATTTTTTTGTGATTCAAAGTGTATGGCAAGACTCCTAAAATCTTCTAATCTTACGTTAGTATCATCTAGATTATTTGTTAATATTTCTCCATATAATTCCATTTTTCCATGTTGATTAGCTAGTTGAAAGGCTTCATCATGACAATTTGATAATATTAAAAACTTAATAGCTGAATTATAATCATTCATCTTTTGGAAATATCGAGCGACCATTTTTGCACCTTCAATACTTCTTGTTTGTTGGACTATTTCAACACTTCGAGCTGGATTATTTAAATACTCCAAATTAATTCTAATAATATTATCATAATCTTTAGCAGCTTCATATGCTTTTGCAGCTTCATCATAATGTCCTTCATTTTCTTTAGCTTTTGCAAATTGAATATTTATTTTTGGAGATGAAATGTGCGGTAATAGTTGTCCAACTTTTACCCAATTTTTTAGTCTTATGTAAGCAGAAGCAGCTTTGTCAAAATATTCAGCTTTTTCATAGAGAATAGCAGCATCATTGAATTGTTTCATATTCTCTAGAATTTCAGCACAATCTTTTTTTAATGACCTTGAACTTTCATTATCCATAGCAATAGCTACACCTCTACGGCTATCACCACATCTTATTGATGTTCTAGCTATACCAGCCATACATTGTGCATAATGATTGCGGTATTGTACTTCATTAATTGTATTCTTATTAATTTCTGATAAACCACGTTCATAATTAATTAGAGCAAATGAATAGTTTCCTGTAAACTCTAACTGTTGCGCATATTCTTTGGAAATAAATGGTATCTCATCAGGTTGTAATTTTTTAGCTAAAGTTAAAGCTTGCTCCCATTCCATTAAATCTCTACGTAAATATAAGGCCTCTATTGGTTCGGACGATGCAAGAAAATATTTTTCTGCTTGATTATACTTTTCTAATAATGTACAAACATGTCCAGATAGTAAATTTAATTCTTCAATATTAATGATCTTTTCTAAAGCCCAAACCATCGAAACATCTTCAATTCGTCGATAAGCTCGAATCGCGGTGTTAATATCTAAATTCTCAAGTGCATGTGTCGCTAATTTAAGCCAATAATCTTTGTCATTTAGCATCATACATGTTTCAAAACATTTCTGATACCTACGACATTTCATTTGATTTTCAAGAATTTCTATTATTTTTTTATTCTCAACAATATTACCAATGTCTTGATGAGATGCTAGAGTAATTTGAAAAATTTTTCCACCTGCCATACCAAGTGTTAATTCTCCACTGTACATTAAAGCTGGTACGGTTTCAGATGGAAGTTTGGTGGTTGCTATTTTTTCTACCTTACTTCCATCAATATGATATTTAACAAAAATATATGTAACAATATTTAACTTGTTGTAAATAGCAAATATTGATCTCTCGCATATGTTTTGATCCCAAATAACTCCTTCAATATCATCCGGAGGTTCTGGTACTTGCATGACTTTTTCATTCACAGGATCATGAATAAAAACTTGGTCTTTATCATCAATGAAACACGCTATTGTTCCATTAGCATCTAGATATATATTTTTAATTCCACTTTTATGGGAATATTCTGTTGAACTATTAAATGTTTCAATATGAAAATAAACTATTCTACCCATATCGGTTCCGTATAGTAAAAAATCTGAAGTAAGAGCATGACAGGTTATTTTACCATTAGAAGAACTTTGATCAGAAAATATTTTTGAATCTTTTCCTTCGTTCACCAAAGTTGGATCACTTTTGATCGAATGTAATTGAATTTTTCCATCAAATAATACAGAAGTGTATGTTTCATTCAAACGAATACCATCTACAGTTGCTAAATAATCTCGTTCAAAGCTCATAGATTGATTGGTTGTGTCAGTAATATTTTCAGATAAATTCCAAAATAAAACTCGATTATTCAAAGCAACTGCCATATGCATTGGTCCAACTGCTAATATAGCTGGTTCAATAATTGTATTAAATATCTGTGGATCTGGCTTATCTTTATCCAAAGTATAAAGATGTACAACAACTTCTGTTAAACTAGTCAATAAAGCTATCCGATTTCCACAGACACTTATTAATTTCGGGATTTGTGCTAAATATATCAATATGTTACCACTGTGAGTAACAGCAGCAAGCATGGTACCATCAGCAGACCATTCAATACTTGAAACTCCAGCTTCACCACTCACTGTAATGACTTTTTCTGTTTCTGCTAAACGATTTATATTATGTATTTTTATTGTATTATCTCCACATGTTGCTACTTTTTCCGCTGTAAGACTTAATGAGATACCGTTCAAGGAATCACGATGATTTTTTATTTGAATTAATTCTTGACCTACTTCTTTGATATGTGTAGATATTGAAACTAAGTATCCAGCTTCAAATCCTAGCATTATGTAACCATCTCCATACCACTTGTAAGCTACTATTGGTCCATATCTTTTTTGAAAGGCCAGTTCAATTGGATTATCTGGATCTCTAGTATTATAGAGGAGTAGTGTAATTTTTCCAACGATTACTGATATTGTATTTTCTCCATTAGCTCGATTATCTGATTTCATTTCTCCAAATTGCAAATCATGTGGATCTCCTTGAAGAGGAATTTCTTTTCTTGTATCACCATCAAGTGTACTGATGGATAATATTCTGTCTTCTGCTGCTAATGCTAGATACCCTTCTGTTGACCAAGCAGCACAGGTGATTTTTTTTCTATGTTTCCCAAGTACAGGAATTCGCCTGGAAATAATTTTTTTTTGTGATTAGTTTCTTTCTATACACCATTAAGCAATTGTTAAAACATCACTTTATTATCAAAACAATTTTTACCTAGAATTCAAATGATCATAAAGAATAAGATTTCCTTTTTGAGTTCCTACAGCAAGAATACAGCAAGAATTTTTAGCCCATGCCATGCATGTTAATGAATCTCGTACACCAGCATCTATATGAGATTTTTTTCCAGTAGATGCATCCCATAAAGTAATAATTGACGAATTATTTGCAATTATAGCTAATATATCTCCATCTGAGTCCCAACCAAATCCAGCACACATTCCCATTATTTGTATTCGTTCTTGAACTTCCCCTTGTCTATCATAAATAGAAACTACTCCATCACAACCTGTAGTTGCTAAATGTGTACTGTTTCCTGCTTTCCAACTGACAAAAACACTGCCAGTACCATGGGGATGATCTAATTTGTATAAAACCTTCAAGAAATCGTATATTTAATTAATTATTCATAAAATTAATTATAAAAATATCATAAGCTAATAAAAACAACCTTTAAAAAGCTTATTTTCAATTCTATAAAAATTTTTTATCAATTTAAAATAACAATGCATCATATAAAATAATTGTATACAAATATAACCAACCTTGTCAGAACCCATGATGATAGTTTAGCGATAAAAAATATTGTAAATTCCAATTTAAATAATATTATTATGTTAAAAAAAATCCAAAATGCTCACATTCTCTTTACTTGTCGAGAGATATTAATTTGTGTTATTATTGATTTATTGAACCGGCTTGTCAACTAGTATGATTATGTTTGGTTTACATTTACGTTTGTATGTAGTATCGCAATGCTTGAGTAACTTTTCCCCACACAACAATAATTCACATTGATTTATAAATATTCAGTGTATGTATGGGTGAAGTTTTTTATTTTGTATTTAGAGCAGATAATCGTGAACCACGCATATACCGCATGTCGATACGTTAGATCTTTCTATTGTTTTCTGCTCAGTCGATAATAAAACTATTGTTTCAAAATAACAAAAAAAATCACAGTCAGTTTGAATATTACTCTTTTTCTCTACTTCTTGAGTAATGTTGGATGATTATACAATTATACAAGTAAATTTAAGAAAAAAAAAGCTGTAAAATGGCGTAAAAATGAATATGATATAAATCCAAAAAATAAGGCTAAAGTAAAAAAGTTGACGCATGTGCATAAAAGTGATTTGATACTATTAGGTTATCATTCACCCTTTTATTGTGTATATGTCGACTAAAATAGAAGGGGTACTTTGAAGCGTATACTTTGTCTAAACTTCAGTTGAGCAGAGCGCGCACATCGCGATGCTTTGCAATGTTATTTCTATTTGGCTATCACATTGTTTGAATCTAAAATTTATACAATTGTTTATTATTCTCTGGCATAGCTTTAAGACTGAAGGAGCTTTGCCGCCTGGTGCAGGTGAAAACAAAGAATTAATATTGATTTTATATTAATAATTTATTACTTCATAAGTATTTATTGAAAAAAGTTTTGTTTTTGTCTTTTGATTATTCTGATTTCGTGATAAGAATTTCAGATTTGTGGCTTGAAAAGGTCGATGCCACTAGGTGTTTTATTATTTATAAAAATACCAACTACATTGTAACTAACATAATTGCTTTTCATACAAGTACTTTGATTATCTATTGTACTTTTTTCTTAATACATTTTATTTATGATAAAGTACATTGTTTTAAAAAAAACTTAAATAATTAAAACATTTTTATTGTTTTACATTGAAAAAAAAATTGAAGTGATTGAATATAATTTTATACCTATATGAAAGTAATAAAGTCAAGGAAATTCGAAAAGAAAGAGCAAGTGTGCAGGTGTATGCCGGTAAATCGATATTATTACCATTTCTATTATTTTTTTTATTATCACGCATTCGTATTTTGTTTACCTATTTTAATACCTATGCACGTGATTATTAATAAAAGTATCAATTAATGAGATTTTATTGTTGATTATTTTTCTTTTTAATACATTATTTAAATTAAAAAACAAATTCATAAACACATGGGTATATAAATACATTTAAATGTAAATTTATTGAATAATTTATAAGTAATGAAAACTTTAATAGTAGAAATTACCACATAAATTAAAAAAAAAAATAGTGTCGTTATTTTACCATAGGAACTTGGTATCGATTAAACACATAGATTATTTTATTTTTACAGGTATCTATGATGGATCGACATTTTTATATTGATGTTTTATTTCATAATAAATATGAAAGATTTATAAGGTATACCTAGCTGTCAGTAAATCTCATAAAATAATGATAGCAATGATGCGTGTAGTTGCGACGTAATTTTTTTACAAGACCATCACAATTTATTTCCGGACCGGAAACGCAAACAGACCGTGGAGTTATACGTTTCAATTTTTATTGAAAATTTTACATACTTTTTTTCCATGCAAACATCACATTATAAAAAATAATATCCTTCAAATTCTACTTATCTTTAATAAAAGGTCATAGAACTCAAATTGATTTTCAAACATCTTCACAAGCTGTTATGCTTTAATTATTTAATCCGTTTAACTTGGTAAAATAATTACATTCAACAAATAATTGTATACAAGTTACAGTATTGTACAGTACTGATATACATATATGTCGATTATACACGCGACGATTCGTGATCAAGAATATTATCATCTTACAATGTGTATCTTCTCCATGTATACGAAAAGTTTGTTGATCGTTTAAATACAAATTACCAAATTATTGTGAATTCAGAGATTATAATGATATAATAACCATCGAAAAATCTGATTGTACCGGTTAGTACCACTTATAAATAATAATATCCTTTGGAATGTTTTAGAAGACGAAATTATATTAATCGAACATCTTCCTGGACGACAAGTACACCTTCAGGATTTTTTTTGGACCGGTGCTGAAGACGCTCCACCATGGTTAGATCCCGATCAGATGCTTACTTTTTACGAAACACGAACTATTCATCATACAGCAACAGTTTATGTTCCTGGAGAGGATTCAAAACAAGGTGATAATGAACCTAGACCATATGATCCAGGATGTACGTCATGTATTGATCCTACACCCACGATCATTGAAGATGAGGGAATTGGTGTTCTTGTTGGTAGTGATCCAGGCCCTCGGTATGTATTTTACTATTTCTTTTTAGAATCAAATACATTCAAAGAAAGCAGAAATTGAGAAAAGTATTAAATATTTTTTTGTTTTTAGATATTGGTTGTTAACTGTACTCCGAACGGGAGAAAGTGTTCCACCAAAAGTAGAACTTAGATTAGCTCGATTATATCGTGCTGCATTTGCAAGACAGCAACAACGTCATCTTGGACTTTTGTCAACAGATCCACGACTCCGAAGAGTGACGAAAAAACGAAGTCCGTCAGATAATTTAAATGTTAAATTCAGAGAAACTACGGACAATGTATATTTTTTTTTTCTTATTATCTATGTAAATATTATTGTTGGATTTTAATACAAATATTGATTATAGGGTTTAAATGTACTATTGAATGATTCAAGTGTATCTATTCAATCACCATCTGATGAATTTAATGGATTAAATCAGAGTGACATTGGAAAAAAAATGAGGGAAGTAAAAATTCCCAATGATAAATTATTTATAGCTGCCAATTTAAATACTGAAGTAGACTCTTTGGATCGGATAGATGAATTGAGTTCTAAAAAATCTACAAGAAAAATAGTTGAAGATTACATTTTAACGACTGATACTTCAATGGTAGTTGAAGTTGTCTCAGAGGATTCTTCAATAAATAAAAATATAAAGAATCCACAAGCATTGAGATCTCATGTAGATGAATTTTATCCAGATTTTCCTAATGAAAGTGATATAAAACTATCATTTGATAGTAATACTTATCCAAGTGTTAATGAAAAACAAGACTCAATGAATCAAACAGACGCTTATACATTATTAGATAACCAAAAAAAAGTACATGAAGTTAAGAAAATATCAGATTCAAATACACCTAATTCACGACTGCGAATAAAAGGTATCGACATTGTACAAGTAAGAATGCAAAACACAACTGTACTTGATGACGGATCAACTAGGTTAATTTATTCTGTTCATTTGGATGGAAAACCTGTTCCTGCTGAAACAGCTGCCAAAGATATGGCACTTTTATCTCCTCAAGAAGTAGCCTTGGAACTCGGTGCACCAGTAGTCATTCAAAGTGAACGTAAGTTTTTATCACATGCTATCATTTTATAAATATTTCATATTTATTTATATTAATCGAATAAACTTGAAATAAAAAAAAAAAATTCTTTCAGCCTATTTAAAAGAAACTCGACCACTAGCTCTTTCAAGATCACGAGACGCTTGGTTACTTATTGGAACCGCTGGAACCGCAATCATTATTTTAGTATTAGTAATCGCCGGTCTTATAATTACTGCAAAAAAGAAAAGAGCTTATAGTGCGGTTTCGGCTCCCCCGAATCAAAGTATTTTAAAAAATGATAAAGTATATTCCCCATCTACTTTGGGATTGGATAATACTGGATATACTTCGGAAACAGAAGGGCGAGTAAGTTGAAAAAGTTTTATCAATACGTGAGTATAAGTTGAACAACTTAAAAAAAATTTTTTTTTTTCTTCTCATTAATTGAGTCGTGTAATTTTAATAATTCGAATGATAAAAACAATAACATTGTTGAGATATAATAAATATAAATGATTTAATGAGATAAATTTATTGATTAAAATTGAATAAAAGTTTATGAGTATCATGCAAACTATTCTGAAACTCAATTGTATATACTTTAAATTGTTTATAGACGGATGGTACCAGCCAGCGACAAACACCACCAAGTAATTCTCGAACTCCAATTACTACGCCCATTACTCCCAACACATTAAATGATGATATTCAAGAATTATCAAGTGATAATGAACAAGATATCAAAGGGCATATTAATGAGACTTGGGATTCTACAAACTATTCCACATTACCCGTGAAATCCAAGTAATATATAAAGTAAAGCAGAAAATTTATCAATAAATAGTTTTATTTAAAGATGAACTTAATAATTATTCAGGTCTGGAAAGAAGAGATTAACGAAATCAAATGCGATAGAAAGATCAGAGAGTTCAGATTCAATGGAAACGGTAGATGATTGCCATGAGAGACGAAAATCAGAGAATGGTCGTGTTCATTCATTAGAAGAAACGGCATCACCACATTCATACTTATCTATGCCTTCGTGTAAACTATTTCCAAGCATGAGAAGCGTCGAACCTTTATCTAGAATATTAGAACCGTCAGTTGTAAGTTTGATAATTCAATGAAAATCGATGGTAATAAAAATATGAAGTCTATAATTGTTCAATTTAATTTCAGATAAGGAATTTAGATATCGAATTTGAAACTCCAGAGATGTCAAGACGAGAAAATGGTCTTCATAATAAAAAATTAAAAGATGATTCATTTGAACGAACGAGAAGTACTACGGTCAAAGATCCGGGGGTAGTTGGGCCCATTGTTTGGGATCTTAGAAAACATCGTAATGTTGAAGGTTCTATTGATATTTTATGAAAAATTTCTTCATTCATTGTCAATAATAATTTACCCTTCTTGATGTTTCAATGATAATGGAAAATAATTAATCCTTGAAGCAATGGAGGGTTGTTAAATAAATAAAACGAAAAATTCTGAAATAAGTACTTGAAAAGATGTCAATTATGCTTTCAGAAAATTCAGAGACAGACCCAGAACGTCAATTACTGTCATCAGGCCCAGTAGGTCGGGCAAGAAGACGACTTCACGAACTCCTAGAAGATTCATTCAGTCTTTTTGGGACAAAAGACGTAAAAACAAAAGAAGTGACCGCAATATCAACATCATTGCATCCACCATCGGTCGCAATTTCACCAGATCGTGTTACAATGTGTTCGGAATGGAAAGAGAAATCGATCCATCCAAGGTTTGGCAGAGAAAATATTTTAAATATTTTATCATAATCAATTGATTTATTTAATAAAAAAATCAATATTATTTTATTTTTAGTCCAGCCGAAAGCCCGAAAGACTTTCTAAAAATAAGACCACGAACTTCACTACCTCGAAATCTAGCCGAAGAATCGATCCCGGAAACTGGAAACACGACTCTACAACCCCGGGGTGCTTGGGGATCGAGACCAATGAGTGCAGGACCATTTCACCGGCCAAATTTACCGGAAGTCACCGTTACTCAGATTTCCGCAAATTCTCCTCTAACTCTTGAAGATCCAGCAGTGCCTTTAATAGCTGCTATTAGAAAAGAATTAGAAAAATTTACACCGGAGCAAGTATAAAACTCATTCATTCATCTTTCAATTGCATTCACCAACATTCAAACGTAAACTAGTGATGGATTTTTTTACGGAAGAATGACTCTCTTAGTGCATTTATATGTCAATTTTTTATAATTCCTTTAAAGTATTACAAAGTAAATAAGAAAGACTTATAAAATTATTAGTATTTCAGTTATGCCTGTTATAGATAGTACAGGATAATCAAACAGTCAGTAGTGATGGCAGAATAGTGAATCAGTGTAAATAAATCATTAGCATTAGTTCCATATGTATAGTGAAAATCAAAGCTGATACTCAAGTGCAATTATCAAAATTTTTAATTGAAATTTGTATTTTCAACGAAAATAAATGAGATATAAATAATAGGGGAAGAGTATTTTTAAAAAAAACATAACATTTAAGTAAATATACTCTGTGTCCTCTTTTAGGTTTTCTCTTTAGGAAAAGGTGACAGTTGGAGAAGACGAGAGGTTGGCTCCGTTTTCAGATTGTAATTATTTTTGGACTTGGTCGGAGCTCCGACAGTTCGCCTAAATCTGTATCAACCAATCATCGTGATTTCTTGAACTGATCACGTGACATATCAAGTAAAAGATTCAAGAGATTTTAGGGTCGTGAAAGAAGATTCTTTAGTACCCCGTAGTGAGTTGCTTTACCCGGTTGTCTAATCAGATATTTATCGATATTTACACTACAGGTAAGCTATTTTTGTGGTATATGCTACAACAAATTCAATCATAATTTTATTTTAATAGCTCACTATTATCTTTAATGTTCTTTTTAATAATATTATATTAAAATTTTTTTCCCCAGTGAAGCAGTGATTGTAGTGTTAAGAATTTTCAATGGCTTTTAAGTAATATAAATAACGCTTGGAATCTGTACGTATTGAGATAAAATTATTTCTCATCAGAGGAAGATAAAAAAGTGATAGAAAGTGAAATTAATTAAATAGTGTAATTTTAAAAATTATAAAAATAATTGCTTAAAGCAGAATTGGATTATATGTTGAGTCTTCAGAATGTTTCAATGATTACCTCTACATCGTATCTCGTTGATTATTTTTATCAATTTATTGAGAGCAATATTCTATTTTTTTGACAAGAGTTTTCTGTAGTAAATCTATAATTATAAATAACAAGCGCCATGTTTATAAATAAACTCAACATCTTTTCTGCAAAATACTCTATCCAATGACGTGGGTTCTTGCATAATTTTACCGCAAAAGCTTGCATTCATTGAATAAATAGCTATATTGAAACATGATTCATACACAAAATATTTCCTATTTGAGTGTTTCATTCAATTTTTTAATGATTTTCCAAATATTATTACAGAATGTAATTCGATTAATTTAAATTCAATTTGATTTTTTTCATTTTTTTTCAATTGAAAATTTATCAGGATATTGAAAGAGATTTTTTTTAAATCTATAAGGACAATTTTGTTGATAGAAATGATTTTGTGTTGAAATATTCATTGAAGAGGATATAAAAATTCATTGAAAACATGAGAGTACTAGTAAAGGAAAAAATAAAGCTAATGACCAGGTCGTGGCAACCAAATTTGGATCGTGTTCAGAGCTCACAAAGTTGGTGGAAGGGTCTATTCGTATTACATCTATTTTCGAACATTAGATACTTTATACTGCACATATTAAGTTTTTTCTTTTTCTTATTTTAAAGTTACACTTTTACGTGTGTGTATAAGTCATATGCACTTATTAAAAAAATTTCATTTATTTTTATTACAGGAAGTCGAGTGAGGCTTTAAATATCCATAATGGCTGACGATGAGGTTTGGTAGGTATAATAAATTTTAGATAAACATTCAATAATGACACATTAATAAATAAATTCTTTTTTTTTTATTTTTATTCTATGAACTTTGATGTCATCATCGAAATCATTGCTAATGGAAAATTCTAATATTATCATCAATGATACTCCAGTATAAAATATTTATCATTTTAAAAGGTATGTTTGTTTTTTTGATTTCTTTGCTCGTTTATTTTTTTATTTATGATTTTTTTTTTTTGAATATTTGAAAATATGTGATGACCTTTTAGAAATTTAGAACATTAAGTTGCTGAATCTTTAGAACTCTATAAAGATATTTGTAATAAATGTAGTTAAATTTTACCACTATTAATTATTGTATCCATTGTTTTAATTAATAATTATCATTATTCCAATAATAGTTTAAATATCCTAGTAATAAAACGCTTTCAGATTTGCTTGATATACATATCAATTATTATCTAGACATTTTCAAACAAGTTATTAGACAATTTGTAATTACTCATTTTCATTATAATATTTTTTTAAAAATGATTTATTATTTATACTGTAATGAAATTGATATCATTTTAACATCAATTGAATGATTTTGTAAAGCAAAAAAATTGATGTTTCAAAGTTATTATCAGACATAATGAATTTATTTTTACCTGCATGTGAAAATAAAATATACACACAGAATGTATATTCAGACGTACAAGAGGCAAATGTATACACACAAGGGTAAAGTAGAAATATGTGTGGAATGTTTTCAATTGCATGCTTTCTCGGTAGTATACATTTTTTTCCTTTTATCTTTTTGCTTATTAATTGTTATACACACATTAATGTATCTATAAACAGTTATATTAAAATTAATTTTTTACCTCTAAATACACAAACTTGGTATAATCAATATGAAGATACAATTAAATATTTAACACCAACAAAACCATTAAGCATGCATTTACTTATATTTACACAACAGTAACAAATGTTTTTTTTTTTCATGAATATTAATCAGTCTACTGAATTTAAAATAAAACAAAACTCCAAATAAAATACATGTGATTGATAAAATTTTGTTGTTAAATATATTTTTGCTACATGTATTTTATAAAAGTTATCATATCAAAGTTACATTGATAAATAAATAAATACAATAAATAAATAGACTGGCAAAGTAAATAAACAATAATTTTTTATTTTTTTTTATTGCAGAGAAAACGCATCGAGGATGTACGTAAGGGTTTACAGAATCCAGAGAAGCAGTAATTTGAAGTTGAAAAAATAAACTTTTACTAGCAATTCCATAAATTCAATCAAATGTTCTAATATCATCATAAAAAGTTGTAGTTTTTTTTTTGATATCAATTCCTTTTGAAACATTTTCAATGATCAGCATTTTGAATTCTAATGATAGAAACATTGCCAAACTAGATTGATAATGAAACATTTAAACAGAAGAATCAAAGTTCTTGTAGTCGTTTTTTGAATAGTGAAAAAGAATGGGTGTTAAGTTGAATGTTAAGTCGTTAAAGTGTTTTTCACATCGAAAATGTAGGAAAAGAAGAGGAAGCAAGCAGAAACAGAACGAAAACGAGCGGAGGTTCGTGCTCGTCTTGAGGAGGCGTCAAAAGCAAAAAAGGCTAAAAAGGGTTTTATGACCCCAGATAGAAAGAAGAAACTTAGGGTTAGTATTATTATTATTTTTTTTGCTAAATATTATCATTATCACATACATTATTATTTATTTTATTATTATCATCACAAATGTAGTTGCTGTTACGTAAAAAAGCTGCTGAAGAATTGAAAAAAGAACAAGAAAGAAAAGCTGCTGAGAGAAGACGAATTATTGAGGAAAGATGTGGCCAACCAAAAGATGTTGATAATGCAAGTGAAGGTAACACTTATTTTAATGATTTTTTCTTCTCCTATTATACATATAGACTTGATATGATTCGAAATGCTGTCTATTTAGGTCTGAATGTGATCCTTTGACAAACCAAATATTTTTTTTTATCATAATCATTGATGATTTTGATAATTAAATTATTCATTGTCATTCAGTATTGTCACATATTAATCATTCATTCGTTACGTACATGTTTATGTTAATACCTTGACTTATTCATCAAACCAAAATGCAAATTTTTCATTTAATTTCTTCAATTTAAACATTTACACGTGCAGATACACTAACATACGTTAAATAATATTCAATGTATAACAATTATTAATGCACAGACGTCCTGAAACGTGTACTACGTGACTACCACAATAGGATCTGTGCGTTGGAGGGCCAAAAATTCGATATTGAATATATCGTTAAAAGAAAGGATTTCGAGGTATTTTTTTCATGAAGAAAATCGGCTAAAAAAAATTTATTATGAATTTTTGATATAATTTACGAGTATATTGATGATGAATTATTGCACGACAGGCCAATTGCTGTGCTTTTCATTGCGCTGTTCACGTGTATACAAACAATCTATCTTCATATTTCTACAATGATACTCTTTCTTCTTTAATGCTCGATATATCGTTATCAACTTTATCTATATCTTATTTTATTTTTCTTTTTTTTTCTTTTTTTCAATACAATTATTTCTGCTATTAATGTGCCTTATTGGTATGGCTCAATCGATATTTGCCGTCTGTCATTTCACTGTTGATTTTTACTGTGACACTCTATTGGAAAAGCTTCAAAAATGCTATATCGCTGGCTGCAGTGTGAAGTTTCATTGAATGAAGAGAACATTTTTAATAGTTATATGATAAAAGTGTTTTTCTTTATGATGAAAAATTCTTATTTTTTTTTTATAATCATCTAAATATTATGCTATCTAAATTTAATTATTTTGCAATACTATTCTTTATCGACAAATAGTTTTTGTCATTCACTATAATTTATTTTCATACATTTTTGAAAATTCATTGTTTCTAAAAAACAAAGGCCATGAGACTTGAAATAAGGTAAAAAAGCAAATAATGTTTATGAAAAAAATATTTAAAAATAGTAAGGAAAAGGTTTAAAAATGTTATAAATAACGAGTTGTTAGAATTAACATTAATCAGTGATTGTTTTTGATGCTATTTATTAGCTGCATTGAAGTCAATTCTGATCCAGTATCATAAAAGGATCTCAGCTCTAGAAGAGAAGAAATATGATCTCGAGTTCGACGTTGACAGTAAAGACTATGAGGTTTATACGATAAGTTATTATTCAAATGGGGTTGCAGTGTAAATTTACATTATTTCTATCATTATTATTATTATTATCATCATCAGTATTTTATTATTATTCGTGCTAAAAAAAGTAAGCTGACAAAATTAGTAATCATGTTGTTGAGTAGTTTACGGTATATTTAATTTTTCTGGTAAATTATTATGTAGAGTAAAGTAATAATTAATGATGTATTTAATCTATAAGCTTTTTTTGCCCAGTTTTATTAACGTCAGCAGTAATTTGATCGAACCATTAAGTAAAAATGAAAGTATTTAAAAAAAAAAAGATTAATTTTTTGTTGCAAAGATAAAATATTAATTTTTTAAAGCTTATCAGCTTATTAGCTTGAGCTTTTTTTTTTGCTGAAAAATATATGTTTCATAAAAATTAAATATATAGATATATAAATGTGATTGTTTTGAAAAAAATGAAAGAGTAAACGTGAAAAAATTAATGAATAATATGAGAAAAAATATTATATAATGGAATAGTAGCATTAATTGTTTCCATTATAGTTGGATCATGGACAATAGACAGTTTCTATTTTTTTCTGTCGATTGTTATTTTTTTAGCTGAGCTCCAGACCATTTGTAAGGCTTATTGGAACAAAATTTATACGCTCGAGGGTGATAAATATGACCTCGAAAGGAAAAATAAAATGAAAGATTTTGAGGTAACTAGTGAATTAAACCAAACGATCTGCTATAATTATCAATATAATTATTAAATATTACTACTTTTGTTTTATAATAAAAATGATGTTGCTCATGAAATATAAAATGCACGGCTATAATTGTGATGATGATATGATCAATTATTATCAACATACTTTTTTACAAATATAACTTCAATCGTTTCATTGTGATTTTGATTAATTTAGCTTTGCCAAATGGACATCGGTTTGAAGATATTTATCAAAAATATATTTACACAAAAGTATGAAAAATTACGATTTAACAACACCAATCACTTTTATTTTATTACATTCTACTCATCCCAATAAAAATAGAATATTTAAAATTTAAAAAAAAAAAAAACGTTTTTTTACGAATAAATAATTCTTGTAATCAACGGTAACTTGATTCAATTGAATCATGGCTGAGATGTAAGGAAAATAAATAATTATTCATTATTTTTATTTAAATTGAAATAACTAAGATGATTCTTTGATTGCTCTCCGTCTTCTTGTAGAGGACTTGAAGGAGATTTGCCAAGCGTATTACGAACGCGTCTACGCGTGTGAGGGTCAGAAGTGGGATTTGGAGCGTGAAGTACGGAAAAGGGACTATGAGGTACAATATAAACCCACTATCGAATCCACTGGACTTATTAGGGTTCTCAAGTTGACAATCCTTCAATTATTATCTCTGATATTCGATAAAATGATCGATTCCATATACCACTTAAATTATCATTTTTCTGCCATGTTTGTTTGTTTGTTTGATTATTTTTTTATCAATTCCAAGTTATTTTTCACAGAAGAATAATAATTTTATATTTATTTATTTTTCTACTCCGCCCTCCCCCCGTTTTTATTCTAATGTTATAGTTTTATTTCGAACGAATTTCGAGGTTATGTAGAAAATATCATAATTAATTAATGACAATGTTTTTTTCAAAGGAAAAAAATACAAACATTTTTATTGAAAGAAGTGTGATCGATGTGTGTTTGTGAGTGCGGTGCAAAATCACATTTGTTTATGGAAATTTATTATTTATTTATGAATTATCCTATCATTACTTAATTACACATAGGTTATACTCAGATATAAAAATATATACCAAACAAATTCGTGTTACAAGATATATATTTTTTTTTAATTGTTGTTGAAATAATTACTTGAATAATTCTATCAATTGCATGGCTTTTAAAATATCCACTATTTGTGTTTGAAACGTGTTATATTGTCAACAAAATGCTTTTAATACTTTTTTATTTTACTTTATTCAATACATATTAAATATATTTGTTATTCATTTTATAACCTTTCAATACATTTTAATATCAAATTATTCATGTTTAAATTAATAATCTCATGTCCATGTCAATTATTTGTATGTAAAGTTTACTTTATTTTCCTAAAAAATAATACTACCCAAGTACAAATAATTTCATGTTTACCATGAGAGAAATTATGTATTTTAATTTTTGATTTATTGTTAATTTTTAAAATAAAACTAATGAATTTTTTCTCTCATTGTAATAATATAAATATAGAATGTGTGTGTATGTATATATATTTTTTAACATGCTATTTTAGTATTTATTTTTTTCATAAAACTCCAAATGAAAAATATTTGATATATGTTACTGTGATTTTGTTGATTGATTTATAATATAATAATTCTTACGTGTGATCAGTAAGACCCTTTTACGTACTTGCGCTGCACCTGGTAAATCCTCTTGTCCTCACTTAAGGCTCTCACAAATTCAAACGCGATGACAAATTTCCTATTCTCAGAGAGCAAAAATATTCAAGAGAGAGAGAGAGAGAGAATGAAAGAAAAGGATGAATGTGTATGAATAATATATTTTATTCGTTGATTACCAGCAATTCAATAACTTAATTTTTATCATTTTTTATTCCTATACATCAAATTACTACCAGTATTTGTGTAATAATATTTCATATCTACAAATTTATCCACAAATTCATGACACTACCCTTCTAGACCTATTTTTATATAAGATTTTGCACCGACCCGACACACAACCGAAATAGTTGTTTAATTCAATGAAATAGTTATGTTAAAATGTTCTTCAAAAAACAAAATTGAAGATTAGTTTTAGAAAGCACGGATAGTTTTTTTAATTTTAAAATATTTATTTAATGATTTTTGTGCTGGCCCCATCCACCCCTACCCCGATAGTAGTATGACCCTAAATGATACTTAACATTATGTATACATTTATTTTTTATTTAATTATCTTAGACTAGGTATAAAACACTGATTCAGGTGCTAACTATGACCAGCTATAGAAATTCCAAGGTCTGGTAAAAAGACAATCAAAAAATATGCTCTGTTTTAATTACAGAGTAAGTTCAAAGTTTTATCAAGTAATCCTATTTATTGATTCAATAATCAATCATGTTTTACTGTGATTAGATAAAAAAATTTTTTATAGTTTCTGGCAAAAACTTTCAAATTTTTTTAACCATCAAGCTTCAAGTGTGGTTTTTGATTTTTCTACTACAAACACAGATTTTTTATGAGTGATCTATTTTTCTAGATAATACTGGAAAATTAATATGCTTTGCCTGATAACCCAGCTTCTTAAATAATTATTTAATGATGAATATTATTTAGAAAAAAAAAATATTAAACAAAAAGGATATAATATTTGTTGAATATTCAGAAAGGAGATTAATATTTATATTTCATTATAAACAGATTGCCGAACTCAACAGCCAGGTGAACGATCTCAGAGGCAAATTGTAAGTGAATGTTTCTTTTAAAAATAAGATAAAGTAATTTCATGTTGACAATTGTATAACGTTAATTGTATTTTATTTTCCAGCATGAAACCTACATTGAAAAAAGTTTCCAAGTATGAAAACAAATTTGCCAAGCTCCAGAAGAAAGCAGCTGAGTTTAACTTCAGAAATCAGTTGAAACAAGTCAAGAAGAAGGAATTCACTCTGGAAGAAGAAGATAAAGAGGTAAATTATTTGTTGATACTTTCATTCATACAAACTTATCACAACGCATCAAGGATACTTTCCACGTATCAAGCAAAATTTTATTATTTTTATTTAATTAAAGAAATACCTGAAAATGTTTATCAATACTAAAACATTTTCAAGTTTGATCTAATAGCAAAAATGATCAGCACCAGGTAAAAATAATCAGATTTACTAGTAATTGTATTTTAAGTCTTAAATAGTCATCTCAATTGTAAGGTAGTAGTTTTGTGATTTACCCTGTATTTAAATTAACCCTTTGTCTATTGTAAATATGTTTGTAGTATTTGTCATCCCATTATACATTACTCATGATCAATATCAATAGTCATTCTATCAGACAAATTATTTTGACATCCAGACAAAACAAAATTGATTTGAAAACAAAATGATCTCCTTGATGTGGCAAAATGACTGCCAGTTGTATCCTCGTTTTTATTATTGTAGTAGTTATTTAGGCCATGTGTTGTTCTTCACAGCCCAAGAAGTCCGAGAAGGCAGAATGGCAGACGAAGAAATAGTTCACTCAAGCACATCATTAGATTAGCGAACACTATCAGTCATATCTATTAATATTTCTTCAAAATCCACTAGTTATTTATATATATTTAAATGACTCAATTAAATTGAATTATTTTATTACATAGATAATCTACTTCATTATTTATTTTCTGTAAAAAAAAAGCTTACTTTATCAGACTAATTTCGTTCTTTATACACAAAACATTTCATTCTAACCTCAAAATCGGCACTACATGTCTACTTAATATTGGCTATTTCAAATTAAATTGGTGTAAATAAAATTCAATTGATTAATTAAAATACTAAATATTAAAATTAATACAAAAATTTTTGTTGCATAATTTAAATATTCATTAACTTGTGAATATGAGTTATAAACAAAATATTTATGGTGTCAAAAGGTGAGAATAACTTACAACATTATCTCATGTATACACCAATTGTTTCTCTCGAATTACACATAACGGTAAAGACGCTTTTACTGACCATTCATTCTAAAACCAACTTACCACAGTGATATATTATTTTATTTTTTTTTTTTTTTCAAGTAAACTAAATGCATATTTACATATTAAACACAAATAAATGCAAACTTGGAGTTAATAAATCAAAACTTATGCCCCATTTTTCAGCATTTTCACCAGACTTTATTACCAAGCTTCATATTGAATTGGTTTTTTTTTAATGTGTAGTTATGTTGTCTTACATAAATATCTCTATTGATAATTTATTGCCAAAAAATAAAATTTCTAAGATAATTAAATTAATTTACATATCAATAATTATCAATGGAAATGGATTTTTTATAAATGAAAATAAATATATTTGTTAAATTATAAATATGAACAATTGATCATCATTATAATGATAATAAAAAAGAAAAGTTGATGAAAATATAATGATCATGTTCAATATTTATGCTTTAATTTGTTGTCTATGTCTTATTTGACTAATACTTATGCTCTTGACTTATGTTTGCAGAATGCCTCAAAAGATAAGGTAAAATTCTAATGCCAGTCGCAGAAAGGAAATAAAGTATAATAATTTGCGATTAGAAAATAATCTAATTTCTAACTATCTAAAAAATATTAAATTTTTATTTTACTCTTAGTAGAATAGCACTTCTATCGCCTGTAGCACGGTATTAAAAACAACAACAAAAAAAGTGATACAATTACTCAATATTTTTCAAACTGACATCCTAGTCTGTTTTTTATTTTTATTTATTTCTATTAAACTTTTATTTATCCATGATAAAACAATTTCACTTGAAGTTCTATTTCTACATTTATAGTTACTACTAGTCCCTGAAGATAATATTTAGATAATTAATTGGTTTCATGAAATTGTTAGAGGAAGTAGAGATTAGAAATTAGATGAAAAAAAAAAAAGGATGCGACAATGTTATGTGGATGCTATATGCTCTTTTGTTGTTTGTCTTAACAGATAGTTAAATAATAATTACTTTTTGATATGTCTTAGAATTAAATAGTACCTTTAAAATAATCATAATAATTTCCATTACATTATACAATTGAATATATGACAAGACTATTAATCTTCAATTTTTCCATTTTACAGAAAAAACCAGATTGGTCCAAGAAAGGAGAAGAAAAGAAGGTAAAAGAAGAAGAAGTCGAAGCATGAGAAATGTGAATCCATCAAAAAAAACAAATACCCAAATGATACTTATTTTTTTTTTTTTCTCGTCTTTATATAAAAATATTTTCGTTCTTATAATTTTTGTTTAAAAAAATCCCTCCAATAATCCTGTCTTGTATTTTTATTATTCTTTCATTTAAAATTATTTATTCACATTGTGAAAGTAATTATTTTTATTCATCTTGTGTTTTTTTGTCATTCAAAATTTTGTCAATAATACAATTAAAAAGATACCTTTAAGGAATATGTATGTTTAAAAAAATGAGATTTATTACATTATGTTTTGTCAATAATTATCCCTATATTTACCTGATCTTTATATATCTTTTATGTAATCACACTATCAAATAATCCTAACAATTATGTTAATGTCAGTATTGATTATACATGATATGATTATGAGAATACATTTACATAGTTATGGTGTTGGAGAAAATGATATCTGGAAGAGCAGAAAGGAACATAATTAAACTTATCACATAAAAACTATTGTACAAAACATCAATGTCAATAACACAAAATATAATTTCACTTATCTCTCATGTTAATTTATTTTACCTTGAGTTTCTTTCTTACCCCTTCAGTAAGATCCTACTATCCGAGTGATCCAATTTACGTGAATAATGATTTGTCTACAAGTAATAATAACAATAATTATTATAACTAAAATAATAGATAGCTTATAGAAAAATAAGCATGTTACATGTCTGAATGTAATGTAGCAAAGTTTATAGTAATTCACGTGTTCTGTGGGAAAAATAATAAAGAATAAAGTATGTAATTACAAAACGTGTATGCAAAGTAAGTATTAGCATTTTCTATGTATGTTAATTAATGTATATACTTACAGAATAGTTTTAGAACAGTAACACTGTAATGAGATTGTGTCCGTTTAAAATTATTGAAGGCACCTGAGCCTGCACCAGAACCAGCCCCACCAACACCAGAGGTTGCTCCACCAACTCCATCACCAGATCCATCATCGGTAGCACCATCAACCACCGTAGAATCAACCCCAGCAACGACTCCTGCACCATCACCAATACCTCCACTAGAACCTCCGGTAGCTACACCAACACCTGAACCAGCACCATCACCAGTTCCATCTGAGGATCAACCACCACCACCACCTGCAGATGGTGCAGCACCACCTCCTGCTGATGGAGCGGCTCCTCCTGCCGAAGGTGCTGCTCCACCAGCAGACGGTGCAGCTCCTCCAGCGGATGGTTCTGCACCACCTCCTGCAGACGGTGCGGCTCCTCCAGCAGAAGGTGCAGCACCCCCAACGGAAGGTGCCCCACCAGCTGAAGGAGCTGCTCCACCAGCCGAAGGAGCTCCAGCACCAGCAGAAGGTGCAGCTCCACCAGCCGAAGGAGCACCTCCAGCAGAAACTCCAGCTCCAGCTGATGGAGCTGCACCACCCGCAGAAGGTTTGTTCGATAATTTTCATAAGCCTGTAATAAAGTCATTTATCAATGTTGTCATTTAAAAGCTCCAGCGGCAGCACCACCAGCTGAAAATCCACCCCCCGCAGACGCACCTGCTCCTGCTGATGCACCTCCAGCAGCACCTACTGATGTTGCACCTGCACCCGCTGAACGTGAGTAATCATTTAATTGTTTATTTTTATTATTAATATTAACAAAATTAAATCATATAATTATGATAAAATTTATTAGCAGCTCCAGCATCATAATTTAATGATGAATATCAACCAATATCTCGCATACAAAATTTTTATGCGTCTTCACAAACCAGTCAATCATCTACTTAACATGATTGGTACGATGTATGCTTCTAAAAAATACATAACTGCTCAATGTATCGTCTCTACATGATTCAATGATAATTCTCAACAGTACTTACCATCAAACCCCTTTGTCATTATCATACTCTCAACGTAATCATCATCCTGGTTACGTTCAATATAACCAATGTCAACGTAATTGAATGCAGTTGTCTCACTACAAAAGCAAACGTGTACATAACACATCCCCAAGAAAGATTGAGTCGACAAATATCTTGATAATATACAATTTGTTAATATTTATCATAGAAAATGTCATTATTATTTTAAATAAATAATAAAAACATTTATTTCATTATTTAATATTACGTTATTTTTTTGTTTTTTCTGACTTATCATAAGTAATTCATTTTTGTTAAAATTTTACAATAATAATAATACAAAGGCTCAAGTGGAACCAAGGTTTCTTGAAATATATATTTAATAACAAGCTTAAAAAAAATAAGTTTACTTTCTTTTTAGAGAAAAAAAAAAGGTGAAAATACCATAAGTCCTTTTAAAATACTACGAACTTTAAAATCACTAAAAATTTCGACGAAATATGAGGTATTAATACCCCAAGTAGAGAAAACAGGTATAAAAACACACCAATAGGTCTTCTCTTGTGTTTATAACTATGTATAGTACATAGAACAAATATTTCTCTACCTTGTGTGTTTTCACATAAATACAGGTGTTGTTGTGTGTTGGTATGGTTCTTGGAAATTCTACTCTTGTCGCTAGAGAGATAGGCTTCGAAAATTGGCGCGCGCACATTTCTTACTGTACCGGCAGACGTAATACAAGCATCTCATCGTGTAACGCGTCAGCTTCGTTCAGTCTTGCTCCGACTTTCGTGTCGCGTGGTTTAGTATGTAAAATTATCTCTCTTATTTATTTGTCACGTGATAAGTTCAACGATCATTCAACACGCTAAAGTTTTAGCAATTGTAAACAACGCGTTTACTGACATAATATGGAATTGTGTAATAATTAAATATTTAAAGTGTTGCTTAATGAAGTGAATAAATACAAATTCGGTGCGCAATAAATATAAAAGCTATAATATTGTTGATTATTTTTTATATTTAAAATAAATTTGTTTAATTTTTGAATGAAATTATTTCAATGTTAGATCATTAATTAAGGTCAATTTTTCCAAGTGTAAAGTCGTGACCTTGAGTGTAAAATACGCGGACTAATCTAAAATCAACAACTTGGTAAGTGTGTACATTTTTTTTTTTTTTTATAGAAAATAGTGTTCACGTCGTTCGCATACTTTAGTACATTCTTATAATTTTATTCCAATTGACTTGTTTTCATTTTTTTTTTTTAGTTTTTACTTTCTCAATCATATCATTGTATGATTTGCATATTATGCCTTCAAATTTTTTTTTTTTTTTTTCAATATTTTTCGTTATTTTCTCATCCGGTCACACCGGTTTGGTATTAATGGAGTAGAGAATAAAAAAAACTAGAAAATAGAACTCTCATATATGTGACATTGTGCTCTCGTTTCACATATTTCTTTTTCAACAACATATGTGTATAATACATACATAAATGTACTCATAGCTGATCTATTTATCAATTTTATTAATTTTTTTACATAGGAAAATTTGAATAAAAAACTTAATCTTTTTATTAAAATTGGAAAATAAATTATTTTGTAACTGACAAAAAATTTGAATTAAATTTTTAAATAATAAATGTTGAGGAATAAATCATTATAATTGATAAATCTAACTCAATGATTATTTGTAGTTATTTAATTTGATGTCTTGATATATCAATTTAAAACAATAAAAAATATAAATAAAATACAGAGTAATAAGATGAGCTTTCTTGTGTCACTTGCAATATATTCTTTCTATAAAAGGATCTACGTAAATGAGAGAATACATTTTGTTCAGATGCAAATTTATATCATGAATAAACTCATGTGTCCATGTCAATTAAAAGTACCCTTATTGAGAGAAAGAATTGCAAATTTAGAAAAATATTTATGCAAACTTTACGAAGTCAAATAAATTGATTACAAATATTTTATACATTCCACAAAAGATAAATATTTAAATAAATAAAAATACAATTTACAAAACAAAAAATATAAAGCTTCTATGATACCATTGAAAAGCTATAAAGAACATCATTTAGATTTAATAAAAAAATAATTAAACATGAAGTTGTTAATAACCACTTAGTGGAAATTAAAGTGGTTTTATTTTCGATTAAATTTCAAAAAGAAAAGAATACTCTTTTAGCAGAGCGTGGTTTCGATCCACGGACCTCTGGGTTATGGGCCCAGCACGCTTCCACTGCGCCACTCTGCTTGATGAAAAGCTAGGATTTAAATCCTTTCAAAGGATTAGTGTGCTATTTTATATCAAATAATAAATATTTGACTTATTTAATTAATTGAAATATAGAGTTATTCATATTAACTCGAGAATACTCAAATATTACACTTCAATTCCATGGTCTTTGAATAATGTATTCAAAATATACTCAGCAACGAGCTACTAATTGGCAAAGTTTGTTCAGTAATGTTACTCATATCAAATATGAGGAGAATTACATCAATTATAATGGTCAGCAGTAATAATTGATTAGTGTGAGTACTACAAATGATTACAAACAAGACCTTTATTCACATAAAATTGACTTTGAGAAATGAAACTTGTATTGATAATCAAATCAGGGATATTTATTATTTAAAAAATCAAGTAATTGATAAAATAACTGATTCATGAAGCTTATAATTATTAATTGTAAGTTAGGAAATTACACTAAAAGTGGCGCGGCTTCATTATTAGCTGTAGTCACGCATACGTTAAATTCTAATTACCTTCTTTACGATGCGCACGAACGTCAATCGATGAATCAAGATTGTACGAGGTCGTAGTCACTGTGCAACTCGTAAAGAGAAATACACTACATATGCATCCGTGTCTTGAAGTTACAATATCTGAGATCTTATAGAGCTTTGTGCAACGTTCTAACCATTGTCAAATATTACGAAACGATGTCTTGAAGATATGTTCATTACAAATAAACACTGTAAAATAATTAATTAATTATTTAAAATAATTAAATGCTTCTTCTTGTTATCAAAGTGTATATACTTCATGCATCAAATTACCTAGTAATATAAACGTCTATGTACGTGATACAAAATATAGTACATGGTAGTGGGTAGACATTGTTTCTATGAATATCCACAAGTCATTCATCAACCAAGTTAAAAGTCCGCCTCTTTACTTGTGGCTGATAAATAAACTCTTCAAACAAAATTGTTTTATTCAATTATTACATTCCTATTATGTAGAATAATTTTAAGAGTGAATTAAACTTCTTATAATTTCATTCAAGACAAAATTTTCCAAGTCTCACTTTGGGTGAAAACATTAAAATTTTATTCTGATCTTTTTATGCTGAATTTTGAAGAAAGGATGTAACAACAGTATTAAAAGCAAGCAGGCCAAGACCAGGTTGAAATCCATATACAAAATTCAAAACAGGATGAGATTAGAATTTAGTTCAACATCGATCTTGCTATACCAGTGTAGAATCAGGATAGAAAAGATGAAATCAGATGGAGCAAAGTGAAATAAGTATTTAATAAGTATGAGATAAAATCTATTAGGATAAAATCCACGCGTTATTTCTTGACTTGAAAATGGATTTTCTTGTGTATCATATAAAAGTGACATCTTGCCAGCTCCACTCTTCCTGTAAATAATTACAGTCGTTATAGAAACAGATTTTAATCTTATTCATTTTCTTATTACTGATTTATTTCTTTCAAATCAACTACAATTAAATATTTATTATCTAAGATAATTAAAAAAAACGAGAAAAAATAAAGTTCTTGCAAAAATTTTATTGAACTATTTTGAAGTGTTGCATTTGAGTATTTCATGAGAATTATTATAACTACATACCAGGCATACTTGTTACTGTATGAGTGTGAACATCGTTAGTTGATAATCATTCTTGCGATATTATAAATTGACGAAAAATTGTAAACTGCAATCAACCATTTCCAGTTGAACTTATTATTTCTTGATAAGTTATAATCCATCAATGTCAAATGGTCAAACTGTGAAAGAACCTGTAGAGTTCATAATCTCTTCAATTTTATCACTCGTAAAATTGTGCTCTTAATTGAAGTAAAAAAAAGAAAATTACCAATTAACTGCTTGATATCAGGTATATCATTTATTCTTTAGGTGATCAAAATCCATTTTCTCAAAGTCATGCACTCTCTTTGTTACATCATGTATGGTTAAGTATGGGTTGATGAAATCGAACTCAATCCTCGAAGTCCATAAATAACTCGACATCAAACTAAAGGAAATATTAAACAAAATGATATTAATAAAAAATCAATAAACATCTATATTAATAATGTTAATAATAAAGGTGAAATTGCAGTAGGATGAATGCTCGTAGGAGTAAGTTTTTGATCTAATGTCATGATTCGTGACTCACGTGGATACCATTTATCATAGTAGTTACAAAGTCTATTTATTTCTAATATATTCCATCTGTCAAGTCTTTGAGAAATTAAATATACATAAATCAAGCAGAATCTTGAATAATATCTTGAAAATACATTTTATTAATTATAAAAGTTTTCTCATTTAGAAAAAGAATTATAAACAATAACTTTCATATCTTTCTATAATTATACCTTTTCATTTGTATATGTTTTATTAATTTAATGAAAATTTAAGCAACAACCTGAGATGAATAAATGATATGCTACCTATAGGAATAACTCTTGGTATATATATAGACAAGTTTGTTATGTAGGTATAGTGAAATAGAACACTTGAACAAGTTCAGTAACCTGAATGCTGTACAACCAATTTATTTCATATAATATAAATTTTAATCAACAAAGGATTGCTAAATATATTAATGACATTGTGAATGACTATAAAATTGATATTATCCTGTGGTCTATTGCTACTTAATGAAACATCAAAAATTACATTGAATTTAATCAACTTATTACACACATACTTTCATTAGTATTATTAATTGAAACACATATAATAAATGGAATTATCAAAAGCTATTTCCGTTAATAAATCCTGTCGATAGGTGAATATAATACAATGAAAGAACCATTTTCCGGTGAAATAACTTTGATCACAAATCTATACTTACGTCACATTGGACAATTGATTTTTGGAAACAATGGTGAAGTCATTTTCCTTGATTTATAGAGTAGACTATGGAGAGAAGCTGAGGGAACATTGATTTGTTAAAATCTACATACTGTTGCAGTCTAATCTACTGGTATTATTCAGTTATAAAGGATTAACATGATAATAGTGAAAGAAAAGAGTCCAGAGATATTATGTAAAGTTGAATCAAACTCTATAGAAACTACTAATGTATTGCAGGACTTCATTATGAAGTTCATTGTACTAAATTTTATTAATAATTGAAAATTTTATCTATTATTTTTCTTTCTATCAATTTAAATCCTTGAAATGTTGAATCTTAAGATGAAACTTCTCATGGTAGAATAATTTAAATCTCATTTCATAGTCATTCTTGTTTGAGTTATCAGAAAAAATAATTTTTTCTTTAATTAACTAGGTATTTAGAATCTTGTTAGTTTGTAAGATTTTTAAAAAGACCGTTACCATCTCTATAAAGTACCGTTATGTCTTGTCTTTCCATATATCTGAAAAAAAAAAAAAATCATCTTAATGAAATATTTACCATCAAAGACTTAAATTATAAATAAATGAATAATTAAGATAAAATGTGAAAAAAAAAAAAAATTATGACAGCAGAAAAATAGAATTTAATGCGTCAGAATTTATTAAGCTGATTACTTTTTATGTTGCTTAGTCTAGATGGAATGTATTTTTTTATTTCTGTAAAATGATACTAAAAAGTTTTGTCTAAGGATTGAAATAAAACTGTTGGAGCAAATAATAGTTTTACTGTTGAACTACTACCAATGTCGTTGATACTCAAAACTATCATTTAGTCAGTTTTTTATCGTTCTTTACCTACGCTATTTCCGTTGACCCTAAAGTATAGGTAATTTATTTTTCAACGCGGGTCCACGTGGGCTTGGCATCACATTATGAGACTGTGTAAATGACCTGTTATGTAGGTGGATGCCAACAACATGATGCACAAAGATCGAGCCTAAGACAAAAATGGAAGTAAATATTCATTTATCTTAAAT